CTGCTGAAGTCCACATGCCAAAGTGTCCTTGGGCAAGACACCAACACCAAATTGCTGCCGGTGGCTTGGCTTGTGGTGTGTGAATGCGCATGATGGGATTTGACCGGTGGAGATTTTGTGAGATTTCCACTGTTGAGAGTCAGGACTGTGGTTACGGTTAATGGAGCCTGTTAATGTGTGGTGAGCTTTGTTGGTCGGGTAATTGCACTTCATACACCATGAGAAATTCACTGTTGAATCTGGATGCCACGGAGAAGTGCACAAAGATGTTCAACATTACGATTGGATACCAATTCAGATCTGTAAATCTTTACACTTCTACCGCTTTAGTAAGGGGAAAAAGTCAGGACAGTTCAGGCCTTTTTGGACAGCTGTATTGATCAACAAAGAAGAGGATCTCCAGCTGACATTCATAACATGGTGGACTGAAAAACAAGTGAAATGTTGTTTGAAACTTTCACCATGTGAGCTGGTTTGTTTGTGTTTTTATACCCTAACAGTCGAATTAGGGAGAGTCCTATTTGGCTAAAGCTTGTGACACTTTAGATACTGCGCCATGTTGCTTTATTGTTCTATATTTACACATTCTCTCCATTATCCTAAAATGCTCTGCGATGTGTATTATAACTGTTCCCACTTCTGTTAGTGTGTGAGCATGTGTGCATTTGAATGAATATCCAGACCTCTGCACCCAGTTTTCTGTCAGTGCTGAGTGGAGCTGCAGCACGTGGGAGCTGGATTCCTCGTGACTATTCTGCCTGTGGCATCCTTTCAGCGATTCACTGCCAGACCTCTCTCCATATGAAGAGTGTGCATATACCGTGTGTGTGTGCACGGAGTGTATTACACAGCATGCCATCTGTGAGCTCTTACAGGTAATTATATGAGCTGAGTGCATAAAAAATGTATAGAAGGAAAGAAAAACTTTCATTTGTGTAAACTCTCAAACCTCTCACGTTGCAGGAATGCTTTTCATTGCCTGATACATAGTCATAAACTAAGCTGCAGAGTAAAACTTAAAGCTATTATGTGAGATGTGACAGCTTTATGTTGCTCCCTGTCCTTTTTGCCTGCTGTTTTCTCAGGCTCTGCACAGGTGAATTCACTGATAGTCACTTTGTCACACCTGGTCCTGGTGCATGCCTGCGAATTTTGGATCTGGGACTGATTTCCCACTGTCTCTCATGCATGGATGTTTTAAACTTGTGATGTTTCTTTTTTTGTTCTTTCTTTTCATTTCTTTGTAAGTTACAGTTTTCCCCCTCCAAAAAATAAACCAAGCGCTCAATCCTGCAAGCTTGAAGCTCGCGCATCAATAACACGACCTTTAACTGCTTAATTCTATGCACACTATCATCAGTCTAGATTCTGTTTGGCACCTGGTGTTAAGGGATCTCACTGTCTTTGTGCTGTTTCTTAAACTGCTATGCCTCGCTCATCAGCGTGCATGCCTCTGTTATAAAATTAAACAATAGTTTTGTGTTGCGCAGAGGGATTGCTTCATGCCTTGACATGACTTTTGAAATAAGCCGTGTGGGTTTTCTGGGTTGGGGTGTAACAAAGATTTCACGATGCACAGTATAATTAAAGACTGTTACTTATGAAGGGAGTCATACTGACTCATCACATGCTCATGGCAAGAATCTTTGGCACAGCCTGCGAGCCGGCAGTAAAAAAAAGAAAAAGCTGTGGGCAGATTTACTATTGACATAAAAGCTACTCTGTATCAGGTATTGTGGATCTACTGCTTGTTAGACCTGCCAGTGATCTTCCTTTATCTCAGCCGAGTGGGTCAGTGAACAGGAGTGTGCACTTACAGCAGCACTATACTTGAGACACGTATGACCTATTTAGCATGCTGTACTGCATATCCAGACCAGTCATTCTCAAGGGAAAGAAGTTACATGTCTTGAGGTTAATTGTGTAGTATTAAGCATAACCATAGACTGTATATACTTTGGACAACTTGGTTCCGCCTGGATTATGGATTGAAGCCAAAAAGCTCTCGGTAATTCTGCGAACTTTTCTCCATTTCCTGAAACCAACATTGCACAGTAGCATTGTACGCACTCCACCACTTGCGCAGTAGCATTGTACGCATTCGGCGGAAGAGTCGCCAAAAGTCACTGTGTTGACGCTCGGCTCAAACAGCGTATCACCTGGGTGAGCTATGCAATGTTTGTATGCCCATAAGCTGTATCATGTGTCAATCATAGAAAACATGAACCCCCAAATAACTTATAAAAATGGAGATGCACAGGAAAAAAAAGGACTTGAGCACAAACCAGTCTGACAGTAACTACATGTCAACATCGCAACCGGGGGGGGAGAAAAAATTATATTCTGTGTAAAAAATTTTGAAGTTTGTCCACAGCTCCATAGGGATTGCTGGAGGAGGTGGGGTTTATGACCTACACTGCAGCCCGTCACTAGAGGGTGCTGTTCTTGCGGTGGCTTCACCCAGCGAGGAGGCAGACGGCATCCATTCTATATACAGTCTATGCTTTAAACCATTTGCACTTTGGACAGTTTAAAATACCCCGACTGAGTTTTCCTCTCAAGTTTGGCTCAAGTGGAGAATCTCTGGATAACCTATACTATGCTAGGTCTATCAATCACTCCAAGTCTGTGACTGTCTCACATGAGTTTGGTTCTGCTCGAGGTTTCTGCCTCTAAAAGGGAGTTTTTCCCAACTTTACATTGGGAATTTGGTTTAGACCAGCTTTTTTATTAAGCATATTAAGATGACATATGAAATAGAAATACAGATCGACTGATTGACATCAGCCCTCACCTTTGGTCATGAGCACTGGTGATGTAAAATGCCAGTCAAAAATTCAGACATAAAAAAAAGGTAAATTTAACCACATAAATCGCTTGGCAGCAGGCCGAATGTTGGAAACACACAGCACCTGTCGCACATAGATACCACCTGAGCTACATCGGGTTTGTGGTGAGTTCAGTTCGGATTCTTGTGCCACTGTCTTGTCACATTCAGAAGTGGGTGTGAAGGTGGAAAAGTGATGCAAATATTGTAGACCACTATCCAAGACTACTGTAAAACTATTAGTCTGCAAAGGTTTAGAAGATTACTAGGTCACAAAGTTAAGGAAATTTCCTAAAATGTAAAGGCTGCAGTTACTTCTGGACCCAGACCAGAGTCTAACTGACCACGTTTCACTCTGCTCCACTCTACCACTGTCTTTTTCTAGACTCGGCACAGAGACAGGCAGTAATTATATGGTGAAATGTGATGACATCGAAAATCACAGACCACAATGGAGTCTTTGTAGAGCATAGTCAGATCAAGCTACAGCTGAGCCATAGATTACTGTGGCTGACAAAGGGCGAACACACTCCAACAGACCCAATGGTTTCCATCAAGAGAAACAGGCTGCAAGTTCACAGACACGTGCAAAAGTCCAACTCGTGCAACCAGATCTCTGACAAAGAGGGGTGACGAACACCCAGCAGGGGAAAGGAGTGGGTGGGATGTGGGGCCTCAGTCTGTGTTCATAACCTCAGTGGCAAAATAACAGTAACTGCTCAGGCCCATTCACTTCCATTCATTCTTTGGACCAGAATTACGTAAAAAATCCCCACACCAAATTTTTTGCATCTTGTCAGTGCCGAAAGTCAAGTGACCTTTGCATGAATATGCAATACACTGAAGGGAAAAAAAAATATGATCACAAAGAATTATAATGCTGTTTTGATTCAATCATTTCTATTCATATTTTTAATAAGTTGCCATGTTCAATGAATTTTACTGATTGATTAAAAGGATGACAAATGTCTTCTTGGTCTTTGATTATTACTGAATTAGTACTAGTAATAATATCATTACATCTAAACAATTGATGTGGAGATTTTTTATGTAATGCTGGTCCAAAGAAGGAATGGAGGTGAAAGAGTCGGTTACTGCTATTTTAAGGCTCACAGTTACCTCTCACAAAGAAACCGAATGGGTATATCTTACATTTCCTGAATCTTCAAAGTCCAGTTAATATTGAAATTGTTGGCTTTTGGTTCCTTGATATCCCTTGAATTTATAATCATCATATTAATCATTTTGCACTGCAGACGCTGTAGTTCTTCTGCCTTAGCATCTCGGTCTGATTGCATTTCCGGGAGGAAATGATCATATGTGGTATGATATGTGGGCTGATTATAAATAAATGCATCTCCTCAGCTCTCATTTTTCTGACTTTTATTATAAATCCGTCCTGCAGGCTTGGAGCACATCAAATCAAGACTCTAAACATCTCTATGAACAATGTCTCTTATTCGTGTCCCATAGTGCCCTCTGGATATAAACTAGTAACCTGACAGACACATGGTGCGAATTGGTGCGTGGTAAAGTATACAAATACATCTGAGATTTGGGGTTCACTTCCAACGTGTGGCCCCCATTCCTGCATTCATGTCATTCCCCACTCTGTCCTCTTTTTTCCTGCTCTATCCTTGTTGTTCTATCTGTTAATAGAGACTGAAAAAGCCCCAAATACATGAGTAAAAAATAGATTAAAGTGATGTAGCTTTTTAAGCTTAAGCCAAACAGATGAAAAACCCAACAATGCGCTGTCTCTCTCATTCTGTTATTTTCTGTCCTTTGTGTTTCCTCCTCATCAACATCCTCCCTAAATGTTTCTCTTACCCCATGGTGGGTGACCCCCTGCTGTGACTGCAATTACTGCAGGAGATTAAATGACGGGATGGGAGTTATTCATGCAAGTAAAACTCAGGAAACAAAAAAGGCATCTGGCTATGACAAACATGGTCTCTTCAGTGTAGACAACACGTTCTTGTATCCTTTACAAAATTCCCCCTGCTTGAGTTTGAGACCAAAATAACCCATAAAAGTCATCTGTCATTCAAACACCTCAGGTCAAAAGTTAATGAGCAAGACTATTTAATGTTGCAGGTCTAACTGTGACAAAAACAGAGGACTGAGACAAAAACAGAGGGCAGAAGAGGAGAATAGGAGGTGTTACCTCTTAATAAAACTGTGGCATCAGGGTCCCTCACTTTATGACCTGTGGGATTTAGAGGGTTAGGAAGGGACGGGCTTTTGTACGTGTCTGTCACAGGATGTGAGGGTTTTGTCATTTCCAAACAGGGACAGCGTGTGAGGTTCAGAGTTCACCAGAGGTCACAGGAACCTCAGGAGGAGGATGAAGCCAGCGAGCGAACCTTTTGTCTGCTGTGTTGTTAGTGGGTCCGGTTGTCTGTGAGGAAACCACAGTTATTACTTTCACAGGAGACAGGATGTCTCACACAACAGCAACAAAACACAGTCTGTGCTAGGACAGAAACGCTGCTGGGTTTTAACCTGTCTTTGAGTTTGCCATTGTTTGTCATTTAAGCTGCTCATGCAACACAGTTTTTCTGAAATAATGATATTTTACGGCAGAGATGATTATTAAGATGTGAAAACAGAAGTGATTTAACCTGCAGTCCTTTTTAATGGGCAGCTGGTTGCAAAAATGAAGGCAGTCAGCCAAATGGGTAAAAAAAACCTCACATTTTCCCTCATCTGGGTTATTACTTTAGCGCTTTTACCTCAATAAATATTTTCCTTTTTGTTCATCTGTCATAAAAGCAAGTGCTGCCATCTGTAACTGACTCAGGCTGACCACAATGAGTTACCCCAGTATTTTCTGATGCCTCTTCACATTACCTCACCCACCTTCTTAAAGAAATTACCAGAAATCCACAAAGAAATTGTACATTTTTGGTGCTTGTGAATGTAGCTTCACAGTCATGAATATGTCTGCTTTAAAGGAGGGCGTTAAACACTCCAGATTTTCACGATAATTTGCTCATCTAGTTCGGGGCCAAAAATGAAGAAATGTCTTATCTTTTACATTTATTGGACTTGGAAACTACAAAACAACAATACTTAAACTTTGCCCTCTGATCATGACATTAAAGGAAAATGGCTCTGTGGAGACAATTAAGAGGAAGCCTCTGGATAACTATGTTTATGTCTCTGAGTTTCCCAGCCTAGATCCCAATCCAGCATCTGCAGGGACAAAGAAAAAGTCTATCCACTAACAATCCCCATATGAGACAAGCAGAGGTTCAGAGAGGAACTACCGACAATCCCCCTTTGAGTTCTCAAAACATAGTCTAATCCATCATCTCTCTTTTACTCATGAAGTCTTCCTCACAAACCAGTCAGACATCTGTGTTGTTGTTTTTTTGTTTTGTTTCGTTTGTGATGGGCTTGAACTGTAATTTCACGCTGGAGGAAATACTTTGCAAGCAGACTTCACTTTGTGGTGCGCTCTAAATGATAGCCGGGCTGGATCTCCAGCTGGAAATTCCCGAGTGCACTTAAACTGTGGCTCAAAGCTCAGAGTTGAAACCAGTTCAGTAGTGGACCGTGGCACTTGAACCACGCTCAAGTGTTACGAAAGCTTTGTTTGCGGCAGGTTTAAGACAGTAGATGCGTTTATATGGGCATAAACAATCGGAATAAATGCCCGATCGGTATAAAAATGCGTCATATAAACATAAAGATCGGAAGATTCTGATCCAATTCGGCTCAATCGTAAAGAACGAGAAGTAGTTTATGCCGATCGTTATTCCTAAACGCGTCCATGTACAAACTTATTCCAATCGTGACTCTCTTACCTGACTCGGTCTTCACTCTTTAGCCTTTGTTTATTTCTGGAGGCCAGTTCAGGATATTTCATTATTAACACTGTTATAAAACAACCGCGGCGCCATGTCTGCTCTTCCGGTAATTCAACAAGACGTACATACAGCGTAATGATGTCATATCTGCACGCACAGAGCAACATTTGACAGAACAGTACAATAAGTACGCAAGGGCGCCATCTAGTGACACCACTTAACAGGGGGAAAACTTTAATTTTAGTTTTATTTTTTGCCAAAATACAAACATTATGGCACATTGGTGATACTTACAGTGTAAAGTATTGAACCAGCTTTTTAGATTGATTAAAGAACATGAAAAAAGAGAGAGAAGAATGTGAGGTCCTTAGTAAATACGTTGAGTAAAGAAAACAGTTTTAGGGCATTTTTGTTTTTCATGTAGTTCAAAGATTTTTTTCAATATTCTTAGTTTGTTTATCCATCCACTGAAGTGGGGCTTCATCTTGAGGTATTTACATCTGTGAATGAAATGTCTTCCAAGTGTAATTAAAATATTCACCATGAAGTCCAAGTTCTTTTCCTTTAACTGTAGTCCAATCTTGATCAACATCCAATTTAATGGGGTCAAAATAATTTTGAATTTTGAAATAATGTCCAAAAGTGTATAGCATGCTCACATTCAAAGAAAATATGTTCTACTGTTTCAAACTCCTGAATTGGATGGAGCACAGACGTAAATACAACACGTAAATACAATGTAAACGCTTCTAATCTGAATAAATATGAGTGCATATACACAAACGTTATGATCGGATTAATTGATTTTGCATCCATGTAGTGGATTCAGATTATCCAATCCCTCAAATTTGTAATTGGTTTAAGAAATTTTGCACATGTAAACATGGCTAATGTCAGCAACTTTTAAAGAATTTCCTATGCCTGCAAAAGCATCTGCACTGCTCTATTAACACTCATTAAAAAACACTTATCTCTGTGATGTATGTTTCATGTCACACTGGTTGCCAAAGCTGGATTACATGTCAGACACTGAGACACATCATATCCATTGTAGTTCTGGGACATTAGTTTTAACCGTTAATGACACGCTGAAGCAGAGTTGTGCATTTGCTGAGAGTACTATAGAAAGAGCAGCTTTATGTCTTCTCTTTGTGTCGGAGGGCAAGTGAGACGCACTGAGACTGTTGATGAAGTTCAGTAAAAACAGCTTCTGTTGGTTGTCGGCTGCAGACTGCTGCCTCAGATCAATACTTCTCACTTTGCTTCATCCTTTCAACTCCTGAGTGTACATTGGCGTGTGTCTGTGTGTGTGTTTATAATGCAATACCTCTACAACTCCATCATGTTTGTTCTTCATTACCAGCACTCTTTAACTAAACAGACAATTATGTCATCTGTGTACAGAGGACACACATTACGTCAAGCTTTTGTTAAAGGTTAATGCACTCAAATGCACACACACACACACACACAAACAAACACACAGTTCATCTCTGTTTGTTTACTCAACTCAGAGGAGTACAGGTAAAGAATGTGACCGAGTAGGAATGTGTGCGAGAGAAAGTGTCAGAGAAAAAGACGAATAAAGCTTTAAAAACATGGTTGTGTTAAGCTGATGGGATGCTGTTCTAGTTTTATTTTACTGTCTCTCAAAACCATCCTTTACCAAATGATTATTTAAAATACTTTTACCGGAGTTTCCAAGGCTGAAAGCTCATCAGCTATTACTTATTGATCAATTTTTGAAAGATAAGAGGCTTTTATGTCTTAGTTCATAGAATATCGGACAGCAGACAGACTTTGGTTGCTGTCCTCGAGGACCACAGTCACTGACCACAATGGTCTCTCTCTTAGCGTATCATGTGCTGACATTAGCCTGATCTTTCCCAATTGGTTATATTATAATTTGATGTTAAGTTTCGACTAATGAGCCCTGTTGTATTTCTATAATTTCAACAGGCTATTGGGTTTGGAAAATGCCAAAATGCATCGCAAAAAGTAGCATAGTTCCTGTGATTTAATATTTCATACTAACAACAGTGCCTGACGCAGAATAAAAAGTACATGTATGTGTCTCTTCTATAGCCAAACAAGACCAAGTATTACATTAAAGGTGTTTTTTATTTTATTTGGGGTTTCTCTTCTTTAATGTCTGTGAGTGTCAGAGTAGAAACAGGCCAGATAGCTGTGGATGTGTGAAGAGGCCTGTAGATGTTGTATCTCAACATCCAGGCTCCACTTCCCTTTCTTTCCCCTGTGAGTGTGCTTGTGTGTGTGTGTAAACCTATTTTGGCTCAGTATGGATCAGAAAAAGCCATTAGCGTCAAGATACCAAGAGTGCGTGGGAGGAATTGTAAAGTATGCAGACACTAACACCAGTCATGCTACATTCTCTAAATGCCACTCGCTGTTGATCCACCCGCTGTTGAGCACCTGCTGTTTCTTGGTAAAAAACCGCAGACTGCCAAGCCAGTCCAGCCTGCAGGGTCGGCTGTTAGCAGTCCGTCATACAAAAACTGAAACATACTGGATCTGAGATGTAATGTGATGTGCAAAGCAGCAGGTAAGGAATGGAGGTGGAGTACCAGAGAGCCTTAATTGTGCAAGGTGAATTTTTTTTTTTTCCAGTGTGTATTTATTCTTCAAGACATGTGAGTTATTAAAACTCCAATTCCATTCGAGTTAGGAAGCAAATCATTAAAATATTACATTGAATTAAAAACAGTGCAAAGACAACATAACATATGTTGAAAATTTAATTTTGAGGAATGTCGAGCAAAATTGTACATGTTTGAAAAACTAAGGGGACCAGCTTCTGGAGTTTTGAGCCTTAAATGTCATCTCATTCTTTTCTAATATAAAATCCATTCAGCTTAACCTTCTGGGGTCTTCTGTGTCGTATTTCTTGTGTCATGCTGTACCAAATGTGTTTTCAGAAGTGACAAATCAGAGCATGCAGTTTGGCACCTGGACTCTTCTACTACAGAGCCACGCTGTCCTAATATGCACAAAATGTAGTTCGGCATGTTCTTGCGTTATCTTCCCTTATGTTGCTCCAAAACCTGTTTATTTCATACAGCATCAACGGTGCCCTCCTAGATGTGTAAAGCAGTCATGCCATCACTCATGAATCCCCATACCATCAAAGATGCTGGTTTGTGAAGTGCGCACCCATGATTCTTAAAAGTTTGTAAAAGTTTGATTTGTCAGACCATGGTGAGTTTTCCATGCTGTATTTGTGGATGCAGGGTGTGAACCAAGTCCTATAACTGCAACTGAGTGGTGATGTTTGAGTTGAAGAAAATCCAAATTAACAAGCCTGGATGAATAAATTAGTCATGAAGACACATTAATCATGGGTGAATTGTTCTGCAGTAAAAAGAGAGAGTTGGTTTATTATCAGTCAGCAGTTCTTGCTAACGTGAGCCTCAAGGTTAAAATGTTGATCATTTCTTGGAAGCACCTTCAGCTGCTCTGTGTCACTCTCTTTTAAGTACTTTCACCAGCTGTTGTTGTCTGACACAAATCTAATAACACACTGTGTGTATGCATGAACCCAAAGGGCATGTTTTACCTTTGAAAGGTGGGCATGAAATCTCTGAAAAAACCTGGTAGTTTGCATAGATATTTGCATATATACATCCCTCCATCATATTTACACACATGTTATTGTTGTCATTATTATTATTTTTAGTTTTAACGATGCAGTTCATATTTTATTTTCATATTTGCATGAGTGGACTCCTGGAAGAGTGGTCGCTAGAAGCTAGTAGGGTCCAAAACGATAACCAGACCAGTTTTTTTCTCCACAACAGCCTGACAATAGTATCTTTTGCATCTAATACCTGGTTGTTTGAAGATTTCAGCTGACAGCCTGATGTTTTTTATGACATGTACTGAAGGGCTTATTCATCCCAACTATAGACGCACACTCACTCTCAGTGTGGTTTTATATCTGTGTGTTTTCTCCCTCCAAGGCTGAAGCCCTTTTGTTTTTTTTCTGCTCAGCATCTGACTCACTTTTTCCCCGAACAACAGACCTTCTGTCTGTACCATCACGGACACACAGGTGCAGACATACATCGATGCAGACGTGTGCACTAACACACACTAACATTGTGTACACACTACACTGCTGCAGAGCTAACAGCTGTAAAACAAATCACCAGTCTACCTGGGGAAACACTAAAAGAGAAAACACACACATTATGACAGACATTATGTAAAAGTTCAGATTTCATTCTTGACAGCAGCTTTTCTCATAAAAAAAGAACAGACTGTGTGCACGTGAGTGTGTATTTGCATGTGTGTGCAAGTGTGCATGTGTGTTTGGGCAACTCTGACCATTTTTTTCCAGACAGCTGGGGTGAGCAGGTTTTTAGTGGTGCACTCATCACAGGAATACTTAGTCTCATGAGAAAATAGACCCGAGCACTTATTTTGCAGAGATTGGTTCTTCAGCATGAAGTTGGGGTTTTTGCAGCTGTGCGTCGAGCAGATCCATCGGACTACAAAGCAGAGTATCATTAGAGGGAATTGGGTTTTATGTCCAGGAAAGATAAAAAATCACCCCGCCGAGGGTGGGAAAATCACCATCACAGAACTAAGAATGTATTTTCCAGCAATCAGCCGATAGTAGAGATTGTGGGCTGCAAATAGCTCCTTATTCCTCCTGAGGATGCAGGAGAGTTTGGAGCTCTACACCCTTAGCTGACAAAATCTCCTGCTCTTTTACTTTTACATCACTCCCTGTCAGAATCCAGTCTGCCGCTGTGCCAATTACAGTATGCAGTATCTGCCTCTGTCTCCTTACTTCCACCTCTATTTTCTCAGTTTTTTTTGCGGGGAAACGGGAAGAAAATGAGCAGTTAGAAAGAGGGAAAATCCATGAGCAGAATTCACCGGCTGCTGGGTTATCCATCCTGGCCTGTAAAGCCCTTCACCAGATGCATTGCTAATTTGTTTTATTTGAAACGCTGCAGTATTTGGATGAGACACTGCAGTTTGGTGAAAGTTGATATTGACAGACAACTAAACAGATTCAGCCTTTAGCTTGCTGTAGAGTTATTATTGTTATTCCTTGGGATAATAAGAGTGTTTACAGACAGTTAGCTAGTTGGTTTGCTCAGGCAAACACACACAACAGTTCTTGTGACAAAAGTTCTTGTGTTCATCAGCAGAGAGTTTGAGCGTGTCACGATGACTCTCTGGGGGAAGTTTTGCCCGTATTAATTCATGAGCTGTGAATCATGCATATCAGAGTTCTGTACACAGTGATGTGCCACACAAGCACAGTACTTTCTGTTCCTTTCGTTTTGTTTGGGATGTAATCTTAAGTTGTGTTAGGGTTAGGGTTAACATCATGATTAAGCTCCTCTGTTAAGCTGGTTTTAATTTTTTAATACTGTCATGTTGTGCTGCTGACTTTATTTGCTGAAAGTTTGGAGTCTGCACACTCATGATTGGCTGGTGTAGCTGTCGTTTCGATGTTGTTTCCTGAATATTTTGCATAGTTTGGCTGCTCTACTCGAGGGTTGGTCAAAACTGGCGCATTTCAGCTGATTTTGGGTTCGTGCAAAGTTAAGTATTTGACCAAGATAATCAATCGATCAGTACAGATTACCCCAACACATGATCAATGGATAATTTTCATCTACTGTAAAATACCTCACATTGAACTCCTGCAGAGTCTCATTAAAAATAGTATATAAGAGTAGTTTGTTGATCAGCTCCACAAATATGAGGGCTTGTTTTGCGATGTAAATTAGTGATATATATTTGGATTATATAACTCTCTGATACCCTCTCTGACAGGATATCACATGGTCACACACTTACATAACTGAAGAAGGAGTTGATCTCTGAGATAAAATAAACACTGACTGTCTCACGAGGGAATCACATCTTTGTCTCCATAAGACTTGAGCCACTTTGCAGAAATTATTCAGACCTCTGCTATTTCTCTTGATTGCTCAATAACGGTGACTAAGCTTCCAAATTTGAGGACTTGCATGTGAAAAGATAATAATTGGATCAAATAAGATGACTCAGTTTTCTTATACAGGTTATTACTCGTCGAATGTGTTTTTAGGAGTAACTCAAAGGGATTCAAAACGTCCTCAGTGGCTTTTGAGGAACTGAGGGCGACCTTAATTAATCTTCCTGACATTTTGGTTTTGTATAACATCTTGTCACCTGTCCAGCTAAACCTGTGCCCCAGCTGAAACTAAAGAAGCACCCGTCTGATGGTGTTATTCTTTGTCGCAGAGATGGGTGTTGATGTATATCCAGAAAGGCTTGTTTCAACACCTGCGTTCAGGTGTGTGTATAGCTGCAGGGCACGGTGCAACACCCCTTTTACGTCAGTCCAGCTGCCTGGCTCCTCCCCTCGTGTTCTGACAGTGTGGAGCCTGTGAGGTGAGGAGATGATGGGCTGCAGAGGGGGGCAGAGCTGTCAAATCAGTGAGGTGTTGACTGATCTGGGTTTTCAGCTTAAGGCGCAGTCGGTGTCAATGAGGTGTGTTTAAAATGTGACAATCTGATAGTGTTGGGAACAGTTGGATCTGGTTATATAAGCTTGGAGGAAAGGTCAGACTAGAATCGTAATTTTTTTTTTGTTTTTAACTGATTCCAACACTAAAACTGTATTGTGTAAGCAAACAACAAAAACAAGCTGGATGCTTTGAAATGGCATTTGAAGTGTTTGGTGGCCGCTCAAAGCATACCAAAGCAGCACATAGCTGAAATCTCTGACATATTTCACATGCTAAAGAAGCGCCTTAAACTATGAGGTCATTTCCCTGAATAACCTCCGCCGCCATTACCTGCAAATGTACACAAGTCTGATCAGAAGAAATGTAAATGTCACTGGGAATTTATGTGACAGCTTGTAATTAGGCGTAAAGCAGACATGGAAAGCACCTCAGGCTCAGAACAGAAAAATACTTCATGCGGTGCCACCCTGGTTAAGTGCTTCCTACTCCCCGTGTTTTACGCACAGTTAATGACTTTGACACTGGCTCTGGCTGTCCCTCTAAAACCTTAAGGTCCGATGCCTCTCTTTTTAAAAAGAAACTGCATCTGTCATGTATCAGTTTGTACATTTGATTATATCTGGTGTTTCATCTGTCAGGACATGAAAGCTGGGTACACTCCCTGAGCTGATAAGCCAGTCACAAGGGCTGGGTAATAGGCCCAAACAGGTCAGGGTGGGGCTCTGTTCGCTGCTCTGTGTAAGACACGCTGGTTTCTCAGGGTTGAGAGCAAAACTATGTAAGAAGAGTAAAAGATTTCTTCTTCAAAGTTGGGTACTAAGGCCATCTGGTCCAACAAGCAAAGGAGCCAGAGCTGTGGTCAAGACTGTTTGATCCAGGACCAAGATATTAGCAAGACCAGAGGGTGTTGAGAGCAAAACAAAGTTACAAAACTGCAAGACCCAACCCATGTGGATCCCACTCTGCATGACACTCTTCCAATAAAGTCTGGGGCATGCAAACCACAGAGCCTGCACTATTTGATCTGAAAATTCACCACAGTTATACCCCCCACAAGAAAGAAGACAAGCTCTTCCTTCACATTTAGTTTGATAGTCTGTCTCTTTCTAAAAGTGCAACATGAAGATGATTTGATTCTTACTTAACACTAGAACACTATCGCCGGGTGATTTTCATTATGTTGCTTTTGTCTGAGTATCATGGGACCCTGGGTAGCTTCAGCATTGCCTTTGACATCTTTGAAGGCATATTGGTCCAAAACCTGCTTTTTCCTACAGGCATGTGTTCACAGGGTGATTTTCACCCAGCAATAGTAAAACAGGGTAAAGTAGGTTTGGGTGGATTTGATAGCTACATGTAGGGAATAAGGTCAGTAAGAGTGGTCCTGGAATTTGCATGTTATCTTTATTTAGCACAGTGTTTATGAATGACTATCACAAAGTAGTGATTTTCAAGGGAATTCATATAGTGATGAGAAATATTTTAGTCAGCTGGTCATTTTTACTCTCCTGCAGCTGTTACTGTGCCAAGGACCCTGAGTCTTCACCAAGAAAGACTCACATGCCCCAGGAATGGGTGGAAAAGAAACTAAGTTTCATTCTTCCCTTCTGCAAGAAGACTTTACAACGAACTGTAATAATAACTGGACTCTCACAACCACTTTTTTTCTGGCATTTGAATTGTGTATATTGTAGATAGTTTTGTTTTTTCTTCTCCCTTTTTTTTTCCTTTTTCTAATTTTTTTCTTAATTATTACATTTATTTAAGTTCTTAATATTAGGATCTTTATTTTAATAACTGCATTTTTGCACTCTTTGTCTGTGATGCTGCTGTGACAAAAAAAGTTTCTGTAGTTTTTTTGTAGGAAGTTTTTGTTCATGAATACCTACTTTCAGTTACTTTGTTGCATTTTTATATGGTCCCCTCTTTTTTCCCCTCTCTTTGGACATTGCGCAGTTAAAATTAAAAGAAAACTACTTTAATTTGTCATGTATTGTCCTATTTTGATATATTTTGAAGGCCAATACTTTATCTTGGTTAAATTATTTCAGGTAAAAATCACCCAGTGATAGAGATGGTGTTACTAATTTTAGCGATTAATGAGTGGGTGGATGTTTGTTTCTAAAAGAATCTTGCATCCAGTGTGGGAAAAATTAAGACCAGAGAATTGAGATCTATTGTCAGACTTCATTCATTTATGCATTCAATTCTTTTAATGCAGCCAGCTCAACACACAGCTAAACGCAGCAGCTCTCACCCTGGCGAGGTTACGTCAGTGGAAGATGGTGAATTTCCTTCTAATGGTTAAACATCACAGCTCGTGGTTACACAATGCTTTACACGCGCTCACTTCTATTTTTGGAGGCATGTCTCATCTGAAATTGTGCGTGAAGATGGAGCCTCCCTTTTACCGGGCAGCTCTGGGTGGACTGAGAGACATAAAGATACCCATCAGGAACCACATCGCCTCCTAAAAATACTGCGCTGCTCTAAAGGGAGGAAACGGAGAAGATGGAAGTCAACTATCATGACTATAAAGACAAGAAGGTTTAAAAATGGATGTGTCAGCCTCAACATCTGTCTTTCTTTATCTAATTGTATGATTCATCGAGCGGTGGTCAGCACAAGGAGTTTGAAGTTCGGTAAAATGAAACGTGAGGTAGTAGGATTTAACAGAAAGCAGATTTTTGGTTCTGATTCAGAGTTGCGTGGCCTGCTGACATCATTACTGCTGTTATTTGAGAAAGAAACCAGCCTCGGCCGCAGTTAATGGGAAACAGATTAACCCTGCTGAATGAGCCAAACTGGAGTTTCCTTGAACCAGTTGCTAATTTAACCAGATGCTAATTTACAACGGCAGCTAATGCAGCTACTTCCACTGCATGAAAAAATCAGAGTGGTGTCTATTTTTTGAGCTGCGCAAGAGATAAAAAGGTCAGAGGTGAGAAAACCTGCCTTAACGGCAGCAGTGCAGAGGAAAGAGACTGAGAGGTGCCAGACGAAGGAGAAAACGACAGGATGAAAGAAAAACAAGAGGGAAGAGAACAGTCCAACAAGCTCCCTGGATCAATCAGACGTCTCGAGCTGGTTTAAGCCTTTTAATGTGGGGGTTTCCTCAACGTTCTGCTGACTCAGTAATCCTGCTATTTACTTATTATGTCAACAGCTGAGAAGCAGCAGGAGGGAGGGAGCCTCCAATCAGGATAATTGGATTGACTGAGCAGTAAGTGGGCACAAGAGGGTTAGACCGGCGATGTAAAGCCTACAGGGAGATGGATTTCTCAGACCAAACAGAGAAAAACAGGTCCACACAAGCGTTGGTAAAATATACATCCATCAGTCAAACCTGGCTTCGTATTCTGGATAAATCTGAGTGAAATGCTTGATTCTTACAGGCCCAATCCTTTCACAACAGTTATTAATCCAGAGAGTAAAAGTTAAAGAGATATCGACCTTACAACCATAATCAGACACCTCAACATGGGTTTGGGCAGACTGATGGATTGAGAGGAAAATGCAGAGTCAGATCGAGTTGGAAGAAATGATGTTAGACAGAAAATACGAGATGAAGTTTGACTGGTGTTTCACGGCTCTTGGTATAAAGTAAACTTGGGGATCTTTAAGCTACAGGTTTGAGCATATGGCAGAGGTGACCTGTGGGGGTTGGGCAGTGAGCCGACCCTCGGTATTATCTCTCTGACTGGGTGAATGAACCAATCGTGAAGGTACGAGCAGCTTACATTAATGCAGTATCAATACTGACTGAAATCAAGTGAGTTTCTCACTGGGAGGAAAAACATGATTCAGTGAGGAGGAGGAGGGAATCTGGGGGGGACTAATGGTGAATGTTGGGTGTCGACGTAATGACCATGCTGATGGACGTACCTGTCGTGCAAATGCAAAAGATTTACATTTTAATGGATCTGTTAAGAATTAGCTGCTGATTCTAGATATCGAATATTTTTTAGTTCTCGAAGAAACCTTTTTTCCCCTGATATTTAACCAGCAACCAGACTCGAGGTCTATGCTCTGTCAAACACACAACCTCAGCTCTGAAATGTTCAACTCATAATCCCCTTGGCAGAACAACTTGTTTGAGGTCCAATGCCCTCCTGCCGCTGAAAACACAATGGTTTTCCCAAAGGTCTGGCTCGCCTCCAGTCAGGCAGTATCAGCAGACTGCGGGTCTGAGTATCACAGTAGACTGGTTGGGGTTACAATGGAGGGGGATGGGGCCCTTGGAGGGGTATCAGGGCACAGCTCAGACATATCATGTGGGTGGGGGGACTGAGCGGCTGAAGGAATACTTTAACATTCCTGTGTGACTGATAAACTGCTGATAGTCATCACAGGAGCTGCAGTGTTTGTAGCCTGTTAAAGTTCAGTGTTTCCAGGTTGTTAAATGTCTGCTGCCACATACTAAAACTCTCTTTTTAAATAATAAACACGCTTTTGAAAAATCTCACAAGTCTTTGATGGCAGAACTCGCTGAAATTTCAGCTTTATCCCAAAATCCCACTCTTTGGAGGGGATGGGGGCAGGGTAAATCAGCTTTGGCATCTTGGCTTTGGCTTTGTGGGTGTTCTGAAAAAAATCTTGACGATCACAGGAGATTTCTAAGGTTACATGGACTTCAGCTCAGGGTAGTGACCTCTGTGGAAAACAGAGAGCAAATCAAAGCCTGCTGAACCATGTTGTTTTCATTAAAAAGTATGGTACAACAGGCATAACACAGTTTGTACCACCAAGATTTTCTGTTTGGACCTAACCTGAATCCTGGTCTGACTGCTCTGAAACAAGATCTTCTCTGTGGTTAAAGATTGATATGTTTTTAAAGATTAACGTGTTCAGTTTGATTCTGGTAGAACTCATCTTTTTGTGTTTGGGTTTGTTATTTTGGCCCATAACAACCTCTGAACTGTCTGAAACAGTATACATGCATTTACAGTTACTATACAAAAGGCTTGTTTTTTTTCTTTTTAACCATATCAATTACCAAGATTGTTTTATATCCACTTAAAATGATGATATTTCAGATATGAGGAGCTGTGAGAGATAGTCTACCCTCTGCAAAGAAAGTACGAACTGCATCAAAAATAGCTGTTTAGCTCTGCAAATACATATACACAAGGTTCCTACAAAAGCATGTACGGTATGAAAAAGTATGGAAGTAGTTTGATCAATTTCCAGGTCTTGAATAGCATGAAAAATGAAAAATAAAGTATGGAAAAATATTTTTTACTACAGTTTAAAAATACTGTTTTCTATCATGGAAAAGTAGTATTTTAAAAAATAATTCTAAAAAGTAAGGTTTTGAAAAGCATGTGTGTAGGAACCCTGTATACAGTATTTATGTAGCTCACAAATGTTTATCTTACAAAAATAAAAGTGTTCTGCATCCCTGCTGTGGTTTCAGGTATCTGATCTGAGCCCGGTGTCACTGAGACTGAAACGTCATCAGTCAGTAGTTTCACACCAGGAGGCTCCTCGGCAGGGTAAGAACATCTCAAACAGGTCAGCTACATGAGCCGGAGTATTTGATACCATTATATCGTAAAGTGAGGCGAGGCAGAGAAGGTGAGAGGGGTAATGGTATGAAGCTATGTTGAAGAAATAATGGGATGACCTACTGATGAAAACCCCTGCCTAAGGACACTGACATGAATCCTGTTTGATACCTGTGCGACAGGCCTGACCTCGTACCTGTTATAGTCTGTCTGTCTCAGCAGACTCATGCTGGATCTCGACAGCTATTATCTGCACTTTTTATCTTGTTGACTGTCTGTGATATTCCAACATGATAGAGATTATAGTGTATGAAAAGGAAGAAACCCCTTCAAAGTTTTCAGACTCCAAATGTGGAACAAACCCGTTTTTCTTGAACACCTGTATCTTTTTTTCTCCAGCATTTCTGCATATAAACTAAACAAACAAAAAAACAGGAATTTCAGCCTCACAGCTGTAAGTGGGTCAGGACTCAAGAACAGAGGTTTAACCTCAGTTATGAAAACCCTTGCCTATCCATTCCCACTGAGCAATAGACGCCTAGACATCCCGTTTTTTTAGACCTAATTTCACTCGTTTTTTAGACATTGCACTTTAACCCATTATCCGATAACTATTTATTTCAAAAAGCAAGTTGCATGACTGATCTCCAACTACTTAACCAAAATAATTATGATAGCTGTTGAGCAATATATAGTGTAGTTTAGCACTGCTCTGTTAGCCAGCTAGTCTAAACTTGGTCTAAAAAAACTTTCATTTTCAGACCTGTGGTATCCTGATTTTAGACCAGTTGTCTAGGCAACATTTAGACGTCTATTAAACCTCTTCTAGACCAAAAAATGCTCAGTGAGTTTATACTGATAAACCTGAAGTCCACACCCTCATTTATACATGATCATTTCTTCACCACCTTGACAGCTATTTGTAGGCTTTTGTACCAACTTGCAGGTATGAATCAGACGTCATCATGTTCATCACACACCTTAACGGATGTTTGCTTCTGGCGGGCAGCAGCTGTGCAAAACCTGAAAGTACCACCTAGTGTTTTAAGGCGTGTTCTGACAACTCTGAGAGCATCATTAGTTTTCACCCGTCAGTCAATGTGATACTCCGATCTCAACAGAAGCCAATAACTCTTGCGTACTTAATTTTTTGGCGGTCTTCCCGCTGTAAGTGATTAAAAAAAAGAGACAAGTTTCAAGTGAGTATTGCCAAATCTTTCTCAATAATTTATTCATACATTGACACTTACAAAGCAAAATGTGCACAAGGTAAAAACGCTTTCTTTGAACAAACAACCAACGAAGTAACCATTCAGCCAACCCTAAAGTACACCAAACTGAGACGAGCAAAAAAACGTTGGTGAAGAATGATAAACGATCTACGGCTGGATTCAGCAGCCTCAGCGCGTCCGTCCGTCTGTCTGTTGTGTTGTACAGTCCCAGCAGCAAACCGAGCTGGATCCTGGACTGTTTCTAACCCACAAGAATAAAAATACTCCTCTTTTGGTCACCAAAAGTGTTGTCTTAACATCCTCAAGCCAAAAAAAAAAAACAAGAAGAAAAATTGGCTGAACATCATGCAACATAAAGATTAAGATTCAAGAGTGACATTTAAACTTGGTGAAACGAACAGGTTGTGTGCTGAGGTCGAGCCTGCAGGTTTGTGCTGACTGGACAGTTCACTTAGAAAAGAAATCCTTCAATATTGGAGTGAGTGCATCAGGAAGTGTTCATATTGCACAGGTTTTCTGTCTCTCTCTATCTCTCTCTCTTTGGAGGTTGTTTGTCTCTCAGCTGTGATCCTTTGGGAGATAAGGAAAGAGCAGAGTGCTCAGAAGCAAAGTCATCCCAGTGAAGCATGATGTCTGTCTGGAAGGTGAGGAAAAGTTTCAACATTTGGCTCAAACTTCCAAACTTGAACTTCGGGGATGACACCCCGACTCGGCTAGCTTCCTTCTGGTTTCAAAGTGTCCTGGACTTGGCTGCTGAGAAGCATCTCAGACGAGAAGTGGTTTGAAAAGTCACCTCTGTCCCAAGCACTGCTACGATCCTCCCTCTCATCTCTTCTTTCTGCTTTGTCGGAGCATTTTCTTCCTCTTCAGGATCATCTCGTACAGTTTCTCCAGGCCCAGCTGTAGCCCCTGACCGTCCAGTGCTGAGCAGCCTTGCGTGTGGTGCAGCGTGGATGAACTCAGCTCATGCAGACCAAGCACCTTCTCCACCTGAAAAACAGAGACACAGGGAGGGATATCAGTCACAGCCCGACACTCAGTCTACTGCATCTGTGCTAACTGAGTGGAAACCTCTGGACTAAAAAAATTAGGCTGTGGAGGTGTCAACAACTGCAGATTAACAAATAGAGAACCTTTAGAGGAGTTAAGGAGGAAAGCTGCTTAATCGAATGATTAAGTCGCCAAGTTGGCCACATTACCTACTACTATTGCCTGATTATCGCACCAGGCCCTGAGCAGGTAATCAGGTTTGACTTAAAGCCAGCTTTGGGTACCTGGAAGATCTCTTCACTTGGTTCAAGGGCAAGTCTAGACTTCTAAGAAAGCAGACTCACTATTCTCTTTAGCCGTCTAGCAGTGACTTTGATTGAAACACAAACAAGTGGAGAGCAAAATGATAACCCCTGATCTGATCATGTGATGTATTTGTGCTAAAGTAATCACCTCTGAAGCAGACATGGCTCCGACAAGGTCTTGTTTGTTTGCCAGAACCAGCACCGGCACCCCCTGGTTCTCTGCTGAGCGGGTGATCCGGTTGAGCTCCACCTTTGCCTCCTCCATGCGCTCTGTCTCAGCTGCATCCACCACAAACACTAGTCCATCTGTCCTCCTGGTGTATGACTTCCAGAGGGGCCTCAGTTTGTCCTGACCGCCTACATCCCAAACCTGGAGCATGGTGGCGTTGGTTTTAGAGTTTCCCATAGTCACTTTAATCCGCTCCATGTTGAAACCTTTGGTAGGGATGGTCTCGACAAACTCCTGCAGCTTGAGTCTGTAAAGGAGGGATGTTTTCCCAGCAGAGTCCAAACCGATCACCACAATGTGTAATGACTGGAAGTTAGGGAGGAAGGGGGTGTTGGGGGCGATTTCTGTTAATTGATTTCCCATGTTGAGGTCCTTAAACGTGGAATAATCCTTCCAAAGACTCGCAGGACTAAACACTTTCCTTCAGCAAGTCATTCTTTGAACCTTGGATATTGTTTGCTTCCTGGGTCCTTTTCTCACGTTCCTGTCTAGAGACGCTTTGAGGTTTGCAGGAAGGACAGTGTGTTTGGCTGGTGAACAATTCACACTCCTGGCCTCACTTCAAAGGTTGGTGCATGAGGACATGGGGCTGCAGTCACCGGAGACCTGACAGAAAAAAAGAGAGAGAGAAGGGGGGAGGGAATACATGAGTCAGCTTTTCTTGCAAGGGCAGTGTGCTGTAAGTAATTAGACTAAGATCAGAGCTGCTCCACTGCTCTTTGTGCAGAGGGCTACACTTTTTCTCCATTTTATGACAGTAATGTTGGTTTACATGGCATGCAGAGAAGTCTTTTTTTATTGCCTGTGAGTAAAAGGTTGAACACGTGCATATGCTTTCAATTCACCCTAGTGCACGTGCCTCTGGTACCCCTTATACAGGGGGGATGTATCTGCGAGAAAACCATCTTGTAGGGCGATACTGAGGAGTATCTGTTTCTGATTTCTGTTGCTCTATCTTATCGTTACTTTAAGTATCAGTATACTTGTTATTATTTTATTATCATTATGGATATTGTCTTTTATTTTTACTATCCTGTTTCCAGCTTTCAACCCCCCTTTTAATTGCATTTTCTTTTTCTTACCTATTTTATATTTTTATTCTGCTCCTCACGGTCTCATGTTATGTTGCATGGTTCTTGTATTGAAAATGGCCTTTAATTCAGTTTTAACTGAGCTCTATTTTTATCTGTCTTTTTTCCATGTGATCTATGACTACATTTCAAAGCACTTTGTAAATGTCTGTTTTTAAAGGTGCCATGAAAATAAAGTTATTATCATTATTATTATCTGGCAAAACAAAATGCATCAGTGGGCCTTCTATCTAAATTATTGCAATACATTTACTGGTCTTAACTCATTTTATAAAGAATTTAGGTAAAATCTGGGTTTTACGATGTTCCATTTTCTGTACAATGCAAACAGCATGATCTGCACCATTATGCATGTTTTTTTTTAATTAACGTTGGCTACTTTAAAAAAAAATTATATTTCTTTTTCTTACCTATTTTATGTTTTTATTTTGGTCCTCATGGTCTCATTTTGTGTTGTAGGGTTCTTGTACTGTCTGGGTTTCTTATGATAAAAGAAACTGACCTTGTTTTTAACTGAGATTTTGTTTTTATTCCCATGTGCAGATGCATTACAACTTCTGTTTTTAAAAGTGCTATATAACTAAAGTTATTATTATTAATACTTAAAAGTGAAGAAAAAAATAGCAAAAAAATAAAGAAACAAAAGATAAACCAGATCATGCTGCAGAGATTATGATAGACTTGCACTCATGGAGCTTGAAAAGTGTTTAATTGATAATATATCGATCTAATATTTCTATTATAGATTGAAACACAGCTAAGGTGTGAAAACCAGGCTATATGGCAGCAGTTGTAAACAGCCTTTAATGCTCTTTTCTACCACCAGCTTCCACTCTATACGATGCGTTTGCAAAGCAGAGGGTATTGTCAGCAGCTGACGCCTGGTGTTTTCTGATTCTAGCTGTATCCTGCAGTTCACGGCACCAGAAAACTGGGATTATAAAAGGAGTTTCCAGCAGCAGAGAAATGCAGACAAACACTCGAGGTTCAGATAGTAATCCGGTTAAAAACAAAGCCTCCAACACGAGAAACAACAGCCAAGAGCGCACGGTGGAAAATGTACAATAAAGCTCAATTTAGCTAAAAACATACGGTCATATTAAAGTAGGAAAGTCAATATTGAGTAGAAATTGAAATAAAAGTGTGTCGTGTTATCTTTAAATGACATGCAGAGCGGCGGAACCTTCAAAAGATTGTCCTCAAGCGTTTAAGTGAACAAACACACCATTAGTTTCTGATGTTTTTTTAGTTAAAGTGTTCATGTTTCTCACCTTATATCAGCTTCGACCACCCTCGGCTTGGAAAGAGTGTTTTCAGGGGAAAGAATATGGGTAATATCCGAGGTTAACGAAGAGTAATCCCGGTGAATTAGTTCTCAAATGTACCGCGTTAAGCTCCGGGCTCTCCGTGTGTCTGACGAACAGTGAAGGAGTGAAGGAGAGAGAGCACGAGAAAAGGACTCCCAACCCCCCGCTGATGATGCAACGAGAGTGGGCGGAGCTTAGAGAGAATATTATAATGATATCGATTTATTGATTTGATATGGACTTGATGATAATGATGATGATGATGCGAGAAACAAATAAATTTATGATCTTATTTAGAAAAATATAGGCTTTATTATAGGTCTGTGCTTGCAGTGTTTGCTCATGTGTTGTGTAGCCTCCTTTTTGATACAAATAAAATTTCTATTCAAACAAACAATCAAAACAAAGGGGACAGTAACACTTTCTCATTAAGCCTAAAACACAATCACTAAAATTAGTAACACCGTCACTTAAGCTGGGTGATTTTTACCCGAAATAATATACTCAAGAAGAAGTACTTGTCATCAAAACATAACAAAATAGAACAATACATGACAAATTAAAGTAGTTTTCTTTTATTTTTAACTGTCCATAGGGAGGGGGAAAAAAGTGCCATGAGGGGACCATATAAAATTGAAACAAAATAACTGAAATTAGGCATTCATGAACAAACAAATTCATATATATGTATATATATATATATATATATAAATATAAACTGTAAACTTAGTTACTTTTCCACCTATTCCTGGAGCATGTGAGTCTTCCCTGTTGAAGACTCAGGGTCTTTGGCACAATAACAACTGCAGGAGAGGAACCAAAATATGACATATTTTGATTGAGTAAAAATGACCAGCTGACTAAAATATTTACTATCACCATATGAATTCCTTTGAAAATCACTATTTTGTGAAAGTTATTCATAACCACTGCGTTAAAAAAAGATGGCATGCAAATTCCAGGATCACTCATACTGACCTTATTCACCTACATGCAGCTATCAAATCCACCCAATCCTTCTTTACCCTCTATCACTATTGCCCGTTGAAAATCACCCGAACATGTGCCTGTAGGGAAAAGCAGGTTTTGGATCAAAGATGTCAAAGGCAATGCTGAAGCTACCCAGGGACCCATGATACTCAGACAAACGCAACATCATGAAAATCACGTAAATGTGTTTGGTCAGGTGAAAATCACCGGGCGATAGTGTTCTAGGGTTAAACTAAAATGTATAATGTGTTGAGTAAAATGATCATTTCAGTAATGTTGAAATCACTTTTAGAAGAAAGGCGTTACATTACAATGACCTTTTCTAATGCAAATGAGCACATTTTTAGGATGAAGACTCAACACAAACAAACACATAAATCTATGGTACAAATATCAGACCATAGAGAAGAATTTAAAGATTTCAGTGATGAGCTCAGTTTAGGATACTAAATGTTCTTGTTTCTGTTTGTATCCTTTATTGCGAAAGTCCAAAATAATGCAATGAATAAAATGTTACAACACTGTCAAATATCACACATCAAGTTCCAGGTAAATATGGGCCTGTGTTTGTTTGTGTTTACTTGTGTGCATGAGTTTGTGTAACCTGATGAAGTGTACGGTGAAACCGAAGAAGGAATCAATTTTCTCCCCGTAGCATCAAATAGATAACAGATAACAAACGGAAATTTGATTTAGGATACTAAATGTTCTTGTTTCTGTTTGTACTTCCTGCCAATCTCTATTGCGAAAGTCCGAATTAATGCAATGAATAAAATATTACAACACTGTCAAACATCACACATCAAGTTCCAGGTAAATTCGGGCCTGTGTGTGTGCTTGTGTAACCTGATGATAACCATTGTGAAACCAGAGAAGGAATCAATTTCCTCCCCGTAGCATCCAATAGATTCCAGATAACTAACGGAAATTTGATCTCAGTTATCAATTGATTTCCATTAAATGAGAGTACAAACATGTCCACTCATGGTCCTACCTCTAGAGAGTTTGAACTTATCATTGTCACAGGAGACCTCTCTTTACCTCCCCACATTTCTTTATCTCTGTGCAGCTACATGTGCCAGATGATTTGCTTTGGGGGTATTTCAGAAGAGGTGTTCCAGTTTTTTCTCTTTGTCAGTGTGAAGAAAAGACAAATGATGCCTAAAAGGGTCTTGCTTTAAAAAGAGTGAAATGTATGCTCTGCCTTTACTTTCAAATAACACAGCAAAACTAAATTAACATATATGAAATATCAAGCCCTATGTGATTCACCTCATCTCAGGATCACATACAGTGGGAGACGAGGTGTTAATGTTGCTGTTCTCACTGCTCTGGGTTCCAGTGGGCTTCTTGTGTAAAAGGGCATGTCCAGACAATGTCAGGACCTTGTTGTCCTGTAAATACCTGGAATGAATGATCAACAGAGTGTGCCTTATAAGAAAGGGTCAATTTTATGTAATGCACTTTATCTTTCTGTCTCTAAAGAAACAAGTACATTTGATAATCATGCTAAAAAAGTGACACAGTTTCTCACCAGAGTTAGACAGATTAAAAATAGCTTCAAACGCCATCTGAAAACGTTCACCTCAACCACAGCAGCTCTGAGCGCTGGAAGGTCAGCATGGGTCAGCGTGAACTATCAGTGACATAATGGGTCTGGTTTATGGATTTGCATGGTAATGATCTACGTAGTTCCCCATTGTTATGCAATAGTGATAGCGATGTAGGTCTGCAAATGAGTGCGTGTGATACAAGTGACGACCTGCTGAATGTTGGATCAGATGAGAGGAAACATTGATGTGACCGACTCTGCTGTGGAAATCCAGACATTATGAATCAGGACATTTAAAGGTCTTGATTTGAATAAAGGATACTGTCCAACATTAGTGAGCTGTCAGCATCATGGAAGCTCAGTCATGTTTGTCCAAGATACACATTTCCAAGGGTGGAAAGAGTACTAAAATACTGGACTAGAGTAAAAGTACATTTACTTTCATTTTCTTTCAAAGAAGAAACACTAACAACTTGAATAAGGACTTAAAGCTACCATGAGATATTTTTATTTGATGAAACTTACTGAAAATTCATATTATTATTCAAAAGCGAACAAGACCATTAGTGACAAGACTAACTATTTGTATACGAACACTTTTACCACCAGAAAACAGTATGAGAGGGTAGGTGTAAGCCAAGCAGCGGAAGAAACAGCCCTATTTTACAATATCTATATAAAATATTTACATTGAATGATACAGTTGACTGAAAAAAGTCAGAAAAATGAACATTTTTTAAACAAATGACACTATCTTAGCATGTACAAGATAGAACCACAGGGGGCGCTAATGTTGACACAAACCAAAAGTTCCACACAGGAGCTTTAAGTAAGAAAAAAAAAGACATTTAACATTCATTTAAACTACTAGGTTCTTATTTTTAACTTATGATGAGGGAGATGTAGGGAGTGAGATATGCCACCCAAATAATAAAAAGTCATATTTTCCCCAGCTAATTGTTATGATGTAAACAATAACAATAGAAGTGTGTGAAGAGATTTTATCCAGGTTGAGGCTGTTGGATTTTTTTTGCATCATCTTTTCTCAATAATGCACTTTGTAGATGATCCCTGCACACTTTAGTCATGACTGGCTGTGCAGAGAGACTTATCAAAAGAAGACTTTATGAGATGTAGTGAGATGTACTTATTTCAAGAGACTTATAAGATACTTTCAGGTGTGTTTTTGTCTTTGCATGTAATAGAAACTGATGTTTGGCTGCTCCATGGTTTTGCAACATAAGAAACTACTTTTTTCTTTGCACTGTGTACCAGCACCCTCTGCTGTACACACAGCTGCTCTGTTTCAACAGCTGAATTAAAGAGTTTGAATAACTTTCACAATTTGCAGTTACATCCACTCATTAGCCCTTTCAATGCAATTCCTAAATAAAATATCTGTATCTATTAAATATGAATAGCTTCTTATTTGCATATTTTCTTTTTTGTCAAAGGTTATTATGTTCAAATATGGATACATAAAATAACCAAGAAAACAATAAGACAAAAAATCAGCTAAAAGGACACACACATATATAGTGCGTGTTAATGAGCTGCAGCAGGAGGTGCACGGTGATTTATCCACTCCACCTCTCTGCGTCTCTCTTTCTAAATACTTCCCAGGAGAGTATTGTGTTGCCTGGAAACTTGGATTAACAAGGTCAGAAACAGGAGAGAGGTAAAGAGAGACCTCAGCCTTCACCGACAGTCCTCCACTGAGGCTGCTGCTGCTGCTGTTTTCTCTCCAGAGCACAGGCCAGGTGAGTGAATACTTATCTACATGCTCTCATTTTGGCTGCTGTGAATGCAGAACATACCCCTCTGTTTTTCTCTATTCTGTTTATATAGCAAATGTTATGTGAGGCATCTGAATACAGAATACATGACATGTCAAGAAAATACTAGGAGATCCTCTAATCTTATAAATAGTTTGCAAAAACAAACAGTTTTGGTTTTGGTTTACATTTCTTAAGATACTGAGGCACATTTTTCATTTATTTGGTCAATTTTAAAATGTGAATAAGATATAAAAAAGTCTATTATTGTGATTCCACACAAGGTTAGAAATAAAATTCATAATAAGGCATTTCCCGGTGAGTTAATGTCTTGATTATCAGGGTAATGAGCTAAATGTAAACTTGCACAGTTTACTTTTTTAATGCTTTACAGAATCAAATAATCAAAGCCTCGGGAGCGAACGGGTCACATTAGCTGTGAGTGAATGGTATGTACTGTGTGCCAGGTAAGCAGAGTGCAGGGTAACACAGGAAAGAGATCAGTAATCAGAGGAGCTGCTGGCAGTGCTTGGAAGTTAGAGCGGATCAGGTGACTCTATTGTCAGATCAAATAGATGTAATGGAGTGAGAGGAAGAAAGCTGGTGCATGTATAAAAACTCTGCTGTGGTCCAGACTAAAGGTCTTGAGTTTGAGTTGAGTTTGGGTATGAAATAATAACCTTACACTTGTATTCTGTCTCCTCTAGCTGGTGTGTAAGGATGTCAGCCATGCACTGGGAGGCCAGACGACGTCAAAGCTCTCTGGATAACAGGATGGCCAGGCTGAAACTGCAGGTATAATACGCTGCACTAGTACAAAGACAGACTGTGCTGATGGTTGAGCAGTCTGTGTGATCTACTTGATAACTGGACAACAATAGGGCTGATTGAAAACTGAGCGGGGACATGTAACACCTCAGCGTGAGGCCAACTCGCTTCCTGTGGGAGTGTCAGTTTGTATCCTGCTGCTTATTTTTAGGATGCAGTCAGATACTAAAATCTTTGTTTTTTTGTTCTACTTTGATAGTACCGAACTTTTTCAGTTTATTCACTTTTAATTCAAATAAACAATTAAGGGGGAAAAAAAGCCTTTTTAAAGGGACTATAAGGTGTTTTTAACTGGAAGAGAAACAGATTGAAATTGATAACGATGCCTCTTTATGACTTTCAAAAGTACATGAGACCATCAGCAACAAAGCAAATAATGTTCTATTGTGAGCCAGCTCATAGTTTGAGAAAGGACACTGCTCAGTAGGTCAACTGTCCACCGTAAAGGTTTCGATCTTTTGAGCTGAAATTTAAGAGCTTGTGGTGTCATGTTGACCAGTGACCGTTCTCTTTACAGCAGCAGCAGCAGAAGGACTCTGAGACCAGCAGCTCTGAACCTGCTACAAATACAACACAAGAGCAAACAGGTATTTCTTAAATGGAGGGTAATCGGGTTGAATTACCATCATCTATCATATACAATTTAAATAGTACTTCCTCAATAGTGGCCGAAGTTTGGGATACCCATGACCCGGTAAATAAACTAGCTATGCATGAATTCTGGCTTCCCTCGATTGCTGACTCCTATCAAATGCACATAATGCACTTGCTATGAAAGCATATTGAAAATAAATTGAACTGTCCCTTTTTTAAGTTGGAGCACAGTGTCCTCACTGCAGCGGGGACCTGAAAACGCCTCTCCATCAAAGTGCCAAGATCCCCAACAGATACTCGGTGAGTGTCAGCGCCTTTCTGATCCCGAGTTTAGATCATATTTTTAAGGCTGTAGAGCTGATTTGGAGGAGGAAACTGCTTGTTGTTTATCTTACAGTCTTCACAGTACAGCCAGCAGTGGTGAGGGCCTGTTGCTTCCCTTTGGTCACCTCCGGGATGGCTGATCACAGCGTGGAAGCTCAGAACGGACTGGAGGCTTCATCTGGTTTTGCAGAAAATGCACAAGTTTTAAACTTTAAGCTTTGGAGTAGTTTGAGCCCAGAGCTCAAGTTAGCGTCTGGAAAATGTGTCTTTTTTTTTCTCAGTTTTTAACACATTGAAAAGTATGAAGAACGTGCACATACACTGTAATAAGGAGAAACATACTAGAAACCAACATTTCAAACTGGTTGGTATTTCTTTAAAATGACCTATACTGTGTTGCTGTTTGTTTTGTTCCTTGGTGTCTGTTTTCTTCAATTTGGTTGATGGTTTTTCATAAAGTTCCTTGTGTGTTTTGTTCTTAGCTATTTCTGCTGTTTCCAACTTTGTCCTCTTTTTTTCTGCTGCTGATTGGCCAGTTTTTGAGATTTCCCTGTAAATGTAGTAGAATTAAAAATATCCTCCATGTTATTTAATGATGCTGTAGGAAATAAACAGTACTTTAGATATACTAGGCTGGGAAATATGTCGTGTGTCTTAGTGTTAAAAATAAAAAAAGAAAAGGATGGCAACTATTAAAGGAGGTGGTGCGAGAACAAATGGAAAGATAACCTATAAAGCTTTTTGTCAGTTTGTTTGTTTTTGGTACTGAGCGAGATCGTAAATGATACCCAGAGGTAAATGATGAAGATATGCATGTGCTGATGAACTGATGAAGGATCTTGATGTAAAGGGAATTTATAACCTATGATTGCTGTTGTCTTTGATATACTGTTTTTGTCTTGTTCTTTTTTTGTTTTGTTTTGTTTGTTTGAGTTTTTTTAATGGTTTTTGTTGTTTTTTTATTTTATTTTTTATTTTTCCTTCTTTCTTAAATTTTCTAAAATTTAGGTTTTCTGATTTATTCATTTACACTTGTGTATATATATATAAAAAAAAAAAAGGCGATTATTTTAATGGCTGTTGAATTGTTATTGTAAAAGTGGATGTGAGCAAATAAAAAAGTAATTTTTAAAAAATTAAAAAGAGCCACTAATCTGTCCTTGGTGTAATAACTTTAATCAGATACAGATTGATTTGTACATCATAACCATGTTCATAAAGTGCAACACAGAAAAAAGCTCAAACAATCCAGCGTTACTCCTCCTCCTCTTCCTCCTTAAACACTTCACTTATATTCATACACTAAATAAAAATCTTCACCTGACAAGAGTTGGTTCTAAACTTAACGACATACACGACAATATGTGAAACTTTTCACCTCCGTCACAGGTGCACATTTCAGGCAAGCTCCACTTCAGCTGAGCGGAGCGTGATGGTTTTTGAAGGGACCGCGGTGAAGTTCAGGTAAGTGAGGGTGAAGCAAAATGAAACCTGGGAATGCGTAATATGAAGATAAAGTGGAGGATACCAGCTTTTTCCTTCAGATCTGTGTATGTGTGGCAGGAGATTACTTCAAACACACATCTAAAGCTCCACCAGCTGAGCTAGATCTGATTATTTACTTGAAATTGTAGTTGGATCTTGGACAAAATAAAAGAATAAATAACTGAGAGATCATTAAAAGATTTTTGGACCACTGTCAAAGTATAAGAAGGTTAATGTTAATCATATAAGAGCTCTTTTTTAAATAAAGTGTTTCTGTATCTACCCACCAATCCTTCGGTAGTCATTGGTAAACAAAAGGACAATCTCAGATCAATCCGGCCACATTTTTCACAAAGAAAAAAACAAAAAAACACACACTAACACACGTACGTACGGCAGTGCAAATTCAATCACCACACAATAAGCCTAAAAATACAAGAGCTCATCTCTTAATACAGCTTTAAAGTTTTACATTTCCAGACGACTCAAGCATCCAAAACAAAAACACCTGAAACAATCTCAACTTAAGGTTACTCAGTTTCGTTGATAGTCTTAGCTTTCGACTAAGAGTTCCTGTCTCTATTTATACTGTGGAGGAAAAAGAAAAAAACAAACATTTTCACACAGTTACACACACTGTTGTTGTGATTTAAGTTTGGAGTGACCTTTCTGTCACTGCACATACTCTACCAACTCAAGTCCACATGCTTTAGGAGTTATCAGCCCGACCTGATCGCTTTGAGGACACATGAAAGACGAGTCAAATGACTGACGTATCAAATCATCAAATACACGCCCTCACTTCACTACATACCGTCACTTAGGCAGCCTGTTGTCTTCAGGAATGTAAAACACGAGTACGGTGATAAGAGGGTTTCCTCAAGTCAAGGTCATGATGATTAAGATGTTCCCTCAGATGTACGAGACACCTGGATGGTGATCTCCATTAACATCAGGTGTGTGTTATTTCGATTTCTGCTATTGGGGGGTGTTCCCAAAGATTCTGTGACAGTTTAGGACTCGACATGAAAAATGCAAAGGCAGTCAGCCCTCAAGTTTCCATTTTGACTTCATACAAAACATGTATTGGAGCATCTAAGGCCACTTTCACACTTAAACTTGATCATTCCTTTCCCTTATGAGGAAACTAACTGACCCAAGTATCATCCATGTCCCTTAAGATCACCATCTGGACAAGCTAAATGTGGCTTTTCGACATCTTTCACACAGAAGACCAATAATACTACAAATAACTGTGTCGGAGGGGAACTGGGAGCTCTGTCCATCCAGGTCGACTCGTACAGATCCGAGGTTACGATAGAAATAAAGTCTAGAAAGAGGTTTCGGGAATCAAAAGAACACGGTGAAAGACAGTCGTCGTGTTTTTCGGTTGAATTAATGGTCCCTGTGTCCTGTAAGATTTAGAGTTCTGTTCTCAGTAGTCATACACTCATATTTATACAGTAGTTTCTGTGTGTGTAAACTTAGTTTGTGTTTCAGTGATATGGACTATCATGATAAAAGAAACACTGTTATATAAAATGTAGACACAGACGCTGACTTCTTACCCAGCTCTTAAGTTAACAGTATACTTGGTTTTAACAAACACGGGTAGTTTGAAGCGTTGTGCTTACTCGTTTATGTATGTCACAGCTTATTCTACTCTTGAAACAATGCCCCTCGATTCTGTACGATACGACGGCGCTCTTACACTGCATCACCTGCTACATCCAGGAATGTTCTTTAGTCATTTTTTCTGCAAACACAAGACTCTTTGAGAGCAACAACCTCAGAGGAACACATTGTTAAAGCCAAGTACACCAGAGAGTCTGAGCCGTTTGGTCCGTAGCATATCTGCACCTTACTTTCAGAGTGGCTCTCTCATTCTTACATGTAACACACACTCTGACTGAGCGGCCGTGTTACAAAGTGAACTGTTATGTGGATTTTGAAGTGTCGAGTCTAAGTGCAGAAGTGGGAATATGACTGTTCTGGGCAAAAGCAGTAGTAGAAGCGTGGAGCATTTCCGTGAATCTGACGTTTCCTATAAATATGAAACACAAATTTACATTATGATGGATTTGAAACTTAGCATTACGTGCATACTCATCTTTGTTACTTTGACATAGATATTTGCTCTAACAGATGGATTTGATCAGCTTCTTTTCTTCTCAGGGGAGCTTGTTGGATATATGACTCTTCATTCGGGGTAATGCTAAATGATACACACACAGTTCACACTATCTTCTCCTCTCTTTTACGTCCTACTCAAGGCAGCTGTCCTGCCACTATCAAGGCCTAAACTGAAAGTAATACTACAGATAGTGGGTGTCTGACGGTCCGGCGCAGCAGGCCGGACAGTTTGAAAGAAAGTTTGCAGGAATGTCTTTAAATATGATTACACAGAAGAAGTGGAAAAGGCAGATGAGCAGAAAGGCTTTTCTGTCTTCTGATGTTTCAGCCTCTTCTTTCTTCATCTGTAAAGTCTAGTCTTTCATTTCCTTTTCTCTCTCTTTCTCTCTTTCTTTTTTTCGCGTCTCGTCCTGTGTTTCGTGTCAGTAGCGTGTAGAGTACCAGTCATTGTCGGTCATCTGAACCAGCTCGTTGACAACATCCAGAAGGTTGTAGTTATATTTGTTTAGCAGTCGCTGGTTCAGCGGCCGATCCCCGAATCCCATCTCCACCAGCACGGCCATCATGGTTTCCTGTGTGGAAGCATCTACTGGAGGCTGCAGAGGACCAAGATCTCATTAGTCTCTATAACTGAAATCATATTTACAGTTAAAGTGGGAGGCCTGGTTTTGTGTGTAACCAACAGAATTAAGATGCTGGTCCGAATTTACTCTCTGATAACCAAATATATAAAAGTATAAGAGGTAAAGTGAAGGAAATTTAGTTTTAAGATGAGATCTTCAACTAGAATATGGAAGTAAATCTGTGCCATCTGGTTTTGAATTTGAATTTCTAAAGCTGAATTTTTTTTGCATCAAAATCAGACTTTGAATTTCAAAACTATTGAACTTCAAGCACACATTTTTATTTTTGACACACATTTTTTTCACAATGATGAAATAAATTCAGTGTAAAAAAAAAAAGGTCTCTCAAAAATATTATTTTTTACTCTGAATTTTTTGACACTGAATTATTTGACAATTAAATTTTTTTAATCTTTAATTTTTTTTACACAGTTTTTTTCAGTTGATGTTTGTTCACCAAACAAATATTTTAAGAAACTATTTTTTTTTTACACCAAATTTATTCCATCATTGTGAAAAAAATTAATGTCAGAAAAAAAAAGCATCTGTAATTCGATGGCTTTGAAATTCGAAGTCTGATGTTGATTCAAAAAAATTTTAGCTTTAGAGATTCAAAAATCAGATGGCACAGATTTACTTCCATACTAGAACATCTATTGTGCAGCACTTCAAAACACAAGATCCTTGATTTATCACTGAAAGAGGACCATGAACTTCATAAAACAAATAAATGCCTCAGGTAGGAGAAACTTGCTCACCTGTGTGGGGCCTTGACCTGTGAACAGGGCTTTGTAGGCAGAAGCAGCTACGGACAAAGCTCCTTTCACCAAACCGCTGGTGATGCCTGGATGTCTGTGGAGACACCAAAGAGGTTATATTCAAAATTTGACTACCTGGCTTTATCGCCATATCAGACATTTAAAAAAAGCCTTTAATCTTAGAAGTTCGTCAAAATGATTTTTTATGGACTTTTCAACTGAAGGATGGGATGAAACTTCCTGCGTTGACTTTATACCAAAATGGGACTGTAACAGTTTGGTTTATGATAATCTAGAGTCTTTTGATGATTGGTACAGAATAACAACAGAAATGATATCCCAGAGTGAAACAGATAGATAGAGGGAGGACAGTTTGGTCAGATAAGGGTGTTTTAGTCAGCAGGTGGAACAGAGGTCAGCAGGTATCACCGAGATTATATAACAGATGACGTGTAAGATCAAGATCAAGAGATTTGTCATATGCAGGTTAAACATAGTCAACAATGCAATGAAATGCTCTGGAGGAGAAGAACCGCTCGACCCAAAGAAGTACAAATAACACCCAATAAAGTACTTAGAAGAATATAATAGAATAAAAATACAAAAATGTAAAAAGTATAAAAGAAATATTTACAAAATGCACAAGCAATGCAGTAGCTGCTGTCAGAGTGTAAACGTAAACGATGGGGGATAAGTCAATGGGACAAATGAGGTATAATTGCCATGTTGCACATGATAAATGAGAGAGGAATTAAAGAGTAATCACCTTGGATCTTCAGGATTGTCCTCCTCTGTACCTTCAGCAGCTTCGGGATCATCTGACGTAGGTTTTTTAGAATTAGAATCTGTGGGGCAGCAAAATATCGCACAACCATCAACCTGGTTAGAGATCGACCCACTTCCATGAACATATCAGAGTTTTGAAATCGATCTTCTTTTGTTGTTTTGCTCACCATCCTCTGTTTGGTACAGATCTGAGCCCTCTGCTCCCTCTGTGGCAGCTGTAGGGTCCACATCTCCTTCTCCACTGCTCTCCGGGCTGAAAAAACGGGACACATTTAAGCATTAACAACCAGCTCAATACCACTCATACACCTCTAAAACCCTACAACATAAAACAGAGAAATGAAAACTAACTACTGTCATTTTTAGGCAAATAAGCAAAAACTGACAGTTCGGAAAAAGGATCAAACTTTAACAGTTAGGTTTAAAGACGATAAAATAATGTAGACATGTTGAACTAACGCCACTGTGTTTACACCACCTCCATACTAACCTAGGGGTGATGACGTTTTTTGGCAGGGCCACCACTTCAGGTGTCAGCGGCTCATCGTCCAGCGTCTGAGATGTGCAAAGCATGTCATTGGCACTACTGGCGCCCGACATCCCCGTCTCTAGGGCCGCTGCAGCGTCATCTTCTCCCGGCTCTCCCTCTGTGATGGAACCGGTCGGCTGGTCAGGAGACGGAGTTTCTGGATCTGTGGGGGTTTTGGCCGGGATGTCGCCCGGCTGGGAGAGAGCTGAGCTGCAATTGCAAAAAGAAAGGATCTTATTTTTGGAGACTTAAGAATTCGGATTTTAAGAAGTCGTGCATTGCTTTGCAAGAAATGCTTTGTAGTTTGATTGTTGTCCTTCCCCTCACAGAGCTTTCCTGCAAAGCCACAAAGCGCACTGTCAATTTTTGAGAAAATTTGAGAATTTTAAGTGCGCCCTATAGTCTGAAAAATACGGTAAGATGACACAAAGAGTGTACAAAAAGTGAGAGCAACAGCACTTCGTTAAGCTAAATGAAACTTTTATATGTAGCTTTATTGCTACACGCTCATAACTGATCACTGACCGCTGCTGTTGGTACCTTACGACCACGTCACCCACCTGTACATGGACTCCCCCAGCGGGCGACTTGTGTCAAAACAGTCGGGGAGGATGATGATGTAATCCTCTGAGGAGGTGGAGGAGGAGCGACTCCTGATGCCCTCTCTCTTCCCCTCCTCCTCCTCTTCTTTCTCCTTCCCCTCTCCCGGCTCTTTCTCCCTCTCCTTCTGCCTGGACACCACACAGATGCTCTTCATGTGGGGAACCTCAGCAGTATCTGTGGGAACCAAAAAAAAAAACCCTGAATAATTTTAAAAGTCAGCTTTGGACAGAACCAGATTAGTTCCTCTACCCTGATTCACCCTCCTGTAACTGAGTAGATTTCATTCATCGGTCACCTGTTTCCTCCTGCTCCTGCAGTGTTGAAGCTCTGGGTGAACCATGGAGTGGGGTGGGCGCCGAGCTGGGGCCGGGTCCCAGGATTTGGGCTGCAGACAGGGCAGTGGGCAGAGAGGCTTTCAACGGGGGAGGGAGGGAAGCTTTCAGAGTAGCCGGTGGTTTCTGAGGGGTTTTGGGGCTGCTGGGGCTGCTGTCTGGACTCTCCTCTGTTTTCACTAATTTACTCTTCACACAGGGGGAGGAGGAAGAAGAGGAGGAGGAGGAAGAGGAGGAGGAGCCCCCCTGAGCGGCTGGACGCACCACTACAAGCAAAAAGGAAGTCGAGCACTTTAAATCAAAACCAAACGCAGGTACGAAAACAACATTTTCAGCCATGATCGACTTTATGAGTGGGACAAAAACGTTTCAGCAATAACGTGATAATTTCACATGAGATGACAGTTTTAATTCAGTCTGATGCCACAGTGTGAAACAGAGAGAAAGACACTGATTGAGTTTTGATACCAGGCCTCAAACACCTGTTTTCAGATTGTTCACTCAGGTGGAGGATGGGAATTTGGTGGACATCTTGCAGAAATAGTTCCTATTACCTGTTTCATCTCTGTAATCCCAGTCCAGGGGGATTTACAAAAGAGGTTGCCAACAGAGAAGAGGTTTCTCAAAAGCTTGACCATAAGTGCCTCTTTTACCCGGACATGTCCTCTTTTTTCGGAGCTGTCCAGCATGTCTGGGGGAGTTACTAAAATCCTTCAACTGTCCGGGGTTTTGTATGGAAATTTTGAGTTTGTGTTGCATGGACTTATTATATTAGAAACGCATAAAAAAAACACTTGACCCGACTCGAAAAACTCTCAAAGTTAACTACACACGATTCCACCTCTACGTAGTCATGTCCTCTTTCTGGGGATTAAGAATATGGTCACCCTAGAGTAAACCAACAGTCCAATATCTAATGTAAAAGGGACTGACCTTTGCCCGTCCCCGAACGAGACCCTCTCATGGGAGCGTGGTCAGGAGCTTCCTCCAAAGTCATGGAGCGGATCACAGTCTCGCAAACAAACTGAGTTCCGCTGATGTCGTCCTCCCCCTCCTCCTGAGCTGGGACTCCGTCTCCTTCTGCTCCAGCTCCTGCTCCATGAGGGACGTCTGAGGACAAGGGAACAAGGAGATACATATGATAACCAAGGATGTACAACTCAAACAAGGACACAGCTCATGCTTCATCAGTGGGCCGTATAAAGGGGAGTAAACCAAGAGGCTGATCAGTAGATTGGTTCTGCTGTGGTTTTAGTACAAGTAAAGCTCAAGCTAAAAAAAAAAAAACTTTACTCATGATGCTATTGATAGCTTCAGTCTCTTCCTGGATAAGACCCAAGGAGGGACTGCTCTTGTCCTGCAAATGGCCATCTTGAGGCAGAGGGGACATGCACGGAGTCATGTCTGAAAGGACAAAAGACAAGAGACCCGTTTCTTTTTACCGCTTATGTGTTTAAAGTTACCAGCATCTTAAAGTGGTACACATTCGCAGATAAATAATTTGAGTAGGAGTTAAGGTCTCAGTAGAGTCTCGATTCTGTTTCATAATTTGCTTAAAGGCTGAAACTGAAAGTGATGCCTCTTCAAAAACAAGCAGGACCATCAGCAACAAGGATGAACATTTCTGTGGTCATTTTCAACACCTGAAACCACCACGGAGAGACGGTACCATAGAAAATGACCGACAGCAGGCTGAAGAAAAAGCCTTTTTTTATATAGTGAGCACATCCGAGCACAAGTGCAACACAAGCAAAGATCTTGTGCTGTCTCAGGTCAGCTCTACATGTTCCTGATTAAAACAGTCATGAATAGAAATGCTTCTTACCAGCAGGTGTGTTGTTTGGGACACTCTCCAATTCTTGCACAATGTTGATGTCCAACAGCTCGAAGGACAGAAGATCCTGAGAGATCAACAACAACATACAATCAGATAAAACAGCTTCACATCATGAAGAGTGTGAAAGACAGTGTTGTAGGAGTTGGGCTCATTCTCTGCGTTATTTCTTAGGATTATCGGCCTCTGATGTCTTTGAGGGCAGCAAAACAGACTTAGCTGCAACAAGAGATGTGTGGCAGCTAAAGTAAAGGACTCTCTGTTTTACTGTCTAAACTCGCACTTCTGTTTCTTGTGTAAATCATTTGAAATCAGGTAAAAAATTAAGTTTCTGCCAGGTTTATCGATCCCAGTTCTTTTTTATTTCAGTTAAAAAAACTAACTTATTTTTCAGGTTAAAAAAGTGTTTTTTTTTTTTATCTGTTCTCAAGTCAAAACACAGAAAATGAATGATTATAGATCCGGCTAACTAAACCTATCAATCTTCCATTAAAGTGTACAGTCCCACAATAGCTTACACACATATTTTTGCATAAAGACATAAAGATATTTGATATTCTGCCTCTTGGTTGTTGCCTCTGAAAACCAGTAAAGCTGCAGTTCACAACCGCACAGCTGATAACAGCAGCTACAGGCGTGTAAAAAGTATTTTATTTTGAAAATTCCTACAAAAATAACAAGAACTTAAAATAACAACGAGCAAAACAAACAGTAGAGGTCGCACCGTAATCGTTTATAAGTGGAATTAATATCAGATAACCTTTTTCTTTCTCCCTCTTTCTTTCTGTTTCTCTGCAGAGCATGTGACTATCAGGAGATTGCTCTTATGGCAGCAGAATGAACGTGTATGTGAGGATCAGAGGGAGGGGAGATTTAACACCGAAAATCTGCATTAATGAAGTGAAGCATTGGGGAGAAAAGGGAGGCTGCAGCTGACCACTCTGTTCTTGTGATTTATTCCTGAAGCTCAAGCAGCACCAAAGTCTGATCAGTTAAGGTTTGGATGACAGTATAGGTAAAAAAAAGAGTTCGATCATTGACTAACTACCCTTGGTTTTTACCTGAGCAGTTAACAGGTCCACAGAGGGGATATAGTACTCTTCTTGGTCCACTGACATTAAAGGTTGCTCCCTTGCAGCAGCACAGGCTTTTCCATCCTTTGTCACTGGGTTCTTACCCTGCAGATACAACATCAGATCATTTTCACAACTTTACTTTTATATCTGATGTGTTTTTTGTGTATATTTGTATATTTAATTGATCAATTGACATGTTGATTTTTGTTAATAGGACTGCTTTGTACCTGTGGTGTAACACAGGGTGACACCAGTATCCCATCAGCCATCATTGGTGCCGGAGCCAGAGGATCAACCACGATGCTGCACCAAACCCTGGGTCCAAACTGCTCTCCGGCGTGGGCCAGGCGCCAGTGGGAGGTATAGGAGCCTTCCACAGTGGGGGCACACAGCGCTACACTTACTATACCCACCTGGACACACACACACACACACACACACACACACACACACACACACACACACACACACACACACACACACACACACACACACACACACACACACACACAAGATCATGTCGATCATTAACTTTGCATAAAGTGAAAATACAATTTCAGCTCATGTTGCTTCCTCACCTGCCCTGGTTGGAGAAACGGGACAGACACTTCCCTCCAACGGTCCCCAGATCCCACTGCCAGGTTTCCCCACATGAACTTCAGCTGTCAGGAGGAGACAAGATGACACTTAAGTGCACTGCCATCCAAAGGCCGACCACGGTAAATACCTCACTTCCTGCCGTGAGTCACAACAATGAAACTGATTTGTTGATGTTTTTGTTTTTGGACCCACTTTACGATCTTGCAGTGTCCAGATCACAGCAAAGTACCAGAACATGATTTACACTGAGTCTGTCATAATCCTCAGATTACAGGGATCTCTGAACAGCTTGTTTTGGGAACTTTGTGGTCCTGAGTCGGGCTCGGCCGTCCTATTAAGTCAATGTTGAAGGACTTGCCCACCCAGAAGCAGAGCCCTGTGTCTGGCAGCGCTTTCAAGGACGTGACCAGACTGAAGCAATTTCAGAGTTCCTCTCATCTGGAAAGTTTGTTTCAGCGTTCGGCCTTTTCCTCTCTGCACATGGTAAAGGAAGTTACTCTGAGTGTTCTTTTGGTTTCACAGGGGAGTCAGCTATTTATTCTTCTCAAACAAAGAAAATAGAGGATATAGGATTTTCTCTGGTCTTTGTGATCACTGAGCGCTTTTACATGACATGCCACATTGGAGTAACAACTGGAGTGTAGGGGTGGGAATCACTAGTGGCCCCACGATACGATATTATTGCGATTTTTAACATTTTGCAACACAGTGAGTATTGTGATACAATATATTGCGATTTATACAACTTTTTCAACTGTTTAGCTGATTTAGCATTTGGCTTTCCTTTATGTTTGTCTTATTAATGCTGGATAGACAGTTGATTTGACCTTCTTTTAGCAATAAATTTGAAAAATCTATACTTGGTAAATTGGTAAACAATATGATATATCACCAGACAAAATATATAGATATATATACAGCATAGATACTATGCTGTATGGATTTTTTCTCCCACCCCTATTGGAGTGAGGTTGTCCTGCCTGTGGTACCTTGGATCAAACCTCCATTCTTCTCATTGAGAGATGACTGACTCCACCTTTACCGCCCTTTGTAACTCCTTTGTAAACAGGAGCCGGTTTGTCTGGAATTCTTACTTTAACATAAAGCTGTTCCCTCTGTCAAGACCTTCAATGAAGACTAAAGGTACTATAAGCTGTAAGTCACAGTTTAACAGCAGCTAATGAGGAGCTAGCATCAGACACTGTGTTGTTTCATGACTATAAAGCTGTGTAAAAAGTAACACCCACAAACTATGTCTAGTTTTAAATTAGCAGCCAAATGCAAGCACTCCAGCATGAACGGCGCTTAAATGAGGATTTCCAAGGATATCAGAATAAGATAAAAATGCAAAGCCACTCCAACGATTTATCTTAATGCTATCTGGTTTAAGATTTGCCTCAAGAGTTACATCAAGAAAAGTTTTACCCAATTTATTTAATAACACATAACTGCCAACAATGTTATCAAGTTAGTGGGACTTGATTTTAACTTCAGTGATTTCTTTATACTTCATAATCTGAGAAGAAATCACAAGTTTCAGGGTTCCTACACAAGTGTGTAAAACATGGAAAAGTATGAAACCTATAGAAATAAATTTGATCAGTTTCCAGGTCTTAAAAAATATGAAAAATGAAGAATAAAGTATGGAAAAGTATTTATGTTTCCAGACAATTACCAAGTCCTTAAATACTGTTTTCTAAAATAGAAAAGTAGGTTTTTCCAAAAATAATTCAAAAACTCGGAAAAGTATGGTAATTCCAACTGTGTAGGAAACCTGAAGTTTGGTTGTAAAGTTAAAAATTTTCCACACAGTTTTAACGAATCTGCTCGAAAGAGATCTTCACCTTGGTATCAGCGCTCCAGTTGATCGTCCCAGTGTTCCTCATCTTCCAGTACTTGATAAACTTGGTCCCGGGGCGTAGGCGGGTTCCATCTGGGAGGTTCTCGTCCAGAAAGGCAGCCGTCATGGCTGGAACCACCAAGGGACAGGGACGCTTTGGGCGCCTGGAGAAGAAACACGGTTCATTAGTCCTTCTTCATCATAAACCGTAGATGTCTCCTCAGCTTCTCACATGAGTATTTCATGATGTTCCCTCACAGCCTTGTTAATTAGATCCATGTATCCTCACAGACGGTAATTCATATAACTTTTAGTCGTTTCTACTTTCCTCAGTTTTACCTTTTTATCACTCATGCTTTTCTTTGAAACAGTCATTTTGTCCTTATCATGAAAACAATTCATTTTTCATCACAGCTTCTTGTCTTTTTCACTGAGACATGGGGTGAAATAGAGGTAGCCACTTTATTTTCCTTTATTAATTCATGCCTACATGGTGAGGCCTATTTTTGTCTCCATGTTGTATTTTAGTAGCCAGAAGTGGTCATGAGTGGGTGAGAGGGGTTCGCATGTTTATTCCTCAGTCGCTCCTAACTGGCAAACTAAAGCTGGTTTGAGACATCTCTGCATACGCCCCTCTTTTAAAAACCAGAGGCTACATTCAGTTTCTTCTTTTTCTCAGAACTTACTCGGGACTGTTGTGCTGGGTGGCTCGAGGTTGCAGAAGGACAGGGGAGGAGCTTCCATCTCTGTGGGAGGAGCTCCACTGGATACCCCGCCTCTCCATCCTCAGCTGTTTCCTGATCTCTTTGACCTCAGCCTTCAGGAGGCGCTTCTCGGCTTTCAGACGCTGCTTCTCTGCCTTCCTGAAGCTGCGGTCACCTCGCCTGTAGAACCTGAAGGGTTGAAGCAACAACGCGAATGTGAGACAGATTCAACTCAGCGGCAAAAGCAAGTTAAAGAAGAAGTTAAATCAAGACTATATCGTACCTGCTGTGGTCCGGGGCGGGTGATCCGTGCTCTGGGATGGACAGGGGAGTCCTTGCTCTCACCAGGTTATGACTGGGGTCATGAGAGAAGCTGCAGGGTTCACACAGAGTACAGGACGTACACACACTGAGCAGAGAGAGGAGTGGAAGAGAAAGTGACAAAGAAAGGTAAAAAAAAAAAAACGAAAGAGAAAGATGAGAGGAAGGGTAATTCCAACCCGAGGACTTACATCATGACCAAGAATACAGACAAACTAAATCTGATGCAACAGGAAAAGCCTCAGCTCCCTTTAAGTCCAAAACACCATCTGTTATGAAAGAGTGGAAAGTTTCTGCTTTTGTGTAATTTCACTGTTTTTATGTGGCGAGGACACGTGAAAAAAAAGAGAGCAAGTTAGGGTGTCCAGGGAAACACTGATTCTCAATATACGATTTTAGTTATCAGAGAAAGAAAACATCATGTTGGCCCCCCTCAGTCAAGGTCAGAGCCTGAAAAATTAGACCTCTGAAGGAGTGCTGTGGTATCTAAGACTAAGTAGTTGACAGATCCTCTAAGTCTTAGAAGATGAGAGTCATGGACCAAACTAGAAGGTCAGGCACCTCTCTCAGATGCTCGCTAAGTTTGAGATCTGGGGTAGGGCTGGGCGATAAAACGATAACGACATATATTGAAAATTAATTTCCCTCAATTTCGATATAAAACATGGTCAATATCCTTTTCAATAGTCTGCATTCTGCCATGTTTTGGTAGACTATACGAACAGCCAATGAAAAGGGGAGTTTCTCCGACAGCACACTGGCACGAAAACGTCGGTGGTGTGGAGGTATTTTGGTTTTTTGAGGTTGAACATGAAGCAGAGTGGTGTGCACTGCAAATTATGTCGAGTACATGTTCTCGCAAAGTTGGAGAATACCTCAAATCTTTTTCACCACCTGAAGCAGAACCACGTGGAAGAACACGCGCAATGCAAAAGGTTATAAACCCCAAGCGGAGCAAGGAATCCATGGCGCCTGTGCAGCCGAAACAGCCGACCATTCAGTCTGCTTTCTCTAGTGTAACACCTTCTGACAAAACATCGAAGAGATCTTGATATATATCGATATCGACTGATATGAAAAATATATATCGTGATAAACTTTTTTTTACCATATCGCCCAGCCCTAATCTGGGGTCATTTCAGACTAAGGCAAAACCTTGAAATCAGGTCTCTTTCTTCCATTGATACCAGTTCTGATGCTCATGTTCTCTGTATAGGTATTTTGGGTCAGCATGGACTCCCACTCCCAGTCCAGTCTGAAGCTTCACAGCCCCACATGTAACAAACAGCGTTGACTCTTCCAGCTCCAGCAGCTCTTCTGCTGGGTCAGACCATATTGACCCGCCTTCGCTCCCTCACGCATCAGTGAGTCTTGGCCGCCCATATAATACCACTAGCACCAATAATACCAGTCTATAGAGGCGTTAAACAACACATACCTGCACTGGTAGCCTCCTCCAGTGGTCTGCCCCCTACAGGAGGAGCAGGGAGGGGTGGAGGAGGATGGAGCTCCAGGCAGAGTGGAAGAAGAAACCTCAGGGACTTGCTGGGCCTCTGCTCCTCCCACTGCTTCCCCTCTACCTCCGCCTCCCGCCCCTGCTCCTCCACTTCCTCCCAAGGGCTTGTGGATGCAGCACTGTCCAGAAAACTCCCTGCAGATCTTCTCCACAGCCTCACGGACCACCTGGTCCTTAAACTGGAGGAATGAAGGGGAGTGATGGAGGTCAGAATGACTGTTTTTTCTCTTTAAAACACTTTCTGAGACTAATCGTACCTTCTCCATGTAGGAGGTGAACCAGGCTGGAGGAGTCTTGTCTTCTTCTTTGTTCCCCTTCACCTCTTTCATGATCAACTTGATAACAAACCAGAATGATCATTATCAACACTTTTCTTCCACATCATTCCACCGAGCTGGAAATGACGCCACACCCGAGTTACTAGCGTAAGTCGGAAGAAAGCAAAATCGGAGGTGGAAACAAGATGACAACTTTCGTAGATGTAGCCATCTTGTTTCCACCTCTGATTTTGCTTTCTTCCGACTTAGTAACTGAAACGCTGGTAATTTGGGTGTGACGTCATCTCCCAGCTCGGACTTCTGACTTCCAAGGTAACTCGACTGCAGCATTTAAACGACTGATATAAAGACAAACGCCCTCCCAGGGTCCGTGCTCTTACCATGCCCTGTTCTGGCACTGCAGCCTGGACTTTGCGGCTGACCACCTGGGCCAGAGCAGGACAGTGCTGTGGGGGTCTGAAGCCCCTCTTTGGCTCCGTTGCACTGGCCTTGTTGGTAGGCACCCGTGTCAGCTGACCCCGAGTCTCGTATACGTTCATGTGAAGTCGGTTTCCTTGCCGTCCTGCACTCTGAAAAAAATGAAGAAAACTCTTTTTGTCAATGAGGAGGCAGTATCACTGTTATGACAAAGTCTAGAGCAGCAAAACTGAGAACAGAGAATTTTTAATTTAACTCAAACAAAAGAATTTGTTTTGCAGCTTTTTTACATCCAATTAATCCAGAAGATTTCTGCGTATTTATTTTAAGTTATACCAAGCAAGCAAGATTTGTACATGTTTGACCACAGGATTGATTTTTTGTTACCACAACAAGATAATTTTTCTGCCTTTCTTACAACCTAGGGCTGACCTAAACTGCATGAAATCTCTTTTTGTCAATGAGAAGCAGAAATGTAGTGGAATGAAACCAAAATAGGCAGATTTGCTTTGATTTCTTTGCTGTGTATCGTACATTTGAATGAAGTTTTAATAATCCTAAATCACAGAGATAGGAGCTCAAGAATGCTATAATAAGGGGAAGATTAAAACTGCTGCTGTCGAAAACCATCTCAGAGTTTTAATTTAGATGAGGATGCTCCTTGGATATCATCCCACAGTGTAGCTCCAGCTTAATCCATCTTGTATGCAGATTATTAACCTGATACTGGCAGTCTGACAGTATATTATACAGATTTTAAAAGAGCTGAGGACGGACACTGTGGAGATAAGGGCTTTATAGAGCTTTGGAGCTGGGACCTCTCAGATTTGGATCAGGGGGAACTCAACTTTCTGCTACATGTTTCTATACTGAAGTAATCTGCAGATGTTTCAGTCTGTTTAGAGAGAGTTAAGACGTACCTCTTTGTTCCCAACATTAAACTATTGTTAAAAACAACTTAACTTAAAATCAACTCACCTTCAGCGCCTCCTCATACTCCACTAGAAAAAAAAATCAGGAAACATTAAAGGTTAACTTGACATTCATATGAAACGTTTCCTTATTACATTGTGTTTTCTGAATGTGTTCGCCTACCTTGACTGTTGATGGACACCTATGAGAGAAAGAGAAAATTCTTAATAGAAGTCCATTCATATTTTGAATTCATGACATTTAATTGTCGCGTCAGTGTGGCGCCAACAAGATTTTATCAGCTATGGTTCATGGACTAAGAAATTTAAGGTTAAATTAAACTGAAGTCTCATGGTAGAAATAGAGTTAGTGTAGGGTCCAGTGTTTTGGCTCAGTTAACTCAGACATACTGCAATAATGTAGATAACCTTACATGATCCAACTTGATATATATTCCTAAATCCATCTGATCCCAATCATAAAAACTGGATTTGCCACTGATCATTTAAGTGCAACAACTAACCCCAGCTGGCAGTCATAAAATGGGCTTTAACTGCTGCACTGTAAACCTTACAGAAACGAGGGTCCAATAAAAGTGTATTATTTTGGAAACCAAAACAAGAAGTGCTCTCTCACCTCCTCATTCTCCTCATCGAAATAGGTCAGCTGAAGACTGCAGAGACCAAAAGAGCGTTTCACCTGCACACCAAACACAAACACAAAGATTTGATCAAATCAGGGTATAACGGGTTAATTCTCCTCTTTGAAGGACATGAGATGTATGAAGAAAGAGGTCACTATTTAAGATCTAGCTGTGTGTCAGTTCAGACAAAGTAATGCTGATATGTGTATGCGTGAGACATTCGATGTATTCACAGTTGACAGCTTGTGTTGTTGTTGCATTTTTCCATGTACAACCACGCAGCAAGAAGGCAAATTGTAGAAATTCAATTTAATGACACAAGATGCAACCTTAGTGACAATCTCTCCTCTGTAGCATCTCATTATGAATCTCCAAAAAGTCAGCCCAAACGCTAAACCTGGACACAAAACCCCATCACACAGCTCTCTTATTGGTGAAACATCAAGTCACAGTGAAGTCTGATTTCTGTGACTCAGCAACACTTAAACTAATGAACTCTCCCAGGCTGCTGTGGTTGATGTAGATGGACCATAAATTCAAAGATGCAGAGCTCTGAAGCTATATGTCAATGTCTTTCTTACCGCTGAACATTCACAACGCCTCTTTTAACCGTGGAGATCCGAGGGACTCATTCCTCGCTCACAGGTGCTCAAAACATGAAGGCACTGATAATGGTGCATTGGGGGCCAGTGCCCAATGAAAGTGAATAAAGCTCTTCTAATGTGTATGGAGGAATAATGGGCTCTGTGATCACTGATCGTCAGCTACTCTCGGTTTCTTTCAAAACTCTTACCCTATCACATTTCCCAGGGTTTTCTTTTGACAAACAGAGAGATTCAGACGTCAGCAACGTGACAGGTCAACAACCCTCGAACGGCCTGAAATGTGACTTGTTTTGGCCATGATGACTCATCAGGTACATGCTTTTTGAATGGCAGCCACAAACGCAGACACAGGTTGATTCTTCTGTCCACATAAAGAGCTGCAAATACTCAGCATGACCTTTTCTTTCTTTCATAAGCCTCTTTCCGGGCTGCCCGGTCATTGTCATGGATGCGAAAGAGTTGTTATAAAAACAGAGAGCTCCATCCTAAACAAATATTGAGCCACTATTGTTGTGGTCGATTATTTAGTCAGCAATTTAACAAAAGAAATAGGGCAGTTTTACTGTGAATGCCGTAATGACAGACAGGGGCGTAATAGTTGTGAACCGTAGAGAGCCAGCCAAGTGTTACCAAATTCACCTCAAGTTTTGAAGTGTGGTCTTTTTAGCAGGAATTACACTCAAAAAGTACAAATATTTTTAAGTACTCCAATGTGTGTTGATTCTATTTATATTTATTTCCCATTTCAACTTGTTTCACTGAGCTTAACTCTTTATCTCAGCCCTATGTGTGTTCACAGCCTAGTGTCAAAATATTGTGGCCGGGCACATGCTACTGATCTGAACATTAGGCAGCAGCTGATAAACAAGTCAAATCTAGCAATTATCAAGCAGCAACCTCTGGTCACCAGAAATACAGCTGATGTACAGGTGCTAAAACCTGCAGTACCTTGACTGTCCACTAGAGGATGGCTGCAAAAGCGCTGTAGACCACATACACACCCAGTAAAAATAGACATGTTACATCCTGGTTAAAATCTCTTATTCACGCTCACGATAAAGGGGTGTTTTTTCCTCTATGCGCTGAATTTTGAAGATATTAAAGTAAAAATTTTTGCACCATCAATGTGTGGTTTTATTTCAATCAATCAATCAATCAATCAATCACATTTTATTTATATAGCACCAATTCACAACAGTTGTCATCCCAAGATGCTTTTCAAAGAAAAAGAGCAGGTAAAGACCACACTCATTGTTTGACCCAAACTTAAGATGGGACAGATTTGGCCCATCTCATCTAACATGAGTGACAGTGGCAAGGAAAAACTTCCTTTTAACAGGAAGAAACCTTGGGTAGGACCAGACCTATGCTAGACAGCCACCGAGCAGCTGCTGGGTTATTTATTTGATTGATGGTGATGAAAATATGAATGAACATGCAAGATAAATCATTAAGTATCCAACAAAAGGATCGGACAAAAAGGTGAAACTAGCTTTAAAAAATCTAGCTTTAAATATATAATTTCATCAAATCTTTACATGAAGATAACCCTACATTAACTTGCCTGAAATAACTGATGTACTGGTGGGACTTGTGCAGTGGAAGTGCAAATTATCAAGGCACCTGGTAGCTTATAGGGGAGCGTGGGGTAAGATATTTCGGATCACTATATCAAGGCAATCATAGTTTTGTCTCTAACTAGTGTATCTGCATATATTTCAAGATGTTGTGCATCCCTGCAAACCAACAGGATGAGAGTAAACAAAACTGTCTTGATAATATAGCATGCCAAAAAAAAGTGGTCTCCTTTTTATTATTATTGCATATAACTGTGAAAAAGCTGTTTTGTAAAAAAAAACATGTTAACATGAGAATGTCTTTAAGTGATTCTGAACATTCACAGCTGTATTTATGAAAAGAAAAAGTCAAACATTTCAACAATCTGAACTGAAACTCTGATCCTCTCATCAGACTCCTTTACTTTCTCAGCTGAGTCACTGGCTTAACTTACCCCAGAACTACTATTATGACTTTATTAGTCCTCTAAATTAAAATGGTGGAACTTGACCTCATGTTATAGCTCATAGATACCACAATTGATGTATAAAACAAATTTAAAATGATCTTTTTTGGTCTGAACACAATTCTTATAAAACTTATGACAGACTAAATTCACTTTCAAGAGTAAAAAACGTTTTTTTATTTTTGTAAATAAATGTCTAACTCCTTCACCCATGTGCTTCTAACCTTCACAGACTCCATGAATTGATGCCCATCTCCTAAATATTTGGTCACATGATCAATTTCTTTGACCATTTCCAAAGCAACAGGGGGTGGCTCAACTTACCCCACTCTCCCCTATAGGTATATAAAATATAGCCAATAAAATATAAGGATATCAGAAAACAGTGAGACATCTTAAATATGATCAAAGGAACAAGGTAAGGGCCAGAAACTTCATCAGATTAGAGCAGTAAAGGCTCTAACAGTGCGCTCTGGCACAAGGCCAATATCAATCCAACCTTCTTCTGTTACTTCCAAACCAACTTCAAGTACACACCCAACAACAGAGCTGACAGCAGCTGAGCGAATAAAATGGGAAACACCTCAAATGGTGGATATTTGATTCAAACTGCTCAGACCAGTTTATGTGGAGCTGGTAAACAGTGTTTCCATGACGACAAACCACTATTATAATCCAGTAAGGACTGCGGTGTAACATCTCCTCCCTGTCCTCCGTGACAGCGCTCACGGTGATGTGCTGTCAGTGTGAGGACATGTTTCACAGCTCTGTACTCCTTCAGCTCAGGGACACACACTGCATGATGCTAATGCTTTAGCATTGCATATCAATGGCATATTTGAAGCTGCCAGAGTATTCCCTTAAGGGTTAACACGACGCTCCGCAGTGGCACATCGATGTCATCGTTCACACCGAGGACACCTGAATGTGCGTAAAAGCGAAGGGTAAAAGCGACACGGTGTGACGGTGCGCTGGGATCGGATGTGTTGAGATCGGGCCCGGTGGTTCTCCCCTCTTACCATTGCCTCCATTGACTCCCAGCTCTTGGTCTCCGATCCCGACAGGAGGAAATTTTTAGAATTTCCCCTGAAATTCACCTTCAGATTGATGTAGAAGTCCATGGCGTCGCCTTTTGGTGCCCTAAAGCATATTACGCACGACGGAGGACGGAGCGTTTTCCCCGACAATGACAGCTATTTGGGTTAATCTGGCCAATTCGCTTCACAGTCACTTATCCGATGGGGATGAGGCGTACTTTGTGTTTACATCAGCGGCCTGGGCACGCCCACCCTGCACCATGTGTCCGGAACAAAGGTCGCCATTTCCGGTTCTGTGGGAGGGGAAAAGGAAAACTGTAGCGTAGAAAGAGACCATTAGAGGGCGGCACAACACTATCCCTGATCAGGACTACAGCCCTGATTTGGCAGGACTTCTAGTTTTGACCCCTTTAAGGTCACACTACAACAAGAGTTCCTAGAAAGACATTTGATGGAGAAATCATGACACAAAATGACAACTTGACAGTTCCTTTTTCACAGGATTTTAACAAAAGAATCACCAGTATTAACCCCCCTCCTGTGTTAGGGTCTGCTAGGTCCTGTTTTTGTTTTTAAATGCTTAAAAGAATCATTTAAATTAGCTTTTTCACATCAAGACTTTTTGACTTTGTCAGGAATCTCTATTTCAACAAAATAAAAAATAAAAAATCAAATTGACTAAATTATAAAATGCTCTTATTAAAATGATGGCACTTGTCGTGTTAGGGTCACTGTTGACCCGGTTAGATCAATATCTAATAATCAGAGCAAAAACTAAAATCACAAGTGCACTGTCAGGCACAACACTGACAATCAGATCCTCTTCCAATCATGTGAGATTTAGGAAATTGTCATTTTGCCTGTTTTTTCCCTGCACAAAAAACAATGTCGGACATGTCCAGACAAATGAGATTACTTCAGTATATACGTATGTCTGTGTGAGGGGTATACTGACAAAGAAAGGCCCAGAGGCCCACTACAAAAAATATTATATGTAATATTTTTATGGATAATGAAGCCTAACAAGGTAACCTAGAGATGAGAACCAATTTGGATGATAGAGAATTATTTTTTAGTGTAATTTACAGCTGATTTAAGACACGGGTCAAAACCGACCCTTGACATGGTGGGTGCGTAGTAAGAGCTAACACAGGAGGAGGGTTAACCCCATGACACAAAATGACAACTTGACAGTTATTTTCCACTGGATTTTAACAAAAGAATCATCAGTATTCAAAAGTATTTCCACAAATAAATCATAAGTTACACACAGCATTGTCCTGATAGTAGCATCAAACAAGTGACACCACATTTGAACATGGTTATTAAATAGCACAAAAAGCACGTTTCAATAAAAATTGAGCCAAGACAGAAAAACTTTTTATCAAAATAAAATTTTAATTGTTGTTTATAACTTTGTTGACTTTTAAAAAGTTTGGTAGAAATTTTTATATTTCATCTAAAAGAGCTAAGTGCCTCTCTCCAGCATTATGCATATCCCAGCTACCCTTTTTATCTCAGCAAGAGTTCCCAAAATAAAAGCCCGCTGAAGTGTGTGATGCCTGATGAACAGACTGCACAGTGGCTGCAACATCTTCGTTGCATTTGCATGTTGTCTACATGTACTAAACACAGCGCTGATGACAGTTTGACTCTGTTCGGCTGATTTATTTAAGATGGTAAAAACATGTGAGGCAGTAGGCCAAAGGCATGCAAGGAAAAGAAGCGAAACGCTGAGTGCTAACAAAACAAAAAGGCCCAACTCTACCAAGCGCTCCAAGGGAAATTTGGGTGCTTTTAAAATTCAGGTCGCTTTGTTTTCCTGCAAATACTTTTAATGACTTAATGACTAATCTTCTTAAAAGCATTTCAAATGTTCTGTATTGATCCTGAAAACTGTTGGTAACAAGAATTTGGTCAGTTATACGCCCCTTTTCAAGGCCCCAGGCTCCAGAAAAGTCTAGGAGTTCTTATAACTTGTTGGAAAAAGAAGCTGACATGGTTTGTAATTCTGTTTCATTCAGTGGATGTTCTAGGTCTGTCTTAGGACCCCCAGGATCTCTGACAGGACGCCACAGTACCATCAGGCGCTGTGAAGAGACAAACGTGATATATATGTGTGTGTAATAAAAGATGTTTTAAACGTAAATCCTTAATAGGATGTTTATGCTTTTACCTGTCTGAGGGGGCCCTCAGTGGTGCAGATCTTGTAAATAACCCATACAGGTACTGCAGTCACAGAGGAAAAGGCCATTACCCAGCCCAGGTCGTAGGCCCACTTTGGGTACTCATGGCCCTCACTGGATGTCAGGGGCTGATAGGCCAGGAAGGAGCAGATGAAACAAACCTTGAAGGACAGGCAGACGGGTAAACTAATAACCGAGTTATGGGCAATTGTGCTTAGCGATGGCCAAGGTAGAAGTGTTTTTATTATTATTCAGTAAGCATGTAAATAGAAGCAGATGACGTGTTATTGCATATTCAGCCATGAGGATTTATCAAATAGATTCTTGCAAATTAGAGCTGCTATGATACTCACCAAGCAGATAAAAGGGGTAAAGTAACGCCAGCACAGTTTAAAGAAAATGGACGGTCTCTGTCCTGTCATATCTTCGACTGCGTCAAACATGTTATCGGCTCCTGCAGGAGGACAGTTTGTCAGTATCAGGGTAGGGCTTTCAAATGTAGGAGCATGTTTCAAACTCAACAGTACTTTAACATTTCTGATTAAAGCTATATGTAAACAAACTATAACCTCTGGTGATTTGAAGAACTGACTTTTCTTTTACCACTCACCAAAGGCCCACCCAACAGCTACACACTGGACAAGTGACACAAACAATAAACACGCTCCATTACAGCCATAGTAGTCAATCAGCTGGAACACATACATCCCTCCCTGGAAGCACAGAGCACAGACTTTATGTGGCATTATTGAAAATACTCCCTCAATGTGAGAATATGTTTATTGTATGCTTGTGTATTCGGGTAAGGATGTACAGGTCTGTGTGGTACCTGAGTGGAGAGAGAGATATGTATAATAAAGTAGGCGGAGCAGAAAAATATAAGGAAGATCTCTCTGCGCCAGGGTTTGCGCATCTCTCCGGGGAACATGTCGATCACTGATGAAGATATAGTTTCCAGACCTGCAAACTTACACATTCAAATAGACAGAAAAACATGACAACAAGGTGGTATAACTTAAATAAGAGAATCCTTCACCCCCAAAAAAGGGGAAAAGGTGTGGGGACCCACAGCTGAACCATATAACATGATGCTGTTAGGTCATTGGGTCAAAGAGCAAGCTGAAAACCTTTATTAACTAGGTTTTTCCCATTGAGATCCAAGATCTCTTTCGCAAGAGAGACTTGGCCAAGAATGGCAGCGCATACAGTTTCAATACATAATCACATTAATCATATAGGATACAAAGAATGCAAATAATAATTTACAACATTAGTCAAACATTTGCGCTCCTGAAGCCTGGATGTAATGGAATATATCATGGACTTGAATACATTCAGAGATACCAGACTTTGGAGTTTCAGGTCTGATTGCAAGATGTTCCATGTACTTGGAGCAGAAAATCTAAAAGCTTTCTTCCCCATTGCTGTTCTGACCTTAGGAACAGTAAAATGATAAAAGTCCTGGGAGCGGAGACTGTAGGCACTATTATTTAAGATTAAAAGGGATGATAAATAAGATGGAGTCGTCTGAAGAATAGCCTTATAAATGAACACATACCAATGGCCGAGCCAGATGGCCAATTTACTTTACTGTAGGGGACACAATGATGTGGGTGTGGTATACGCCATGTCTCTTTATCGCTTTGTGTGAGGATGGGTGTGTCTTTAGGTGTGTGTGGGTGTGTGTGGGTGTGTGTGGGTGTGTGTGGGTGTGTGTGGGTTTCTGGGTGTGTGTGTGGGTGGAAGGGTTGGGTGTTATCGTTGTTTTTAGCCTCTGTGAGGCACTTTGACTTGCATTCATGTATGAAAAGTGCCATATCAATAAAGTTGAATTTGAATCTAAATATGCATTGATTGTATTGAGTCCATCATTTCAAGATCTAACAGATTTGCACAAAAAAACAAAACAACAACATCATATTACATGTTCCCTTCACCTTCTTCTTACCAGTGTGTCCAGTCCCAAGAGAATAAGCATGATGAAGAAGCAGGCTGCCCACAGCTGAGGCAGGGGCATCATGGCTGCAGCCTGAGGATAAGCAATGAATGCCAGTCCAGGACCTGTAGATGCAAAAACCAATACTTTCTCTCTCCTCGTCTTCACAGTTCTCAATGTATTTCCTAATTTCGACATCAGAAATGTTTAATCAAACCTGACTGAACCACCATGTCGACTGGAACCCCCTGTTGGTGTGCCATGTAGCCCAGGGCTGAGAAGACCGCAAACCCAGCGACGAAGCTGGTGCTGCTGTTGAGCAAGCATAACCACAAACTGTCCCTGCACACACACACACGCACGCCCACACACACACACTTGCTTTTAATGGGCGCTGTCACAAAAAGATTTATATGGCTGTTGCATACTTGAAACATTGCAGGTACTTTGAGAATAGCATCATAAATATTTCGAGTGATAAACTACCTTTAGTGTAGAGCCAATAGCATGTCAACACTCCATAACTGTTTGTATGTATTCCAATAATGTAACCAAAATTCAATAAAAGTTAACAAAGAATTTATGTGCTAGCATCAGTTTTAGGGTTGGTCCTAACTGTAACACAGCGTTCACATGAGCAGTCACGCTTGAGACAAGCAGCAGCAGAAGAAGAAGAAGAAGAAGAAGCAGAAGAAGAAGAAGAAGAAGAAGAAGAAGAAGGAAAGAAAGAAAGAACTTTATTGGTCCATTAAGCTGTTACGAAGTGGATGATCCATGTTCGTTACAATACCTACCATCCATCCCTGTGTATTCACATTTTGACAAAATTTTGGTTGCTTCATTCAGGGGTCTGCAGCTCCAGTTTCAGGCCAAAGAGGCCAGACAAATTCTTGTGATATCACTAGCCGAACCTCATGAGGCTCAATGAGTGTTAAGCTGACTTTATGCAATGCAAATAAAAGACAATAAATGCAATGTTTTGTCAGCCACCAGTTTAGCATACTTGGCCACCTTGATGTCCGGGAATCTGAACTGTCTCCCAAGGTCAACCATCAGTTGCCAGTCCCTTGCTGTTGCAAGCAGGACCCCCTGGGTGATGGTACCCTTGTAGGGGTGTTGCCATTTGCTGTAATATACCGACCGTCTCCAAAGGCCTTTGAGCAGCAGCTGAGGATGTTCTCTAAAGATCCCCTCTTCTGGCAGAGTTGGCATGTGGATGAGTCCACCAGGCCCCAGGTGAAAATGTTGGCTGGGCTTGGGAGGACGTCATACGCTGAGTGGACTAGGAACTAGAAGTGTGGCTCCGTCTTCCAGAATTCTGTCCAGGTGATCTTATGGCCATCCCACTTGGTCAAGGCCCCTTGCTTAGACATGTCCACCACCCCACAGAAGAGAGCTTCTTCTACCTTGGCACGTACCTCCTTTTGGATCAGCTTCCGCTTCTCCTTTCCGCTGGCTTTACTGCAGCTAGGTTTTGAACTGCTACCCAGTTCAGTCTGCCCAGTAGCCACTGTGCCCAGCTGTGTCACAACCTTGTTCCACTATATCCTCAGCGCACTTGTCCTGTCCTGACCTCTACACCTGCTGAGAAGACCTTGGATTTGGCAGAATCTCTGTAGGAGCAGGACTTCTCTGACTCTTGCGACCCTGAACTCCTCTGCCAGACTCCTGAACAGTAGCTGCAGCTTGGTGATATGCCCGAATAGTGCGTAACATAGTGGAAGTGGTAAACAAAATTTCATAGACTGGGTGAAACTCCTCCTACAATGTGTCAATCAAGCGACCATTTGCACGACTTACTTGTAGCAATTATTCTTGACTTTGTTGTAGCTGCCCAGTGTGATGACGGTTCCTGATGAAACACCATAGGAGTAGAGGACCTGAGAAGCAGCCTCCATCCAAACCTGATGACCAAAGATGAAATCTGATAGTATCTCTGTTTCTCAGGCTTACATTTAAAGAATACAAAGTTGAGACATAAGAGAAAGCTACAAGTGTCACCTGGAGGTCTGCCAGACGTGAGGGATCTGGATACAGGTAGTAGACCACACCTTGCCAGGCTCCTGGCAGCATCAATCCCCTAACCAGCAAGATGGCCAGCATCACGTAGGGAAAGATAGCGGTGAAATAGACCACCTAAAACATCGGTACAATTGGATTAATTACACAAAATGCATATGTTTTTTCTACGATCACATTTGGACCTTGATTCCCACAAATCCTTGTCCACAGACCTTCCCTGTGGAGCGGACTCCTTTCCAAATACAGAAGTAGCAGGCCACCCAGCAGGCCAGAAGACACAGCAGCAGCTTCCACTGGACTGTGCCGATCTCCTCTATTCCGCCAGACAAGGACAGCACTCCTCTCCTTTAAAGGTTTCACACAGAGAGAAGTTCACTTTGCCATATTTGAACTATCACTGTCAGGTAATGTAATTGATCAGGTATCAGTTAATTCACAATTAACTCACTCCCAGAACTCAGACGCCGAAGACTTTGTGAGCTTTCCAGAAGTCCAGTTTCCTGTCAGGTTGCTACTGTTTACCGCAGTGTGGTTTGCAGAGGTGAGGTCCACACAAAGGTCTGTTGATATAAAGACAATTCAATCAAAGTCACATTGATTGGGTGTAAACATTTTTAAAGACATCTGTTAATTATGCAGTCTTTTGGATGAATTAAAGAGTTAATCGATGGTGGAGTTTGTTGTACCGAAGTGTTGTACAGTGCTTTCACGAATGGAGGCACAATCTGACTCTCCAGGCGAGACAAAGCAGGAAAGTGAGAGGGAAAGAAGAATCACTCACTGACCTGTGTTCCAGGGATTGTTGCAGGTTGCCCATGGCAGAGGGCTTCTGAAAGAGTACATAAGGTAGAGGAGGGCCCATGCTAGGATGATGATGTAGGATCTGGAATATAACTGGACCACTATGGTTGAATATCCAGATCCTGATGAGCGAAAACATAAAAAATTCTCTTATATAAGGCTCTTATTTAACGAAAGTGGACATATTTGATCCATTTATCCCATTACATCTTTGAGCTCAGTTTTAGCCAATGGTTTGAAAGAGCTTTTATCTGAAAAATATCTTTTATCTATAATAACCAAGAGATCATACTAAATGAAATGTAACTTGTAAGATTCTTGTCAAGCAAAGGTTAAATAAAAACAAACATATTTTTCTGGGTTTGTTTTGAGAGTGTGCATTTGTAAAATAACAAAGTCGGCCTCGTAAATTCAAAAAGGTAAACATAAGAAAGCCTTGTGGTGGGTAAACAGAGTAAAAGTGAGTTAGGAGTAAAGTTAACATACAAGGGGGTCAGAAAATTAGCATCTTGCAGAATCTATATTTTTAGTTACATGACAAACTCTACTTTGATGACAGAGAACTGCTAAATTTTCCAAATATCAGTAAATCCAAATATACAAACTAGAAAACAATAATGATTTGTTTTGGGTTGTGTGTTGTGTGTAAAGTATACTTTATATCTCTACACTAGAAGAGCTAGATCCTCTGTGTTTGAGTACAATGGAAAAAGCGTCTATGGAAAACACCGAACATTTGAAAAAGAAACTATGTTTGTGAGCGGCTTAAAAAAGTGTGAGCCAAAGGGGTTGGAGCTGCGAGCAGGAGGGGAAGTCAGTGTATTTAAAGACGTATAAAAGATAATAAAAATAGAGGAGTTGGTTATTTAAACATCAATAAAATGGGATCTTTGCTCTTGATTACATTTATACATTGTGATGATTGATTCAGGAAGCTGAGTAGCTTGATTTTGGGAGCAGAAAACCAAAAGACCCACTGCTTTCAAATGGCTAATTCTATGTTTGTTTTACTCAGAGTTGGTTTGAATGCTCACACAGATATAATGAAGAATTATTATTATGGTTTATGATTTACTAGTAATGGAGAGTTCAGTTAATATCTTTCAGTGTTGTCCAGCAACTCAGTCAGAATTGGTGTGATTACCCTGTGCCAACGGGCAGAGCTTGCTCCAGCAGGTGATAGCGCCCTCCTGTGTGTACTGACCAATCACAGACTCCAGCAGGAAGAGCGGCATACCGCAGAATACAGCAAAGAAACAGTACGGCAACAGGAAGACCCCTGGAGGAGAAAAACACAGAGATACAAGAGAGACTGTATGGTGGTATGCACGGGGAAGAGGACTGGATAAGCTTTATTATTTACAAAAAAACACTTCAGCTTTCATGTGATATTCAGGGTTTTATGCAGAAAAGTGTCCACTTTACCCCATTAGCACTGCAGATAACCACTGTTTTTGCCACCCAGTATCTCTTAGGCAAACCCGTACAGGTTGGCAAGACTTTTGTTTAATAATCGGATACGGACAAAGTCTAAACAGTGAGATAAAAACCTGCTGTAAAATTGTTGAATTCATTTAAGGCTGTTGATTTGCTATTGCTGTTCAGAAATGATCCCCCTCCATCATAGATTTAATAAATTAACTGATCATCAAAACTTTAATGGCACAGGTTGATCCAAAACCAAAAGTTATTCAGATTTTAAACTTAATTTATGAATTGGGTCTAAAGTTTGTTTCTGGTTCAAATCACTTTGCCTCTTACAACATCCTTATATTTTTGCAAAACTTTGAGATTTAAATCACACATAAATGTCACAAATATCTGATCAAATCCTGTTAGTCAGGGTTAGGGTTAAATGTGAAAGAGCCTGCCTTGGTGGAAAATCACAGCAGGATTGAGAGAGATTTTAAGGCTTAAGTCAAACTGGTGCAGTGACTGGTTAACCAACATTGCAAAACTACATTCATACGCTGTTTGTCTGACACGAAATGACGTTTTTTTTAACCACAATTGCTTGAAGAACTCGTCTTCAGCCGTTCATGTAACCCTGAGGCTGTTGTGCTGTAAGCTGTTTGTCAAAGTTGTCAAGTAGATGTCAAAATGTTTACTACTTAGAACAAGTTTGTGTTTGCTTTTTTCCTGAAGTGCATCATTTTACCCAATTTTACCCAAAATTCAGTGCAGTCCTTTTTTTTTTTTTTTAATTTCTGCATTTTCTCAACCATAAAGTCGTCTTTGGTGACTTTCAGGACCGGAACAATCTTATCAAATATTAAAGGATAAACACTGTGTGTTCGAGCTCACCTCCTCCGTTCTTATAACACAGGTAAGGGAATCTCCAGACGTTGCCAAGGCCCACCACATTCCCCGCTGCAGCCAGAATATATTCTCGCTTCTTCCTCCACTGTTCCCTTTTTTCTCCTTTGAATTCCTTGTCCATGTTTCCTCGTCAGTCTCTTCATCTGCGCTTTCTAAACACAAATGTGTTAATAACATGTAGCTGTAGAGTGAGTCAGTGCACCTGAGGAGATAAAAGGTGGGACTTATATTGTGAGAATGAGCAGACTGTTTCCTGCAAGTGTTTCTACGCAGATACCTTTGGTCACTTATGTCATCTTAAATGAGCTTGATTTGTTAAACTTATTTGTAAGATCTTTAACTGTAATATAACTTCAAATGTTGTTTTTGATTTTTTTAAAGGAGTTGCAAGAGGGGACTTGGAGGCAATGCCCAACTGTCTAAAGAGGCGTCCTCCATTCATTGCAGAGGAACTATATTTTCTCTTTCTCTGTCACCATATGCATGTTTACTGCAAAAGTTCCCTTATTTTAACAAACGTTTTATAAATAATGAGTTTAACTTCAATGAAATCAACACACACACACACACACACACACACAAATGCAAATAACAACCATTGCAATCACATTAGTGCCTCAGGTGCCTTTTACTATTAAAGAATAGTGCTCCAGAGACGCCTTACAACTTCCCATGAGGGTGTCATTAAGGTAGGATTTATGTCCCCTTCCACCCCACCGTTAAAAAATCTTCCGGTGTGTTCTGGTTTGACTTGCCAGTACAGTTAGATAAGACTAGTGAGTGATGATGGAAGGGCTGCAGGTGATTTTGTGAGAAGCTGGTGAGATAATGGAGGTGTTCAGGGTTATGCAATGGGAGCACTGGAAGAACGTTTTACAGTAATTAAATAGTTAGTTTCTCAGTAACGCATCACTTTTTGGTTTAAGTAACTGAGTGACTTTTTTTAACTAGTAACTGTAACTAGTTACTATTTTTCAGTAACTAGCACAACACTGATGGCAGTGTCTAGAAAACTAGAGTCTGCTGAATTTTGGTCATGTAAATCATGAGTCTGAGCTCTTCTGCAGTGATTACCGTGTCTGTGTGTTGGCACGTGGTCAGCAAAACGTGAGGTTTCTATTCGTGCAGGCTTCCCCACTCGTTCTTCGTCATTCAGTATGATCATGGCTGCAGCCCAAAAAATGAACGTCATTAATGTTTTGTTTAACTACAAACTTATCGCCTTCATCAAAGAAATTCTTAAAATTATCAAACACGCATCCATTTACTCTCATCTCTCACAGGCCACGCCTAATTTGCATGTAATTAACAGGCTTTGAGACATGTTTGCACAAGGGATGAGGACCATATGACAATAATACCTGCTCTTACTTAAGCAGGGAACTATTGATCACAGTGTTTTGTTGAATCAGTTATTTTTAAAACCAGTCATGTGTTAGAGGTGCGTCTAACAGAGGATGATGTGCATCTAACTTTAGCTGATGACACAATTCTACTCATTAAAAGTGTCAATAACTGTCAAGTTAGAAATTTTCTAATAGCTTTTTTTAGGTCTGTTAGACCCAGACAGGATAATGGCAAAAAAAGGTTTGCACTCACCGGTCTATGTCCTTAAGATCCTGTGTCATGATGCCAGTTTGTCGTGGATTTTTCGAGTAACTTGACTAGACAGGAGACTCTAATGGCCCAAATAGTTTATGTGCAACTTGATCGAGGAGAAATGGTATTAACAATACACAACAGGAGAGTGCAGTGTAATATCAAGCCAGTTCTGCCATACCATCCTCTATTCATCTCTTAAAGAAGATGAAAGATGACACAGTCTGACAAACAAAAAAACTTGAGGGAGTTTTAGAGTGGAAAAGACCTTGGCTGTCGTTACAACATTTCTCAGTATTAGTGCAGCTGTGTGTAGGGTCAGGCCTCAGCATGATCTTACTCTATAGGAGACAAGGAATGAACAAATAGAAGGATCTAAATCATTCATACCTCTACAGATACACTGCTTTTCCACAATAACCATAATGAGACGTGGAACATTAAAAGAAAGAAAATTTGTTTACACTACAAACTTTATCATGAATACAGATGGAAAACTAGATGTGTAATACTTAGGGAGGGAACCAGAGGGTCTACGCTTCAAGTCCAGGTAAAGGACAATGTTTCTGGCTAATGATGTAGATTAAATAACAGTTATAGGCTACTGATGAAGCATGTCTTCTTCATCTTCTTCTATGGTAAGGATATGCTCATCTTGTTTACCCAAACGTGGCCTTAAGGGCTTTACTACAGAGGAGGTTTATGGAAACATCTTTATTCAGAACTTTCAGGGTCCAAATGCTGTGTCAGATGATCTGCCCTGATACTTGTATATGTGTGTGTGTGTATGTGTGTGTGTGTATGTGTGGGTATGTATGTGTGTGTGTGTATGTATGTATATATATATATATATACACACATTTAAAACATCTTTTATCAACTATAGTTATAAACACTCATAAATGATCATAATGCTTTATTGCAATAATCACAAAACATAAAGCATTTTATCATGACTTATAAGGTCAGCTATTATAATATGTTATAACTGTTAACAACTCACTGACAATGCCCACATAGATAATGCATTAAACATATATTTATGGTGTGTGGTGTATAAACTTGTATAACTATCATTATAAACACTTGTTAATTATCATAAGGCTTTATAACAATAACCATAACAAATTATAATACCTGACCTTGTAAGTCATGCTAAAATGCGTTATGTGTTATGATTATTGCTATAAAGCATTATGATCATTTATGACTATTTATAACTATAGTTATACAGTGCTATAACATGGTTATAACACATAATACATATATTTATAATGCGTTATAGAGACAGACGTCAAGTAAAGTGTTACCAAAACAAGTTTTAATTTCTTATTCACCCTAACCATTCCTATTTCTATCCATTTCCTATTAATATTTGTATTTTCAAGAGCAAGTGTAATGACCAAATTGAATGAAGTACTTCTGATTCTGATACTTACGTAACAACCTGATGAAGATCTAAGAAAGCTTTCTTTCCACCAGATGGCTCCAAATATTTGTACTGAGCTGCAGAGAGTCCCAGCTACCCTTTTAATCCCAGCAAGAGTTTCAAAAATAAAAGTCTGCTGAAGAGTGTGATTCCTAATGAACAGACAGCACAGTGATTGAAACATCTTAGCTGCATTGCATGTCGTCTACATGTACTATGCACAGCAGTGGTGACAGTTTGACTGATTTGTTTAAGATGGTAAAAATGTACTCGGCAGTTGGCCAAAGACGAGCAAGGGCAGGAAGGAAACACTGAGTGCATACATAAAAAATTACTCCCTGAGAGAAACTTGGGTGCTTTAAAACCTGGGTCTCTAGTTTTTCCTGCAAATACTTTTTATGAGTTATTGAATGATTTTCTTAAAATACTTTTAAAAGTTCTGTATTGATCCTAAAAACTGTTGGGAACCAGAGTTTGGTACGTTATATATTGGTCATCAAGACATGGTTTTTAATTCTGTTTCATTCAGTGGATGTTCTAGGTCTGTCTTGGGACCCCCAGGATCTCTGACAGGATACCACAGCACCATCAGGCGCTGTAGGAGACAAACATGACATATATATATGTGTGTAATAAAAGATGTTTAAATGTAAATCCTCAATAGAGTGTTTATGTTGTTACCTGTCTGAGGGGGCCCTCAGTGGTGCAGATCTTGCAAATAGCCCATACAGGTACTGCAGCCACAGAGGAGAAGGCCATTACCCAGCCCAGGTAGTAGGCCCACTTTGGGTACTCATGGCCCTCACTGGATGTCAGGGGCTGATAGTCCAGGAAGGAGCAGATGAAGCAAACCTTGAAGGACAGGCAGATGGGTAAACTAGAACCTGAGATATGGACTTTGGTGCTTAGCTATGGCCAAGGTAGAAGTGTTTTTAATATTAATCAGTAACTTGAACAAGTCTGTTTTTTTCCCCAAACCTGGAGCTGCTATTATACTCACTAAGCAAATTACAGGGGTGAAGTAACGCCAGCACAGTTTAAAGAAAATGGACGGTCTCTGTCCTGTCATATCTTCAACAACGTCACGCATGCGATCGGCTCCTGCAGGAGGACAGTTTGTCAGTGTCAGGGTAGGGCTTCCAAATGTAGGAGCATGTTCTAGATCAAACTTAACAATACTTTAACATTTCTGACCTCAGTACTTCATTTATTTGTAGTGTAGGAAATGGTGGTAAATAACCAGACTATATGAAAAGGTGCACAGGATTGGCCACAGGTGACCCCCACCAAAAAGAAACAGGGACATATCTTCAGTTGTATTGCCTTAGGCCATTGGGTGTTGCAGCCTTTTTCTTACAAAACACCCTCTGCTGAGGCAGGGTCACCCTATGCTGATCAGACCTGGGTGTGTGTCCCTAACCTCTTGGAGCCCACCTGGGGTCTTTCCTCCTTATCCATAGCCACTGGCTGCAGTGCTCAGCAGTCTCTAATGTTTCCCTGATGGTGTAATGCAAGGCTCGGCTGCAGAGCCCCAATTTCTTTGAGAAGATTTCTGGTGGATGTTGCAATGAATCCTCAACAGCCAATCTCTATTGGGCAGACTGTCACTCTCCAGCCTTGCTGTTCGGCCTCTGCCTATAGATCTGAGTGGTGCAGCATCTTCCTCTCCTAGGCCTCGTTCGTGACGTCTTCCCATAGTACTGGGTACTTGATGAAGTAAACAGTACGAATGGTGTTGGACCAGAGTACCATGTCTGGTCTTAGGGCAGAGGTTACTATTTGAGGGGGTATTGTGAGCTGTTAGCCTACATCCACAAGCATTTCCCAATGTCAAGCACCTCCAGTCGACCATTCCTGGCTAGTGCTGGAGTTCCTGATTGTTGTTCTCCTTTACGGGCAAAGGATAATGATGGGACTGATGATGATGTTCTGAGTGGAGTGAAAATGGTTACTTTTCTTTTCACTTGCTGCAGCAAGGGGTTTTAAGCCCTTACTGTGTCTCCAGGTGAATCTGCCCTGTGTTGCACTCAGTAAGGATGTGCCTGAGTGTTGTTGGTACTGTGCACAAAGGGCATGCCGGATCTTTGCCCGACCACTGATGGAGATTTGTAGGAGAGGGAAGAACATCATATATAGCTCTAAGAGGTAAGCTGATTCCACCTGCCTCCATTTTCCACAGATCCTCCCAGCTGATTGTGCTTTTTTCAACGCTTTCCACTGCCCTTGACAAGCTTTTGAGACCACTTTTGCGCATCTCGCAGCCTCTTCCTGATGCCAGATCTCCAGGTCCACCAACTTCCCCCATTCTGATTCTGCCAATGTTGCCTTGCTCCACAGGGGTCTGTCCTTACTTAAGCCCAGATCTCATCTTCCCTGCTGAACTTGGCCCACGATCTCCACATGCTGGAGTGCCAACTTTGCTTGCTGCACCACTTCTTATGGGGTCCACTTCCACCCTGATGTTAGTGCTGGCCCAACAGCCCTTATGATTGTGTCCAGAAACTCTAAGAGAGTCAGTTCCAGTCATGATTTCGAGCACTTCCACAAGACTTGAGAGCAGATCAAGAATGCCATGTCTGTATCAGCTGATGTTGCTCAGATGCTTGTTCTTTCCATCTTGAAGGTCCTGGAAATAGGTCCTCACAAGATTTGTGATGGGTTCAAGCACTTCGAAAAAAGCTAAAGGCAGACTGTTTAAATTGTTCATCTCAGCTGGATCTGATGCCAGATCATACCGGTGTGCTCCAGACATTCCGAAGATCCTGGGATCCCAGTTTTTTGTACAGTGGTGTCCACTAACTTGTTTTTTCCAGGTAGCTGGTCATCCTTTGAACAATGCTGAAAAAAAAATCTTGCCCTCAACATTTAGGAGGCTGTGAGGCCGGAATTAGCTGATGTTTGTGGATTCCTTCTCCTATGGAATCAGCACTCCTCCTGCTCTGTGTCATGCTCTAGGTTTTGTATATTTTGCACTGTGTATATTATTCATATTAAAGCTGTATGGAAAACAATCTATAACCTCGATTAATGTGAAGAATTGACGTTTCTTTTACCACTCACCAAAGGCCCACCCAACAGCTACACACTGGACAAGTGACACAAACCATATACACGCTCCATTAGCTCCGTAGTAGTCAATCAGCTGGAACACATACATCCCTCCCTGGAAGCACAGAGCACAGACTTTATGTGGAATTAATGAAAATACCCTTAATGTGAGAATATGTTTATTGTATGCTTGTGTATTCGGGTAAGGATGTACAGGTCTGTGTGGTACCTGAGTGGAGAGAGAGATATGTAGGATAAAGCAGACAGAGCAGAAAATCATATGGAAGATTTCTCTGCGCCAGGGTTTGCGCATCTCTCCGGGGAACATGTCGATCACTGATGAAGTTATTGTTTCCAGACCTGCAAACTTACACATTCAAATCGACAGAAAAACATTACTACAAGGTGGTATAACTTGGATAACAGATCAAAAAGCAAGCTGATGTAAATCTGGGTGTGGCATATGCATTAATTGTATTGAATCTATCATTTAAAGATCTAACAGATTTGCAAGAACAAAATCATCATATTGCATGTTCCCTTCACCTTCTTCTTACCAGTGTGTCCAGTCCCAAGAGAATAAGCATGATGAAGAAGCAGGCTGCCCACAGCTGAGGCAGGGGCATCATGGCTGCAGCCTGAGGATAAGTAATGAATGCCAGTCCAGGACCTGTAGATGCAAAAACCAATACTTTCTCTCTACTGATTTTCCCTGTTCTCAATGTATTTCCTTCTTTCAGTATTAGAAATGTTTAATCAAACCTGACTGAACCACCATGTTGATTGGAACCCCCTGTTGGTGGGCCATGTAGCCCAGGGCTGAGAAGACCGCGAACCCAGCGAAGAAGCTGGTGCTGCTGTTGAGCAAGCATAACCACAAACTGTCCCTGCACACACACAACGTACACACATAAATACAAAGAAAGAGAGAGAGAGAGAGAACTCAGTATGCGTATTTGCTTTTAATGGGCACTGTCACATAAAGATTTGCATGAACTTTAGCGTGCCAAAACTGTTTGTGACGCTATTCTTAAAGCACCTACAATGTTTGGAGTGCTTAACTGTCTTGATTACAGTGCAAATAGCATGGCTGCACCCCAGTATTGTTGGTAAGTATTAAAATAATTCAAACAGTAACAAAGAATTGTTTTATCTCACGAGGAGTCTGTGACTACACAGTATCCATTCCTGTGTTATCCGCATTGTTTCAAAATTTTGGTTGGTTTATTTTGTGGTCTGCAACTCCAGTTTCAAATTGAAGAGACCAGAAAAATTCTTGTGATATCACTAGCTGAACCTCATGAAGCTAAAAGGTCAGAGTGGTAAGGAAACTTTAAGGTTATGCAAATAAATAAGAAAATAAATGCAACATCTCAGCAGCCCCAAGCATCTCTCATGTATCAAGAGTGTGAAAGGACGAGATTAGAAACAGCAGCAGATAATTCCACCCATATAATGTCCAGCCATTACTTTGGTGAACTTTTAAAACTCAGGTAGAAAGCATATGGGGATGTGGCTCATTATTTTATTTATCTCTGACACAACCATGTGGAAGTGGTAAACAAAATTTGATAGACTGGGTGAAACTCCTTCCAAAATGTGTCAATCAAGCGATTTTTTGCACAACTTACTTGTAGCAATTATTCTGGACTTTGTTGTAGCTGCCCAGTGTGATTACGGTTCCTGCTGCAACAGCATAGGAGAAGAGGACCTGAACAGCAGCCTCCATCCAAACCTGATGACCAAAGATGAAATATGATTATATCTACAGTATGTGTAGATATCAGGCTTAAAAATGTTTGAAATGAAAATTTTCCCTCCCATTAGAGACATTAGAGAAAGCTGCAAGTGTCACCTGGAGGTCTGCCAGATGAGAAGGATCTGGGTATAGGTAGTAGACCACACCTTGCCAGGCTCCTGGCAGCGTCAATCCTCGAAGTCCTTGAAGTGTTTCTACCCAGATATCGTTGGCCGCTTACGTCAACCTAATGCTTTAGAAATGTAACCATTTGATGCGTTATATCTACTTGGTGATCTTCCCCTGTCCCAGAGTTTGTCTGACCAATTTGAACCCCTCCTCCTGAAGACGCAAGTTTGCTGAATTTTTCGTAAGTTTTGTAAATCATGTATCTGAGCTCATCTGCAGTGATTGCTGTGTCCGAGTACTGTAATATGTAAGGCTTCTGCTTGTGCAGGCTTCCCTACACGTCATTCAGTATGATCATGGCTGCTGCCCAGTGACATTTGTTTAACTACAAACTTAACGCTATCATCAAAGAAATTCTAAAGTTTGTCAGACACCCATCTATTTTCTCTCATCTCTTAGAGGCCACGCCTAATTTGCACATGTAATTATAATGCCAGTCTGAGTTGCCCTTTAGCTGAGACATTTGCACAAGCTTAGTTTATCTGTTTTGCTTCAAATGAAGTAATGTATCACAGTGTTTAAAGAGCAAATGAAAGACCACGGTTTCAGGGGGTCATCTAAAACTGCATGTGATCAAGGTTGAGGGCAGTTCCTTTCGACTCCAGAGGAAGGGGTAGCAAAACTGGTTCAGCAACAGAAATACAACTTTGCTGATGTGGGAATGCAATAAAATTTTAGACATAGAACAAGGAAGGAGTCAACTTTGTTGCAGAGTTGAAATGTTTACAACATCAATGTTTTTTTTGAATGAGGGTGGTTTAATGTCCAAACTTCCAGACAGAAATAATCATTTGGCAGTTGAACGCACATGTTAAATATTTCTGTGGCAGTAATCTGTTTGTCAGATTTTCTCATTTTAGAGCTTCATCTTCATTAGGATTTATGAGAGGAACTCAGTAGAAGTCAATGGGATAAAAAAGTATTCCGACTTTGATTCTTACATAACAACCTGATGAGGAGCTCAGAAAGTTTTCTTTCCACCAGATGGCTCCAAACATTTGCACTGAGCTTGAGAAAGTCCTCTGATCCATCTGCAGTTTGATTAGGATTATTTATCACCCTTGAAAATCTTTGTTAAAAATCCATATGAGTTAGAAATGCATTGCCTTAATTGAACTGGATTTAATCTTTTGCTTGTTTGCCAATCATTTGCTCTGTTTGTTTATATATGGAATGGAAAATAGGGAGAGGGACAACAATGCAAACATGTCCTAAAGATATAAGAAAATGTAGTAAATCATTCATCAAATTTGTCTGGAAAGCATTTTGCATTTATTACCCTCATTAATCTTCAGAGAAGTTCCCCATCCAATTGAAACTAGAGGTCTGCAACACAAATCTGTGGAACTAACTTTATGTGATGTACCCACTCTTGAGCCGAGTCAGCCATCTAGTGGCTGAAGAGTACAACAAGGACCTGAAATTACAGCATGGTTGATTTATTCATTTTGGATCTTTTCAACAAAATCAGGGAGAGAAGTTTTAGGAAGGTGGCAGATCAGATTGGTTTTTCAACATTACCAGGTATCACAGTCTGCTTTGTGTACTAAAGTGGACCACTGTAAAACACGATGAACTGTCAGAATCTGAGCTCAGCCTCAGTTTCCCAGAGTTCTTTGGTGCATGTTCCCTTCTTCCTGATTTCCATCAGCCTGTTTTACCTTTCTCACATATGGATGGATCTCAATGGCACACCTGTACATCCTCCACTGGAATAAGAGGATCAAGAAGTCATCCTCCACAACCAGTCAAGTCTGGGACAAATGCTTTTCAAAGACCAGTCTTTCCTCCAGAGAATGGCCTCATGAGGTTTCTCAGGAGTGGAGAGGTCTCATCAGTCATTCAGACATGGGTCAGCTCCTGGGATTGGTCTGTCAACAGGCAGTTGGAGATTCCCAGCTCTAAGTGACGAAACCAAACGCAGAGTTGGCCAGAATTACACCATCACTGGTTCTTCCATACCCCCCACACATGAGCCACTCAGCAGCAATACTTCATGCATCCACATCTGCAAGAAGAACAACAGAAAAGTCCTCTTTTTTTCTGTTGTTAAGGGGCTTTCAGGAGGGCGTGCTTGTCCTACAGTGCCCCACAGCAGAGCAGGAAATTCCAGGAAGCTATCTGGAATTGATCTCTACTACTCTATATGAAAGGGAGCCACCAAAGGACCAGTGGCACCATACTGTGCCATGACAAACCCACAGTTTCGGCTCATGATATGGTACCATTTGTCTAGTTTGAGTTGGAGCACATGGCGAGGCCTGTCATGAGAATTTAACGTACAGAGTAGAGTCTTGTAAGGACACTGAGATATTTTTTCTCTCAGTGGATCTGGAGATGGAAATGGAAACCATCATGTGGACATGAATTCGCAGCCAAAGGTTTGTGAGGTTGGAATGACACAGTCTCTCTGAGGAAAACCAGACAGTACAGTCTGTAAAACGACTTACAGGAGCAGCAAAGCAGAGTGACGTGCACAACCCCAGCTTTCCACACCACAGATATAAATCTAATACAAGTTATCTCTTTGTTATTTTTCCAGCTCTTTACACTGAGACAATAAGAGAGGAGTAAATATTCCCCTTTATGGCTTGGGTCCCCTCAGGCAATGAACTGTCTCTGTGAACTAACACTACCCCACAGATGGAAAACAATGTACTTATCACAGACCGGGAACTTCTTACTGTTACTGTTCCTGTACTGTACCGTACTGTACTGCACTGTACTGCTTTCTTAACACAATATCCTGTTAAAAGAGGTGATTTGCTTACATGCATGATCAACGTCGCCAATCATCTTTTTTACTGTCCTCTGTCGCTGAAGAATAAACTTAAGTGACAGAATCCATGTTTGAGAAAAGATCTCTAGATCCAAGATTCCACCCAGACTTGCTGTTTACTCAGCTTCAGTATCAAAAGCTTACAAAACGGAAAAAGAAAGTAATTGTTGGCTCAGTGACAGGAAATGCTCAAAGATAGGCCTACTGGGATATCCTGGTCCCATGATTAGGTTATCTGTATACTGTTCTTGCTTGTTTTTATTTTTGGTAAACTGCCTCTCCTCTTGTTGATATATCTGCCCACCCTGCCCTTGACTGTATCATGTTTTTGTGGTGAGCCACGTAAGTATTCTAAGTTTTTAAGCTCTCAGTGCTGTCCTAATCTCAGATTAAGAGGTCTTACGTGGACTTCTTAAGTAAAAAATCTCACTCATGATGTTTGACAGGCAAATCTATCATTTATTGTGAAAATTTGATTTGGAAGTTATAAAAATGGGCCATTTTTTAGGCTGCCCCATTGATTCCTACCTGCTCGCACCAGTTCAGGCACTAAAAATTGCAAAGTCTAAGTTGCCAAACTTGCCCCTGATGGTTTTGTTTACTTATGGATATCATAAAAAGGCTTCAATATGAATTTCAGTCTGTCTCATAAATGTCAAAAAACTCCTCATAGGAGCTTTAACTGAAAATGTTTATTTCATGTTTACTCGGGCCACTTGAGAAAAACAGTATTACCATGGAAACACCACTAACTGTTGAATCTGAGGAACCATTTTTCAGTCACTTACAGCTGTTACATACAAACAAGTTGATACTAGATGTTGATTAAAATGATGTAAGCTGCGTAACAACCAGCAGAGTTTTGTCTTGCCTCATCAGGAGCCCCTCTTTTTTCATAATGACCCACTTACTCGACATTTTCCCTAACATTCTTCAGCCCAAGTGTTGACCCTGCAAGATTCGCTGAGCCACACATGACTTTGTGACAAGTAAGCACTCAGTATGGTGATGGTTAGGATGCATTTGTTGGGTTATTACAACTGTTGTGTCTAGGTTGTGCCATGAAATAGAAATTTGGCATGTTTTAACTCTGTTTCGTAGTATTTAACAAACACACTGGATGGTCATTGTTTGACTGGGCAGAAAGTATAACATTTCTTCAACAGATTTATTATTTCATTGCATTTATCCTGTTTGTAAAAAAGGGTCAAAACTTTGTTTAAAGACGGACTTTTCCTTCTCCAAAAAATAATCTTAAGCTATGGAAGTTCTCCGTTAGAGCGTTGCTGCATGTTAAACAAAGGCTGATGATTGTTACCAGAGCCTCAATCCCTTTTTTTCTGCGTCCGCTGAAAGTTTGTGCAGACTATTTGCCAGAATAAACTTAACCCCAAATTAGCTAACATTTCACAGAGTAATTCTGTTGAGCAAAGACGGCATGTCTGCCGAATCTGAAAAGAATCAGTTAACATCATTTGCATGAAAGTTAAACTTGTGTTCTCTGCCCTGGGAAGAAAACATTGAGTTTATCAACTTATATAACTTGTGAAACACACCGAGAACCCCTGCAGTAGCTTAAGGGAAAGGAATTGCTTTCACGGAAGTGCACAAAGCACTTGGGAGCTGGGAGCTTAGGCATCCTGTTTACTGATTGAGGCTCATTCCTTACATAAAAAAGGGAAGGCTCTGAGGATTTTCAGGGACTACAGCTGCATTTGACCCCAGCTAGCACTGCACATGACTATAGAGGTAATAATAAAAGCATGAGAAGAGAACGCATCAAGTGGTACTATGAGCATTTTGCATAGAGGGAGATCTCTGAGGAGTTAACCAAGTGAAGCTGAGATTTCTACTGGGAGCCTTTCCAGAGAAAACCTGGAATGTATACGGACCACGGGGTCAACTAAACATCCATTTTTAAAGCTTAAGTGGGAACAGACGAGTGTGTGCGTGTGTGTGTGAGTGTCTTTATGTGAAGGAGTTGGTTTGTGCAATATCTAAGTGTCCCTGCAAGTGAGTAATCGGTATGTGTGCACATGTGTGTTTAATACTTGAGTACTATAGTTGTCCATTCTGCCGTTCGTAAACATTTCCAAATGTTTGTGTGATCCCATGTGTGTATTTTGGAACACTTTCATTCCCCTCCTTCTCCCCCTCTGCATTTTTTAGGTGAACAACAGCCAACCAGAGGGTTAGTCTCAGGTCAGCTGCCATCACAGGCTAATCAAAAAGACACAGTTCTGCCAAGAGACGTTATTCAACAAGTGGGGTGGGAAAGAAAACCAGGCAAACTACTACCGTTCTCTGATTCAGGAGATCTAAAAAGGTGCAAGAGGTCTTAGATTTATCTCATTGTTTCATAAATCTGAAGATTAAGGTGAAGTCAGTTTTCTGGTTTAACACAAAATGCTGCCAAAGAAGACTTCCATGTTAGTGGGAGAAGAAATTAGATTAAAGGGAGGCGTCTGCGGAGTGTGTTTGTGTGTTACTGCGTGTTCCCTCGTGTAATGTCTTAAAGAGTGATTCTTGTGCAGACATGAAAAACTAAAATGTCCTGTTATCAAACCCCTACAGCCATATGTCGTTTAAGGACATATATGTTCTTGGAGCTGGAATACTAGATGAGACACAGTCCCAAAACTAAAGCCAGCTGTCTTGTTTGGCCCTCACAGCTAAGATTGTTTGAATCAGGCAGGTGTGACCTAAAGGGAAAATGACACATTTAGTTGCACTTGTGCTTATCAAGCAAAGTAAACCTGAATCAAGTCTTGATATAAAGGGTTATGTGGGACAGGGGCTTCTGTCGTTTAGAGAAAAAACTAGGGAAACATTAAAGCATTAAATTTGATATAACTCTTTTATGATGCTGGAGATGAAACTTTGAATTGAGACGACGGAAAGGAACTGAACTTAAAGGATAACTTTTGCTGAGAAACATTTTCTCAGTCTTTTGTGTCTCTGTTTAAGTTCTTGTTTCAGACTCTTTATGAAGTATCTGTCCTTTCAAGAGTAAAAGGTTCAGGGTAACATCTCCTGACAGTTTATATCAAATTGCAGCTGATGAAATTAATTTTGTTTTTTTTTTTAAGTGAGAATTTTATCTCAGCTAGGGATGTTATTTTTTCTGTTTTTTGATGTTACTCACCATGTATCTTTTGCTTCCTTTCAGCACGAAACAAATAAAATGTGACCCAAATGATCGTCCACTATTTTAATCACATTACCACATAAGCTGTTTAAAAGTATTTGGCTGCACCCTCTCATGTAAAAGATTTGGTTTTCCTGATGAGCATGAATGTTACTACAAATCTAAAGATGATAATGGATGCCTATAGCGTTGTACAGATGTCTCATATATCACGCAGGTTTTACACTACACTTTATATCAATACGCTGTATGAATAAGATCAATAATGTCTGTGAAAGTAGATTTACCTAAAAATCCATGTAACAAAGGAAAAAAAAATGTTGTTTTTGAAATTACATAAAGGCAAATAATAGTACACAAGAATGCAAAATATTCTTAACTCAAATGGAATAGCATGAATGCAGCTTGGACACAACACTTATTCATAAAAAAAAGTGTATGAATACATTTAATCAAAACAAAACAACAGGATTAAAGCCATTCAAGTGACTTTGCACAGCCCCATTCACTTTATCTAACCTTACCCTACTTTCTGCCAAACTTTGTTTTTGCGGAGAGAAAGCTGTCTGCAAGCCTGTTCAAAAAAAATAATTTCCCACCGTGTTAGCAGGAAGCACAGCAGGCCAAAAGCCTGGTCGACTTTCTTTTCTGTCCACAGTCTGGAACAAACAACAATGGGTGTCTTAACTGTTGTTGCTCCTGCAATCTGCACACCCACAACCACGGATGTCACAGGGTTCAAATGTGGAAGGTGGAAGATATAATTAAAATTCAGCTTAAACAACTAATGACACCTGCCCTATACTGAGATAAGGACCCCACCCTTCACAGCTGATGTTTATCACTCCTATCAAAAATTCAAAACGTTGTAGGATGCTGGTTAAGCTCCTTACACTAGTTCAGCCTTTCACTGATATTTTTGACTCTTTTTTGCTAATAATAATAATAATAATAATAATAATAAAACACTGTATAAAATAAAGTTGATCCTGTCAAAAAAACAGTTTATGGTTAACCTCAGAAATTACTGATCATGTACAGAGGAAATATAAAGATCTACATTACTCGACACATTGTGCTGCTGATATATGTTTATGATTAAAGTGATCAAATATGTTGATGATTTGTAACATATAGATATATTATGTTTTCTTGTCAAATTATTTCCTTTTTTCCATAACTTTGATTTCCTTTTAACTGACTGACACCGACTGGGTGACTGACTGTCTTCAAACCAGAAGACGAACAGAAAAGTCGTCCTAAGAGTTTGGATTTGGGTATATTTTAACTATACTTTGAAATATTTGACCAGTTTCTTTGTTTGAGTACACCTTAGCCTTGTTTTGTCTTAAATACACCGCACAGTAACTGTAAAGTATTTAAAAGGTATGCGTAAAACGTTTAACTGCGTGCGTAAAATTGAGCCATTTGGGGTCGATGAAAGTAATTGTTCATCTAGAAAGGGGGTGGAGTTGGGGTTTTGGCATCCCCACAAAAGGGGTGGGAGCGGAACAGTATAAGGGCGGGGGGGGGGGGGCGCCGCTTCTTTCCAAAACTTCACCCGGTCACCCTCGCCCAGGGCTCAATCCTCCCCTCCTGCTGTAGAAGTCCGTGCGTAAAAGAAGGGCAGAGGATGAATTCTCTAGTGAAATGGGCGCTAATCCTCTTGGTCCTCTTCTCCATCATTCTCAACATAGTTCTGATCGGCATTCACTCCAGCAGGTCGCCTAAATGTTCCGCACGGAGCGTCCACCCGCTGCGGGCCAAGCACGACGAGCGCAGCGTCGTGTTCGCTGATCTCACCCGGGAGGAGTACGTGCAGGTCCAGCAATACATGCTCAAGCAGAAAGACTTGGACATATCCACCAAGCAGCTTACTAAACCATGGCAGAACTTCTTGTTTTTGATAGACCTGTCTCTACCAAAGAAAGCAGATGCGCTTGCTTACTTGGACGGAAAAGGTGCCAAACCGACCAGAGAGGCGACTGTGGTGGTCTTCTTCGGTGCGCACAGCTATATTAAGGAGTACGTCGTGGGTCCTCTCCCAAACCCGACATACCACACGGATGTAACCCAGGAGAGGTACAAGACAGACCTGCCTATTAATGCGCGCTCCGTCACGGTGGGGGAATACGCATTGCTTTTTTCGTTTTTTGGCGAACATGTGTTCTCCAAACTTAAGACGCTCATGAAAGAGAGCTTCGACGTGGGGGGTGACAAGAAGCTGAATGCGTTTGAGCAGATGCCCCGTGGAGTCCAGTCCGGAGACAGAAAAACCTGGGTGTCTTTCTTCAGGGATGTGAGTGGCATGTACATCCACCCTGTGGGTTTTGAAGTGCAGGTTAACCACGAGAGCGTAAACGCTTCTCAATGGAAGGTGGAGAAGCTGTGTTATAACGGCCAATACTTTGACTCAGTAGAAGACCTGAAACAGAAATATGAAGCTGGGTCCATAAAGAAAATAGTCTATAAGGAATCAGAGGACTATGGATCACTGAAACCAAGACAGAAGCCCCAGCAGATCGGTCCGCAGATGTTTCATGTGGATGGAAAACGCTACAGCGTCAGCAACAACCACGTCCTGTACCTGGACTGGAGCTTTGCCTTTGGACTCAGCTCGGCCACCGGTGCGAGGGTGTTTGATGTGCGTTTTAAGGGGGAGAGGATCATCTACGAGCTGAGTGTGCAGGAGGCAATGTCTGTGTACGGTTCAGTGACACCGGGGATGATGATGACCAAATTCTTAGACTCCAGCATCGGAATAGGACGCTTTGCACATGAACTGACCCGAGGCGTGGACTGCCCTTACGATGCAACTTACATCGACACATACCGCTACATTGATGTCCCAACCCCGGTCAGATTTAGGAATTCAATTTGCGTTTTTGAGCATAATTTGGGTCAACCTCTGCGGAGGCACTTCTCTGACTTCTTCCACAACAGTTATGGAGGGATGGTAAACAGCGCACTGGTGATGAGGACCATAACAGCAATTGGAAACTATGACTACATGTGGGATTTTATCTTCTACCAGAGTGGATCAGTGGAAGCTAAAGTGCACGCCACCGGTTACATCTCCTCTTCTTACCTGGTAGATGGTAATCTGAAATATGGGCACCAAGTGGCGGACAAGGTGCTTGGGAACATTCACACCCACTTCATTAACTTCAAGGTGGATCTGGATGTCTCAGGTGAGTATCAGTGCAGAGTTTGAACATCCACCTGTAAAAGGCAGAGAACAATGTAGAGTGTATTAGAGGAAAATAAATATATAGTCAGATTAAAATGTGTCTTTGCAGAGGGACTGATTCATTAACATCAAACAGTTCTGTGTCTTATTCATTCATTCATTCAATATTTGTACAGTTGACTTCCAGTGCAGGTGTTGCAGTCACTGTCGCTCTAACCAGAATGTGGTCATCAGATCAAGATCCCCTAAGTGAAAAAGACCAGTGTTCCAAAGTTTTGAGTAGCACAGAACTAAAGAGGAGCCGGTTTTCAGCCTAGTTCTTAAGGGTTCAGTGAGTTCATGCAGGAGGTATCATGTGTTCCCTACTAAACGCCCCTATGACTTTGTGATAAGTTCATTGGATCATCAGTTATATAAAGATTTAAGAATGTTTACTTTCTGTTACGTCACACAGAAGAGCTATAGATCAGTGTAGAGGTCTTATCTCTGACTTGATTATTTATGAATGTTGAAGAAATGTATGATACTCCTCATATTTCCCACCAGTCGCTATAGATCAGTGTAGAGGTCTTATCTCTGACTTGATTTATGAATGTTGAAGAAATGTGTATGATACTCCCCATATTTCCCCGACAGTTATCTGTTTGTTTGATGACATGGTACACAAGAATTTCACTTATATCCTTCAGTGCTTTCCATTAGCAAAGAGATTCTGTGTGAAACGCTGTCAGGAAATTAATTGACTGGATATGTATTTTCACTGGTTATGAGGCTTTTTTTTTTTACAATCAATAAAAAAATCCTTATGAGTACCTATCAGGATCCACAAAATAATCAAATACACTCACACATAACTGAGTACAGAGTCTTGCTGAACTGTCAAAAACAGTAGAAATTGATCAAAAGGGCATAAAAAGCCTCTTTCTTTCTTTCTTTCTTTCTTTCTTTCTTTCTTTCTTTCTTTCTTTCTAAATGACAATGACAACAAGTTTTCAAAATAATCATACTATCATTGTCTCTCCATCTTCTGCAGGACAGAGGAATTTTTTCCAGACAAAAGACATGCAGTATGTCAACAGGTCTCTGCCATGGATGCCGAGTCGCTACGCCACGGTCCCTGAGCTTGTGGAGAAAGACCTGAAAACAGAAAAGGTCAGTTTCTGGTCATTGTTTGTAATACTGATAACACTTTCACATCTGATGTCAGAAAATACCTGCAGCTGGAAAATCCCAAAGATTATCATTTTTACCAACCAAGTGGCTGAGTCTCTCTTTAGAGGCTAACAGTGACGACAGTCCAGCAAGCGTTAGCCCTGACTGCATCAGGAAAGACCTTTGTTCAGATTTGAACTTGTCACCTCTGGTTCTTTTATAGTTGCTGTAAAATCTTTGAAAGCAAAACACAGGGTTGATATTGTCTCTTTATCCTGGGCAGGATCTGTAGCTAAATAAGCCGAATGTGAATGTGCAACAAATGCGTCAGCTCTTTTTCTAATCTGAACAAATGATCAGGGGCTTTGTCTAAGAAAAAACTCATGAAAACTATGAAACAGTCTCAACTGATGGCTAAGTCAGAGTCCTCACTGTCCTCTGAGTCTTAATGCTGTCAGTGTTTGGGTCTGAGACATCACAGCTAGAATCCAAGTCAGGTCACAGGTTTGAGTCTAAAAAGATGAATTAAAACACAATTTATATCATCTGCTGACTGAGCTCTTTTGAGGCAAGTACATACATTCTTTGTTATGCTTTTTTCTGTCCACTATTTCTAAGTCTGAACTGCCCCAACTGCTGAAAATAAGCTTCAAAAAGCCCCGTCAAAGACTCTGTGAGTTAGCTAAGGATGGCTAATGACATGTCTCTGATCCTGCTCTAAACATCAAATATAAACCATTACCATCAAACCGAGACCACCCAGACAGGGTCCCACATTTTTTAAGGGTCAGACTGAAGCACTAGTTTTTTCCAGTCAGGTCTAATACAATGATTTGAAAATCCTTTTCCATCTGTATGTAACTGAATACACAGCAAAGACAAGTTATTTCATGTTCAACCTGACAAACTTAGAGGTGTTTTTGCTCTCATTTTGAATTTGATGCTGCAGCATGTTCCTAAAAAGCTGGGTCAGGGTCGTGTCTACCTCTGTGTTACATGACCTTTCCTTTTAACAACACTCAACTTGTGAACTGAAGACACTGACTGTTGAAGTTTTGAAGGTGAAATTTTTTCACATTTTTGTTTGATGTATGACTTTAGTTGCTCAACAGTCCAGAGTCTCTGTTGTGGTATTTTGAGCTTCACAATGCTCCACACATTTCTAATGGGGGACAAGTCTGGACTGCAGGCAGGCCAGTTTAGTACCCAGACTCTTGGACTTTTAGGTTATGCAGCTGTAACACGTGCTGAATGTGTCTTGCTGAAATAAACAGCAAGGCAGCATGGCAGCATATGTTGCTGTAGAGCCTGTATGGACCTTTCAGCATTAATGGAGCCTTCACAGATGTGACAGATATCCATGTCATGGGCACTAACACACCCACATACCATCACAGACACTGGCTTTGAACTTTAACCTAAAAACAGTCTGGATGGTTTTCCTCTTTTCCTCTTGTAGGAGAATCTCTTCATACATTTAGGTTAAGAAATATAGAGTAATTATCTCTTAGTAAGGAGCTACAAATAATCTAGGTTGGCCTGCTCATGCAGCCTTATGACCCTGAGGTTACAAGCAAGGCTGTCTTGCAGGAGCCCGAACTATCTGTCTGTTGGAACATTTAATCTCTGCGAGAGTTAAGACAAGCCTAAACTAAGTGTTGAGGGTCAGAACAGTATGACATGTCATCATGGGTAGCCCTCTGGAGAATTGATATGACAGAATACACACACACACACGCACGCACGCACACACACACACACCTAACAGCATAAAAGGGAGTAGAGGAAAAGCTAGGGAGGCTTCCTTCGGTCTGGGTCGAGACTCTGTTTGTCATCTGTACTGATTTCTACATCTGTACCATTAAAGACGCCCAGGCTGTTCTTCAGATCTCATCCTGTCTCCTGTGTATTGTTTATGCTGGATTTTCCACAACATAATGGCGAGCCAGCCAGGAGGCTGAGGGCACCACATCCATCATTTCCAAAAACTATCAGAAATGTGGACTCATCAGACCACCACACACTTTTTGACTTAGAGTCAGTTCATCTCAGGTGAGCTCGGGCCAAGAGAAGCCGGCAGTGTTTCTGGCTGTTGTAGATATCTGGCTTTGGCTTTACATGGTAGTGTTTAAACATCTACTTATAGATTTGGAGATGAACTGTGTTAACTGACAATAGTTTTCTGAGGTGATCCTGAGCCCACATGGTAAAAAACCTTTACTAAATGATGTGAGTTTTTGGTGCAGTGTGGCCTGAGGGGTTGAATGTCACAGGCATTTGATGTTGGATTTGGCCTTGCTGCATGTGTGCAGAGATTTCTCTGGATTCTCTGAATCTTTTGATGAATTTATGGACTGTAGGTGATGAAATCTCTAAATTTTTACTAACATATGTTGAGAAATGTTGTTCTATAACTTTTGGACTGTTTGCTCACACAGTTGCTCGCAAAGTGATGTACCTCTTATACCCAATCATGACACTAACCAGTTAAGGAATTGTCCAATCAGGTGTTTTTGGAGCAGTCTTTTGTTGCCCCTGCCCCAGCTTTGATTCATATGACAAAGCGTTGACATATATAATTGAAAACTGTGTGACTTGTGGTTTTCGTCAGTTATTATGCATTAAAATTATCAACTCCTCCACAGGAAGCTGCTCTGCGTTATGATACAAAGACTCCACGTTACCTCCACATTGCCAGTAACAAGACCAACCGCTGGGGCCATCAGCGCTCCTACAGGCTGCAGGTGTTCAGCTTCACTGGAGACCACCTCCCAGAGAGCCAGACAGATGAGAGATCCATGTCCTGGGCCAGGTGAGACTGATACAAAGTCCGAATCCTCATGTCTTGATCAGCCAGTGCAGTTGTACAGCATCACCCAACAACATAACAGGCAAAATGATCCAAAAGTGCTGTAGTGAACTTCTGTGAAGGTCTGTGGTGATTCACACACTCCCTAACACCTCCTAACTACTAGGCCAAGAAAGAGACTTCTTCTTCTTCTACTCTTTGTTATAGGGCAGGTGACAACCAGCATTAAGGTGCATTACTGCCCCCTATATTGGAGTGTTGACCTTAGAGTAAACAGAGACAGACCAAAGTAGTACCTGTGTGATTAAAAAGTTAGTTTGGGATTTAAAAAAAACCCATAAATTATGGACCTTTGACAATCATTCATTGAAGACCCTCTGTGCTCTGTCTGTCTGTCTGTCTGTCTGTCTGTCCTCAGGTATAAGGTTGCCATCACCAAGCATAAGGATTTAGAGCAGACCAGTTCTAGTCTCTACAGTCAAAATGATGCCTGGGCTCCTGCTGTTGACTTCAGCAAGTACATTGAAGACAACGAAAGCATTGAGAATGAGGTGTGTTGAGTTATTGGCCACAAAAATGACTTAATGATTAAAAAATTACTCATATTCTGATTCATTAGCTGAAGGGATTTTTCATAATCTGTACTAAACTGCATCTGTAGGACCTGGTTGCCTGGGTGACCACCGGTTTCCTCCACATCCCTCATGCTGAGGACATCCCCAACACGGTTACAGTGGGCAACGGAGGCGGAGTCCTGCTGCGGCCACACAACTACTTTGACGAAGACCCCTCTATCCACTCTGCTGATGCGGTGTATATTGCGCCTGGCGCTGAAGACAGCTGTGAGAACAACAGGATGGCCTGTCTCACTGAGGAGACCTGCAGCCCCGTCTTGGAGGCCTTCACCTACCATGGCTTTGATGGAGTCATGAAGTTTGAGGAATGACTTTGATTTACTAAACACTGTTAGATGCTAGCTCCAGAATGTGCTGGTCTACTAATGTAAAAAGAAGCTTAGCTTGATGTCAAAATGTTCAAAGTGCAGTCCGGGACAAAATATTATTTTTATATGTGCGTTTTAAAGCTGCACTTTTTTTTTTAAATTACACTGAATAAGAGGATTTTAAAATATTTAAATTCTTATTCTTCCCAAAAAGGAGAAAAGTGGACCATTTTTGTTAAAAAAAAATGTAGGGTCAGCCTAACTGATCATGAATATTAGAAGTAGTTTCAATTTTTATGGACTTTCAGGGGATAAAATCAGGCAAATTTCCAACAAGAAAAATCGTGCACACATTTTATACAGGAAAAACATGACACCATGACAACAAAAACTAAAATACTCAAAAGTGACTTTGGGACGACATGATTAAGTCCCCTAAAGAAGGAATTGTTGCCTGCCACCTTAAGGATAATACTGAAAGAATAGCAGGTTAATGTCCTATTAGATTTAGAAAGCTCAATCTTCTTGATCTGGTTTTGATTTGGTTTTGATCTTGATCTGAATGTGTCATACTGTTCTCTGAAGCGGACACTAAAATGAAATATTGGACTTCAACGCTGCCCTCTTGTAGAAGACGTGAGGTAGATCAGGCAGTTGAATAGCAGCGATCTCACTGGTCATTTAAGATGGTTTGCTTTATCCTGCCTTGGTCAGAGGTGAATTGGGACAGGAGGGGGATTCCTGAAGCACATTTCTTCTATTTTTACAGTAAACTACAGTGACTTTTGGAAAAACATGTTTTAGCTATAATAAATATGCTTTGAATACACGTTAAAATTTGTTGTCACTCTGTTTCATTATCTTTCAAATTAAAATCATACACAGAAATGTAATAACTTTTGTATTCTTTTGTTAGTTATAATATGCTGATGTTTGTTGATATAGATAAAAATGGTGCAAACAGAAATGTTATTCTCTTTTATGTGTACCAAAATATTCTGTTCATGTAACAAGGTGCTATAATATCACATGAAATACCACTGCTTTAATATTAAGTTACTGTGAATGAGGAAAAGTATCTGTTTGCATAAACTCTTCTTGCATTAGCTCGAGTTATTATGAAACCACAACTTTGGTGCAGACTCAGATATCTGAACAATTCTCAGATGAAATGGAGCAGATTTATTTACAGACATACCTGGAGCCCAGATGAAAACTCTATTACTTTGAGATCTGCTGAATTCACTTACGATCAAGATTTAATCGAGCATCAGCTGCATTTTGTGTTTCTATTCAAGCTTTGAAGTGAATACAACCTCACAGGCAGCTGGTATGGTGCAGAAACTCTATGCTGTATATTTATTTGGATTCTCATCTTGACATTTTTTGTGGGCTCAGTTTTTCACAGGGTGTTTCTTTGATGGGGTAGTGTTTACTCCAAGCTTACTAAGTATACTTGCACACAAAATAAATGACAACTGCCAAAACTGAGCACTTCTTCTTTTATGTGGTATATCACATTAGTTTCACACTTTAAAAACACATTTTCACTTGTTACTTCAGTTCATATTTATTACAATAAAGATATGGACCAGTTGTAATTTTCCTTTGCTTTTTGAGAGAATAATAATCTGCACATCACAAAATAAAACTTAGTATAGACCAAAGAGAAACCCATCTCTTCTGGTATATCACTGTGTCTCCTCTGGTTTCTTATATGTGTTACAGAAATTACAGCAAGGACTTGTTTTTCAGATTGAATTTATGTGTTCACAAATTACACAAAGTTACTACTAATTGTGGAGCATGAGTTCTTTATATTTGTTTTCCTTTTTTTTTTTTTTTTTACAACTTTCAAAGGTTAAATGTTATTCAGCAGCTTGTCTAACACTGACCCCCTCGCACCAGCTTCATGTCTTAAAAATTCATATAAAAAAATTAATTATCACTCTTGTTGTTGATGGTCTTGATTGATTTTAGTACAGGCAGACACCTTTATTCACATGCATACACATTGTAATGTTGGAGTCTCAGTTCGCTTTTTAGGCTTTTTCGTTTCACCGTTTCATTGTTCACATGCACAGATTAAACTACATGTAAGGAAAACATGTTCTTCCACACTCTTAGGTGTTATTTTGCAGGGCTTGTTTGTGTAATTTGATCGATTTTCTATTATGTTGTGTTCATACAAAAGCTTAATCCAGACTGCATTTGTTAGAAACCAGAACTTTCTAGCTATACAAAAGAAGCCCGCCCCTGCTTAGATTAAACTCAGAACCTGACCTACCACTCTAAGGTGCTGCTTTACATTTATTTGTTCAGGCAAATAAAGCTTGTAAAGTAAAGCATAACAGTGTGTTAGCACTGGCCCACATGTGGTTAAATACCTGACCAGCTCCCAGGAGATTATGTCTAATCTGGTCATTGTACTCTACCTTGTCTGATCTTCAATTGGAAGTGATTTTGTCGTTTCTGACACTCTAGGATACTGCCTGTTTGTCCTGAACTTGTCTTTAAATGGTGGGAGATCTCCTCAGAAATGGGCCTGATTCTGAAAAGAGAAAACACAGCAATGGTGATAGGATGTATTTACAGCTGGCCTTCCAAGGTGCAGTGCAAAAATATTAACAAAAGTGCAAAAAATGGTCAATTAGTATTTACAAAATGTACAAGGCAAAAAAGAAAATGCATACTAGGCAGGAGCTCCACTATAATTCAAGATTCTCCCTAAAGAGAAGAAAAAACAGAAACACAACAGCACAACTAAAGTTAGTTTGGCAGTTACTGTTAATGCAACAAACTCTAGTCTTTAAGAGAGAAAGGCCCATGAAGCCTTTCTTAGCCCCTCCCAGTGGGCATTATCAGTTACAGGAGTTTGGGAAAAAACTCATTTATCCACATTAAAACCATTTTTAATCTTCAGACCTTTTTCTGCAAGTTTTTGCCATTTTAACTAAGTTTTAACACAAACCAATAGAGCATTAGTTTTTAGGGATTCATGGAAAGAAACAAGGGAATACATTTTTCTTGCATCATGTGACCACTTTGACCCTCCATACCCAACTATTTCACACCCGGAAGTCACGCACTCTGTTTCCTCATTCGGAAACGTGAACCGGCATGATGGCGTGAATGGACACCCGGCAGGTAAGTGGAGGGATGAGTGTCTGTGTGAATGTGTGTTTAAGTTAACCGATAGAGCTCTAAGTGTGCAACCTTGGTTACCCTATCCAACAGAGAAGGGAGAAGGAAAAGTAGCGCTGTTTAGTGGGGAGGGAAATGATTGGCGTGTATGTAGGTCTGTATGTGTGGCTCCATCCGCTGCCCGCAGTCAGTGAGGACGCCGCTCCCTCACATCCGCTAAACGTTAAAATTGCGGTAATATTTCTAATGTTATACTAGTAGTGATATTTCCACATTCATTGATAAAAATGGCTCAAGGGATGGATCGTTGGGATGACCGTTTTAGAAGGGGGATATTTTGGCCATTTTCATTTTAAGGGGATGCCATCCCCCCTCATCCCCCTCTACAGTTTATATGTATTCACAGGTTTTTTTTAAGCCTGTGAGCCAATAATCCTTTGGAAACTGTGCAAACTCTTCTAATCTTAGATGAGGGTGATAATGTAAACTGTGGCTGCAGAGTCAGGAGAGGTCCTGGCACTCCTGCTGTAGGGGAGAGTGGGGTAAGTTGAGCCAGAGGGTTAGACATTTATTAAAAAAAAAAACATTTTTCACTCTTGAAAGTGAATTTAGTCTGTCATAAGTTTTATTAGAATTATGTTCAGACCAAAAAAAATCATTTTAAATTTGTTTAATACATCTTGCTCCCAGTGTGTGTCCTCCACTGGTGTATGATTGTGAGTGTTGTGTGGTGGTGGTTAGAGAGGCTGTAGGCACAAACTGGCAGCCATGTTTCCGTCAGTCTGCCCCAGTACAGCTGTGACTACTAAGGTAGTTTACCACTGTGTGAATGAATGAATGATGTATCCAATGTAAAGCGCTTTGAGGGTCTCTGATAAAGCACTGTATGAATTTTGATGCCTTAAATAATTGATATAACTATCACATTTTTTAAAGAAAACATAATATTTGCTGTCTAAACTTGGCATAGTTGGTATTTTTCACTTAAACAACTTGGCATAAGTTGGAGTGAGCTTTGTGTTTTGAACTAGTATCTTTATGTTGGCACTGCTCAACGACAATAGTTGTCATGACTCAAAATAATCTTGCTCACTCTCTATTTTTAGTTAAGACAACTGATCACTATTAACAGTGCCAACATCTTACAAATGACATGTTTTACTTACATTTTATACTATAACTAGAATGGTTGTTTTGGGGCTGAACAAAGAGACAACTTTTAATTTGAAAGTAGATGATAGATGTGGGGGTTTTGGCATCCCTACAGGAGGGGTGGGAAGAGTTATGGGGTGCGCCTTTTCCCTCCAAAATAGCTGTCCCGCTCGCTCCCTCTTGCCCGAGGCTCTTTTCTTCTTCTCTACGAGCCTGTGCGTAACAGAAAGGCAGAGGATGAATCCTCCCCTGAAATGGGCGCTAATCCTGTTGGTCCTCTTCTCCATCATTCTCAACATAGTTCTGATCGGAATTCGCTCCGGCGGGTCGCCCAAATGTTCCGCTCGGAGCGTCCACCCGCTGCGGGCCAAGCACGACGAGCGCAGCGTCGTGTTCGCTGACCTCACCCGGGAGGAGTACGTGCAGGTCCAGAAATTCATGCTCCAGCAGAAAGACATGGACATATCCACCAAGCAGCTCACTGAACCATGGCAGAACTTCTTGTTTTTGATAGACCTGTCTCTACCAAAGAAAGCAGATGCGCTTGCTTACTTGGACGGAGAAGCTCCCAAACCGACCAGAGAGGCGACTGTGGTGGTCTTCTTCGGTGCGCAACGCCGCATAAAGGAATACGTCGTGGGTCCTCTCCCAAACCCGACATACTACAGGGACGTAACCCGGGAGAAGTACAAGACAGACCTGCCTATCACTGCACGCACGACCACAATAGGGGAATACGCATTGCTTTTTTCGTTTTTTGACGAACATGTGTTCTCCAAACTTAAGACGCTCATGAAAGAGAGCTTCGACGTGGGGGGTGACAAGAAGCTGAATGGGTTTGAGCAGATGCCCCGTGGAGTCCAGTCCGGAGACAGAAAAACCTGGGTGTCTTTCTTCAGGGATATGAGCGGTGTTTATGTCCACCCTGTGGGGTTTGAGGTGCAGGTTAACCACGAGAGCGTAAACGCTTCTCAATGGAAGGTGGAGAAGCTGTATTATAACGGCCAATACTTTGACTCAGTAGAAGACCTGAAACAGAAATATGAAGCTGAGTCAATAAAGAAAATAGTCTATAAGGAATCAGATGACCATGGATCACTGAAACCAAGACAGAAGCCCCAGCAGATCGGTCCGCAGATGTTTCATGTGGATGGAAAACGCTACAGCGTCAGTAACAACCACGTCCTGTACCTGGACTGGAGCTTTGCCTTTGGACTCAGCTCGGTCACCGGTGCGAGGGTGTTTGATGTGCGTTTTAAGGGGGAGAGGATCATCTACGAGCTGAGTGTGCAGGAGGCAATGTCTGTGTACGGTTCAGTGACACCGGGGATGATGATGACCAAATTCTTAGACTCCAGCATCGGAATAGGACGCTTTGCACATGAACTGACCCGTGGCGTGGACTGCCCTTACGATGCAACTTACATCGACACATACCGCTATTTTGATGTCCCAACCCCGGTCAGATTTAGGAATTCAATTTGCGTTTTTGAGCATAATTTGGGTCAACCTCTGCGGAGGCACTTCTCTGACTTCTTCCACAATAGTTATGGAGGGATGGTAAACAGCGCACTGGTGATGAGGACCATAACAGCAATTGAAAACTATGACTACATGTGGGATTTTATCTTCTACCAGAGTGGATCAGTGGAAGCTAAGGTGCACGCCACTGGTTACATCTCCTCTTCTTACCTGGTAGATGGTAATCTGAGATATGGGCACCAAGTGGCGGACAAGGTGCTTGGGAACATCCACACCCACTTCATGAACTTTAAGGTGGATCTGGATGTGTCAGGTGAGTGATAAAAAAACTTAAAAGTTGTGTGTCCATGCAGGGAGAGCAATGGTAGAGAGCAATGTTGGACATGACTAGTATTCTAAGAAACAGAACAACTGACCTGTTTGCCCTGAATGTCAAAAATAACAGTCAGTAAATGGTCTGATAATGAGTAAATGAACACAAGGAGAATCATAAGGACACCGTAAACAAATGCCCATAAGCTACTATGATGTGTTATGTATTATAAGTAAATTTTCAGATGATAGTTTAAAGGAGAAATGACTGTTTACTATACAGTAAAGCTTAGCTTACCAGGGGTGTGTCCAGTGGGATGGCAGGATGGTGGCCATGGCCCTCATTGAAATATAATATCTATCTATATAAATATAAAATGGTTATTGGCCTTGTCAGAAGTGGGATTTATGTCAAAATCAACTATTTGTGTTTTAACAGGCTGCCACTACCTATTTTTTAAATATTATACTTATATGATTGTTAATACTATTTTATTTTATCTTTTTTCCAAGGATTTTTACTTGTGACAGAAGGAGAGGAGATGGAAAGAGTTTTTATTCATATGTTCTTGCACACATTATGCTTGCATCCCTGCAAAAAAATCAGTGCCCTGGTTGGGCCACCCCAATCAGAAGAAATTGAAACATGCTTCTGTAGCTTGTAATAAAATATTAGTTCAGGAGAATGTATTTGCTTGGCCACCTTGAAAGTATAGGGTGTCTTTCTTTACATTAAATTAAATCAAATAGGTAATATTGGTTTTATCAGACTCTACTGTTGAGCCACAGCCACCTCAAACATTCACTGTGAATTGATTTTTCCTTAACTACTTATATTTTAATGTTACTTGATCATTTATTAATTTATGATATACCTCACATTTCTCATACTTTCAATTATAATGAGTCATGCATCAGTTAGATACTACACATGAATGTGATTAACGTCTTAGACAGTGTGAACAGAATTTAAAGGAAAGTTGAGGCTCAGGAGTGACACATTAGCACAATAAATAATCATACATCTGGATGCATACATCTGGATTTTATCCCATTATACTTTGGAAACATACAAAATGTCATATAAATAGATGATATTAAATATCTAAACTGGACAAAACAGTAGCATGTATGCGTGTTTCTTTTGCAGGTTTGAAGAATGTTTTCCAGACCAAAGATATGCAGTTTGTTAACACGTCTCTGCCATGGATGCCTCAGCATTACGCTATGGTCCCTCAGCTTGTGGAGAAACAGCTTAAAACTGAAAAGGTCAGTCTTTTTTGATTAAAAAGTCAACATTTATGATTCTTTCAACATAGACGATGAGCCAGTTATCCTAATCTTTTCATTTGAATCTGAAAACTCAAAGATTTATAAACATTCCTGGAACTTGGTCTGTTTCAGTTTTTTTTTTCAGGCATGAGGTCATTTCATGAACCCGCTGTCTAACAGCAGGGGGCAGCAGTGTCCTGTAGAGGCTCACTGAAACAGTTGAATCCATAAGCTCTTTTAAGTTCATTTACGGACAGATTATCAAAAATACTTACAGTAAATTGAATGTCCCATATAAACCACAGATTACCTGGAGCATGGACACATACAATGATCCAAAAATCTTAACTAAACACTAATTTCATAGTTTGTTGTTGGACTGTGAACCAGACGTAAATGCCAAAGTAAACATCTGAGTTTTTCCTTAAAAGCTCCTGTATTTCCTTATGCTAAGTCCCAGGAAACAAAATTGCTGTGTTTACCCCAAACTAGTCTATAAATATGATATAAGTGAATGTGACTGGCTCAACTCCAAGCAGACTGGGTGGGAGGATACGAAACACACCCCAGCAAATAAATCACCAGCTCAAATATGTCCATGGGTTCCATGTTGGTGAGTGTTTGACACACATTTCCCCCCAATCCCTGTGAGATACAGCAAAAGTTTGGTTCATGTTACCCTTATGTGAGCCTGTTGGAGCTCAGCCTGTCTGCTCCACTGAAACATGCTCCTTCAAAAATGTAGAAAGAGACGAACTTTGTTATGTATTCACAAATTTAATACAGATTGATGTGATTTTTAGTTGAATCATGGTTAATTTGAGACAAATGCCTATTGTGACTCCTCCACAGGAAGCTGCTCTGCGTTATGACACAAAGACTCCACGTTACCTCCACATTGCGAGCAACCAGACCAACCGCTGGGGCCACCAGCGCTCCTACAGGCTGCAGGTGTACAGCTTCGCCGGGGACCACCTCCCAGAGGGCCAGGCAGAAGAAAGATCCATGTCCTGGGCCAGGTGAGACTGCCATGACCCACAAGACAGACCTAGGTTTTCAGTCTTGGTTCTGTTGGCCTCCCATTGTAGACTCTCTGTGCCTCCTCAGGTATAAGGTTGCTATCACCAAGCACAAAGACACGGAGAGGACAAGCTCTAGTCTCTACAGTCTAAACAACATGTGGACTCCTGCTGTTGACTTCAGCAAATACATTGAAGACAACGAAAGCATTGAGAATGAGGTGTGTTGAGTTATTGGTCACAAATAATGACTTAATGATTAAAAAATACTTCTATTCTGATTCATTAGCTGAACGGATTTTCATAATCTGTACTAAACTGCATCTGTAGGACCTGGTTGCCTGGGTGACTGCCGGTTTCCTCCACATCCCCCATGCTGAGGACATCCCCAACACGGTTACAGTGGGCAACGGAGGCGGAGTCCTGCTGCGGCCACACAACTACTTTGACGAAGACCCCTCTATCCACTCTGCTGATGGGGTGTATATTGCGCCTGGCGCTGAAGACAGCTGTGAGAACAACAGGATGGCCTGCCTCACTGAGGAGACCTGCAGCCCCGTCCTGGAGGCCTTCACCTACCATGGTTTTGATGGAGCCTTGAAGTTTGAAGAATGGGACTAATTCACTGAGCGCAAACAGGTAAATAGATCAATCCCAGGAGAGACTGTGATTACAGTAAACACCATCAACAAGTACTCATTATTCTTTTGTGTGTTACACCAAGATACAAACAGACCTGGTCACCTGTTGCAACACATGACAAAAACTTGATTTAGGATTGTAGTTTGGCTCCTTTCATAATAAAACCTATAATAAAAAGTTGTACCTATGTATCAAAGATATATGTAAAAGATATAATAATAATAATAAATAATGCTAGTCACACAAAATCAGTTTTAAAAGTGTGGTCATGGGGACTTTTGGCTTAGCCTGAGGTTGGTATATGCAGTTAAAAAATATCATGTTTTGTGCATGTTTAGTTAACATTTTGATTTAAATTGGTTTATTACAAGTTTACTTACAACCCTAAAAAGTATTATCATATTGGGACTTAAAAGATATAAATAATCAGTGTTATTTAAAGATTCATTGCTGTATTTCTTGGCTGGATTGTTCTCATAACATAATGAAGGAAAGGGGCTTTCAAAGTCTCCCCTTTACTCTGATTATTTTTGCTATTTCAAAGCTGTTCATGCTTCTTTTCATCTTATTTTCCAGGTTGAATCTCCCATTAAAGCCCATTAACAATCAAATCTTCAATATCCGATGGCCTCATGCACCAAAGACAACACTAGGAGGAGCAGTATTCAACACCTCTTCTTCATTATAAAAGAAGAATCTTGAGGAATTACTTGAAAAGAAAAGAGTTTACGGTGGTGAGTTAGTGAATGTCAACCAAAGTTTTAAAGTACTTTGTTTTGTTTTGTTTTTTTTAAAGTTCAGGACTGGTAAAGCCCAACAATGTGCTTTATTAAAAGGGAAAGTATAGGTCATTTTGTAAAGGTACAGACTGTATCCAACTTGAAACCATATGCTCACACAGATAAAGATATAAACAGACAATTTCACACACAGACATCCCACAGACTAAACATACCAAATGTATTCATGTAGAAATGACTGAATGTCCTTCTACATCAAGTCCCATTTTGCACTTTTATGTTGTTTCATTTTGGACGACTCTTGATGACACAGCTGTAAATCAGGAAATATCTGTGAAGGACTTCAATAAAAGCCTTTCTGAATTATTTGACATATATATTCCTTTGTCAGGATGTTAAAACTTTTAAAATAGCTGCGTATGAAAGGCTTCTACTCTAAGGTCATTCACCTTGTTTACAGTTGTAGGCTGTTTTTATCTTGCACTTTCACCTGACTCCACCATCGAGTCACTGCCGCCCCATCAGCTCAGTGATTACTCCTGTGCCTTTCTTTGTGTCCTGGGGCAGTTAAAAACAACAAACAGGATTATCTCATGGTCACACATACCCCAGCAAATGATGGACAGTAAAATCTTACATGTGAATGATATATTTTATTATTTTATGGAATACTTACAATGGTAATCAATTTTTATAACAATTATCTATGAATCATACTAAGGTTGAGACAAACCCAAGGTGAGGCAGATAATATGGATTGAACCTTCAGCACCAGGTTGTCAAACCCTGCAGCAAATGATGTTAACATGAGTTATACAAAAGTAATATGACTAACACAACCTTTCCTCTTTAACAATGCAATAAAAATAATAAAAAGGACAAGAATATTGAAAACCTTACCCCTGACTCTATGCCTTCACCACTTTAGGTAATATAAAAGCGCTTTGAGTGGTCAGAAGACTCAAGTAAGTGCTATATAAACACAGTTAAGTTCCCATATATCTCTCCAAACCAAATATTTCGGGCTGCTGGCTGCATTATCTAAACTGAGGCCTGAACAGACGTGGGAAAACAATGATAGCTTAAAACAATCCAAGCTAATCCACAAGCAAGATGCCAAAGCACTTCTGGAAAGACTAAACATGAAATATTGAGCTGGTGGTTAAGACAAAAATTCAGTTATTTTTATCTAGATACTTAAATATCTGAAGAAGATCTCCAAACTGTGGATCCAAAAGTGGTAAAGAAACTTCAGACTGGACCACCAATGCTTAAGTCACTGTGAAGGCTTTCACATGATCCTTTGCCATGGAGCAGGTTTTTACGTATTGTGTACTCAGAGGGCACTTTTACAAATTTCATCTTTTATAGAAGCAGCTGCTTTTTCTGGTAAATTAATAACTATTTGAGGGCACCCCTGATGCTGCCTTTCCTAAAAGAAAAGTTGTTTGCAAGAGAATTGTTTTAAAAATTAACCTCCAACCATTTGTGATCCCTCTCCAAATAATGCTTTCACTGAGGCAACAGTCTTTGTTTCCGTGACCAGAACATGCAAAAGTTCAGCCGAAGTCTGTCAGACAGCTGATAGCGTTCAGTGAGAAAACAACCTGAAAAGCACACAAGAATTGTAACACTTCTTATCCTGACTACTTTCCTGTGAGATACAAAGGGCGAAGGGAGCACCAAAGTGAATAAATACAGAAGTGAGCAAAACAAAGGCAATAATAACAAACAGATACTTATCTCCAGCCGACAACACACAGCACTTTGAAACCCTTTCAATACCATGTTTAAGAAAATCAAACTCAACCTTAAAAAACAACTCTTTTGGAGAATATTTGGACCTAAATTATGTAAATATTTTTTTTAGAAAGTTGAACTGTTAGGAGAAATTATGTAGGTATTGTTGACAGCAGCAGAGCATATTTCTTATTTAAAATGTCTTAAAAATTATTTTAAAACCCAACTGGGAGTTGTAGTTGAGGAGATAAATGACAGACTCCAGTTGTAGGCGGTTTATCTGTAACTAAATATATCATCATAATATGCCTTTATGATTAACCCTATCTAAACTGTACTCTGACCCTTTCTTACAGCAGCCATAATAAACTTTAAGTCACCTTTCAAAGGGCTGGAGTCACATGGCACGTGTTTTGTTTGAAGGTGCCTCTCCACCAAGCAAATATTAATAACAATAACAAACTCTATTTATGTGGCAGAGGACCTTAGGTTACCACCGGGCACATATGGAGGGAGGGGATCAGAAATGTACTTAACAATAAAATCTTAAAATCAATTTTAAAACTTACTGGGGTCCAGTGAACTGAAGCTAAAACTGGAGTTATATGATTTGTCTTTTTGTCCTATAATGAGGTGAGCTGCTTCATGCTGGTTAAGACACATGTACATGGAGTTGCAGTAGTAAAAGCATGAATGAAAATGTCAAGATTCTTTTTTACAAAAATGACTATAAAATCAAACTTAAAGCTCCCCTTACAAGTTTTTCAATCTATATGAAATTGATTAATATTCACATGAATGTCTTTTAATGATACCCAAAATGAAACAAGACCCATAGTGACATCATTCCTGATTTACTAAATCCTGATTTTGGATGTTTGAAAGGAGTGCAAAGGAGGGAGGTGTCAGCCAAGCAGCCTTATTTTAACCATTTCCATATAAAATGTTCACAACAAATGAAACGTGTTTGTCAAAAGCCACCCAGATCAGGTTTATTGTCATAACCTGACATTCAAGTATGTAGGAGATAAGATGAGCAAAAGCTGCTTTGACCCTAGGAGTGCCAGGATTGGCTAGAAACAAAAGAAAAATACTAAAGAAGCTATCTCAGGTGGTGTGGCCTTCAAGACACGGTAAAAAACTAAATCCCTCATATATGCATACAATCCAAATACAGTTATTACATTCTTGCCGTGTGGATTCACTGCACACATTGTGGCTGAAAATCTTCTGTCTTGCAATTTTTAGCTTCCCTTTGCAAAGCACGCTGGGAATACCCACAAGTACAGATCTGGCTAGCAGCACCACCTCTTCATCAACTTTTCATCATGCTAAGAGCCACAAATGAAGTTTCTCAATCGGTGTGGTATACCAGAATCCAGATAGGCGTCTGAATGAGAGTAGCTGACCTCCTGGATCAGCTGTAGACTGACATGACATCTTGAATGCTAAGCTCAACAATAATACTTTCCTCTTTGAAATTAGAGTCAAGTATATAAGGTTTAGTTTCAACAATAAACTTTTTAATTCAGAATGACAAAGAACATTACAAAAAGACATCACATACAGCATTCAGTAAATGTAAAAATAAAGGCTTACAACCATCATTCACAATGTCATTTTATCAGAAACAACTTCCCACTGTGGAATCAGCAACAATATACATTTTAGTGGGTAACCCCTTTTATCTCTCTGTTATTCCCTTTTTTTTTGGAGCACTTCTATAATCAATCACTGAAAGGATTTTAATCCAATCTCATGAGGCATAGAAGAATAAAGCACCTTGATAAATGTCATACTCTTTGTGTCTGGTTGTAAAAACTACACACTTGTAGAACGGACTTCCTGACAGACCATCAGGAGTAACACAGCCGGCATTTTCTATTGGCTAGTTTTATTTTAAATCTCAAAATCAAACCAATAAATAGACAGTACAAAGGAAGAGTTACAACATGTAAGTCTCCTATCTTGCGATTTCACTCAAGCTTCAGTTGAAGCCACTGTAGGTGAAAGGTTCTGTTAGAGGAATGCAGGGCTCTTCAGGAAGGCAGGCCATCAGATTGTTTTCGCAGCTTTCCTCAGAGCCTGGAGCAAAGTAGACTCCATCAGTAGAGTGGATGGACGGGTCTTCGTCAAAGTAGTTGTGTGGACGCAGCAGGACCCCGCCTCCATTGCCGACTGTTACTGTGTTGGGGATGTCCTCAGCATGGGGGATGTGGAGGAAACCGGTGGTCACCCAGGCAACCAGGTCCTGGAAAGAAATGAGGAGGAAATGGGAGGTACGTGTTAACTGTTGATCCATTTCTACAATTTCGAGACGTTTCAAAATGTGAACACACACCTCGTTTTCAATGCTTTCGTTATCTTCAATGTACTTGCTGAAGTCAACAGCTGGATTCCAGATGTCATGCTGATTGTACAGACTGCCAACACTCTGCTCCACGTCCTTGTGTTTAGTAATGGCAACCTTATACCTGGTGGGAGGGAGATTAAATGAAACCAGGGAAAGGAGGGGATTTGCATGGGTGAGAATGCCAAGACTATGATAGACATAGGAGACTCACAAACCAGAGCGGAGTTTGATACTGAATCACAGTAATATTAACTCTAGTTCGAGGTAGCTATTGCTCACCTGGCCCAGGACATGGCTTTCTCCTCTGCCTGACTCTCTGGGAGGTGGTCCCCAGTGTTGCTGGTCACCTGTAGCCTGTAGGAGCGCTGATGACCCCAACTATTATTCTGGTTGCTGGCAATGTGAAGGTATCGCGGGGTCTTTGTGTCGAAACGTAATGCGGCCTCCTAAAGAAGTTAAACACAAATAATTGCAGTATATTTTTCTCTGACACCATTAGAAAAAAAGATTGATCAGGTTGTCGGAACTGGTATGATGCCAAAAACCAATGGAGCACCCACCTGCTCTGTTTGAAGCTGTTTCTCCACCAGCTGAGGGATCATGGCGTAGCGTTCAGGCATCCAGGGCAGCGAGACATTTACAAACTCCATGTCTTTGGTCTGGAACACATTCTTCACTCCTGTATAATAGTTGTACAAATGTTTCATCATGCCTTTTAATATTCTTTGAAATATTAATGATACTACTGAGGTCTTTAAGACTTACCCAAAATATCAAGATCCACCTTAAAGTTGAGGAAATGAGTGTGGATGTTTCCAGTGACCATCTCCGCTACTTGATGACCAAACTTAAAGTTGTCTTTAACTTTGAAAGATGATGCAATGTAGCCTGTGGCGTACACTTTAGCCTCCACTGAGCCACTTTGGTAGAAAATGAAATCCCAAACATAGTCGTAGTTTCCTATGGCTGTGATTGTCCTGAACACCAAGGCGTTATTGGCCAGTCCTCCATAACTGTTGTAAACTATCTCAGAGAAGTGCCTCCGCAGTGGTTGACCAAAGTTGTGTTCAAAAACACAAATTGAGTTTTTGAGTGTGCGTGGGACATCGCTATCTTTGAAATGGACTGTGTCTATGTAGGTGGCTGTTGAGGGGCAGTCTACACCTCTGACCAGTTCGTAGGCACACGCACCAATGCCTACACTGCCATCAAGGAACTTGGTGAGCATGAGATTGGGAGTGGCAGATCCATAGACTGACATGGCCTCCTGAACACTCAGCTCATAGATGATCCTTTCACCTTTATATCGTACGTCAAACACTCTCATGCCTCTAAGGGTGTTCAAACCAAAGGCAAAACTCCAGTCCAAGTATACGATGTTGTTGTCCTTTACACTGAATCGCTTTCCTTCAACATAAAACTGCTGGGGTCCAACGCCTGTGGGTTTCTTCCGGGGTTTGAGCGAAGCATAGTTCGGCACAGGTTTGTAGACGATTTTCTCTATAGTCCCTGCCTCATATTGCTGTTTTAGTTCTGCTAAACTGTCAAAGTACTGACCATTATAGAGCACTTTCATTAAACGCCAGGATGAAACATTTTTGCTTGCATGGTCGATGAAGACTTCAAACCCCACTGGATGGATAAAGAACCCCTCCACTTTGCGACAGAGTGAAAACCATGACTGTCTGTCTCCTGATTTGACCCCTCTTGGCATGTTCTCATAGTAAATGCTGTACGATGACGGTGTTAAACCAAAGCTTTCGTTCATGAGCGTACTTACTTTTGTAAGTTCTGTCTCCATTAAAACGGTCAAAAATACTCTCTCCCAAAAGAAACCTGGACGTGCAGAGAGAGGGATCTCTCTTTTGTACCTCTCAACAGTGACATCTCGGTGGTAGGTTGGGTTGGGAAGAGGACCAACTACATATTCCTTGATGTTATCCTGATTGACATGAAAAACCACAGCAGTTGCCTCTCTTGCTGGTTTTGGACCATTTGCATCTAGGTACTGCAAAACCTCCTGTTTCTTCGGCATGGAGAGTTCAATCATGTACAGAAAGTCAGCGACAGGAGAAGAAAACGGGTCAGATGAGATTTTCATTCCGGGGATTTTGGATAGGTAGTCACGCACTTGCAGAATCTCTTCCTGCGTGAGGTCGGCAAAAACGACACTGCGCTCATTGTGGATCACAGGTCGGTCGAAGTCTGTGTGATCAGCGGGGCACAGGGGAAGACGCTGGGTGTTTAGCCATATTAAAACAGAGGTACTTATCAGCAAAGTAACAATTGCAAAAACCAGAAGGCAATTCAGAAGCGTGCAAAGAGCTTTACAGATCATTTTTCCTGCAGATGTCCAGGGAGCACTGTGGGAGAGAAGGACTTTTCCCTTTTTATTAAGCCTGTGAAAAGGGGGCAGGGCCAACACTATCAGTGACCACTTTTACAACTTGTTTGTTTTTCATAAGAGCAACAGAAACCAGATTGAGTGACGTAAAATCAGCTGCTGTTATACTTAACTACAGATTACACAAAGATATCATGAACCTTATTCGGACTTTATCATGAAACATCTTTTTCATTGAGTTTTCTAGTTATTTTAGCAACCAGCTACAAGAGGTTGTTCCTCGGGTATTTCTGAAAAGCATATATAAATTATTCGGTTTTTTTCATTTACGTAAAATTAAAAGAGAATAATCTGGCCCTGTGGGTTGGTGGGTGGGGTTAAATGGGGGTTGGATCAATTTGGCGTCAGGTATGGAGGTGAAGTTAAGGTGTGCCCTCTTGTGTGTCATGGTCTGCCATGCCTCTGAATAGATGAAACTCGTATCTTCATGTTATTTACCCCCTGTACAGTGTATGTGGATAGAGAGATGGGCTTTGCGGACCCTTCTTTCAAACCAGTCTGTAAAAATGAAGAGACAAATTAATGCAACAGTGTGTGAAGACCTTTAAAGGGACAGTTTTCCCAAGTGAACTTCTAAGTTGAAGGTAAATTATTGATTGTTAAATGAGAGTCACATCTGCCGTAAATGAACTCTAATGAAAGGGTGAGGGCTTTCCCTCTCCTCCGACAGTCTCTGGTTGTTTCAGTCACAATTAAGCAAAAACTGGAGATGGTTTCTATAGATCTGATGTTGTTGTACGTATGTTCTGAAGATAAAAACTTAACAGTGAGCTGACAGAAATGTACAGCAATGTGGAGTCACTTTATTCTGAAAGCAGCCAAATTATTCTTCACACATTCACCTCAGTATTTAGCAGAGCTGACTGTCTTCGTCTTGTTTTCAGTATCAGAGGAGAAATATCTGGTGCTGAATTGCATTTTTAGCAGAGACGATTTAGAAAAAAACCCCAATCCACTTCTGGAAAAGTGATGGTTGCACAGCCTGGCAAACAATAAAACTAAATAACTGATGCAAAGTCAGACACAAGTTTTAGAGAAAAACAATTTTAATAATTAAAAAAAAAAGCACATTTTAGATTTTCTTCATTCTCAGTCAAAGCCATGATAGGTGAAGCGATCCAGGAAAGGAGTGCAGGGCTCCTCAGCGAGGCAGGCCATCTTATTGTTGTCACAGCTTTCCTCTGTGCCTGGAGCAAAGTAGACTCCATCTGCAGAGTGGATGGATGGATCCTCGTCAAAGTAGTTGTGAGGTCGAATCAGAACCCCGCCTCCATTGCCCACGGTCACTGTGTTGGGGATGTCTTCAGCATGGGGGATGTGAAGGAAACTGGTGGTCACCCAGGCAACCAGGTCCTAAAAAGAAATGAGGGAAAAGTTAAAGGTGTGTGTTGTGTTTTAATTTAGGGAGATTAAATAATGTGAACACACACCTCGTTTTCAATGCTCTCATTATCTTCAATGTACTTGCTGAAATCAACAGCCGGATCCCAGATCTCATGCTGATTGTACAGACTGCTGCTGCTCTGTTCCAGGTCCTTGTGCTTAGTTATGGCAACTTTATACCTGCCAGAAGATAAACTTATATCAGACTTCAGTTGTCTTTGCGCTGCGGCAAAACTTTAAGTTAAAAAGGAGGAGGATTCTGGTTCAGGATACATTTGAACCTGTTTCTTACCTGGCCCAGGACATGGCCCTCTCCTCTGACTGGCTCTGTGGAAGGTGGTCTGCAGTGTTGCTGGACACTTGTAGCCTGTAGGAGCGCTGATGACCCCAACGGTTGGTCTTCTTGCTTGCTATATGAAGGTATCGTGGGGTCTTGGTGTCATGAGGCAGTGCTGCTTCCTGTTTTGAGTCATACACAATAATAATGTCCTCCTGAACATATTTTCTTCACTTGCTTAACTGACATGAATATCTTGCTCCATCAGTGTGTCATCTATCATGTCTGCAGGATCTGATGCTTTGCTCTCAGACACATCCACTATAGAAATAATACTGCACCTGCTCTGTTTGAAGCTGTTTCTCCACCAGCTGAGGGATCATGGCGTGGCGTTCAGGCATCCAGGGCAGCGAGACATTTACAAACTCCATGTCTTTGGTCTGGAACACATTCTTCACTCCTGGGACATCAAACATTTCATTTTAGGTTAAGCAATTATGTCTAATATTACTTCTATTTGTACTTTATCTTTTTGTTAAAGTTTTAATAATGTTTATTATATTTACTTTTTTTCCACAACACATATTTAAATACCATTGTTATCTTCTCCAGGTCCTTACCTAAAACATCAAGATCCACCTTAAAGTTGAGGAAATGAGTGTGGATGTTTCCAGTGACGTTCTCCGCTACTTGATGACCAAACCTAAAGTTATCATTAACTTTGAAAGAAGACTGAATGTAGCCTGTGGCGTGCACTTTAGCCTCCACTGAGCCGCTCTGGTAGAAAATGAAATCCCAAACATAGTCGTAGTTTGCTATGGCTGTGATTGTCCTGAACACCAAGGCGTTATTGGCCAGTCCTCCATAACTGTTGTAGACTATCTCAGAGAAGTGCCTCCGTAATGGTTGACCAAAGTTATGTTCAAAAACACAAATTGAATTTCTGAGTCGGCGCGGAACTCCAGAGTCCACATAATGTACTGTGTCTATGTAGGTGGCTGAATAGGGGCAGTCTACCCCTTTGACCAGCTCGTAGGCACACGCACCCATGGTCAAGCCATTATCAAGGAACTTTGTTAGCATGATATTCGGGGTAGAAGATCCATAGACTGACATGGCCTCCTGAACACTCAGCTCATAGATGATCCTTTCACCTCTATATCGTACGTCAAACACTCTCATACCTTGGACAGTGCTCATACCAAAGGCAAAACTCCAGTCCAAGTATACGATGTTGTTGTCCTTTATACTGAACCTTTTGCCTTCAACATAAAACTGCTGGGGTCCAACACCTGTGGGTTTCTTCCTGGGTTTGAGCGAAGCATAATTTGGCACAGGTTTGTAGATGACTTTCTTTACAGTCCCTGCCTCATATTGCTGCTTCAGTTCTGATATGCTGTCAAAATACTGATCATTATAGAGCACTTTAATCACACGCCAGGATGAGAAATTGGTGCTTTGGTGGTCTATTAAAATTTCAAAGCTCAGTGGATAGATGTAAAAGCCCTCCTCATTTCTGCAGAGCGCAATCCATGACTGTCTGTCCCCTGATTTGACCCCTCTTGGCATGTTCTCATAGTAAACGCTGTACGATGACGGTGTTAAACCAAAGCTTTCATACATTAGCGTACTTACTGGCTCAAGTACATTTACCAGGAACGTATCCATAAGAGTATATTCCTCAGATGTAACTGGACGTGCAGTCAGAGGGATCTCTCTCTTGTACCTCTCAACAGTGACATCGCGGTGGTAGGTTGGGTTGGGAAGAGGACCAACTACATATTCCTTGATGTTGTTTTGACTGCCGTGAAAAACCACAGCAGTTGCCTCTCTTGCTGGTTTCTGACCATTTGCATCAAGGTAGTGCAAAACCTCCTGTTTCTTCGGCATGGAGAGTTCAATCATGTACAGGTAGTCAGCTGAAGGAGGAGAAGATGGATCAAATGAGATGTTCATCCCGTTGATCTTAGACATGAAGTCACGCACCTGCAGAATCTCTTCTTCAGAGAGGTCGGCAAAGACGACGCTGCGCTCATTGTGGATCACAGTTCGGTCAGAGTTTACCTGATGAGCAGGGCACGGTGGAGTGCGTTGAGCGTTAAGCCATATCAAAACAGAGTTACTTATCAGCAAAGTAACAACTGCAAAAATCAGGAGGCAGTTAAGAAGTGTACAAATAGTTTTACAGATCATTTCTTCGTAGAGGCGCAACAGGTGTGGAGAGAAAAAGAAAGCTGTGATGACAGACAGTAAATGGGTGAGGCTGCTGGTTTCAAAGGCTACGTTGGGAGTGCACGTGTAAAGCACAAGTGGAGTGCGTGTGTGTGGATGAGATAACTGAAAGGGGGGGGGGCGTTAAACAGTAAGAGAGGATATGTGACTTCATTCTGTACTTTTAAAAAACAGAACAACTAAAGTGGTGAAATTAATCACTTAACGGCAGAGTTGTGTGAACAGGTATGCCCACATGATAACAGTAGTAGTAAACATTACTCAGAGATTAAATTTTGATGTCTTAAATGCTCTGACAATAACATAACTAAAAAACACTTCAAGCAATGTCGGTATGTTTTGCTGTGTAAGTTTTTGACTAGTCTATGCATGAAACCTGCACATGATAGTTTGTACATTTAGAACAATACTGCCCCACAAAGGCGAAGTGCAGTAGCAGCACCTTTGCTTAGAATTAGGTTCAGACTTCTGTTTAATCATCTGACAAACTTTCCTGGTTCTATTATGTTTAGTTTCAGAAAAAAATGGGTGTCAGTTCAAGCCCAGAAAGGAGGAAACACTGACAACTCATGGAGAGCAGAGACATGAGACAGAGATGTGGCACATGAGGATGATCTAGGATAGGAAGCACAGGCGGACTGGGAGTCAATGGACCTGAGCAAGAGACAGCTGTGAGTATCAAGATTAAACAGGTTGCACAAGACATGAAAAATATAAACAACTGGAGACAACAGACAGAACGTTTGTTAGCAATAAGCAAGCTGTGCTCTATCCACCAATCATAGATTAAATGGAGCCCCGCTACATTATACATCTACATTCACCCTCTAATATATGATTCATGAGTTCTTTAGACTCATACACTGACCCTCAAGGAAAACATAAATCAACTAAATGTATCTTAATGTAGAAAATAGGGAATATGTGTTCAGATTTTGTGCCATCAACAATTTGCATTACAAGGAATGATTATTCTACTCTAATTTTCAGTGAATCTATAAAGGTGGAAACCAGGAGAAATATCTTAAATAGATAAAAAATAAATTAATAAAACTAGCAGAAAATCTTGACCAACATGATGGCTAAACAAACACTGACTATAATGACAATAAAAACTAAGTCTAACTGCCTTAATCTTGACTAAAACAATGAATAAGCTAAATTGTAAGAGTAACGTTGCTTTATGCATTGTATCTAAAATGCAGGCTGTATGAAATATTTCGGAGATCTTTCGCCGCTGTCTCAAGTGTTACAGAGAAACAAGTTAGAGAGTTTTTTTCTTTTCTATTTGTAGTTTTATTCAAGCTTTAGATGCAGCCAAACAAAATCAAATGACAGACATAAAATGAGGCCTGCTCTATTACGGCGAGTGTCTGTCTTCTTCTGTAGTCAAACCTAAGATATCAAAATCTACCCGGATACAGCAATGCTGCTTTTTGATTGGCTGTTCAGTAGATATACTTTATTTGATTGGCTTGCGCGTGGCACGCAGCTTCTGAACTCTCGGAGGAACTCAGTTGATTCCTTTCTGTTCCATAGTTAAAGAGGTGCAACTTGGTGGACATCACCATGTTCATTTAAATGCGTGAGAAATACAATGTGTGGCGTGTGAGCGTGTGAACGGGTGGGAATGCGTGTGTCACACGCTGAATGTGTGAGACTTGAGAGCCCTGCACTAGTGGGGTCTGCCACAACCCAGAGCGGTGGTCCTTATGACTCTTTTCGCGGCCTTCACACAGGCTTCTCTTAAGTTTCACTTTTCATTTCACACATAGTTACTCTCTTCGTCAGAACACAGAATATCACAAGATGTACCAGTACAATATCATGAGCCTCGTAATAAATTTAGGATTCAGTATATACAGAGTTAAAGAGATCTTTGATTTAGAGTAACACGGATAGGCAGAAATTCTGTTAAAAAGGTTTTCTGCTTACCTTATTTTGTGGTCGACCAGATCTCTTTTCCTCTGATGCACTGAACAGTTTTCTCGAATTCAAAAGCTCTGTCAGAACTCCATCCCAGACGAGCCCCCAAAATTGTTGAAGTTATTCCAAACCTCCCCCGAGTCCATTGATGGAGACTGGGACAGAGGATTCAATGAGGCAAAAAGGTGTCTTCAACAAACCTTTTATTTCGGCACAGCAAATAACACAAGATATCTTGGAGAGCACAACATCAACCCAATGGTATCTCTGAGGTGGTCTGATTACTATTTTTCAGTAGTTATTATTTATTTATGATTATAAAGCACACTTTTTAATAAATGACTGTTATGATTATAATACACACTTCAAATAAATGACTGTTAAGGCCGAACAGTTTAAAACCATACTTACCAACCCTTGGCACTTCTAGGCATAAGCTAAAATCCTTCTATACTGAAAGTCTCTCTTCTATACATTGTGACACAGTGGTCAATTGCCCCCGTGTTAGCATTAAACCTTCTTATCTGACTCATCAGTACATGTCCGCAATGAGCACACAAAATAATGTAAACACAATAAGAAAACAGTTAATTACCTGAAACAATGATTAAATGATTGTCATCAATGATTAAATGATTAGCATGAACATTTGATGGTTAAATAATTAGCATGAACCTGTGAGTTCCCACACAGCATTATCGGGCATCCTGCTTATGAGTCTGTGAAGTTATCATTCGAAACCATGGTAGGTGAAGGGATCCATCACTGGGCTGCAAGTTTCCTGAGAAAGGCAGGCCATCTTATTGTTGTCACAGCTTTCCTCTGTGCCTGAAACAAAGTAGACTCCGTCTGCAGAGTGGATGGACGGATCCTCATCAAAGTAGTTGTGTGGACGCAGCAGAACCCCGCCCCCGTTGCCGACTGTTACTGTGTTGGGGATGTCCTCAGCATGGGGGATGTGGAGGAAACCAGTGGTCACCCAGGCAACCAGGTCCTAAAAAGAAACAAGGAAAAGTTAAAGGTGTGTGTTTTGTTATAATTTAGGGAGATTAAATAATGTGAACACAAACCTCATTTTCAATGCTCTCATTATCGTCTATGTACTTGCTGAAATCAACAACTGGATCCCAGATCTCATGCTGATTGTACAGACTGCTGCTGCTCTGTTCCAGGTCCTTGTGCTTAGTTATGGCAACTTTATACCTGCCAGAAGATAAACTTATATCAGACTTCAGTTGTCTTTGCGCTGCGGAAAAACTATAAATCGAAAAGGAGCAGGATTCTGGATCAGGAAACATTTGAACCTGTTTCTTACCTGGCCCAGGACATGGCCTTCTCCTCTGCCTGGCTCTGTGGAAGGTGGTCTGCAGTGTTGCTGGACACTTGTAGCCTGTAGGAGCGCTGATGCCCCCAACGGTTGGTCTTCTTGCTTGCAATATGAAGGTATCGTGGGGTCTTGGTGTCATGAGGCAGTGCTGCTTCCTGTTTTGAGTCATACACAATAGTTATATCCTCTTTGACGTCAGTAGAGGCCGTTATTGATTTTTTAGATTTCTGGCCAACAACAGGCCAAAGAAATTTCACATCTATTTGAAAACCTGAACATATTTTCATGACATGAATGTCTCGCTCCATCAGTGTGTCATCTATCATGTCTGCAGGATCTGATGCTTTGCTCTCAGACACATCCATTATAGAAATAATTCTTCACCTGCTCTGTTTGAAGCTGTTTCTCCACCAGCTGAGGGATCATGGCGTAGCGTTCAGGCATCCAGGGCAGCGAGTCCTTTACAAACTCCATGTCTTTGGTCTGGAAAAAGTTCTTCACTCCTGGGACATCAAACATTTCATTTTAGGTTAAGCAATTATGTCTAATATTACTTCTATTTGTACTTTATCTTTTTGTTAAAGTTTTAATAATGTTTATTATATTTACTTTTTTTTCACAACACATATTTAAATACCATTGTTATCTTCTCCAGGTCCTTACCTAAAACATCAAGATCCACCTTGAAGTTGAGGAAGTGAGTGTGGATGTTTCCAGTGACGTTTTCCGCTACTTGATGACCAAATTTAAAGTTATCATTAACTTTGAAGGATGATGCAATGTAGCCTGTGGCGTGCACTTTAGCCTCCACTGAGCCACTTTGGTAGAAAATGAAATCCCAAACATAATCGTAGTTCTCAATAACTGTGATTGTCCTGAACACCAAGGCGTTATTGGCCAGTCCTCCATAACTTTTGTAGACTATCTTAGAGAAGTGCCTCCGCAGTGGTTGGCCAAAGTTGTGTTCAAAAACACAAATTGAGTTTCTGATCCGGCGTGGAACTCCAGAGTCCATAAAATGCATTGTGTCTATGTAGGTGGCTGAATAGGGGCAGTCTACCCCTTTGACCAGCTCGTAGGCATACGCACCCATGCTCAGACTGCCATCAAGAAACTTGGTGAACATTAAAACTGGGGTAGAAGATCCATAGACTGACATGGCCTCCTGAACACTCAGCTCATAGATGATCCTTTCACCTCTAAATTGTACATCAAACACTCTCACGCCTCTAAGGGTGCTCATACCAAAGGCAAAACTCCAGTCCAAGTACACGATGTTGTTGTCCTTTATACTGAACCTTTTGCCTTGAACATAAAACTGCTGGGGTCCAACACCTGTGGGTTTCTTCCTGGGTTTGAGCGAAGCATAATTTTTCACAGGTTTGTAGACGATTTTCTTTACAGTCCCTGCCTCATATTGCTGCTTCAGTTCTGATATGCTGTCAAAATACTGATCATTATAGAACACTTTAATCACACGCCAGTTTAAGGAATTGGTGCTTTGGTGGTCTATTAAAATTTCAAAGCTCAGTGGATGGATGTAAAAGCCCTCCTCTTTTCTGCCGGGCGCAATCCATGACTGTCTGTCCCCTGATTTGACCCCTCTTGGCATGTTATCATAGTAAATGTGGGATGATGACGGTGCTAAACCAAAGCTTTCGTTCATGAGCGTACTTACTGGCTCAGTTTCATTTTTCAGGAACGTTTCCATAAGAGTATATTCCTTAAATATAACTGGACGTGCAGTCAGAGGGATCTCTCTCTTGTACCTCTCAGCAGTGACATCTCGGTGGTAGGTTGGGTTGGGAAGAGGACCAACTACATATTCCTTGATGTTGTTTTGACTGCCGTGAAAAACCACAGCAGTTGCCTCTCTTGCTGGTTTCTGCCCGTTTGCATCAAGGTAGTGCAAAACCTCCTGTTTCTTCGGCATGGAGAGTTCAATCATAAACAGATAGTCAGCTGAAGGAAGAGAATATTCATCTGATGCGATGTTCATCCCGATGATCTTAAACATGAAGTCACGCACCTGCAGAATCTCCTCTTCAGAGAGGTCGGCAAAGACGACGCTGCGCTCATTGTGGATCACAGGTCGGTCAGAGTTTACCTGATGAGCAGGACACGGCGGAGTGCACTGATTGTTACGCCCCATCAAAACAAAGTTAATTATCAGCGAAATAACAAATGCAAAAATCAGGAGGCAGTTACAAAGTGTGCAATTAGTTTCACAGGCCATTTCTTCGTAGATGGCAACAGGTGTCGTGGAGAGAAAACGAAAGCTGTGTTGACAGACAGGTGATGGGTGAGGCTGCTGGTTTTACAGGTTACGTTGAAAAGGGGGGGGCGTTAAACAGTAAGAGAAGATATGTGACTTCCTTCTGTACCTCTAAAAACAGAACAACTAAAGTGGTGAAATTAATCACTTAATGGCAGAGTTGTGTGAACAGGAAAGCCTAAATGATAACAGTAGTAGTAAACATTACTCAAAGATAAAATTTTGATGTCTTAAATGCTCTGACAAAAACATAACTAAAAAACACTTAAAGCAATGTAGGTATGTTTTGCTGTGTAAGTTTTTGACTAGTCTATGCATGAAACCTGCACATGATAGTTTGTACATTTTGAACAATACTGCCCCACAAAGGCGAAATGCAGTAGCAGCACCTTTGGTTAAAATGAGGTTCAGACTTCTGTTTAATCATCTGACAAACTTTCCTGGTTCTATTATGTTCGGTTTCAGAAAAAAATGGGTGTCAGTTCAAGCCCAGAAAGGAGGAAACACTGACAACTCATGGAGAGCAGAAACATGAGACAGAGATGTGGCACATGAGGATGATCTAGGATAGGAAGCACAGGCGGACTGGGAGTCAATGGACCTGAGCAAGAGACAGCTGTGAGTATCAAAATTAAACAGGTTGCACAAGACATGAAACATATAAACAACTGGAGACAACAGACAGAACGTGTGTTAGCAATAGGCAAGCTGTGCTCTATCCACCAATCATAGATTAAATGGAGCCCTGCTACATAATACATCTACATTCACCCTCTGATATATGATTCATGATTTCTTTAGATTCATATACAGACCCTCAAGGAAAACATAAATCAACTAAATGTAACTTAATGTAGAAAATAGGGAATATGTGTTCAGATTTTGTGCCATCAACAATTTGCATTACAAGGAATAATTATTCTACTCTAATTTTCAGTGAATACATAAAGGTGGAAACCAGGAGAAATATCTTAAAAAGATAAATAATAAATAAATAAAACTAGCATAAAACTAAGAAAATCTTGATCGACATGATGGCTAAACAAACACTGACTATAATGACACTAAAAACTAAGTCTAACTGCCTTAATCTTGACCAACACAACACGAAACTCTCAGACTTCAGATTTCTCAAAATGACTAAGCTAAATTATAAGAGTAACGTTGCTTTATCCATTGTATCTAATATGCAGGCTGTATGAAATATTTCGCCGCTGTTTCAAGTGTCACAGAGAAACAAGTTAGAGAGTTTTTTTCTTTTCTATTTGTAGTTTTATTCAAGCTTTTGATGCAGCCAAACAAAATCAAATCACAGACATAAAATGAGACCATGGCAGCGTTATCTGGCATCCTGCTTATGAGTCTGTGAAGTTTTCATTTGAAACCATGGTAGGTGAAGGGATCCATCACTGGGCTGCAAGTTTCCTGAGAAAGGCAGGCCATCTTATTGTTATCACAGCTTTCCTCTGTGCCAGGAGCAAAGTAGACTCCGTCTGCAGAGTGGATGGATGGATCCTCGTTAAAGTAGTTGTGTGGACGCAGCAGAACCCCGCCCCCGTTGCCGACTGTTACTGTGTTGGGGATGTCCTCAGCATGGGGGATGTGGAGGAAACCAGTGGTCACCCAGGCAACCAGGTCCTAAAAAGAAATGAGGAAGGAATGGGAGGTACGTGTTAACCCTTTGATCAATTTCTATTATTTCTAGAAGTTCACGATGTCAACACACACACCTCATTTTCAATGCTTTCATTATCTTCAATGAACTTGCTGAAGTCAACAGCTGGATTCCAGATGTCATGCTGATTGTACAGACTGCCAACACTCTGCTCCATGTCCTTGTGTTTAGTAATGGCAACCCTATACCTAAAGGAAGAAGAGTTACTTCAGACTCCAGGAAGAGGGAAGAAATGGGCGATAAGGGGATGACTCAAAATCAGTGGTGTGGAGAAACAGGATGAAGATTGGTTATAAAGACTTTTGTCGATGCTGTTTCTTACCTGGCCCAGGACATGGCCTTCTCCTCTGCCTGGCTCTGTGGGAGGTGATCTCCAGTGAAGCTGAACACCTGCAACCTGTAGGAGCGCTGATGACCCCAGCGGTTGGTTTGGTTGCTTGCAATGTGAAGGTATCGAGGAATCTTGGCTTCAGGACTGAGTGCGGCTTCCTGTGAGGGTCAAAATGATCCCTATCTCAAAGGTACTTCTAGCCAGGGGTTAGGTCCAGTATCACATTATGACATTATAAGTTCATATACTGAACAATACAGCATGGATTTTGTGTCTGATAGAAATGTTTAATTATCAGACACATAAAAGGGCAAGCAAGTGTAAAGACAAGGGCTGCCACCTCATAGTCATCGACTATTTAGGCTATTTATGCATCTATGTTTAAGGCTTTGTGTTGTACAACTTGTTTTTGATTATTGTACATGTTGCATAGTCCCTATGAATGCTGCCCATCTCTCCCAATAGACAACTTTTTGGGTAAGGTGGCACGTCCGTCCTATAAGGTCACAAAATGTTACCAAAATGACAAATAAGTTGCAAATAAATTCTGGCACAAGAGTGGAAACAGTTGTCTCTACCTCTGCTGGTAAACATACAGGTATTTATGAGATGTTAGTAACAGTGTTTGGTGTTTAAAGTAGTACTGCACCTGCTCTGTTTGAAGCTGTTTCTCCACCAGCTGAGGGATCATGGCGTAGCGTTCAGGCATCCAGGGCAGCGAGACATTTACAAACTCCATGTCTTTGGTCTGGAAAACGTTCTTCACTCCTGTGGTAAGGACATACTACATATGACTCTATCTAGACCTGCATATTTCCAAGTGTCCATGACTTTTCAGCTTTTTAAGGTTTTATGTTGATAAATGTTTGATATTGAGTACAATTGTAAAAAAATCAAGGTGAAGAATGGTATGTGTACAATTTTGATATTTTCCACGGTTTTCAGTTTCACTTACCTGAAACATCAAGATCCACCTTAAAGTTGAGGAAGTGAGTGTGGATGTTTCCAGTGACATTCTCCGCTACTTGATGACCAAATTTAAAGTTATCATTAACTTTGAAGGATGATGCAATGTAGCCTGAGGCGTGCACTTTAGCCTCCACTGAGCCACTCTGGTAGAAAATGAAATCCCAAACATAATCGTAGTTCTCAATAACTGTGATTGTCCTGAACACCAAGGCGTTATTGGCCAGTCCTCCATAACTGTTGTAGACTATCTCAGAGAAGTGCCTCCGCAGTGGTTGGCCAAAGTCGTGTTCAAAAACACAAACTGAGTTTCTGATCCGGCGTGGAACTCCAGAGTCCACAAAATGGACTGTGTCTATGTAGGTGGCTGAATAGGGGCAGTCTACCCCTTTGACCAGCTCGTAGGCACATGCACCCATCCTCAGACTGCCATCAAGGAACTTGGTGAGCATTAAATCTGGGGTAGAAGATCCATAGACTGACATGGCCTCCTGAACACTCAGCTCATAGATGATCCTTTCACCTCTAAATTGTACATCAAACACTCTCATGCCTCTAAGGGTGCTCATACCAAAGGCAAAACTCCAGTCCAAGTATACGATGTTGTTGTCCTTTATACTGAACCTTTTGCCTTGAACATAAAACTGCTGGGGTCCAACGCCTATGGGTTTCTTCCTGGGTTTGAGAGAGGCATAGTTTGGCACAGGTTTGTAGACGATCTTGTTTACAGTCCCTGCCTCATATTGCTGCTTTAGTTCTGCTAAACTGTCAAAGTACTGATCATTATAGAGCACTTTAATCACACGCCAGGATGAGAAATTGGTGCTTTGGTGGTCTATTAAAATTTGGAAGCCGACTGGATGGATGTAAAATCCCTCCTCATCACGACAGTATGAAACCCATGACTGTCTGTCTCCTGACTTGACCCCTCTGGGCATGCCGTCATAGTAAGCAATATTTGATGGAATCATGCCAAAGCTTTCTTTTAAGAGCGCACTTACTGGTTTAAGCATGTCTCTCAGAAGCATATCTATGAGCATGTATTCCCCTCCAGAAACTGGACGCGCAGTCAGAGGGATCTCTCTCTTGTACCTCTCAACAGTGACATCTCGGTGGTAGGTTGGGTTGGGAAGAGGACCAACTACATATTCCTTGATGTTGTTTTGACCACCGTGAAACACCACAGCAGTTGCCTCTCTTGCTGGTTTCTGACCATTTGCATCAAGGTAGTGCAAAACCTCCTGTTTCTTCGGCATGGAGAGTTCAATCATGTACAGGTAGTCAGCTGAAGGAGGAGAAGATGGATCAAATGAGATGTTCATCCCGTTGATCTTAGACATGTAGTCACGCACCTGCAGAATTTCCTCCTGTGTGAGATCAGCAAAGACGACGCTGCGCTCATTGTGGATCACAGGTCGGTCAGAGTTTACCTGATGAGCGGGGCACGGTGGAGTGCGCTGAGTGTTAAGCCATATCAAAACAGAGGTACTTACAACCAAAGCAATGACTGCAGGAATCAGAAGACATTTGAGGACGTTGACAAAAGTTTTACAGGCCATTTTGCTACAAATGAACAGCAGTCATAGTTGATAAAAAGAAATGTGAAGGTAGGGGGAAAGTTACTCATTTTAAAGACTCCTTTTACAACCTGGGGGTGTCACTTTTGATAAGAGTTACAGTAACTGTATAGTATCTCATAAAAAAATCCTGGCATGAATATTGAGTAACTTATAAAGAACTGTTTCATGTTTTATTACATTAAATTCTTATGAGGCCATGAATTTGGATTGTACTTTTGCAATTTGGTCTTTTTTTTATTTAGAAACATAGTCATTAATACCCAGAGTTTATTCCTGATATGTTACCTAACACCTCATCCACTGTTCTAAATACAATACATTAATGTTTGCAATGTTTTACACAATTTCCACAACTTTATTAGAGATTGTTCATGTTACAAACACTTAGATCAGCCGACTTTTCTTTTTTATTTCATTTTAATCCTCAAGTCGAAGCTGACACTGAAATTCAAATTGCTCTCTAAGTCTGCCATATGGACCAGTTAACATGTGAAAAGTTAAAATTTGCTATAAGGTCAATTATTCTGGTGGAATCAGACAACTTCAGTGGCAGACTCAGGGTGTCCGAGGGTCAAAGGTGGGGATGAATTGGAAGTGTATTTCTTTATGTAAATGTCAAAATTGAAATTAAATGAAATAATAAGTGAGTGTTGCCTCCTAATGAAGTCTTACTACAAACAATATTTAAACTGTCATTGCTCTGATTCAGTATTAAAAGCACCACTGTGTGTGCCTGGTTACTGACCTTACAAAACCCTATAGCTATAGATGTATTACAGACTTTTATAGAGGGGGGAAAATGGCACATCCAAGCAGTAAAGTCAGTTGTTTCATGTGTCATCATAAGAGAACAGATTGCAGCGATCTAAAGGCTACAAGACTGTGGCACATTGTGTGTAAAGATCAATTTAGGTAAATTTTTAAAAGCTGCGAGGTCATATTGTTTTTACAAGATCATGATGTACTTCGAACAAAAGATTACATCATTTTAATAAAGCAACTTAAAGCCCCTGTGAGTAACTTTGATTTTTGTGTTGATTTTAAAGACCACTGTGGAGCATAATCTTTGATCCCCTGGTTGATCTGTCATGCACAATCATCATTTTTCAACAAAAACCTGCTTGAAGCTGCGGTTTTAGGTGCCAAAACAACCACATGGAGGTAAAAGCAACTTCTAATCCAAGGAGATGATTAGGAAATCCAAAACTCAATCCACAACTGGCTTCACACATCAGTTTCCAAAAAGGTAAATAAGGAAAAGGTGGGACGATAAAAAATGTACAAGTTCTGCATTCTATCTGCTTTGCATAAATACTGCAATTTTCTGAGGACAGCAATGGTTCAAGCTTTCCTGGGTGCATCAGGCAACAGTGGGCAAAACCAGGAGAACCAAAACCGTACATAAAAGACATACTGATCCTGGGAAAGTGTCAGTATCTACAAGACCCACATTCAAGATTCCCTTTACAGGAAGAGAAACAGCTGGAGCTTCTGAGCTGCAGTCCCAGTGGATCTGCAGATGGGAGACACAGTCTTTATGACAGCAGGGTGTAGTCAAGATACTTATGGGAAAAGAGCCAGAGGTCAGGTCCAAGAGTAGTGCAGAGCCAGGACAAATGTTTCGTGACTGCAGAGTAAAGCCAGACATTTTATTCAAAGGGAATTTCTCCAACATGTCTGTTCATCTAAGCAAAAAGTAGATTGATCGTTTGCATGGATCACTATTTTTAAAAGGGTGTATTACTAACATAACATCATCTCTTGCTTAGTAGATTTATGTTTACATTTGTTTTATCTTGGGAAAGCCAAACTACCAATAAAGAATTTTGCTGGAAAAAATAGATGCAAATGGAGTCTTTTAGGAACCGATCCATAAACTACCTTTTAAAGAGGTGGTGTTATGTTTATATGCACTACTTATCCTCTTTTATCAAACCAGTTTTTACCATATCAAAAGTTTTATATTGAAAGAATAGCAATGACCTGCACTGTGGTGCTGTCAAAGTTAATTTTGTGGTATGAACATGTTAGTGCTGCCCTCTTCTGTCAAATACAGTAACTGAATGAACAGCAGGCCTTCACCAACACTTGTCAAAAATCTATACAGGACAGGGCAGACTATCTAGTCATGTACTAATGTTCTTTGAATTAATATAATCAATAACTAAATGTTTCAGCTTTAATTCAATTGGCTTTCTGCTTAACTAACTCTATGTGAGATAATAACACTCCGTTAAAATAGTTTTGATAGCAGATTGAGTTATTGCCAAGGGGGGAGAGTATCTTTTCCACTGAATGAGGCGTTTGTGGGTGAGCTGACATGTTCTTTAACAAGATAAACCTTAACTTGCCTTGCAAAGCAAATCAATTGGCAAGCGTGACTGTGTGGAAATGCGTGAGATAAAGACTGCAGTTGTGTAACTAAGTCATTAATGTGTAAATACATGTGAGACAGAGGGTCAAAGCCCTGAAAGGTTAGAAGTAATTCACTGTTACACTGAGGAGGCCTGTTCTTACAGTCCCCAGGCAATTGCATTGTGGTGCCTGAAGATGCAGATTTTTATTTTGCAGCTAATTTTTGTTTCTGTAACTTCCATTGATTTTTGTGTTGCGTTTACAGCCTATATGGGAGACCGGGGCTTGTTGTCACACTTTTTACACTTATATGTATTTCTTGGAATCAATACATCATATATAAACAAAATGTGAACCAGATGAAAGACCGAAGTCTCGGGTATATATTTTGTATTCATGTCATTTTCATATCTTGTGTCAGTGCAGAGTTATAAGCAATCAAATAGAGAGTGTGAACATGTGACATGTTGCCCCACCATCGGGTATTTTGTCTTACTCCAATGGGTAAGATATCACAGTGGATTTTGCAGCTAATAAAACAAGGACAAAATGATTGTTCTAATTTTTTCACATGAATGTGAACATGAAAGTCAGGCACAGAAAATGTTTATCATTGAGCTAGAAAAAGTCATTGAAAATAGCCATTGAACAAACGTTAACATAAAATATTATGAAACATGCTTTGGAGTTTGGAGAACTGTCTGACTCTGTATTTCAGCTGGGGTGAATGTTTTGCAGTACAGAGCCAAGGTACGGTAGGTTACATTAAAGTCCTTTATTGTAGTCCAGATTGATTTATTAGCTAAGGTCAACCGTCTGACTGCCCTCAGCATCATGTCAGGTACTGCAATGCCATGTTCTGTTTTTCTCTTTTAATTCCTGACCATGTCTTCACGCTTTCTCCTCTCCTTTAAACCACTCTTATCTCTGTAGAAATAAAGTCAAAATTTCAATATGACAACTGCTGATAAGCAGACTCTCTATGTTAATTTGAACCCTTTTAACCTCCTAAGACCCGAACTCTTGCAAGGCATGCATTTTTATTTTCTCTTTGATATCTAGGCTAATTGGGACCTGATGAGTGTAAAAACAAAGAATGATCTTTTTACATGATGTAGTTTCTGAGAAAAATGATGTCCACATATGAGGACATTCATTTTAAATTTTGAGAGAAGGCCCTTGTGAACAAAATTTAATATTGTGGTCTTGACAACCAAAAATGTGATGTCCACACATGTGGACGCCAGGTCTTAGAAGATTAAACATGACTGGAGTATCTCTCCTTTAACAAATCCACATGTATCACTGCTAGGATTTTTTTTATCTGGAAGAAGCTTATTTTAAAATATATAAAGTTTTATTTTTTTACTTTGGGTTGTGTGAAATGGTTAATTGTCGCTCATCTCAGCTCACAATGTGCTCTTCTCTTCTCAGACAGGACACTACCCCTGACCATGTAAAGGAAGAAAACTAGTATTCCACTTTTTGTTTGCGCCCTCTGGTGGCAAAGATAATTGCAACGTGACAACTTACCCATGTGACAACAAGCCCCTGTCTCCCCTTCTGCAACACATCGTTGCCGTTTGCAGACTTTTTTCAGTTGCACCTGTTTTTAATAACATTCATTCAATCAGTCAGTTCCTCCTCCTTACTGCTACTTCTACTATTTTTGCCATTTTAAACTCCTTATTTACAAAATTGTGATGATCAAAAGCCTTCAGTTCGGCACACTTCCTCAATTAAGCTAAACGCGGAACTGTGAAGTCCGAGAGACATGTTTCCACACGGATGTATATCACACAGGACATATATTAGCGCCGCTAAAGTTTTCTCGCAGAGGGAAAAGTTGTCAGTCTGATCCGTTTCTCTGGATGTTAATGATTTAATTCGGGCTGTTTGGTTAATTTCCGTAAAACTCTGAGACTTTGGGAGACTTTTAGAAGTGTTTCGATTCATCGCTGTCAGAAGTTTTTTGGAAAAAAAGTTTCTTCTTTTTTTCTTCTTCCTTTTTTTGTTTTATTTTTTTATTTTTTTCTTTCGCTGAAGAAAAAAGTTTCCCTGGAGTTTTAAAGTTGTTATTTTTAGTTCCTGTAAAATCATGGCTTGCGAAGGAAACGGCATGTCAGGTAAGATTTGTAGGAGGTTTGAAGCCTGTTATAACACAGAAGAGGTGAATTCAGTTGTTTTAATCTGCTCATGAATCAGGTTTTACTAACATTTATGTACATTAATATCGTTTACTCCACAGATGCGAGGATAGGAGAAGCCCTCATTAAAGAGTGAGTTGACCTTTATTGCCTCTTGTGCTTTAAACTTTACTTTTTTAATGTAATATTTTTAACTATTATTTTAATTCTACTGTGTAATTGATTTTTAATGTAAAACAACATATAAAGGAAGAAAAGAGAGTAAAATCCTCTCCTGTGTTTGGGTAAAATTATGCCATTGTTTACACTTAACAGAAGGGGTGCAGTCATCCTATCAGTCATCTATATCAAACATTTCCTGGTGAGAAGTCCAGGCCCACTCTTTTAAAGTTTCCAGCTGACTCTGATGAAGTTTTTGTTAATTTATTTTTGGTTAAATGTAAAACAGCTAAATTAATTTTGTCAATCCAACTCCTTTAGACAGCACTTAGATTGAAGAGTCTTAGTGCTGTCTTTCTAATTTGATATGTGAACGAGTTAAAATAAACTACCATTAGATAAAGTGTTTTTAACAGCACACTGAAATGATTGTTTGTCTTCCTAGAATGTGAACTTCCTACAGGAAGTGCCATGCGTTCATATTTTTTTTCCCTCTTTACACAACAAATAAAGTTCTCCTAAAATTTGGTGCCTAACATCAAGCCACATTTTAAAAAGTTTAGCTTGAAAGCGTTGAAGATTATGGCTCTTGCAGCAGTAACAGAGGTTTCTGATTAAAAGCAGCTTTCAGTTTCATTTTTACATGGCAGCAGTGACCCTCTTACGGTAAATTAGCAGGCTTTAACTACACCCACCTGGGCTGTATCATGACTCATTTATGGGACAAACGGTCCAGGTTGTTATTTGCTTGAATGATAAGCTATTTTCGGAATGGGTGTGCACGCCTCAGGTATGTTTATTGTTTCCAGTTGTTTTATGTATGGCAGAGTGGTTTATAATAAACAAGTTTTTAGTGTTATAACAGAGCTTCTTCCACTCTTACTTTGCACAGAATAAAAGTTACATAGACATTTTGTTTCAGCAGCTGATAGCATCATCTGCTTTCCTAATTTAGACAGAGATTCCCTGAGCCATTAAATCTTTTTCTTAATAACAAATTATTGTATCTTATGGATGTTTACTATGTGTCATGGAGCTGGGTGAAGGGGAAGTAGTGAGGAAATGTATCCTGTGCATGTGACCACAAGTGTTTTATTTATTCCTTCACTTTGAAACACATTGTTACTCAGAATTATAAACCACAGTTGATGGTTTCTGACCAGTCAGAATCAAGTTTTCAACTCAGCTGGATGGTTAGGAAGAAAGCTGGGTGATAAACGCTCAGGCTGTCTGACAGATTACTCTCTGTGATGCTCAAACCCTTTTGTCCAAACTCACCTCTTACTCCAGAGACCTTAATACTGTGAGACAGGAATCAGCAGAGTAATAGGTGACATACTTGAACAAACTGACACTGAAAATATAAAATGTAATATTGTCTTGCCTCAGTATGGTGTTATTGATAGTGTTTGCTTCTGTTTCAGAGTGATACAGGAGGAACTGAAAGATGTGCCTTCTGAAGAAATCCCACCTCTCACTCCTCTGGCCGTAGAGCTGAAGACTGAGCAGGAGCGGAAGATCGTTACCCAGCTCGGCATAATGGTCCGCATAGTTGGCGACAAGGTCAAGGATGACCAAGAGTTCCAGGAGTGAGTGTCTGACAGGTAATGAGTTTGTAAAGTCTTTTAAAAATTGAATTTTGTTGACATCTCTTTATGTTTCTCTTGCAGTGCCATTGACGGGATTGCATCTTGTTCCGGCTCTAAGTGGGAGAGTTTCAAAGCGGTGGCCGACAAAGTGTTCGAGCATGGTATCACCTGGGAGAATATTGCTGTGCTCTTTTACGTTGCAGGAAAGCTAGCTCTCAAGGTGTGTTAAATTTTGCTATATTTTCATGGGAAGCTGTTAAACATGAATCTTAAAGGTACAGCAATATAACATGGAGGTTTTGTGTTGCTTTGATATGAAATAAGTGGACAGTAGTTCCTGCTTTGTATTGAAAGAAGCTAAAATCTCATTCAATTCACAAAATTTGGCGTCGATTAAGTGCCGTCATTGTGAATTAAAAAGTATTTTCCAGCTATTCAATAATTAATTCAAATATACTTCTGACTGCTGCAGCTTTTTTTTCAATAAACCTTTATTTATAAAGCGCATTTGTGTCCCATCAGCTGGTTGAAGCTCATCTCCCTCAGTCAGTGAGGGACATCCTCAGTTGGACCGTGGAGTTTTTCAGAAACAATCTACTGGGTTGGATTCGGGACCATGGAGGATGGGTATGTTGGGCCTTCATTTGGTCTATCTTGTCTTTTTCAGAGCAGTTCATGAAGCATGCAGACTGTACGCACATATGTGAGCGAGTCAGTGGGGGAATCATGGGAATTGTTCTCATTTTGACCATCAGGTGGGGCTGTTGAACCAAGATGATAAAATTCATCCTAAAAGACACATTTGTCACACAGAAGAGTAACAATTAGAGGTCAACACCAATTCCATAATGTATCATCAAAAACATGATTGTTTATTAATTATACTTTTTAATTATAATTATCAACACTTGTCTTAAGTTGTTTTATTGTCTAAACAAAACATTAAATAAACTACATAAGTAAAGGGACAACTATAGCAAGATACACAGCACATTAATAAGTGAGCTGCATTAACAGAACTGACAGCAAGAGCTGATAAATAGCAATATATGGCATCAAGAAAGCCAATAGCCTGTGCTGCACTGTGTGACATGATGCGTCTCTCCACAGATAAACAGTTTCTCAGATCTGGCAGTTGCATCTGTGCAAAGCGTGTCATCGATGAGCTCCAGTAACTACGGCCTGGTCCTGATCTTTTCTGCTGGCTTGCTTATTGGAAGCTTCATCACTTGGAGATTCTCCAGATAGCTCTGAGGCAGAGGGAAAATCATACATACACACACGTACATACACTCTCACACACACAGACACACTTACACGCACACTCCAGACCAAGGTCAAGCTGAGTGTCATTTACAGATCAGATGGAAATTAACCAGAGAGGTTTGATTCACGAGAGTTTTAAGTTTTGCACCTGCTGAACCTGCACAAATGAGACAAAAAGAATAATGACATAATGTAATTCAGGAAGCACATTCCAACCGTCCACTGCACCCACACTGCGCCGCACAACAAACGCAGTCTCTGTTCTTTGGTGCTGTTTGCACATACTTTAACGAATCATCGTGCATTTAATTGAGACAAACTTGTGTCCAAAAGTGCTGCAGCTGTGCAGGATTATTTATCATGGACGCCAGTGTCAAGCTTCCATTGATCAGAACAACAATTTCACCTCTGGTTGGTCTGAAATGAGTATATGTTAAAATGAACAGGGATGAGAGTTTGCTGCTTTTGCTGCCTCACTGAAATCTTCATCATTTCTGTCATGAGTCCAGTTCACATCAGACGCAGAGCGCACAGAGCAGAGAAACCTAATGTGAGCGTTTGGGCTTGAAAACTGGTTGCTCAATATTTCTTGTGAATTGGATCTTTAGATGGATTTGTCAGTCGGGGCAAATGAAGTGCAACTCTTGGTGCTATTTGTTGCTATAATCCATTCTTAGTGATAAGGACAACATGTGTACAACATATTCCCACCTTACCTGATTTGATACAAGAGCCCATTCATTATGAGACACTCAGGGTCAACTCTTAGTATACCTATTTTAGAGGGAATTTTTCAGATTGACGGTAAAAATAACGAGACTGTTTTTGATCATGTATTGATTTGACTATGCTCGAGGAAACCAATAACTTACTACTTGAATGAGTCAATGAGGAATATTTAAAATCATCCATTAAAAAAAAAAAAAATCTGTGTATTGAGACTATTGAATGCTCTGACATTTCATGGTCTAAGTGAATAACGGTTGTTTGTTTTTCTGTAAAAGTACACGTATAGATGTTTATTAGTGTCCCCTCAAGCTCGGTTGATTTTAGGAAGAAATCACTGAAATGTATTGGCTCTGTGTCTTGCATTGTCGTTCTTATACCGCACAGTTCAACAGTCGGTTATTTGCAGCCCAGAAACAACATTTTGAAGGGAGCTTTTCCATGTATTGGGTCATTTGTATTGCACAAAGCTGTAAGAGCTGGTTTAAAGCGTATTATATGAGGTTTTGTTATTTTACATTTTGAAGGCTTAAAAAAGAAAAACCAAAGTTGAAAATTATTTATTTGTATTTTAAATAAATCAGGGAAAAAAAGATATTGAATTTAAATTTGGTTTAAAAAATTAAGTTTTCATAAAACCTTCAGTTTCTGGGTCTTAAAAACTGTCATTTTAAAGTTGATAACATATCTTAATTACTTAATACTGTCACTCTTTTCCTTATATCTGGCCTTAACACTCTATGGTACAGTTATAATATCACAATATTATATTTACCAGGGCTGAACAAAAGCTGGCTCTACGCTGTCGGTCACGATCATTTGATTCAGTGCCTTGAGTAAACTCTTCTGTTTACATATATCTGTATACGACCAGGTTATTGCATGGAATAAAAGTGATGTTGGTTACAGTATAAGTTCCTGGCTTGATTCTGATGTAAACCTGCAATGTAAAAATGAAATCCAATTCAATGTTCAAACAAAGTCACGGAATATTAAAGCCATTTTTTAAGCGACTTTGAGAATTTGTCTTTTTATTTGATTGAAGTAAAAATAAAAATACATGTTTATGATCATGAAATGTTATTTCATATGTTGGTACTAGCAGTCATCATTTTTATTTAGCGTTACTGTAAAAAATAAATCAGGGATCCCCTGAAACCTCAAAAGTTTTTAAAAAGTCCTTGACATAACTAAACTAAATCAGTGGTGTGCAGCAGGTGTGTTATTAACACGGTAGATTTCAGGATTTGCATCCAAATAAGTTTTATGTACTACTGAAACAATCCTACTATACAACAGAATCAGTCAGTGTCTCCAGACTGAGAGTGAGTGACTGATTTAAGTACATGACACATTATGTTTACATTAGGCTGTCCGCACCAGAGGGGATCTACGCTTAAAATCAACAAAGGTTAGCTGCAAATATTTACTTATTTTTGCTGCTGGGCTATATGGATGTATTCCCCTCTGTGTGTCCAATAGTTCACTTTGAAAAAAAGGTCACCTCTTAGTTAATAGAGAGCATGTTTGTGTGTGAATGTGGTTCTGCGGGGAGTGTTCATAGACTGACGGCGATGAGGGTGTCCTCTTAGTGCCTGTTTTCACAATATAGCACACAGATAGAAATCAATTCAGCTTTAAGGAAACACTTCGTAAAAAATGATGTAAATAAATCATGTCAAAAAAAGTTAAATACCAGTGGTCTAGTTTTAACCTTGACGATACGGTGGAGGTTAAATGTTAATATAGCGAAAAACAGCTTCAACTCAAGTGATTGAAACAAATAAATTGAGTTATCAGATACAGTAACACTAAAATTAAAGGTAAAACTATCATCTTGTATTGATCATGAACTTTAATCATATAAATGGTTTTACATAAAGAAACAATATCAAGTATAGAAATTCTGTTTTTGTTAAGTAAGTCAACAAACATGAAAAATAAGCACTAAAAGAACGGAAAACACACACTGTAGTTATAGCACCATTTGTTGATATTTAAGGAACAATTTATGAAACACAAGACTGTGCAGAAACTACAGTTTAAACCACAGACAGGCTGAAAAAGCCTTTAAGTTATTCTGTACGGACTGCATGTAAAATAGGTGAAGTTACATAAAGCCATGCTGATTTTAATTATGCAAAATGAAGTTGGAGTCAAGAAGATTAAGACTGCACAACTTTATTTAACAAACTTTTAAAGCTGCTGTAAGGAATCTTTGGTCTGTGTCAGTTTTGGATTAAAGAAAAATGAAACCTCTTATCTCTTACTAATCTTGTCCTGTAAATGTGTAAAGTGTGTTAGTCAAATATTTTAATCACTTTAAAAATTTGCCTTGGAGGAAAGTGATTCAGTAAAAATTAGTCTGATGGTTTTACTGTCCATATCAGTCTGTTTCATGACCTTATAAACTCCTCACAGAGGCTTGAGGATACACGACTGACTGTATTTGACACTGGCTGAAAAATAACTGTAAATGTTTTTAGGTCATTTCACAAAAAAAAAATTTGCAGTGCGTCAAAAATCCAGCTTCAAGAAAGACACGAGACACCAAAGGGAAGTTTTGGCATAGGCTTTTAATATTTTTATTGAGTTTTTGAGGTCTCTTTTTCAACTGAATTATTTTGCTTTTTACCAGTAGTTTTTGTTTTTTTTATTATTATTCATTTGTTGTTGTTTTTTTTTATTTATCCTATCAGTAAAGGAGAAGAGTTGCTCAGGTAAATCAGCATTCACAGTCAAACCTTCATACGTTTTAACAATATATCTGTTTTTTTATAAGTCTCTTTTTCACAAATGCTGTTGATTTGTTACAGTTTTACCTCTTTTGTTCTTTACATGTTTCAAAAATAGAAAAGGTAAATAATAAACATTCCATTGAAATATATTTTATACTGTTCTTGATTCTTTTGTCGTTCTCTCTCCAGTGTAATGACAGTAAAATTATATCCAGCATAAGTCTCTCCGGCACAGACCCAGTTCAGAAATGGAGGGAAGCCTCTCGTCTTTGTCCCCATCATCCTTTCTTTTCTGTCTCTGTTTGATGGACATACAACAACCTCTGAACGGTTGATCAAATGAGGAAGAAAATAAAAAAAAGTCTACATCTTTCATCGTCGAACAAGATGGTTTATTCTCTTATTTTGAAAATCTCGCAGGATAAAGAAATCAAATGACACAAGGCACAAAAAACTGAGCAAGAGATAGACGATGGAAACGGTTTTTCCTTGACATCAACATAAATAAGTTCTTGTAAATCTAAAATTAAAGAGTGGTGACCGACAATATTTTTGATATGCTTTTAAATGGAGACTCTTTGCTTCACATACCAAACAAGCATTGACACCATGACACTGGAGCACAAAGCGCTGTCGCCAAATCCCGCTGTGGTGCTGCACAGTGTAAATACGAGGTTCACATGTATCACAGTAAAGGCATTCAAGAGTGGGTGGATCATTCACTAACATGTCCTACATCTGGCAGAGACAGAAAGAGTGGATGATGAGAGCTTTCCCTTTTTTTTTTCTTTTTTTTTTAAAACAGAGGACAGGCTTCCCTTCACATGGCCATTCACAATCAGGTCAAAAGTCATCGTTTTAAAGTTTCCCATGCATGCATTTATAATTCATCTCCAAAAAATAGGATATAAAAACACTGGAACAAGGGATGCAAAAAGAAGCTTCTTCCTCAACATAACTGAAGGAGGAGGAGGGGATGGAAGAAGAAGAAGAGTGGACGAAAGGGTAGAGAGGAGGTGAGCAACATGGACAGGGGGAGATGTTGCCACAGAAAATAAAAAAAATAAAGAAATGACGAAAAAAAAAAATCGCAGACTGGAGTTTTAGAGCAAAGCTTACCTGCCATGAACTGAAACCAACCATTGAGCGTTCAAGCCCACCTTCGTAGCGTTGTTTACGTCTCTTTATTCGCTTTGGGAGTGGAGGTAAGCTTACTCTTTTAAATGATTGTTAATTTAGGTTTAGAAACCCACGCCCAAATTCACTAGCATTGTTTAAGTCCATCAAAAACAGAATCAGAATATTAGCCAAAAAGATGGAAAGACGTGAGTATAACTGAAAACATACTTCCAACCTTCACATAATTAAAGAAGTTCACTGGTTTTTAAGGTAGTGTGAATCAGTAGAGACGGGCGTAAACAAGCCAAAATAGATAATACTGCAGGTCCACTCATTTGCAAAGCATCACATTTATGATTCTGGCGAGAAAACGAGACATGAGGACGGACCGATCAGGTGGCCTTTAAAACTCCAATCAGCATTAAAGAAAGGTGAAGGACAGTGGGAGGGGGAGTGGAGGTGACAGTGGGCAGAGCAGCTTCTCTGCATCTTGTCCTGATATGTTTAGTTGCTGTTTGGTTTTCAAGTTCAGTTGCACTCCTGGTCAACTCAGCTGTCAAGTCATTTCAAAGGGGGGTGTGACTTTATACTTCCTGTCTAGCGCAAGAACCACTAAAACAGACCTACACACTCACACGCACTAAACAAAAAACTGGAGTCCCTAAAAAGAGCGTATACCGGTATTGCCCTGCTTCCACTACCCTGCAGTGGAAAATCAAGATTTCTTTTGTCTTTCTGCAAATCTACAGCCATCACTTCTTCTTCTTCCTACGCCGCCGAATTCTCATGTTTAAGTCGGATTTGTGGATTCAATTGATTCAAAACTACATTTCTGGTGAGAGACACTCAGAAAATCCACCTTCGTTGACAGTTGAGTGTTTGCAGTGTGATGCCAGAGGATAACACATGAGAATAGTTTTGCACTTGGGTGCTCTGCATCCTTTTTAGACGAGATGTAGTCTCAACTACGGTAAAACTGATAGAACTGTGATTGCAGCATGTTAGCTTTTGCATGAGGAGTGATGAGGAAAGCATGAAGAGGATGAAAGAAATGTCTCACATAGGACCCCCAACAAGATTGGAAAGTTAATACATTAGTGGAGGCCATCTTTCATTTGAAATGTGTGATTTAAGGTAGCCAATCCCATTCATTGCCACATTTTAAGGCAATTGTTCCCTCATGTGCAACCATTCTGCAGTGTGTTTTAGACTCCTCTCACAGGCGCATTCCCCCCCTGATAAATCCCCCCACCCCCTCCTCCAACCACTACCTGCTGCATAACATGACAGAGACATCAGCGGATGCCAAACTGGGGTGTGCATTGGCTCTCCTCGTGATCATAACTCGCGCAGATTGCATGATTTCAACAAAAGAAATCGGTTAAAGTAAAAACACAATAATTCAGCCAACTCTGTAAAGACGCTGCATAAGAATGGCAGAGCTACAGTACAGTACATGATAGGCAATTGTTTCTGACAGTTCTGGAGGTGTTCCTCAAACCTTTAGGAAGACATGTGATTAAAAAAAAAAAACTCCACTGTGTGTCACATACATAAAAGAAATCCCTGGAAGTGGTTCAGCTCCTCTAGAGGGACAAACAGAAAGAAACAAAAAAACATTTTTGAGGCTTCAGTTCTCTTTTAGGAATCCAGATCTACCATGTAAATGAAAAAAAAAATGAATCAACTTTCCTGAAAACAACTTTCCTGCAGCATCATTAAATCTTGACAATCTACCTCAAAATTTATGATACCTTAAATTCCTGAGATAGGCCCTGTTATTCCAATGTGGTTTCGGCTGTCTGCGACCCGCAACACTTCCTCCAAAAATACACAAAAGAAAAATCACTGCAGACGTATACAGGGGCGTTATTTCCTTACATGGTCCTTCAAGTTGTGAGATTCAGTCAGAATAGCTGCATATGTTTTTAATGCTACAATTTACAGTCTGATACACTCAACTACCTTAAATGATCTGTGGACTGCAGCTTGAAGTCAAAACATGATGGATGGAGGAAGGATGGAGGGTGAGACCTTGGCTGAATCCAGATTTCTGGACCAAGTATGTAGTAAGAGATCCTGTACTTGACTTTGGATTAAACGTAAAACAAAAGTGCACTCCCACAGCCGCACAAGTGACCTTTTGTGGGGGCTTCAAAAAGTGCATGAGAACAATTCAAAAGTAACAAAAACAAATACCAATTTATGCACAGCAATCACAAACAAATAAGCAAAATATCTCATTTAAAACACGACCAATGAGAAGACAAATTATGACACATGAATCCAAATGTGCAGATTTCACTTTTCACCCGTCTGCTGTTATATTTTTCTGTCCATACAAAGTCTAGAGGTGGATATTTTCCCACCTCCCTCTGCTGTTTCTGGTAATAAGGGAGCTGGGCCAATAATGTTTGAGCACATCGAGTAAAGATGGCTGCCTCTTCTCCACGGATCCTGAATTTAAACACCCTGTTCTGTCTTCTTCACGAGGGAAATCACTCGCATGTGGAAGCAGAGTCAACCCATCTGAGAGTAAACATACCCTGTTTGACCTCTTTATCACTCCACTTAACATTTATTGAATTCTTCATCCGATCTTTTCACCAAACTACATTTTCACAGTCGCGATTTCACTCGTCTGCAAAAGTATATACATCTTAACACAGTTTTGTGGTTTTCTGATATTTTTAAAATGGTTCTGTGTTGATCCCTGCTTGGCCCAACCATTTCTTAAAAATAAAAAAAATAAACAGCCTTGGACGAAGAGGCAGCCACCCTTTTCCCCCCTAAAAGTACATCCCTGACTCTCCTGGGATAGCGTACGGTTACAATAACTTCACTTGTACAATTTCCCACATTTCATGTTCATTCTAACCTCAAGTAAGGTGCTGCCGCTAAATACAGGAGTGGAGAAAAAGTTTCAGAGGAGGATCGACAGAGATCTTCAAGACATGGACAACGAAAAGTTGACAGCACAGTTTAGTTCATAATGATCTCAAAAGTTCTGGGTTCAGAAAATGACAGAGACAAACAGCTGCCGTTGGAGAGAGAGATACATACAAGGGTTCTGATAAAAAGGCTACAAGAGGAAGAAGAAAGAGAAGAAGAGGAGGAAGAAGCAGAGTATCAGCCAGGTGAGAAGTAGTAGGAGTAGATGAACTTGTAGCAGGATAAATACTTGCAGTAGTTGGGATAAGTCCTCTTGGTTTTTATGGGGCTGGGGGATCTTCGAAGGTTCCTTAAAGAAAACAAACTAGGGTAGATGTTGCACCCCTTTTTTCTTCATCGTTTGGGTTTGTCTTTAAAAACATTTTTTTAAAACACCATGTCACGTTTTTTTTCTTTTTTATTTATTGCATATAACATAATTTTTTGTTTCATTTTATGCTTAAAATCTCAATTACTAGCCCTGTTATTCATGGTGGGGATCAGAATGGCTTGCAGAAGTCATGCAAAATATTCATGCTGGTAAACAATGTCGTAAAAATGCATTTCTAATTAGAAATCATTGCCATTTTCGTCCCTGGTGTAGTTTCTCAAAGATGTTCTCCCATCTCCTCATGCTGAATCCCTGCTCTCTTAAAAAGCCTTTTTTCTTCTTGCTCAACAAACCCAGAGGTCAGCGAGTTTGGTGGTCCGCAGAAGCCACCCTCCCCCTTTTCCTTTAGGAGGGCAGCTCCCTTATCCATCCATTATGCCTCTCAAGAAAGCAGTTTGCTGCAGGATGCTGTTTCACACACATCAGCAGACAGTTGGGGGGGTAAAAAGTAGCTTAAATGATGGCGGTGACTTTGCATTGAAATTGCTCGGAGGAAAAAAAGTGCGGGTCTTTCTCCCGCTTTCTCATGGACTCCTTCCATTCTCTCTTCCTTCTCCTTCCAACCAATGTGGCTTTGACTGTCTTGCTTCTGGCTCTAATTGGTTTCATTCATGCCATGCAGTTTGCTAAAGAGGAGGAGCAGCAGCAATGCTGAGATGCAGGAAAGGATGGGTCAAGATACTATTAAGACCCAAGAGGGAAGGAGAGAGTGAGAAAGAGAGATAGCCGTCTTCATTTTCAGGGACTCATCCTTTTTTTAGCAGGTGTTTGTGACAGTTCTTTGTCTCTGAGGGATTTCCGTGTAGCCCAACAGTTATGCCTATCCTTGAGTTCGTTTCCAACAGGGAGTGGATCCACCGACCGTTTGACACTCGCTAAAATCTCCATAGTCAAAGCAATCAGCTCAACTTGAAGTCTCAAGCTGTCAATTGTCTCCCGGGAGATCCAGATGATATCAAATAGACAGAATCATGTCAAATATACACGTGATATGGCTAATGTGTTCTGATATGTATGAGTAGATTTCAGCCTGCAGTTAGAGGTCCTGTAGCTCAGCAGAGATTACCAGGCGAATCCAGTCTGCATAGCCTTATGGCGTCACTGGACCACGCTCTGCTGGAGCTGTAAGACATCACAATGGACCACTCCTCACCTTGCATAGTGCTTTGAGCGCCAAAATAACGGATTATACTCGGGTAATCCACAGTTGTAAATGCAGCCTCTTAAAACGAAAAAGAAAAAAAAAACAATCTTGACTACTTGGTGATCATAGACACAGATGGAATTTTGTTGTGTGGTTTCCAAATCCGAGTCAGTCGTGGGCCCTACGGCTGCTACACTGGGTACATCCATGCTGCGAACTGCTCTGGAAATCAACCCACGAGCGGCCTTTTTTCCTCGCCAAGATCCTCAGAGAGGTTGCATATGAATGAGTCGCACAGATGATGAAATGTCCAGGTCAGCGCGTCAGCAGCGGTGATAATTTCTATCAGATTCTTTCTTTCTCTTTTCTCTCTATCTCCCTCCCATTTTGTACAGTGAATCCCATCAGGGGGAGATGGAGGAGCAGTGGTTTAAAGTCTATTGTTTCCCTCATCTTGTAAGGAAAGGGGAGATTAGAAACTAAGCACTGAAAGGGAAAAAGAGAAGAGAGTTTAGTGAGGACCTGGAACAAGGTAATGACTCTTGGCCTTTTATACACCAGACCACGCATCCAAGCTGATCTTGCAAAGCAGAAGTTTAACAACTATATAAAGTTCCATGGTGGTAGGTTGAGGCAACGGATAATTGAGACCAATAATTTCTTTGTTTTTAATGTGGATTTCATAACAGCAAGGTCTGGTGTATATTCTGGCCAATCGGGTGGAAAAGCACTGGTGGGTAAATTAAGTTTTCCTTCTTCTCAAACTGAAACTGCTCAGAAAAAAAGTCCCTGAGTGGGATGCACCAGCTGTTCACGTGAGAGCCCTTTCACCGACACCTCATGAGTTCAGTCTCCAAACCTAGAATAAGCCTGGAACTGTCAAAGATCTGTATTTAATAGTAAATCTGGATCTACTGAAGGTCTAAAGTTTGACTGAATCTTGATCTCAACTGATACTTGATGGACGCTGCTCAGTAATAATAAGGGTGTAAATAAAAAGGACAAAAATAACAGGGAGTAAAAATACTTATATCAGTTAGGTGAGCGTTTGGATAGATCCTTCATGGTCAACTTTGTTAAAAATAAATAAATAAATAGGCCACCTACACTCAAAACTCAGCACCTGTTATTCTTAATAAATGACTTAAGTCTTTGTGATTTTCAGTTTTATTCGCTGAGAAAGGGTTTTCATTTTGACCTTCACGCTCTCATTGGCTGATGCAGCCCAGTCTGGATTTTCTGGCTCTGGGTTGGAAACTTTTTCATGTATAGAAACAAATGAGCAAACCTGAATCATCCTCTAACACGCTTATTTTACCCACCATTACATACAAAATAAAACTTTTTTCTAATTGTTTTCATCTTCGTTTCCACATCTGGACTCAAATTTGCATATTTATGAGGTCCAGTGTGGAACTTTGTAATAAAACTGCCGGTTTCCCAAAAGCATCACGAGGCTGTAAAATCATTTTCTACTCCGAGGCACAATAGAGGGAATTTTTTCTTTTGTTAGGAGTTTAACAAAACAACATAAATCAGATTTTACTATTTGGTGTCTTGGTTTGACAAATATTTCAGCTGAGGTTGTTTGGTTATGTTCAGGATTGATTATCAATTGACTTTTTGGTTTCTGCACATATCTAATCCCAAAGATGCTGTTGGCAAAGAGGCTATGTTCTTAGTATGAGCCATTGTAGAAACCTCTTTTTCTTGATTTGTATAAATAAAACTTTCTAAACCAGCTGGAACAAAGTTGAATTTGAGATTTCTACAATGGCAGACTGAGTGTTTCTAATAAGTGTTTTTTTCTTCTCAGTAATTAACAATTAAAGTTTACAAAACAGCGAGGAAATGAAAAGCCAAACACATCACTGAAGCACAAAAAAAAGCACATCACTATAAATCTCTCCGGGCACAGCCGACATGCAAAGACACCGAGAACACAGAGCTCAAAGTGGCACGCGAACATTTCTCACACACACACACACGTAGAAACACACGTACGCACACGCACACACAGAAACACATTCTGCTGAAGTCCTTGGAGGGCTGCTCAGTCCCCTGATCTAACAAATCTTTGGACGCTAATAAAGAAGCTGATGAGACCAAGAGACAAAAAGGTCACAAACAAAACTGTAATCAGAGGAAGTCAAGAGGTTAAACAAAGGACTGCAGCCAACCAGGACTGGGCTGAAATCCAGACCGAGAGATTGAGAATCTCAGCTGACACTTCATTTACAGACCAGACCTTGGCCAAATATCAACATTTTTTTTTTCTTTTTCTTTTTTTGTTTCATCCCACTTCCCTCACAGAGGAGGGGTTTGTCACATTATTCATTTCTTCTTTCTAGTTTCTTTCACTCTGGTGCTGTTGGCGTTTGCCTAAAATGACAAACTATGATTCTTCTGCAACTGTGTGGGATTAAACAAGACGCAGTGTTGGTGAAGACTGTTTGACCCAGGTGTGGTATTTACGCAAAGAAAAAAAATTAAGAAACTAGAGTGCAACACACAAAAAAAGAAAACAACACAAAACATAAAACAAAATGTCACACCAACACAGAACCACACGGAGGTGAAGGAACACAACACAAGGAGCAAAAACAGTGCACAGGGAACAACAGAGAGGTACACATTCTTACATGGAGAAGTGATTTCGCTTCTTTCTTTCCTCCTCCACATCATCACCACACTTTTCTGTCTTCCCCAAACTTCTCCTCCTCCTCCTCCTCCTCCACTCCTCCCTCTGACGCAGCTCAGCTGACAGTCCACTCAGAAAACTCATTTCACACCACATTTCTGTCCTCCCACCCCCAACCCGCAAGCTACAGTCTTTTTTCATTCATTAAAAAGTTCATTCCTGTCTTCTTCCTGGTGAAATCCAGTGTTTTTTCAAATCTGCGAAGGTGCTCAATTCCCCCTTTTTTTTCTTTTTTTTTTTTCTTTATGAGAGTCATCAGGAGTGGGGGGGGGGATGGTGTGCCGGGGGTATAAATTTACACAGAAAGCGTGCTCTTGAGCAAAAGGGTGAAAAGACATGGGGACTGCACGAGGAGAAGACAGAAAGCACATTTGGACGAGGAAAAAGAAACTGCATTTTTGGAAGTACAAAGCAACAGTACAAACAGTACAGGAGTGTGGAAAGGCTCATGTTTTTTTTTCTTTCCCTGCCTTTTGCAGACATACAGTACATCTTTGAGGAGATATGGGTGAACTGGAGAGAATGAAAAAGAGATACCTGAGTTGTGAACAGATGAAAAGGGGAAATAAAACTTTGGCAACACGGAAAGGAGGTTGAGAGGATGACGCCTTGATTTGGATTTAAAACTGTGATTTGTCTGGACAAAGATGTCAGTGCAACTTCATCGTGATTCTAGCTTGATGATCTGATTTATTTTGAATTTGTTCAGTATAATTCACCGCATAATTCTGCAAAACTTTTGGGTTCTTTTGGAGGATGGTGTGACGGCCTCAGGACAGCCGAACGCATCCATCCTGACCGCAAAAAGTTCTTCGAAAGTGCTCTTCAAGCTACTGTAAAGGCAAATACTGCGTTTAACTCCACGGTGATTATTTAAAACAAATTAGAGCCCAATCGAAGTTTGATCAAACTTACACAGTCAGCTGGGTTAGGATGGCTTTGGCCTGCTTATACTCTGTGGAAGTTGCATTGAATCACTGCGCTATCTCACTGCAGGAGCATCCTTCCTCCGAATGTCAAAAATCAAGAGTAGAGCGAAGGACGAAACATGAAGGAATGTAACATGACATGGATAAAACAGACAATGAGGAAGCAGATACATGAAATGATGGATTGGGAAATTTTGGTAAGGAGGTATCTTGGGAGAAGAGGGGGCCTCTCTTCTCTCTTGAAGAAGAGTTGAAACAATGATGGAAGCAGCTGGATTTTTTTTTAAGCATTAGTTCACAGTTACTGCTTCTTTTTGCATATATCTGATAAGCGCAGGGCTTTCAGAACAATTCTCTGTGAAAAGAGAAGCAAAACAAAGAAGAAAAAACCATAAGCTACAATGGTTAATAAGTTTCTCTTATCATAAGTCTCTCAAGATCAATAAGAAAGCAGCTATACAAGACCTACTAAAACTAAACCCCTACCCCACCTGCAAAAATAAACTTTCCCACCCCCACCCAGCCCTGTTACAGTACCTACTTTGGTCTCTTTCGACCAATAGCATCATAGCATTGTAGCATGCAAAATTCAGCCCATCTCACCTCTTGCATTCACAGAGGTTAAGCTCTTTGTCCTGCATGCTTTGTTAGTGCATATGTATGCATTTTAAAACACATTCATACACACTCTTAGTAATCTAAATGTTATGTACACATTTGTTAAGCTCAAGACTAAAATCTTATCAAATCTCCTCACATTACTAGTCATATCAGTATCATTATTGCTTGCGATGGAATCCCCATGCAGATTCTTCTAAAACACAAACTTTACATATTTACATCATCATGACACAGGACAGCGGCCCCTAGAGGCCTGGAGGAAAGTGACAGACACACGATAAACCGGTGGACATGGAGGAGTGAGGAGAGGAAAGGCAGAGGATGATATGGTAGGAAACATCAGACAGGTTTAGAGGAGAGTGTTCAATCTTTGTGTGTGTGTCTGTGTGTTTGTCTGATGCGCGTTCGGGATACAAAATAAACAAAGTCAGAATTTAAAACCTCATAATCCTCGAATTACACACACACACACACGAGTCACAATTAAGTTGGACGTCTCATGCCCAACTCAAGCAAGACGTGAAACAGGGAGACCTGCATGTCTCACATCAAAACAGACAAAAAGAGTATTCGTATCTTCTTTGAGAGTGAGATGAGACGTCAGTATAAATCACCAGCCTGTGCAGTGAAGAGCCAAAGATTGGTGCAGCACCATCTCCTCCATGTGCCGATGATGGTGCTGCATCTACACACTGTGCATAAGAAGTAGATGGGCCACACCAAGCAGAGACGACTGAGTCACTCAATTATTACTTAAAAAGTCCTAAACATTTATGGACTCAATCGCTCTTTCTTTTACCTGCAACAGACTAAAAGCAGTGTCTTATTAAGGACTTTAGCTCTCTATTATTGATCATTTAAATACATTACAAACCAAATACTCCCCTGGAGCGCACTCAGATACTCTGTTTTGATTCCTGAGGGGTTTTTCTGTCAGCCAAATTAAGCACATTATTTCATTACACCAGTGTTTTAAAATTGAGATGCACTTTGCTAACCTAGCACACAGGCAGAGACACAGATGACCAAATCCATCTCTTATGTTTCATCTAATTTGCACCAAAAAAGATTATAGAAAGTATGTCGATTTTGTTTGAATCACACATTTACGGATGTAGAAGATTTTGAAGGTAAAAACTACCAAACCTTAGAGGTGTTGGTGTAACTTCTTTTCATTTGCTCTCTGGCTTTTTGTCAAATATCCTGCATAGACAATGATCTGATACATTTTCTCATCTTACTCTCAGCAAAGAAGTGACCGACTTGAAAGTCATGAAAGTGTTTTTATACATTTGGTGCTCTCACCTTCCAGTGTTGCAGCCTGAATGTGAAAAAGTAACAGACAGATTAGACTTTCAGAGCTCCGAAACAAGAATTTTAGAGGGGACTGTTAAAGTCGGTTTTGTTTTTTTCCTCAAATGCCTTATTTATACTTAAAATCTGGCTCTGCACCTTGAAGGATATTCGTGTAAATCAAGTTGATGTTCACTAAATTGCAAAATGATGTGAATCTCTTGTAAATGAAAGCTCTCTGTCTGTGACTTTCACTTCCAGGGAGGAGAGGAAGGTGAGAGTGGAATAATTTAACCAGAAAACAGATGATTACCGTCTGAATTAAAGGGCTAGTGCGACAATGTCAAGTGACATTGCCGCAATAGCAGGAAATTTCAATTTTTAAACATAGAAAACAACATTTATATTACGATAATAAATAAAAAAATAAATAAATAAAGGACGCTCACTAACCAAAGGATGACATCATTATTAAGTGATATTATATAACATGAAGAAAAATAAAAAAAGAAATATTTTTTCCTTTTCTAAGAAACAAACAAACAAAAATTTTCCCAGTTGACATTTTTGCATCTTAGTCCAAAGGTAGATGCAGATCCAGAAACACACACATACACATAGACACACAATACTTAGGTGCACACTCGTCACATGTGCTGCAGATGCATCATAACAGAAACACACAGGTCTGAACTCTGCTGTCCCATTTATCTACATTGCATATTTCTAGGTTTTTTTTTGTAAGCTGTCTGGTGCATGTTCTCTCTCTTCTTCCTCCCTTTTGGTGTTTGTCGTCCACTCTTCTTCTACCACGGGCTGTCACTCCAGTAGCCATTCATGGGGCCTCCTACTGCACAGCCGTAGCCGAAACAAAGAAGAGATGGACGGACAGAAGAGGAGGAGGGGGATGGTGGGGGGAGGGAGTTCAAGAGGGGCAAAAAGAAGGGAAAGAAAGAGAAGCCAAAAAGGGAGAAAACTAAAAATATTGCCATTGGCCGCTGAGTCACACTGGATTCAGTGCAAAAGTAGTAACTCTGCTGTTGGTGGTGATGGTGATGGTGATGATGAAGGATGGGCTCAGACTTGAGAGAAAACCACGCTTTCACACTCAGGCTGAGCTATGATGCAAACTTCTCAAGTTAAACAGAGAGGCGATCACTCTTAAAGGAGGAGGAGACACCTTAAAGGAAGAGTTCAGCGATTTTAGAAACACGTCCATTTACTCGAATTTGCTGTAACAATGTTTGAAGATGAAGCTTCCAGCCAACGTATTGAGCACAAAGTTGGTTCAAGATGTGGTTTGTCTAGCTTTGCATAAGGACTGAAAGCTCAAGAGTGTGGAGTCATACAAATCTTCTCATTCCCAACTTGTCAAATTCAATCACCGGTCTTTTTGTGTGGAAAAAAACGGTGATGCACCTCTCACATGTGGTAACAGGGGGATTTGTAATGCCTCGCACTTTAAAACCACTTTGAGTTTTGCTGTGTTTGACAAGTTAGGACTGAGAATCGGCCAGTTAGTGTGTTACACTCCAACTTAAAAAAAATACATATACTTAAAAGAGCTTTTTCAGCCACGACAAGACTGGATGCTGCTTCACTCTGCTTCCAGTCTTCATGTAAAGCCTAGCCAACCTCACCTGAATCTATCCATCCTAATGCTTGGTGCGCCGGCAGGAGAGTGGCATCTTCTCATCTCACTTGAAAAAATTAAAATAAAACAAGTCGTCTTCATTTGTAAAGCTCCTTTAAATATTGATTTGATGATGGGAAAAAAGCATGGCAATAGAAAAAAGGACTGATCATCCCTGTTTGTCAACTTTTCAGCGCTGATAAGGAACCGTGTTGGAGGAGTGAAGTGTTGAGGTCGAAATAAGGTGGGACTCCTTCAGTTATGATGAAGACATCAGGAGGTCTCAGTGAGGTTGAGGCTAAAGGTTGGTATTAGTGTTCATCTAAACTGAGTTTCTGTTCTTTTTTCATGTAGGTTAAGTGACAGCAGATCGAGGACGACCTTAATTCATTGGCACCCCATGATCTCGTTTAACCGATCTTGGACAAAACAAACAACAAGGACCCAATCCCCGTATAATAATCCAACACTATGGACTTTTGATTGTCCAGGTTAATTTTGCACTGTAATGATAAACACCTCTGAATAAAAATGATGGGCATATGTAAATTTTGGCAAAGTGTGAAAGTCAAAAATCAGAATTTTGAGTCCAGAACAAGTTTGTTGAAGATTGAAGAGTATGGGGGAAAAAAGTTTGGATGGTTAAATTTTCCGATGAAACAATTTGATTCATAACAATCCAACAAAAAAGTGCTTTTTCAGAGTCTCATCTGAAATGTTTAACAAAAGAAAAAGTCTATTTTCTAATAATGGAATAACCTTCTTAAAACCTCGGCTACTTTCATTTTGCTCAGTATCTTAGAGGAGAGTTTAACATTTCAGATTTAAATGTTTGTTATGTGTATGGAAGTACCTATAAGGTCTTAATTTCTCTTGCTGGCTTCCTCAAAATTGGACATCATCTATGTGAGATAGATTTAGATAGGAGGCGAATCACTGACACATGTTTTCCACCTCAAGCTCACAAAGACATTATGGCTTTTTTTTACAGCACTTTCCCCTGCTGTCCAAGGTATGAAAAATAGATTTTCATTCAGTCCTCCTGCATTTCGTGATGTGAAAGTTGTTTAGTTCAAATTTAGCATTTTGAGTTTGAAGCCTGAGAAGAGGAAGCAGCAGGAAGAAGAAGAGCGGATGCTGTTAATGCGAGGAAAGGTAGAATCGTGTGGACCTCGTCCTATTAAAGGGATGCGCAGAGAACCATCTATGTGATCAACTATGCATGTATGCAAGTTTGCACATGTGTATACTGGATTTTGTATCATATAAATGGAACACAAAGAACAGAACATCTACTGCCTAGACAGCTTTTTTTGGAAGGTGCAAAGGTGCTACGCTTTGGGATATTTTCTTTTCAAAGATATGCTTTAAGTGTACAAAAATGTCTTTTTTCTATCTTTTCAAACATTTAATGTATGTGTTTTATTATTCTGGAAATCCTCTTGATAAAAACATGCATGCTGCAGCATTATGTTAGTGTCTATGTCGATGTGAAAGTAGGCATTCTGAGTCTTAATATTATAAAAGTCTATTTAGAGCTACTCTTAAGTATCAGTCTTAAGTATCGAAGTGCAAGTGCAGTTGAGATACAGGCAAGAAGTAGCACGGGGAAAAGCTAGGGGTAATCTAACTCAACTATTATATCAGTCTAAACTAAAGTAGACTATCCCTGTTAGCGAGGCGGGATCTTAAGAATGTGTGTGTGTATTTTTAAAATACATTTGCTTAAGCATCTTTCTCAGCTTCATACGTAAGAGTTGGATATTAAGTGATTTTAAAACAGGTGCCTAGATTAACTCTTGATTTGTTATTGTAGTTTCTTTGAGTAAAGATGGTGTAAGAGCAGCTAGGGCGAATCAGATGACCATGAGACCCTCCTTTCGTGTTTGACGTTTTTTCTTATGCGCGAACCCTGGGAAATAAAAAAAGAGAAAATATATTTTGTTGTTGTTGTTGATTTTTGTTCTGTTCTGCTGTCAGCTATGCTACAAGATGGAGGGAATGGGGGAGTGGCATCGCCTGAGTCCTGGTGGCTCGAAGGGTTCGAAGGTGGAGTTGGTGATTGGGGTGAGGCGCAACGGGGCGCCTGTCATCCCAGAGATATTATTGAGACTGCGCGACTTCTCGTAACCCGTGGCTACATGAGGATGACAAGCACAGGTAAGCAGAGATTAGAGAGAGAGAGAGAGGTCATGAAGGGTCATTTATAGAAGCAAACGAAACAGTCAGCAGGAACGGTTTTGTAAAAGATAAGAGTTCAAAGGTAGGTAATGTGTGTCAATGAATGGAGATGATGGATTCATTTATGTTATGTTATGTTATGATAGCATTGCACATCAGAAATAGCAAATATAAACCATTTGTTACAGTTACAAGCATTTGTAAATGAAACAAAGTCGAAAAAGATAAAGAACTCAAAACAAAACCAGCCCAAAGTAAAATATTTTAGACCAAAAGAGGAAAAAACAGACGGACAGATGGACAGAGGGACAAACGGATAGACAGACAGACAAACAGAGACAGGACAAAACAGGAATATTGGTTATGAAAATAAGCTGTTAGTTGCCTCAATAGCCCTAGACACCTAGGGGTGGCACTGTTCAGCACTCACATGGACTATGTAAGGGAGAAGGGGGGATGCACTCGTCCAGTGGATGAACACAAATCCGGATGATCTGAATAAACTTTCCAGGATTTTTACCTGTGCATCCACTGGACTTCCTTCTCTGTGATTCCCAAAAGTACATCAGACGTGGTTTGTCCAGGAACAAGAAACCAAACCCGACCGAAACAATTTTTGGGACACTCAGAGAGAAACTTATGTGGATAAATCATCTGGAGCTGAGCACAGTTCAAACAATGCTTCGTGTGTACGTTAAACCTTGAAAACAACTATCCACAACAGGACATTTTGGTCTCAGAGTCCAGGTGTTTTAACCAGCAGGGACCACAAGCTGAAAGAGAAACAGTCAGTGCGACTGACAGAAAGACCGACAGACAGAAAAACGTACAGAAGACAAAACCCCTCCCAAAAAGTCGGCTCAGGTCTGTGTTTCTCTCAAACGTAACATGTCATTTTAACAGGTTGAAATTTTAAGGCTGCCGCCATGCTAGCAGCACTGTTTTGGGGTCATAGCAGCACTTCACACTAAATGCCTTAATTAGCATGCTAACTGCTAATGTCAAGCAGTTACAAATACCACAAACTGAGTTCAGGGCTCCTTTAATGAAGAAATAATGCGTAGCCACAGCGTAAGAAAACATGATCACAGGACAGTCACCGTTGGTTATCTTCATGCAGTCTGTTGATCGTAGTTTTGGCTGCTTCAAAACATGCAAACTCTGGTCTAAGTTCCCCTTCTGTATGGAATAAAGAGCACTAAATAGATGATAGGTTTTAGTCTGTTTACTATAGCATCTTTAGGATACACTCAGCAGATAAACAGCTCTCTACACTCACTGAGCTATTAGATGTCTAATATTTTTTTAAACCTAATTTAAACCGTCTAGATTCTGTATATTTTTAGAAGACATTTAGACGTTGCACTTTAACCCATTATTCGATAACTATTTATTTCAAAAAACAGCTGTGAGTTGCATAACTGATCTTCAAGAACTTAACCAAAATAATTATGATAGCCATTGAGCAATATACAGAGTAGTAAACTTGATCTAAACTTGGTCTAAATTTAGACATCTAAAAAACTTTCCTTTTTAGACCTGTCATCTAGGCTTCATTTAGACATCTCTTAGAGCTCTTTTAGACCAAAAAATGCTCAGTGGGCAAGCAGCTCCAAAGTCTGTCCACTCATCTGCATCTCCACATATCTGTGTATCATAAACTTTGGCCACTTTAGTGAGATGGTTGACTGTTGTGAAACATCTGCAGAGCAGTACCAGGGTTTCTGGACATCAAGTCATAGTTAGGGGTGTCTTTCTATATGATGCGATCTGCACAAATTTATCCTTGGCAAATATGGGCAGACTTTTTCTGAATGCACAGCGTCTGGGGATTAGTGTAACTCAGGGGTTGTCAAAGGCTGAGGCTGTGGGCCTCCCCCAGAGAGTATAAAAATAACTGCGACCCCCTCCCCTTAAATATATACATGAGTTCATGTTTTTATCTCATGAAATAAATGAATTAAATCTGTTTAACAGTGTCATACATGTTCTTCTGTTAACGTGTTTGGAATATTTTAAACATGTCCATCTCTTCATAACATCTTTTAAACATATTTAAATGTGTACCATCATTTTAACATCTTATTAAACATTTTTTAAATGCTAATCTTTTTCAAAACATCATTTATACACACTATTGGACACAATTTCAGAAGTGATTTTGGCAGCGATGTGCTTTGGAAAGGAACGAATGCAAATTATCCTTTACCTTTATCCACGGCTGGTTGGCCTACTTTATTCATAGTTGATGCAGAAAATCTGCACTCACATGGGTAGATGGATGTTAAGGGGATGTGGGACGTTTTTGAGGGGTTCATTGTCATACTTCCTGTTTTGTTGCACATCTTTTACTGAATGTGTTATGAATTTATCCATTCCCCTCACGTTAACTAGCTAGCTTAGACATAAATAGTCTTCGGCTTATTGTTTTTTCTTCTCGTCCCGCGCCTCCCCTGATGTGCTCTGGCGCCCCCCCAGGGGAGGCGCGCCTTACACTTTGAAAACCACTGGTGTAACTCTATTTAAATGAATTGCTGAGGCTAGCCTTGCCTCAGGGGGATGGGAAACCAGAATCACATCTGTCCAATCTGGGTTCCTCAGGTAAAGGAAATCCCTTTTTCCTCCAAGCTCAACATATGTGCATAAATTTTTACTCCATCGGTCTGATACTCAATCTGCTCATGAGTTTGATGTTAAATAGTGAAAACAATGGTGGTAAGTGACATGATAGTCACAGTGCAAACAAAGCTATCATCATCATACAGTCTTCAGATTACCAGTTTGACACAGACACCTTTCAGTGGATACTGTACGCATTAAAGAGTGGACCATATCGAGTAGCATGCAGAGCTTTTGCTGAATTGACCAATGAGAATTTCTGCCTCGGGAGGCTTTCTGGATACTGGAACCCACAGTGACAGATTCAGGTCATCATGTTGTAAGAACCTGTCTATTTATTACACTGTAAATGAGCTTGTGCAAGTGTCTCTGTGTGTAGCTACTCTGTAAATGCACAACTGCACTCTGCTATTACTGCAGGGATATCAGTGTAAAATAAATGACCGATAATGTGGTTTGTATGTGCTTTATGCGGCGTGTGTGCATAATTTGTCGGTGTGTTTGCGGTGTAACAGCACACACTCTGCTCCGTTTAAATGGATGTGTTCGCGACAACAAGTCCTGTATCTACAAGAATAAATCAGCAGCATTGCGGCTCTTAGTTGATTGGGACACACAGACCCACTCACACATATCCCCCCTCCTCCCTTCCAGCACGCACACACACATTTGCATCATACACAACAGCTGCAGCAGATAAAGATTGATTGGGATCAATAACCTACAGTTTCCAACCTTCAGCAGAATTGAAAGAAACTTGTACGCCCTGATGTGGTTGCCAAGATCTGAAATCTGATGCACATAATCTAGTTTATGTGCATCAACATTTATGATCTACGTTAAACACACATTTTTGATTAGCATTTAAACATCTGCGTATTTTAAGGGGTTAAATTAAGTCTAAGGTTTTACCGCCCGGTAACCTGAATAAATTCATGTTGGAAGTTGCAAAGCCTGCACGAGAGAGCCTATATGGAAATTTCTGCAGAGCATGCAGCGTCAAGCAACCTCAGCTACGGATTTCCATTTAAAGAAACCCAATTATATTATATCTTTTTTACGTTGTAATCCGTGTCACGTAAAGACAGTTTTGCTCCTCCAAGTAAAATACTAATTTTACCCCACATTAGAGGAGAGTTGCAGGTCCATTGCAGCCTCAATCAGTCATTTCATTTCTATTAAAGTGGTTTGTGCGGATCTTAAACGCATGAAACATCCAGAAAAATCTAATAAACGGGAAATCAAAAACAAGCATCTCTCTAAAAAAAAAACTTCTTAAATTAAATAGAATTTGACATTAATTCAATTTAAAGGTTTAAAGGCTGATTTTTGTCTTTTAAGTATTTTTCCGTACTAAATCCTTTCCATATTATCGATAGAGATGCCTGTCACTAATTCAATCCCACCTAATTTCACCGCCTGTAATCAGTCCAGCTTGAAGTTCTGATTCACAAATCCCAGCGTGTGTGAACATTATTCCAGAGCCCACCTGCCCCGATTTGTATCTTCCTGCTTTCTTGCTGTGAAGAAGAGCATCCAGCACCTCCACCCTCAGCTTTGAGACAAAACTCTGTTCTCATGCTGACCCAAACAAGGAGAAAGCAAATCTTTTAAGTTTACTGTAGAGCCTAAACTTGTGACACATGTGATACCATCTTAGTTAGCCAGAAAGAGCAGACTGTCCACAGAAGGAAAAAGAAAATTCTGGTACTGTGTCTGAAGATCGTTACATATATCTAGAAAAAGAAAAAGAAAGCCCATATGTGCCAAGGTTCAGCATGCCGCAGCTGCACACCAATTTAAATGCTAATTCTTCAGATAAAAATGTTCAAGTATCATCTATAGATGATATTAAACAAAGTCTAAAGGTCATTTAAAAAGTGACATTATTGTCATGATCACATAGAAAGTTTAACATCCTCTGTGAACACAAGTACCGCATCACAGTTAGCATTTAACTTCCTGAAGTTGTAAACATTTTCTCTTTCACTGCATGAGGCTGTTATTGCTGGTGTTTGTAGATTTTTTTAACATATTAAAAGCCATTCAAGTATTTATTGGTGTGTGATACTTAAAAATAAGACATTTTCAGGACTTTTCAGGTGAACGGGGCTTAAACTGAGCCCAATGAGACACTTTTACTGGAAATAAGACAAAAGTGTTTGTTAAGATTTGAGTTTTACATGTGTAACTGGCATTATAATTATATGTGTCCTTTCATCTGTTAAGGATGAGACTTGATAATTTGCTTTACATACAAATTTCTTTTCCAGACTTCAGCTGGAGACATCACTTTAGGGTTCAGCCTGATGTTTAGCTCATCCTGCATGTCCAAACAAAAACTGTACTGTTCAGAGACTTACTGAACTGCCCTCTACTTTTTTGTAGGAATATCATATTTGGAAAGTTAGAGTGTCTCTCAACTATGAAAATTACAAATGCACCTTAGAAGCCAATGCTCAAGTCAGAAACCAAGCTTTAGCCACATGGATAGGGTTAGCTAGTTGTTTAAACTTCAAGCTAAGCCTATCAAAGCTTGTTTCAACTAAGCCAGGAAAGCTTGATTTGAGTTTGATTGAACCAGATTTTGTCTTAAACTTAAAACTTGACTATTAAATATTGATTTAATATTTCAGATTGAATTTAAAGCAAAAGCAAGAAGCTATAAGAGAGTGTTGAGAGTGTAGCAGTGAGTCTGGCAGCTGTGCTGAGATGGTGACTCGTACATACCTGCTCTCAGTCAGACTTTAGTAACACAACGAAGGGGGAGAGACTGAGGCGGATAGCCTACGGATGGAATGGATACACCAGTGTTAAAATGAAATGTAGAACCATAAGGGAAGGAAAGAGGGAAGGAGGGAGGAAAGGTCAAGAGCTGGTGAGGAAAGATGAGTAGAGGAAGGAAAAGGGAGGGATAATGATTGTTATAATAAATAATGTAAGAGTAAATTTGGTGAAATGGGCTAATTATGTGATGAAACTTGATATATAACAATCTATGTTTTTTTTTTTTATAAAATAAAGATGTTAATTTATATACAAGCATTTGAAATACTGAGACAATCTGTACATTTATACTGTTTCAGCTGATTCTTTGAAATACTGTATGTGCTAAATAGTGTCCTAGATCTACTTTAAAATGCTTTGAATAAATAAACAATAAATATACAGCTTCAGCTTCTGAGTATGTAACTACAATAAGATTTTTAAAGCTCTCATAATTTCTGCTTTTGACAAACTTCGTAAAATCAGCCATCATAAAGACAAAATCGGATTATGGGGATTTCATGAGCATGTACTGGCTGTTCGTCTGTAACCACTTTAGCTGGCCAGGTGATAAAAGCTGGGTTATGAAAAAGCAGCTTCATGGTAAACCTCACTCCTCTAACTCATATGAAGATCTTTTTATCGAGTAATTTTCGAGCTGTGAGTTAGATTATTTCTAATTTTTGGAGACCTCTTGATAGAAACTCTACATGGTCACATTTGCTGTGACAGGGAAGATTTTCTTTTGCACTCTCAAACTGACTGATTGATTGTTTACTGTAATAGAAAGTAGAGAAAAGAGGAAGATGTGAAAAAATGAAGAAGGTGGGGAAGGAAGAAGGATAGTGAGGGGAAGGAAAGTGTCTGAGGGTGAGGAGGAAAAGTAGACAGTTTGAACAACAGGGGCAAATATTATTTTTAAAGTCAATCTACATGCAAAGAAACATATCAACATGTGTTTCAGCCAACTGCAGAAAAGGTCCTTAACTGCCTTGGTCTGGAGAAATCACATGTGGATTCGAGATTGTTAAGAAATAATATTTGCATCAAATCAAGACACAGTAAAATCATGCAACTTTTCCACTGTATTGACTCGCAGGCTGAAAATTAAACACATACATTCAGATAACATGTATGTATGTGATAATGTGTCACTGCAGAGAGAAAGGAAGAGGACAGAGAGACAAAGAGGATACACACCAAGAAAATACAGGTGACTTTACCTGAAAATTATGTGGTGACGGGTGAACATGCAGAATAGTTAGAGGAGCAGGATGAAGCAAGCGCACAAGACAATGGTTACACCAATGATCCTGTACACTTTAACAATCACTGAAGCTTTTAGGGTGATACTTTCTGGATAAAAGACTCAGCAAAGTTGAGACACCACTGAAGTGTTTGAGGGGTGATGAAAGTTTGTAGAGCGGAAAGGGATATTCCGACGTACAATGAAGTTAGGGTCAAACACACCGTAACACAGAGTTAGACACCCCATCGAGAGATGAACGTTGCCGACTGCTTACTTGTCTAGTTATACCAACTTTAGTAACGACCGCACAATAGCAAAAATTATCATTTCTTTATCATTTCCTTGAAGTACTAATCATCATCTTAATCATTTTGCACTGAGACGCAGTAGTTCTTCAGCCTTAGCATCTTAGTCTGATTGCATTTCCATGAAGAAATGATCATAAATGTTCTTCCTTGAGCTGCGACACCCCGCTGTAGTTGGTGATGGACTGGTCTGAGGTCGCACTACAAACAAGCAACTGCTGAAGAGAGTAGGTGAGTTGTGTTTAGTCTCTTTGCTCAAGAAATCATGCAAAGTTGAAAAGATGTTTGGTGGCTAGTGCTGTGGCTAGGACCCTATATGTACTGTTGATGAAGTTAGGTGCTGTTCTGAGCATTTTTTGTGGCTATAGAGTGGCGTTTTGGTTGAGGTTTATGTGTGGCTCCTGGGATTGCTGTGTTTTGCTATCGTGCGGTCGTTACTAAAGTTGGTATAACTAGAGAAGCAAGCGGTCGGCAACATTCATCTCTCGACGGGGTGTCTAACTCAGTGTTATGGTGTGTTTGACCCTAAATTAATTTTGCGCAGGAATACCCCTTTAAGTCTCACAATCTACTTGCACGTCCAACGTTTAGTATGTCACCATAGCGTGGATGAAATTATGGAGGAGAAATCCAATTCTCAGGTTAAACACGACCGCACACACTGACATATAATCTGAAAAGTCAACTGGATATAATCCACATAATTGAACAGTTTACACTTTCTGAGGCAACATGATATCGCTGTTGACACCACCGGAGACGCAGGGAGGAAATAAAATAGTGTGGGTGCAACACAGTAGGCCTTTGGGGATTCTGACCACCAATAATGATGAAATCCTGACCATAAGGCCATTGGTCATTGGCTACAGAAAAGAAGGGAAGTAGAAGAAAAACAGCTATGTGTTAATAAGAGAAAAACAGACTGACTTCCAGTGAAAAGAGAGAATATTTTAGGTGGCGTGAAACTGTGATGGACCTCGAGGGAGATAGTGAAAGACTAAAAGAGAGATCAGAGCTCTCCACTCTGCTGTGGTGCAGCATATCTCATTACACCAATGAGCCTCCAAGTAAGACTCAAGAGTCAGTTCATGCCAGTGGTGTCTGTCTGTCAATGAAAAGAATCAATACTATTTCTACAGAGAACAGGGAGGAGGAGGAGGAAGAGGAGGAGGAAGAAGACCGGGAGGAAAAGACAGGAAGACGGAGAATTATGAAAGGAAAAAAAAAAAAAAACACAGGAGCTCAGACAGCAGTCAGAGAGAGCATGAAGTACAAAGCAAGTGAGTGATTAATGCAACATTTCATTCCTTTTTCTCGACCTCCACCCACTCACTGATTAGGTTTCTCAACCAAAGGGGAGATAGACGTGTGCAGTATCATAATGCGGAGTGTGTCTGCTGCCTTTGAAAGTAATGCAGTTAGAGGGGTGTAATGTGCAGTCTTGGCCTTCGGGGGCACTAGCAGCACTGCACCACAACATTCACTTCAGACTTACTGTACCTCTCTGCAGTTTTTTTCTTTTCAGAGGGAGAGAGGAAGGTAGTGTGCTCCTCTCTGCATTCTAGCCGGCACCGTTCATTTATCCTGTTTTGCACTGAGACAAACCTTGACCAAGAGTCACAGAAACAGAGTTTAAGTGGGTTTCTTTCTCATGAGCGAAGGGCAGCAGTGTGTTTGAACATGTCAGTGTATAACCTTGTCAACAGACAAAAGGATTCCTACTTATTCTTACTGAAACGTGCAGTACAAATACCAACTTTACATCACATTTGAGGCTTTTGTATTTTTATCTGAGGAAAAAAATCGGCTGAAATTTAAAAAACGTTAAAAAGAAGCAGCTTCAAGGCGCTTCATCCTCAAGCCAAACGACCACATCCACTTTTTAAACAGTTTATGGTTCAACACTAAAATCTGTAATCATTTTCTAACAACCTTTTTTATCACATCATAATTATAACACTGTTATGCTGTAAAAGCCTGCCGATTGTAGTTGACATCGGTTGTATATGCAGTACTGTTGGGAACTCCTTGCAATAATTTTGCAAGAAACTGAGGAACACTTTACAATAAATATCATTTATAAATACTAAATGAATAGTTTATTAATGTTTAATCATCATTTAAAAACAGCATATAGACCAGTTATAAACGGCAACTAGATAGTTTATTAATGTAAGTGAATAGTTACTTTACCATTAACAAGCAATGAAATTATGATTAATAATTTTTATCAATTATTAATGGACTATTTATTCAAGGTTTATATAGGGTTTAAATATTGGTTGTAAAACATCTAGATGTGTCAGTAGCACTTTGTAAATGGTTAATATTTGTTTTTTGAACTATCTATAAACAGTACTTAGATGGTTATTGTAAAGTTGCAACTGATGTTTGTAATACTTTGTAAATGATTAATAAGTGGTTTATAAACCTCCTATAAATATTACTTAGATGGTTATTGTAAATTTGGGGTTAGCGTTAGTTTTTTTTAAATTGTAAAATTTACAATTTATTAATGGTCTATACACTATTTTTAAATGATAATTAAACATTAATAAAATATTGGCTTATCATTCATAAATGGTCTATTTACCATTCATAATTTATGGTTATTGTAAAGTGTTACCGAAACTGAAAATAATTATGAAAAGTATTTTTTAATTTATGTTCATTTTCCTGGAGATACGATTCGTTGGGTTTGCAGAACCTTGGCTTTAGCTCTTTATTCCTAAAGTGGGATTGGTCCTACTCCAAAAGTCCACCATATTTTCAGAGTGTCTGAAATAAAACAAACACTGGCTTCAATTATAATTATATTTGTGTTATTTTTTTATGCTTAGATCTGTCTGCTGCACTGTGTTCATATTATAGAAATCAATTTATTGTAGCAGAATTTTGTGCAAAAATTCGTGTAAATCAAGAAACCTGGATTTGAGCTCTTGGTTAAAATATGGAAGTGCCTTAAACCTTCATTTCCTCTGATTTCTCTGTATGCAGGTATACAAAAACAACTGATTTATTGTCTCGGCTTACGTTTTCCACATGAGTTCATCGCATCTATAATCCGATTCAGGTCCCTCTTACCTTATAATGCTATAAAACAACCTTTTCATATGTTGTAAGATTCAGGATCCCCAATCACAAATAAAAAGGTTGGTTTTTGCATCAGTGCAGATCACTAGCTTCATACCTATGTCGCACCATGTCGTCGTTGTTGTCCCTCTGCCTCACTTACTGCTCAGTGAGACGCAGCCTACTGTATCAATACGATTCAATAATGCAATCAAGCCGGAATACTTGGTTCCACCAAGTCCCAGAATTCTTCTGTCCACTGTTTCCGTAGCAACAGTGGGGCGATAATGATAAAGCAGTGAGAAAAAGTAGAGAGAGAGAGAGAGAATGAGATAGAGAGTGTGGGGTTTTGTTGAAAGGATGGGAAAGTAAGGGACTGATAAACGGAACATACAAGTATAACAGAACACAACAAAAGAGTAATAGACTAGATAGACAGATAGACAGATAGACAGATAGACAGATAGATAGATAGATAGATAGATAGATAGATAGATAGATAGAGTGAAACGGTCAAACCATTTCATGACAGAGAGCAAAGACCAGGCTACAAGCCAACAGGAATCTCCTGGGCAGGGACGATGCAAAAGTGAATGTTGGAGAGTTTCTACACTGATACAGAGCTTTTTCCTTTTTGGCTGTCCTAGCTCAGTCTCTTTGAAAACAGCATTGGTAGCTCGCATGCACCCTGCCCTTGAGCTTGCGCATACAAAGGCATGAGAGCTGGGAAAAAAGCGGAAGAAGAAGAAGAAAAAGAAGAGTGCTACAGTGCGATGCTGCCCTTTCTGAATGCCTCTAAAAAAGCTCAAGGTTTCGTTCTTTCCACCCATCACGACCACAGATCTGATGGTGGAGGATTACAGTTAAAGAAGTTACTTTGAGATATCCATCCAAGCACAATCTGTGATAGTGTCAGCGTGAGGGGAGGGAGGAAGGAAAGAGGGATGTCCTAAGAGAGATTGGAAGAGAGCCGTGGTGGCACGTCAAGAGCTATAGCCTTGTGTCTATGTTGAGAGTCTTGAGATGTCTTTTTTTAGACTCCTGTGCACTCACAAATGTATTAAGGCAACTTAAGGGAAACATAGAGTGAACATTTTCCCAAGAGCTGGTCGTGGAATAGCGTTTCTAGTGGATTTGAAGCTTTCAGAGTGAAGAGAGAGAGAAAAGGCTGAGAGCCCATCACAGCACAGCTAATAGTGCCACCACTGTGCTTTTCACCACAGCCCTTCGAAGACGTTTTATACTCACCTGAACGTGTTTGCACGTTTGTCTTTTTGGGATTGGAGTTTTGTCTGTCTTTCTGTCTCCCTTTTTTTGCTAATCTAACTTTTGGATCTTGCCTGTATGAGCTTCAAAATGAACATTCGCCGTCAAACCTTCGAAGCACTACAGTAGTCGGTGTTTCAGTGCAGCCGACAGAAAGTCAGATATCGCTCTGCTACAAAAGAAGCTGGAAATGGAGACTTTTTAAAAAGTCCTGTTTAATCAGATATACAAAATTGTTGCTCCAATGAGCTGAGGCTATAATACAACGGCTGGAGGTGAGTCTGTTACAAAACACAGCTGTAATCTCTGTGGGCTGCGCTGGAAAACCGACCTGAGCTCAGTTCCAGAGGAAAGGACGGCGGAAGACCTCCAACTAACCAATCAGCAACTAGCTCTCACTCTCAGTGGCGGGGCAAAGAGCCAGCCAGTGTGCAGCAGCCACTTCCACTCTGGCATCCATCCCAAAAGAACATTGTTTCATTGGATCCACATTATACACCTTTGTTTACTTCAGTGTTATCATTTTTCACTCAATATTTTGGTACAAAAGAGCTCAAATTTTTTTGTCGAGTCCCCAATATTTCTGATTTGATCTAAAAAATATAATAATAATATCATGCTGCACCTTTAAATCAGTGTTTCAAAACAGTTTATTTTTAATCAAATTATAAAAGGACCAGACACCCTCTCCCAAAAAGCAGTCTGGCATTTAGACCCCGCCCCCCAACAGGTGAAGGAGGTCAGAGGGGAGGGGTGAGCATTTAATTCATGGTGCCTCCTATCTGTAAGTACCAGAGTGAGAAGAGACTGGGTGAGAGGAAGAGAAGGAGGAGGAAGAGGAGGAGCAGGAGGAGGGGAAGACAGCTACACACACAGGACACAGACACGCACAGACACGGGACAGACATACAGACAGAAACAAAGAAAAATAGAGAAAAAGACAGACAGACAAACAGACAAACAGACAGATGGATAGTGTGACACAGACAAAAAAAAGAGCCAACATACAAACGTATGACCTGACACAACCTGGAGAAGGAGACAGTAACACAACAAAATAACAACAACAACAACAACAACAACAACAACAACAGCACACATCAGACATAAACCCGCACTTTAACCTTTAACCTTTTAGGCCCTTTATGTTCACCCAGGCTGTTACCGTGTTTCAGAGGGCTTTTCCCCTCACTCGCTCTCTCGCACTACGAGACTCAGAAGCAGTAGAGGCATGCATTTTGTCTCACACACACAAACACACACCTCACACACACAAACTCATGTCTCACACCAGCAGACTCACACTGTATGATGTGTGTGGGTGATCGGCTGTCTCCTTTGCATTAAGTAAATAATCACAAATTTGGTTTCTCTAGAGGCGATTCAAAAAAAAATCTGATAATCTAACAAAAAAGAAAGAATGCAGCGATCACAATATGTCTTCTCTATTTAAAATCATAATAAAGTCTAATAATAAAACTCCCTTTGTGTAAATAAATGTACTTGATTAAGATATATACAAGTGCTAAAAAAAATTCATTATTTCAGTCTCATCATTGTAAGAGCTGAGCAACTTAAGGATTTTTCATAATATAATACAATATAATTAAACACTCCCAAATGGTCCATTATTCTCAAACCTATTATTATTATTATTATTATTATTATATAAACCTATTATTTTTATAATATAATATAATATTTTTTATAATATAATATTATATTATATTATATTACATTATATTATGAAAAACATAAAATATAATATAATAGGTTTGAGAATAATGGATCATTTGGGAGTGTTTAAGATATTACATTAAAACAAGCATTAACGACCCAGTAACTGCAGTTTGCTTATAAAAATGATACCAGAAATTTGAGGAAAAAGTGTAATAAGTTCTGGATTTGTTGGACATTTTATTCTTAATTCTAAGTAATAAGTTATTTTGGAAAAATACACTTTTTATTTTACGATACACACACTCTTTAAGCCTAGATTGTGCGAATCTATAACATAGCCAAAACTTAATTGTCATAAAAACACTCTCAACTCTTTCTTAAATTGTTCCTTTCCCCGAAATAAAATGAATAGCTACATATATATATATATATATGATATTAGTTTTGCAGTATTTGAGCTAAGGGGTGTACTGCAGCACATCCAGCAGAACTAACCTGTTTGTTTAACTGTATGTATGATCAACACCATGTTAGTAAAACTACATTTTTAAAAACACTTCAAGTAATGTGATATAGCTGTAGTACAATGAATAGCAATCATACTGAGTGTTCGATTCTGTAAATCATCTTTACAGACTTAGAAATCTTATTATAACTGACCTGATGGTTGACTGAAAGAAATCCTCTGGGACACAAATTGAATTGTAGTGTATGGGCATTACACACACATACAAACACACACACAAACCATGCATGTCTCCCCACCCTGCACACCATTACTGTTTACTGTATGATGCTGAAACCACACTTAAAAGCTGTACAACAAGCACTCTGCATGCACTTCTATGCATTCAGCTGTGTGTGTGTGTGAGCATGTGCGTGTGTATTGTGATAATATAAAAGTTGAGTCATTTGATGCGATTGTGTGTTTGTTTTTGTGTCATGAGGCGTCACATCAGAAGATCTATCCCAGACTCCTCCAGTTCATGTCAGAAACCATGAACCCTGACTTGTGAATGAACATGAATGTGAGAATGTGGATGTAACGTTAAGTAGTGAGGAAGTCTTCAAAGTCACTAAGTAAGACATTTACAAACCTGTTCAGTGTGACCTGGTCATGTTGTCTTTATTTTCTCTGGTAAGTTCTAACCTTTTTTTGGCATTAGTCCTTTAAATATTGTTGCATATTAACACGTAGAATCAAGCAGATACAACATGGCAAGCTATAATAACATGATACGGTAAAATCTAGTTTTGACAGATACAATCAAATCAAACTTTCTTAATTTAATTTCAATCCTTTATTCTCTAGTTTATGACAAAGCCGTCTATTTTCACCTTGTTTAATCCTCCTACTTCAACCTAACGTCCTCCTGTTTAGTCCAACCCCTTTTTATTCAAGTAATGTTTCTATGCTCGTCCAAACTTAATGTAACAACTTCAAAATTCAATCTTATTTTAATCTAATATTTGCAGGGTTAGGGGTTTTATTAATTACTGTGGGAAACTGTGCGAAAGTTTCATTTTCTCTCTTTGAGATTTGATCCAAGAGTTAGAGTTAACCCTGCTGTATCAGAGCCCTGAACCACTCCTCCGCCAGAGAGGAAGTCACACTGCCGGACTTTAAGCCATCTGTCGGGGCGTGTATTTTGGAGTGTGTTGGAATGAGAGGAAATAGCATGCAGAGATAGGAGGTGTGTACGAAATGTTGCATGTGACAAGACGGGGGATATATTTGTGGAGAAAATGAATGATGTCAGAGTTAGTGGGTCATGGTGGCAGTACGCAGGATGATGGAAAGAAATGGGAGAGAGATTAAAAAAGCAGTATAAAAAAAGCAGATAAATCAGGAAAAGGGACTTGAATTAAAAGGGAAACAAGAAAAGATCAGTGAAGAAGTCTGGAGTGAAGACAAAGGACAAGGTGACTCTCATCTGATTGTTTCAAATCAGATGTAAAAAATAATAAATCCACTTATTACAGGTTTCATTTCAAAATAAAACACCCATTAACCCATATGTCACAGGGAAAGTTAACAATATGTTAGTACAGGACATCATGAGGATAGTGGTATCATTTTTTAAAACCCTTTTATCAATCAAATCCCAGGAAAAGACCAACAATGATGGTCCAAAAACCAGGCATGAGAGCAAAGTTAGGCATGTAAACCAAATTAGTGGGTCTATATTTTCTACAGCAAGATAAGAAACTTCAGTTCAGGTTTATTTAACATTTTTGGGGGTATTAAGTTTGTAATAATGAAGCACTCACAGAGCCAACATGAATTGTTGCATTTAAAGGGTCCTATCAGCCAAACAGGGCAAACCGTTCTGGCATGCAGTGTTGGTGTTATTGTTATTTTCTATGTAACGCAGTCACTATTTCACACCTATTACTCATGCAGTGTAAATAGGATGTGAACTTCTGCCCACTTGAATGTGTTAGTTTTAAAAATGAGGTGATGCATTGTTATCTTCAGAAAGTAAAATGGGCATAAAATGAGTTCACAGCACACATCTCTCTTTACACTCTTAGAAATGGACTCACGATTTTAAAAAAATCATGTTGCTGTTACACTTAAGTTGTATTTTAAGTATTATTACTCTCATCTCCAAATATCTTGATACTGCTTTTTGTATGAGGCTGATCTAGGGACACTATCTGCTCCATTAAAAATGTATAAGTTCATTGATCAGTGTTCGACATTTTGCTTCCGCTTGTTTTGACCCTACAAAAGTTTAGCTGAAGCACAAAATGTACATTAACATGCACCGATAAGTTCCCTATTTGGTCCTGTTGAGACCAAGCAATTGATCAGCTGTTTTTTTAAATAATCCCTAAGACTTAAAACAAGATTAATCTTGTGCAGTCAGGTGGACAGCTCTGTAGATAAAAAAGTTTGTTAAGAAGAACAAACTTTATTGACCCAGTGCAGGGAAACTAATCCGAGCAGGTCTCATGCATAGTAGTCTTGTGTGCTTGTAAGGAGTTGTTAATTGATGTAATTTATTCAACTTAAACCAGTTAATTAAGGCTAATAGTCGGTCTTTGCGTGGGATTTGTTGAAAGCACAAAAATAATAGAATTCAACCAATATTCTCTGTATACAAATGACAGGTAACACTGTGATCACAATGAGGAAGTGTTATGAAATGAAACCACGTGTACACATGTTTATGTATGGTAACCATAGAAACACAAAACACACACACACACAGAGGACGAATGCTATCCTGCATTTAGTGCTGACGAAGGATCGTCGACCCACCTGAATGAGGAGTGATCTGGAGTATGCAAATGAAGCATTCTTTGACCGCGGTTCACAAAGAAATCAGTCATGAATACTTGTGTTTTACAGAGGGATAAATCCAGTGGCTTTAACATTAGCTCAAATGGCAGCGCTGCAGCAGCAGTCAGCCTCTGCAGTACCTCTGCAGCAAAGATGCGGGATAGATGCGTGAAGGAGACCTCCTCTACTACAGCTGTAATTCGACGGTGTTAATGACAGAAATCCTTCCATCATATATCAATGCCTTCAGTGGACATTGATACGTTGTTAGTGCTGCATGAGAAAGCTGGACGTGTTGAACGTTTATGGTGACGCTGAGTCAAAAATGGAGGGGAGTGAGGGAGAAATGTAATCTTGTGAGTGCTGCTGAGTTTTATTTTAACTTTTTAGCAAGTTCTCAAGTTCTTTTGTTGAAAATAAACTCAGATTATTCTGATTTTCATGTTTTTTAAATCATGTTTGCTGTGTATGTGTGTGTAAAGGTGCAGAAGGGTTTCATGAGCACAGGTAAAATCGCTTCTCATAGGGTTTAGTGTTTGAACTTGTGAGCTCCTGTTTGTTTGCATGTGATTTATTTGCTCTGTGTGTTTGGGACATGTGTGGTTTACTGTTTTATGATGTTTTTGCACACAACACACCATGTCAGCACATATCAATCAGGACCATGCATCAAGCGACAGCCCACTGCTGTCACTCCAGTACTGCCTTCCCCCCACTCCTCCTCTTCCTCCCCCTTCAATCCTCCACCGCCCGCCCTCCACCCTCCTACCTTTCCGAACGTTTCCGTCCGTTGTGCGCTGGAACTCCCCGGTGCTCAGTAGGAAGCAGGCCCGGTCGTGTGGGTAGCGCTCACGGCTGGTAGTAGAGCCAAGACCCCCAGTAGCTGGGCTACGCTCGTCCCCGAGGACCTGGTCAATGGTGGGGCAGTCCTCATTGGCCAAAGCTGCTGCGTTGGCTGCTGCATCTCCATTCTGCTTGGAGTCTAGTGGGGAGGAAGCAGAAAGACAAGGAGTAGATTTGAGGTGGCAAGGAGGTAAAGAAAAGCAAAATGAGTCAAAGCGAGGTTGAAGGTAAGAGGGTTAAGGTAATAAAAAAGTGGGGGAAGAAAGAGAAGAAGAAAGCAAAACATCGGTGAAGGGTTTGGAGACAGAAAAGGTAACAACAGAGAGGAGAGAAGAGAAGAGAGGAAGAGGAAAGGAAACATAAAAAGAAAAGACGTGTTGGGGGACGTGTGGCCAGAAAGTGATAAGACAGGAATCGAAAGAAAATAAAGAAGTGATTAGACGGGGAAGAAAAATTAGGATTTCAGTAAGAGATGATAAGAAAAAAAGGAGTAAACAAGTGGAGGAGAAGAGGAGGGATAAAAAGGAAACCATAAAAGCAGGAGGGCAGATGGGGCAACACAAGGAGGATGGGGGGAGTTGAGAGAGTGAAGAGGAGAGAGGTAAAGAAAAAGAAGATTAATGGTCAGAGGAAAGGAGTAGGCGAATGGGGGAAGAGTGGAGACAGGGGGGTAGAGAGGGAGAGAGAGAGAGAGAGAGAGAGAGAGAGAGAGTGTTTGAGAGCATCAGAGTGATAAAAATGGAAAATGGAGATAAGACCAGGAGTAGTGAGGAGCGAGTCAGAGGAGGACAAGCAGAAGGGATTTGGAGATGAGAGACAGAAGCCGAAGAACGTGAGACGACGGAGGAGCAGTGAGAGAAAAAAAACGAGTGGAGAGTAAAAATAAAATCAAAAAGGTAAGGGAAGGAAAAAATAATGGAAGACAGGGTAAGAGAAGTGGGTGCAGGAGGAGGAGGAGGGGGGGTGTAGTGATGGTGGTGGGAGGGGGGGTTAAGCAGCATTAGTGCCTCGTGATCGCTGTCCTGATCACATGACCAACACACTGCAGCAGAGAAAGCTCACACACACACACACACACACACTCTCACACTTCATGTACCAACACACAGCATCACTCAGAGCTGAATGGAGGGACCTAAACAAAGGAAGAGGTGAATGTAGTGAGCTACACACGCACACTCACACATGCACACTAGTGCGAGTGGGTAGCTTATGTCGCTTTCAACACGCCTGTCATTCATAAACTGATGTGATTAAATACTTACCAGTTACAGTCAACGTTTCTCTCTGTGGCTGCGGGCTAATCTAGCTTTAAATTTGCAGGTGCTGTTGAACTAATACAGACATCTAGGTTGTAGAATTTCAAATGTGTGCATTTTTTGGCATAAAAAGTCTGCAGCAAATAAAGCACAGCATCAAATCGGAATAGTGATGCACACTAAGATTGTCTATGCAAGTTAGTAGAATAATAAAATATCAAATTCACTTTATTTCAATTGTTTTTTCCTTTGTTGTGTTATTCAAAAAAAAGCAGGTATGGAAACTGTTATTTTTGCAACTAAGCAGATTATCCACATCGGTAAATTTCAGTTTAAAAGTCTCTATTTGGCTGCACTCTCTACTGATGGTAATTCCCACTGCTAATAAAGGTATCGGTATCTTATTGGTCAAGCTCCACATGAAAGCAGGAATTTAGGCACTCTCACAGAAAGACTGATCACATGTTAGCTTGCCAACAAACCCTGTGGTGGGAAAGCAAACTCAAGTCTATTTATAATTGCAAACCCTTTGAGTCTGCAAAAAAAGCATGCGTTGCAACTCTACCACAAGCAGCAAGAAAGCACAAATACAAATGCAATCAGTCACGCGCCCGCACACACGCGTAGACACAGACACACACACTTAACTCAGTGCAGATGATTGACATGTCAGCAGCAGAGCAGAGACAAGATGAGATGGCCTGAATCAATGTTCAGACAGGCAGAAAATACTGTATATCTCCATACAGCCAATCCAGGATTATCTTAACATGTCAGCCTTGGCAGTACAGCATCAGGCTGTGAGAGAAGAACGATGGATTTGCCCAGGAAAGTAATAAGCTTTCTCATCCCCATCGTATATTAAAACCCTCGTGCTCTGCCCTCACGAAAGAATGAGGACATCGTCAAGTTATTTACAGCATCAAAACAGATACACACTCCTCACAATTTCAGAAATCTAACCCCCGGTCATCAGTGAGATAGATACTAAAATACTTGGACAGTAATCATATTTGTTGGGGTGGCTAAAGTGATTAACTTAAGTATTTGAAACTTTTTAAGATGCAAAGTAAAATTGCAGAGATGACATATGTCTGACAACAGAAAATCATTTTTAATCAGGCCAGACCACGTCCAAAACCACGTCCATGTTTATGCAATAGATCAGAAATGCTAATTTGGACCGCAGCTCGAGCATAACTGCACTCAAGTACATTAATCTGAAGTCAGCACTCTTTATTGACTTTTATAATTATTCAAAGAAACTTAACATGGATCTTTTTTTTTTTCAGAATTCACACTTATGTTAAAAAAAAAAAGTTAAAGTTAAACCAGTTATTTAATTAAAAATGAAAGCCGTCTTTATTAATGGTAGTTCTGTTTAAGCACTTATTTTCTGTTTTAAATCACTTTTATTTGGTTATTAAACCTCTCAAGCCCTAAGCATATTTTCAGGAAAAAATGCCCAACAAGACATACCAAAATTAAATGAGGAATTACTACACTTTACTAAAGGTGATATGCATGTTCTTGGTGTCCTTGGACATCTAGAGACTTCAGAAAATGTGTTCCAAGTGTCAGAAGTGTTGTATCTGTCATTATGCCTGAGTAAATTGGAATAAACCAGAGGAAAAAATGTGTTTTTTTACTCTCAGCAAAATGTTTTCTTTTTTTTGACAGAGGAAAACACAATGCTAGCAATGATTCCATGCCCCCAGATGCCATTATTAAGCTTCATCCACTCCTTGACTACAAATTTACCAAATTGGATAGAATTTGGGTAAACAGTTAGTCTTGAGTGATAGCCAAGATCAAAATAAGATTTCCCTTTGCTCTAATATTGGACATTTTCAGAATTCACATTTATGTTAAAACAAATAAACAAAAAAACTAAATAGTGTTAGCAGTGAAAACAATTATTTAATTAAAAGGAAAGCCATTTTTATTTATAGAGGTTCTGTTTAGGCAGTTTTTTTCCCTGTTTTATATTACTTTTATTTGGATGGCATTAATCTTGAGTGATAGCCGAGACCACAATAAGATTTCACCTTGCTCTAACATTGGACATTTGACACTAAATCAAGATTATGATAGACTAAAATATTGAGTAAAAAATCCCTTTAAAAATGGGAGAAAACTTACAGACATTTAGACATCTCTATCACAGGTTTTTCTCCCCAAAGGAAAGACAGAAGTTGAGGTTTATTTTCCCCGCTTGGAAAGATTTAAAAGTTAGGTTCTTTTCTTTCCTCCACTCTTCCTTCCTCACATCAGGACACTTGGCCCACTTAAAGTCTGGCATACATGCTTGACCTCAGTCACTCACCTGCCCTGTTGATCTCAATGATCTCCTCCTGTGCCAGCGGGCAGTCCCCAGTACCCATGATGCTGCCAGATCCCACCATGCCTGGCCCAATCACATTGCCCATCAGCCTGTGCGGTGATGCAGTCGCCATGGCCAGGGCGTCTGGCTTGCAGTAGTTCGGGCTGCCTGGCTGCGGCGCTCTGGGGATGTGCTTGTTCCTCTTCTTAGGCAGCTTCTGTTTGGCCATGGCCAGAGAGTAGTACATGCCAAAGTTGTTGACGATGACGGGCACAGGCATGGCGATGGTTAGCACACCAGCTAAGGCGCAGAGGGCACCCACCAGCATTCCAGACCATGTCTCAGGGTACATGTCCCCATAGCCCAGTGTTGTCATGGTCACCACAGCCCACCAGAAGCCGATGGGGATGTTCTTGAAGTTTGTGTGGGCTGCCGCTGTCGGATCATCAGGGTCAGCACCGATGCGCTCTGCGTAATAGATCATGGTAGCAAAGATGAGGACGCCCAGCGCCAAGAAGATGATGAGCAGCAAGAACTCGTTGGTGCTAGCCCGCAGAGTGTGGCCAAGAACCCGTAAACCAACAAAGTGGCGGGTCAGCTTGAAAATACGCAGGATACGTACAAAGCGCACCACACGCAGGAAACTCAGCACGTCTTTGGCTGTTTTGGAGGAGAGGCCGCTTAGCGCCACCTCCAGGTAAAAGGGCACGATGGCCACAAAGTCTATGATGTTCAGGGCACTGCGGAAGAACTCTGCCTTGTCGGGGCAGAAGATGACACGCAGCATCACCTCAATGGTGAACCAAATGACACAGACGCCTTCCACATACGTCAGCCAGCCATCGGTGACCACCTCATACACGATCTGCGTGGGAAAGAAAAGAAAGGAGGGGGTCTTATTTTTACAGATCCTTTGCATGGTTAGCATTTTTCAGATTGTGTACGCACAGATGGTTTGTGAGCATGAGTTATTATTTAAGGATTTTATTTCTATACTTGAGTCTGCTTTATGAAGACAGGTCCTCTTTCTAGACTCATTTCCTGCTCCTTGTCCTTGTAATAGCAAAAATTTGGGCTGAGTGTGAAAATAATGAGAGCCACCACAGCCATTTCAGCCATTTTAGAGATAAAATGGTTTAAAGAGTAAAATCATGTCTGAATTTATGACTAAAACATTTTAATGTATGCCCAAAAAAAGCAATAATGGGTCTGTTAGGAATCTGATTTTGGGACACTGACAGCATTTCAAATTTCTATTTATACTAATGTGTCTGAGCAGTATCTCAGAGGGCAGGTTAAAGGGATATTCCGGCGTATAATTAAGTTAGGGTCAAACACACTGTAACACCGAGTTAGACACCCCCTTGAGAGTTGAATGTTACCGACCGCTTGCTTCTCCAGTTATACCAACTTTAGAAACGACCGCAGAATAGCATTTAACAGCGGTCTGAGGAGCTGTAAACAAACCTCAACCACTCTATAGCCACTAATAACACTCAGAACAGCACCTAACTTCATCAACAGTACATATAGGGTCCTAGCCACAGCACTCACTACCAAACATCTTTTTCGCTTTGCCTAATTTCTTTAGCACTGAGACTCTTCCAGCACCCACTTGTTTGTAACGGGACCTCAGGCCAGTCCATTACGGACTGCAGCGGGGTGACGCAGCTCAAGGAAGAACATTCATGATCATAACTTCATTATTTCCTTTAAGTAATAATCACCATATTAATCATTTTGCACTGCAGACGCAGTAGTTCTTCTGCCTTAGCGTCTCGGTCTGATTGCATTTCCATGAAGAAATGATCATAAATGTTCTTCCTTGAGCTGCGTCACCCCTCTGCAGTCTGTGTTGCAGTGTGTTTGACCCTAAATTAATTTCACGCCAGAATATCTCGTTAATGTTCAAACATGAAAAACAATAGTATGTCATTATTATTGTGATCATTGCTGTTGTTATCTTGCTGTTGATAAAAAAATAAAAAGTTTCAGGTAATTTTTGTCGAAAATGAAACAGGGCACATGCAGAAATACGACTATGAGAGAGTGTCCAGGTAAAGAATAATGCACATTGCATCATGGGATATGTGACTTTCATTATATTATTGGTTAAGAGGTGCGAAGGTCTACAAATTATCTTAGTTGTTGACAGTATGATAATCTCTATGACCGCACTGTACCTCATCACGTGTCGTGTTTCCAATGATGACTGTCTCTGTTTTGTTGTAGATGGTGTTGAAGGCTTCATGGGTCTCCAAGCAGAAGGTGGAGATGGAGAGTAGGATGAAGAAGAGGGACCCAAATGCCACATACTGCACAGAGAGAAGAGGCAGAGAAGAAGAGAGAAGTGTTACTACTCGCAAAAATACAGAGAATCTCTTTTTACTCCAATATCACAGAAAACTGTTACATCTTCACACAAACACTTTTCTTGCCATTGGTATTTTGGTGTTCATGAGGCTTCTGGCAGAGGAGGAGGGGGGAGAGATTTGGGCCATTGCAGTGGAGAGCAGTGGTCATGTCAATGAGCTGCAAACAGGGGGCGCCAATAAGACACTCAGGAGAGTAAAGGAGCGCTGTTAATTCAGTGCAAATGTCCTGAGTGCTGCATTCTCATTGATAACAGCAGAGTCAGAGGGCTGGTTGGGGCTGATGGATGAACAGTGTAAAAATAATGAGGTACACAGGGTAAAAAGAGGGAAAATAAAGCGTAAGCAGAAAGAATGGAAGCAGGTACATGAAAAAAAGAGCACAAAGGAGACAGATTTATTACTGGGGGCTGTTTTGTGGAAGCTTTCATTATGTAAAAATCAGTACTGATGTAAGTGTGCATGTAGGTCTCAGACACCAAAGTCCAGCATTTTCCAGAGAAAACAGATCAGTAATTTCAGATACCACTATTGCAATTATGCAGAATATTATGTAGTCTATTGTAAGTCTTTTTCTGAACAGTCTGCAGAAATGTTTCCATGCAGTATTTTAGCAATTCTTCTTCCTACATGTTAGAAAATATCATGTTCACTAAATATTCAAGTCTCAGTCCTAACTCCACTCCCCAACCTTGTAGCACATTCAATCAATCAATCAATCAATCAAACAATTTTTAAAGCACTTTTCATACATGTAATGTAGCACAAAGTGTTGTCCATTCAAGCAGGATATTAAAATTAATGAAATAAAATAAATAAAAATACAAATACCAAACCCAACCCACCCTCCTAACCCCATTCAACACATACAGCACTCACACGCTCACACACACAGATGCAAACGCAAAAGATCAGGTGAGGACTCTTCAACTTCCCACAGATGACTGAGGAAATGCTATATTGGGTTACAAGAAATGAGGAAACACTGGATCTAGGACTTTAATGATAAAACCAAGATAAAATATGACATAAGTGATCAAGCATTGGCAGATGTAGTTGAAAAAATGAGGTGATATTTGAATTTACCTCTCAAGGTATAGTGTACCTTTATTTACAGAATGTGCAAAAACGACCAAATCACCAAAAAAGGAGAGATTTCTACAATATTTTTCTATTTGCATCTACAAAACATAACCTCAGTGCAAAGGAAAAAGCTTAGCAGTTACCTTCAGTGCAGGCAAATCCAAACTGACTAACTGACCGAGGCCATCTTGTTTTAAATCCCTATAGCCCCTCCCACTGGTCAGTTGTTAGTTACATAACTTTTAACAAATCAAATTTTATTCATATTTGAGTCTTTTAAGTTTCTTTAACCATCAAATCTTTCATTGCAATTTCTAACAAGTTAACCCGGAATTTAACATAATTTTACTGCATTTTTAGAAATCAATTTCAAACAACAAGAAGATTTTTTTTTTCCCGCAGTCATGTGACCACTTCTGTCCGCCATACCCGCCTATTTACTATGCGGAAATGATGCGTTCAGTTTCCTCGTCTGAACACACAAGTCAGCACGATTGAACGCACCCTCGACAGGTAAGTGGATCTAATTATGTGTAAATGTTTGTTAAGTTTTTAAGTGTGTGCATTTGGTTGCACTAGGGTTGCATTGTTTACCGCATAATTTGAGACACCGGCAGGAAGGGGAACGTTTTGCGTTATTACGCGCCCGTGTGCGCTTCCTGCAGGCTGAGACAACGCTGCACCGACACACAACCGATCAATAAAAGCAATAATATGTCGGATATAAAGCTACATTTGTATTATGATCATATGACAGGACATACCCGTTTGTCAGGGGTTGTAAATATGTATTAAGAAGTGACCGAATGCATTTTTTATCCATTTTGCATTTGAAGCATTGTGATAGTGAGAGGAACACGCAGCAGAAAGATGAGTGGCAACAGTTGGAGAAATAAGCAATTTGGGGGAGAAGTGATTTATCACTGAATGTGCAAAACAGAGAAAAGTTCACAGTAAAAACAACTTTAAATCAAAGATAGACTTTCTTACAATCACTCCTCATATTAAATGAGTGGGTCTGAACCTAAACCAAAGCAGGGATGTCGTTCACTACATGACAAGGCCGTCAAGTAATTTTGTTAAAATAATATCAGACTTTGTTTGAGAGGTTATGACCCTCTGAATAACTGACTGATTTTTCCATTAATCTTATATACTCTATTGTTTTGTTTTGTTTTCTTCGATTTTTGTGGGGTTATTTTTCCTGTTGTTTGGGAGATGAGACAAATGAGGATAAGATTAAAAAACTAATGAACACAATAACTTATAACCTAAAAAAAGCAATGCTTAAAAGTAGAGAAGAACAATATTAGTAGCTGTAAAGTGCTGTTAATAACCTTTAAGGAACTTTGTTGAAAGTAAGCAGAACTAGATCAAACACTTTATCGAATTATTTGTGTCTCATTACAGAAATATCATCCCACACATAAATGTTTTTTAAGCACTCACCTGAGAAAACAACTGTATACTAACTTCTACAAACTCAGAGGTGTGTTATGAGATAGTAGGTTTACTTTCTCACATACATCTCTACTAAGCTGTTAACTGCACCACAGATGATTAATATATTATAAAGGACGTCAGGCTCTGAAAATGTTGACTTCCACACTCTCTGTGCATATTTGAAACTTAGCTTGTACAAACACTTTGCAGGACCTGCACTGATCATCATTTTCATTTAAGTCATCTCTGATAATGTGATAGATGTTTTTCTTTGTCCATGACGCTGAAAGCTGATCAGAAATGAAGAGAAATGTTGTTTCTGTTCTCTGCCTTTTCTGACGCTCTTTTTACTGTTAAAGTCGATGTCAGACTGCTCATCAAAACTAGGGCAAATTCTAAGCAGTTGCAGTAAACCAGAGCTGTGAGTCGACAGGATGACTAAGTCATTAGTATACAGCAAATAATTAATAAATCTATCCTCTACATCCAGTCTTACATGCTTTGAACTCCTCAGAAGATCATCTGTACACAAGTTAAAGAGGAGAGGTGACAGACTTTCTCATCATGAGATCCATTCTATCCCCAAGAGGGTTGCAGATAAACTTCTGCACCTTTGGGCTAACTTGATGCTAATAACACAAACGTTTTATTCTTATCAGATAAAGAGGAACTTTTAACTTCTGAAGTCCTATGACCGATTTACCATGATTTATTTTATCAAAAGCCGAAAGAGCATCCAGGAAAAAATGAGTATTGTGGAGTTTTTATGCCTGTAAATGCTAATACTTTTGTAGTCTACGTAAAAGTGCATATGTGTGATTAGTTCACTACTGAAACCAATTTGATGGTCTGTGGTTATTTCGTATTCTTTGAGATGATCTATAAGGATTAGTTTTGGAAAGTCTGCTGTGAAGCAAACAGTTAAATCTGGCATTTGCATGTGTCCAAACTTCCTTCCTTTTTAAAACACGTTTTATGAGCTTCAACATTTTGTTCACATATTCATTCTGTCCTGACTTGAGAATATCTAGTTATACCCTTTTTGGGAGCAGGGCTAGCTACTTTTTCTTAATCAACACTGTCATCATACACCCTCTATGTGTAGACATCAATGCTTTGGTTGTTATTCTTGCAGTGTAAATTGAGACAGACATCAGTTTTTTCAGTCTGGGACTTGAAGTACCAAAATTGCTTTTTCCAAACCTTGACCGAAGTACTTTCTCTCAGGGCTCACAGTTTCTTTTTTTTTTTTTTTTACCACTTCAGCTCAGAGAGACTACCAATTTTCTCTCGTTGAAACTGGTATGTGGTCTTTTGTAGCCAAACTGTATAAAATCTAACCAGTCTGTGGAAAATGATGAGCATCATGAGCGAGTGTTATCTCAACCTAGAGGTATTTTATTGGAGATATAAGTGTTTATGTCACCCGCAAACATGTGTTAGCACTTTTGTTGAGAAAGGAATTTATAAAAGCAAGCCTGTTAAGATCATCTTTATGTTTATAAGCACTTCAAATACCACAACCATTTGTTCTAACTACAACACACCAGACCATATTTCCTATGAATGATAGTTCCTATGCCACAGAAGAGCCAACCTTATCAACCTCTTTATCATTATCCTCAGCAAACTTAACCTCATCATCTTCTTCCTCATCATCTTCATCATCCTTGCCATAATTGTAATCATCCAAATTCAAATCTTCATCAGCACCATTCTCATCACCATCCTCATTATTCTTAATATCATCATTGTCCTCAACATCCCCATTGTACCCATCAACTTCATCAACCTCATCAACATCCTTATCATCAGCCTCACTGTCAGCATTATCCTCTTATTCATTATCAATGTCAGCATTATCCTCATCATCATCATCATCATCATCATCATCATCATCATCATAATCCTCATTATCTACCATATTATCATAGTTGTGATTTTCATCATCATCATTGTCAGCATCATGCTCATTATCATCCTTAGCATCATCCTCAATGCTTTATCCCAATCATTATTCTCATTGCAGAATCTTCATCATCCTTATTAACTCTATCATAACTGTCATCATCTTCTTCATCATCCTCAATATCCTTATCATACACATCTTCATCCCTCTTATCATCTTTTGCATCATCTCATCCCCATCATCCTCATTAGCATCCTCATCATCGTTATCATCTCCATCATCATCATCATCATCATCCCCATAAGCAACGTCATCATTTTTATTGTCACCTCCATCATCGTCAACATCCTCATCAGCATTGTCCGAGTCATTATCATTATCCTCATAATCATCATTATCATCTTCATCGTTATCATCAATGTCCTCCTCATACCCATCATCATCTTCCTCATCATCATCCTCATAACCTGGATTGTTGATTTCATCATAGCTCAGACTCGTCTTCGGTCTCCCTAACATGCTGACTGCATGCTGCACATCCTTACCAGTGCTCTTGTTTTTTTCATGATTTGGTTTGTAGCATATGTGATCAACTCACCAGTGTGTATGTTAGAGTGAAAACATTCAAGAGCACATGTGTGTTCATGCGTGTGCATGTGGTTTTGTGTGGTTGTGTGTCAGGTCAACGATAAAGACAGACAGATGAAGTTTTCCTCTAATCCTCGGGGAGTACATGAAGTCCCACAGCTTATTATCATGGTCTAATTTGGCACTGCTATCTAGAGCTGCCCTGGATACACACACACACGCACACTCACACACAAAAGACGCACACGCACACACAGGCAAACACAGATTCATTTTTGAGTTGGAATTATTTCACTCTTTTGGAGTTACAGAATAAGCAGACAAAGACAGATAGACAGTTTAAGCGTCCCTTCATTCTGAAACTGAAATAACAGCTTTGCAAAACATTTTATATGTTTGTTGTCCTGCAGTAAACTTTACAAAACAGTTCCCAGGTGACCTTTTAGTGTTTATCAGTCACTTTTTTTCCCAGCAGCCCTCAGCAGAAGAAATTTAAAACATTGTAAACTACAGCCATGATTCTAACTACCATAGACTGGTGTTTACAAAGCAGATTGACTTGACTCAAGTGTCTCTAAGCTGCATTTCTTCAGCAGGAGAGGCTTTAAGTTGCTTATTTAAGCTCTATTCCTTTAGTCACCAGGATTCAAAAGGTGTAGAATCATCCATATAGCCCACTCACCTTCTCCAACATTAAGTCGATTAACTCTGGTGAATAATAATGATTAAACAGCTTAAACACAAAAATCTGAGTTTCCCTGACTCACTTCTGAAACTTTAAGCTGAGCCGCTGCCACCTTGAGCACGTCTGCCGACTGAAATCCTTCATCCTATTACATGACAAGCACATGACTTCGAGGTATCAAGAAGCTAGTGGGTTGGAGATGTTTTGTTGTTCGCAGCTGCCGCTTGTGGAAAACTGAGAAACACAAGTCATCCAAATTACGCATGAAACAAAGTAGGAGTTCTGTGTGAGAAAAAAAAAAACAGGATTGAATGGTCAAACGCCTGCTGACTCACAATAGTAGCACTCAGGACTTGGAAGTTTCTTGTTGAGTTTAAAACCATTAATAGTGCTATGGACCCAGATTTAGGAGGGGGTGTGGTGAGGTTGATATAAGGGTATATTTAAGGTTTTGGATTAAGAGAACTATCTAGATTATTGAGGTACTTTAATCATCATGATTGTACTTGGTTAAGGTTAAAGCTCTTGTGAGGGACTTCTGGTTCGTGTCAATTTGGGTGCCCCCTGTGGACAAGCAGGCTTTGCTCATCTTGTCATCTACAAAATGAGATGAGAAAAACCTCATCGTGCTGACTGTTGACAGTCAAATATATCATTTATTGTGAGTATCTCATGCAGACAATGTAAAAACAGAGCTGGCTCTTCAGCTACTCGGCTGTCACCTACCCCCTAGTACCAGTTTCAGGCTTTAAAAAGCACAATATTATAATTGTCAGTCTTGCCATTGATGATATTTTTTGATTTTGTATATTATAAAAAGGCTTTATATCCTTGATTTCCTTCTATTTCTTTAACACTTCACCAGAGCTTTATGTAACCATCAAAGAAAAATCTACTTGAGGTTAAAACAGGAAACCACAAACAACACAAATACCTCCTCCTTGGAGACGTTCTGCCCAAATTCATATTATGTGCTCTGCCCTGTTTAGCTGTTGTAAACCTCAAACCACGACTCCTTCTCACTGAAATTTGCATATATTGCCAATTAAAAAAATCTATGATCAAAAAAGGAATCTCATAAAAGCTAAATTTGCCAAAACTCCATAATTATGATCATAAATAAAGTAGCGATGAAAAATGTCATTGCCATAGGAGCTGGGAATGTCTGTGTGGATATCTATGCAAGCAAAGTAAACTAACTGAAGAACATAAGGATCTCTGGAGCCAAGCTGCTAATAAACAGCTTCAGTTTTTTATGTCCATCAAATATAAACAATAAATTAGTATTCAGTCAGGAAGTAAACGCACCACTTTCTGTCCTGCACACTCCCCATCACTTTGTCTCCAAACAGCATATGGAGTTGAAGAGGTGTTTCCTTCGTTTAGTAAAAATGTCTCTCTATACTGATAGATGACTGTCAAGATCTTTCAATGGAAACAGTCTGTCAGCCAACTGCTGCCCAAAGATTTCTGGCTGATGAGTCTGTCTGCACTGCCAGCCATCTTGGCAGATGACCAGCCGTCATCTGGCATCTTATGGCTGGTAAAGTAATGCGATTGTCTGACTAGCTGATATGTAGGTTTAGTCTCTACTGTTGCGAGGTAAGAGCCGAGAGAAAGTTCTGACTCCCATAAATCTGTCATGAAGACCCAGCCGAGTAGATTTCCCTGAAATAATATTACATATGTATTTTCAGATGAACCTGAACCACAAATCAACATTTGTGACTCAGTCAGCTGTTCTTTTATGCTTGGTATTTTCCAGAATCATGGCGCTCGTTGCCTGATTTTATTCTGGCTTGAATCATCATTGAATCATCAGCTGACTAGAAAAAGCTAAATCATCATTTCTTAGTGATGACGAATAAAGATCAAATGGAGGATTTTATAAACTAGGAGTTATCTAAGTTGATGATAATATAGTAGAATATTATCTCTACTAAATCAAGAATCCAAGCTTGAGTTTTAAATCGTAATCCTTCACATTTACATGAGAATAAACTCATTTTTAATATTTTTAATCCTAAACTAATCCAGGATTGAGTAACAAATGACTATTGACTGTAAAAAGTTTTTATTCTCAGTAAACAGAATAGGTTTCCTGTGCTGGAATCAAATTGCCAACTCGTGAGAAGAAATGATGCTGAGCAATAATCAGGTGTTACTATGTCAGCTCCTCCTCAGCTCCATCAGAGGTTGACTGATTTACTTCACACCAGATATTCAGTTCTGGAGGTCTCAAGGCTGTCGATTGATTCCAAACAGTGCACACAATGCGAGTCACACTGTTAAAACTGCTTGTTCACTGAAATTATACGTGTTAAAATAATGTGCTGACTACGCGTCAGCTCGGACCAAAAGATGAGTAACCATAGTAACAGGGACAAAGTCAAAGACTGCCTTCTTTTAACCTATTTGTATGATGAAAATAAAGTTTGAAAAGAGACACAGAAAGCAGGTGATTACATGGATGAAGAGCTCGGTAGTCTTAAAGTGAAACAAACTTATGAGCTGGCTGTATAGTAGGGATGTAACTGAATCCTGTTAACCTACTGTAAGCTCTCATGTAGCTTTACTAACGTAATATTGGACTCATGTGGAGAAGAAATATCTCCCACTGTCTCGCCATTTTTTCACTCAAACCTTAAGATTGCAGGTGTGTTTCACCTAAGATCAATTGATTTTGATTGCAAGAAACATGAACACATACATGAACACCACGAATTCTGCAGTAGGCGATGAAATGTGCAGGCCAATTCCCTTTATAATGACCTTCTCAATTACTTCATACACAGTGGAAAGGCAATGATTTTTAATAATACACTTTTCTGGCATTTTTCTGGCGCTCCTGACGAGGCCTCTGCAACGAAGTGTTTACTGTTGCCGTGCTGCTCTCCTCTGCTCCGTTCCTCTCTGTCTTTTTCATCACTGCTGTTTGATTTGACACATACTGTCAGTTTAGCTTGTAACCTGTATGGTTTTGGATAACTTTATGACTAAAACCTCCTCTGAATAATTAAACAAATCAAGAGAAACAAAGTGAGATAACAGTTCGATAAAGAGGGCCACTCAGTCCATACTCTCCTCGTGTTCCCGACTACAAACCCTGAAATTCATCCTGGTCTCTGTCTTCTCCCTCTGCCTAATTTGCGTCATCGGTCCCTGCTTCTTCCTCTCTTTTTCATTCCCTTGTTCCTGCCAGTCATACAGAATGACCTAAATCTCTTTCCTTACATCCTCCCCTGGACACTCTCTGCTCTTTCTTTAGCTTTCTCTCTTTCTCTACTTCATCAGACTACCTTTTCTTCTTTCTGTCCATGCTATTTTCTCCTCTATTTCTGTCTTTCTTTTTATACCTCTCTCCTTCATTTGTGTTTTTGCTCTCTGTCAGCTCTCGGCTTTGTTAGATGTCTCCTTGTTCAATTCATATTCTTATTTTTATTCCCTTCCAAAAATCCTTCTGTCTTTTGACTCTTTTATTTGTGTAATGTGAGCGGTGCCACTGCCAGGGAATTTAAACCCCGCTCTGCAGTACCCTCTCAGGTATCTTCACCTTTAGAGATCCGTTTTGGTTGTCACAACATCTTACAACAGAGTCAAGGTTCAGAGGGGAGCTATTTTCAGCAGAACAAGCTGCCTTGCAGCAAGAGCTGCAAAACATATCAATACACTTTTTTTTTCAGGGGTCGTTAAGACAAAAACTTTCAGCTACTGGGCGATAAATGCTGACCTGACACTCCTGAAAACAAAGTAAGAATGTCAAACAATTAGGTTTTAGAAAATCTTGATTAATCACAAAATTCCAGTCGTCCTTTGTGATTGATTGCATTTCTAATCATGCCTAAAATTTTATGTCCTTGCATTTTAAAAGAATTTACAGCTGTGGCTGTAGTTAAGTTGTTAGGTTTAGTTTCATTCAGAGGTCCGCCAACATCTCTTCTCCTAACAGTCAACAACGACTGGAGAGCAGGTCAACCAGTAGCTGATATGTAATACTGTTATCACACTGTTGTTTTTGTTGTTTTTGCTGTTGTTGGCAACAATGTGACACCAATTATTCCATGATCATCACAGTCTAATTTACATGGTTATCTGAGCCGGTTACATAATTTCAATGGATCTTAAATCAGTTAAAGTAGAAAATTCCATTAAGTTAACGAGGTTTAAATAAACATGTTACATGAAAGATTTTAGACTCTTAAATAGCATTACAGAACTAAGATGTTTAACATCAGCTTGAAATTCTGACATTTAGAGTCAGAAAATAGTGTTAGCATTTTTTTGCAAACATTATTTGTTTATTTTCTCAATCGGCCTTGTGAGTGTGAGCATCTGCAGCTATAAATCAGTTCTTCTCTAATTTTGTCCACGTCTGAGCATTACACGGAAATGCACCATTTAAAAAGTGCAGTCGTTTTGTTATTTTCCATCACCACACCAGCAGGCTTCACTACATTGTACAATAAAAAAAAATAAACATTTGATAGCCTTAGTATAAACTTTACTTTTGTTGGGTCTATAATGTCTTTCAAGATGGCTGTCATTTTTTGTTTTATTTTCTTTGATTAAAAACCACAAACCCTGTTTTTTATTACTTTGAGAACTTACTGTAATATTTGTACTTAATTGTTTACAAAACGTGAGAACTATTCAACCAAAATTTTCTTATCTGATAAAGAATATACCAAGATTTAAAATAAAACTATTTTCCTAAACATAATTTTTTAAATCTAGGTCGTATAAATATTGGGAGTGTAATGTTGACTGTCAAAGAAATTAAAAAATGTTCATAAAAAAAAAAAACACAATCAGTACATTGTATTGTATTGTATTTAAAAACAAAATAAGTCTAAAGTCTGAAGAATTAGTGTGGTAGAAGAACTAAGTTTATTTGTGTTGAAGTGTTTTATCTTTTTTGTTTTAAAGACTTAATGGGAAAATATTAATATGAATTACACAATGCGGGCGTTATCAAGAAATCACATCACAATATTTAAACAGACAAAGTAAAAGACGGTTTGATGTTTTTAAGATATGAAATCATTTTATTCATTTTCATGCTAAGACTTAAAAAACAACAAAATTTCATCCAGTTTTTCTTTCAACTTTTGGTCAAAAATCAATTCATACTCAAATGTTTTGCTGACCTAAGCTGACTCAGCTCTTCAGAGTGAAGTAAACAAAGACCAGCTAATCACTCAGACCAAAGACACCAGCTTGTTAAAAGCATGATCTTCTAACAAGCCTGTAAAGCTCATGGTCTTTGGCTGTTCTGCTGTGTGTGTTCAGCACATTGGAGGAAATAACACTAAAACATCATCCGGTGACTCAGAAAGCACTTATTACCTAAGTACTTCACTAATAACATCAATACTGAGACAAAGACCCGAATGGGTGGGGGGAGGTGGGTTAGGGGGCAAAGACTTAGAGCCAGAGTACAAGTAAGCGAAATGGACTCAAAGAAAGTGAGGGATGATTGTGAGGAAATGAAGGAGGACAAGACGATGCGATTCAAGGATGAAGCAAAAAAAAAAAAGAGTGCTCTCAGCTTGAGACAGAGGATCAAAAGCTTTAATTAGAGTCATTTAGCCTGGCCAGGGTTGAGATCTGAGCCCAAACTCATCACACTGATCCCACATCGACCCATATATCAGGACAGCTAAACACTGCGAGGGAAACTGTCAGGGGCTAGACACAGATCCTCATTTACCCCTCCTTTCTTTTAAATAATACTGGTCCATAGACAAATACATTTAGTTCAAGATCACATCCCACTGAGTCCTGCTAACCAACAATGACTGAGGTAGACATCAATGTTTCAGGACAATCTCAAGTCGGATCATAAAGGTCAGGGAGGAGTTTAGGGGAGGATCCACACCACTCTTATGTCTGCTAGATTTCTTTTATCTGGACAAAACTGGAGTGAAAAGTGATTTGTTTTTACAAGGAGGTTGCTAGGTAACAAACAAACTCCGGGAAGTAGCTGTACCCAAACTTCCCTGTCACTTAACATGTTTTGTTGAATCTCAAAGCACTTGTGTTCATTACAAATGTGATTTGTGGAAAGTTAACTTTTGTTGAGAAAATTTAGACATTCACCAAATCGGCAACAGAGACAATAACCTCAGACACAACAGCAGCAGTTACAAATACGTTTGTGACTCTTCTCAGTCAGTACGTTTACATGACACTTGCGAAAACTGAATTATTGCCTTACTCCAATTAAGACCGGACAACTGGAGTGCATGTAAACACCTTAGTCCAATTATAATCGAGGTTTGAGATCTCCGACTAAGACATCCAGATAATCTGATTGGAATTCGATTTCCTCTACTATGTAACCAGCGCAGTCGGAGTATGATCGGACAATGCATGTACACGTGCGCCACGCCTCCGTAACCCCGGAACAAAAACACCAGAGAAGAAGTGGCCCTGTCATTTAAAGAACTTTTGACTCAGGAGAGAGTGCGACATGGCCGAAGCACAAAATAATGTCCACTTTTGGAACGATGAGGAAAGTGCCGTTATGCTTTCTGTCTTGACAGAAAGGGACATTTTAAAGAATATGGACGGTCGCAAAACGAGGAACGGAGACACCTTCTAAAAAGGTCCGAAAACAGCGCCGCTGAAAAGACCCATATTGCCCCTTAGTTTTGGGAAGGAGGACTTGTTCATGTCAATAATTCGATTTCTCAGCTGCATGTATACGCAGACAAGGAGAGAAGTCTGATTTGGTGAAAAAAAGGAATTATGAGCTTAGTCCGATAAAGCTGTGCATGTAAACGCCCTGAGTGTGGAGCGAGAGATGAAGTGGTGACTTATAGATCTGTGTCAGACCAAAGTTTGGGTGGACTGATGAAAAGCTGGTTGCAGTTATGGCTCAACATGTCCATATTTTACAAAACTCTTTCCTTGCATGCACTAGATTTCTAACACTCCGATCTAACTGCCAAAAGCAACATGAGATAAAATTTCCTCATAGCTGCTCTATCAAAGTTTTAAATCCCTTTGGTGCAGCTTTGACCTTGCTCAGACCAAACCCAAACCAAGGAGGTGCAAGATCCCAAACTGTTGCACCCCTTAAGGATGCACAGACAAATGAAGTCATTCTGCTAATAGGCACAGGACATTGGTGTGCTTGGATCTGCTGAGTTCTGGTTTTCCGCGTGAACATCATCGAATATAACACAGAATTGTCATAAAGTGAATGTTTAAATTCCAACTCTTCCTATGTGACATATTTTCCTGGTTAATTTGCAGCTGCAGTCAAAAGGTTTCACAAAACAACTCCTTGAATGACATCACTTTTTCTCTGCTGTAGCAGTGACGCAGCATTCGGGATGTCCTCTGCAGAAAAGACACACACATACACACAGATGCGCACACCGTTTTCCCTTGCAAAGGTGACTTCACTACAAATAGCCTGGCTGAAGATTTGCATACTGTTTACCGCCCCTGGAGGAGAATACAGCAGTATGTTGGCTGGGATCCCTCCACACCGACAAACACGCGTATGCGCACGCAGATTTGAAGTGTGAGTTTCGCCAAGTCAGTAAAAATCTGTGTGTGTGTGTGTGTGTGTGTATGTGATAAAACAACCATGGCGGTAGGGCTCAGGTGAGAGACCGCCTGTATGTGGTCTTGGAGCCGTTTTGTTTCAGTCAGGAAAACATGGTTGTGTTATTGTGCTACAGCAGCTGGGATACCACACAGTTACCCCCCCATCCTCCCCCTTTGTGGACTTCCTGCTCCCTCCCCCTCTTATTCCACTGTATCTTCCCCATTTATACTTATTCAGCTCTTGCTTTGCACTCAGTCCGCTTTTGTCCTTGCTGCAGTTCATGGTTTCCTGCACCCCTCAACCTGCCGCTGTCTGTTTCCTCTCCCAACCTCTCTCCCTGTTGTTGACAGATGGCGACATGCAGGAGGTGCGTAAGTTCAACTGCGACAAAAACAAGTGGAAAGGTCCGGCAAAAACAGTGATGGGAATAAAAATGATTGGGACTTTTTTTGTTTGAATCTTGATTCTGGCTTACAGCTCACAAAAGTCAAAGATCCACAAATCCAGTTTCTTGACAGTCATGTCAGTCCTGAAAAGAGCTGAAAAGGATTGTGGTCAGAGGATGCTATTTCCAAGTGCATCCTTGGAAAGTTGACTGAAACGGGAACCAAACAACAAGATTGATGACAGCCCTGACAGGATGGTCAAACAAGGCAGAGCCAAGAACTTAGAGGATCTTCAAAAGGATTTCCACCGCATCTTTAGCCACTTAGGCTAACCATAGAAGCAGTGGATTGTGTTCTTCCAGAGGAGGACATCTACTTCCAGATTTCTAAAATCAGCATCATCTCATCCATGGTGTCATCGGGATCAAATGCTGTCTATAAACCTTTCACTTGTTCGTCCCCGCCCATTTGCATGGTGTGAAACACAATCCGCCTGAAACACAGAGTGTTTTATTTTGAAAAGAAGCAGGATGTTTTATTTTGTGTCTGTGCCTGACTTTATCCGGCATGCCCTGGCGTCCGGACTCTTGCGATCAGCTGCGGAGTCTGGCGATCCGCAGCGGAACGGAAAGAAGCCGGTGGAAATTGACACATTAACTTGAATGGTTAAGATCAGCTATTATCAGCAAATACAACCTTTTTATAGCTGTTCCGGATGCGGTGGAAATTGCCGGTAAGGGTGGAGTCAAAGCATCCCACAGAGATACTACACAGAGACATGTCCAGGAAACGGGCAACACGTTTGGTATTCCTACTGTCAAGCATCTCCTCAGCCAGAGTCTTACCTGGGCTAAGAAAAAAAAGAAATCATTTGGAAATCCAGATCCCACAGAGTCCAAAAGAGGAAGAGTCTGAAGAGTCTGAAGGCACAGAAAGTTTCCTCCTTCTCAGATCATTTGGGTCTCCATGTCATCTGTTGCTGTAGCCAACGCAGGAGATTGGAGAGCATTTCATGCTTCCATCTGCTGAGCTTTGCACAGATACACATTTCCATACCCACCAGGACCTGGCACTTTCCCACAGCGCCAAAACTTCTAGACACAGATCCCTGTGGAGGATCTCTGGGGTTTTGCAAAGAGAAAGATGAGAGGCACCAGAGCAACAATACAGACGAGCTGAAGGAGCGATCAAAACAACCGAGGCAAAACTACAGACTGATCGCCTCCGTGAGTAATCATCAAAATTCAAACAAAAAAAGTCTTCAAATATTTAACTTTATGTCTGATGAGCATAAGATATATAGAAGTTTCAAAAGATTTTTTGAGGACATCTACTTTTGAACTACAACAGTGAGCAACACCACAAATACAGTAGTTGTCCACTGGTGACAAGTCAAAAAATAACCCTGAAGTTCACTGAATCGAGTTGCGACCAGTAGTTATCCCATCTGAGTCGTAACTGAACAATTTTACCTCACTTTTTCAAGCATCCTGACACATGGGTGTCTAAGGTAATCGACTCACAACAAGCCACTCAAGAAACAGCCGTTTTTGTCACACCCTCGTCGGCCTCATTTTACAGCCTCCAGCTTGGTATTATGTAATTATTGTACTACAGATTTCCATGATTTACAAGCTGTAACAACCACTCATGTGCACCAGTAAATCCAAGATTGAAGAAAGTTGATGAATAAAGCTCATCAACCTCTATCCTTCCTTCTCTCCACTCCACCTCTGTTTCTTCTCCCTCTCCTTCCACCCTTTGTCCCGTCTTCTCACCTCAGAGACACGGACAGAGCTACAGCCAACCAGTCTCAGCCTCGCATAAACCTCCCAAAGCACTCTGATTGTAATTGCCATTCGGCCTTCACCAGACGTATGCGTAAGCAAAGCTGAACTGCACTGAATCAGCAAGAGGGGGAGTTAGTGGTGGTGGATAGAAGAGGATCGATGGGACTCCTTTGGATAAAAAACAAGAGGATGTCTTTCATTACAAATCAATGGATTAAATGCCATTAATCAAATCACCACAACTCATAAATACAGACGGTTGCAGTATGTCCAGCAGGTGGATGTTAGCAGACAAACAAGATGATGCCAGAGCTGATATTCTCCTGGCAAATTTAACCATCTAAGAAAACCTGTTTGAGCTTAAAAAGAGGAAGAAGGACAGGACGAGTGCTGAGAGGACAGACAAAATACAAGCTAATGTACAAAAAGACATTGACCGACAAATGACCAAGAGAGAACAATGACAGGAAGGCAAGACAGCATCAGATTGTCAGGTCTCTGTTTAAGTGGAAAGACATTTTTTTATCAATAAGAAGAAAATCTAAAAAAGGAGAGGAAAAAATGTCAGAAAAAAACCAGAAGAATCCCGAAAATGCAATCAGTATGGATGAGCTTTCTTCCATCTCGAGCCCCCCTCCCCTCCACTCTGCGCTAGCCCTGTTGCAGGCTCGATTGCTGCAGTGCTTCACTCTGTGCAGGGTGAGCTCCAATACAGTTAGTAGGAGGGATGCAGCCCTGCCAAATAGTGCCCCAGTCTGCCAAGGCTCAGAGTAAAGGGCCAAAGTAGCTGCTGCCAGGAAGTAAATACTGCACCTAGCTAGGGAATACAACAAGCCAGTAGAGGCACTGTACAACACTGTGGTGGTCACTGAACGAGAGCCTCATCACCATCGAACTCTACAATTTACACGTCCTAAAGCCCGCTGAAAACACAAACCCATGGGATTTATCTAAATATGTAAAAGAAGGATTTGACTGGATAGTTTTATATCAGATTATACCAATAAAACAAACTGACAATTTATGTTTTGTCTCCTAATAACATGGTGCAATGTTTCTGTGCTCACTTGAGGTTAAAGTTCAATCCAAGTTAAAACTCCAAATTTGATCTTAATCTTCTGTTCGGTTACAGCTAACTCGTTATTATCAGCTTTTCTAAGTTGAGAGGAAGGACTGCAAATTAGTTTACTTTGATATTAAGTTTGAGTGCTGTTCACCAATTTTAACATCTAATTTGATTCTTCAGTCTACAGTAAACTTTTCCACTTTACCTCACTCTATTTTAAACGGGCTAAAGCTCAGCGTTAGAACCAGCTTTTCTGGATCATGTTCATTTTTTTCTTTTTCTCAAGTTTATCTAGTGTTTGTAGATGAACCATTTTGTAGTGATGAACCATATACAATGAATTCAGAGGGAATTTGAGCCCATGCTGTGATTTCCACTACATAGTCATCATGTCTGTTTTTGATGTAGCACACCTACCCAGTATTGGTTTTCAGTTGTGCCTCTTTCATGGAGAGATATTTGTTAAAATCCTCTTATTTATGCGGAACGTGATTCGATAAGAGTATTTACTTGCGCAGTCTTTGACAGAGTAATAAGCCTTTTCCCATATTTGCTATAGTCTTACCCAGTCCTATCACTGATCAGTTGTAAATGAACCTCTATTTAGGATGTGTGTGTTTTTTTTTTAAGCACAACACAACTTTTTCAGCGTTTTGTTGTCCCTGTCCTGAATTTTTTAAAGGTGTTGCTTGGATTAAATTTACAATGAGCATATATTGTATCTTGAACAGGAATTTTTTTTATTTTCAACATTTAAAGGATTGTCTTTTTTAAAAAAAAATCTGATATGAAGTAAATCTAAATTTGCAAATCACTTTTTTTTTAATCGATATTTCACACAACATCCGAGCGTTTTTGGAATTGGTGTTGTAAATGCAAATATTAGCAGTGCATACATGGTCTAAGTATCAGTAGTAAATTCTAATATTTGTAGGGTGTCATTTCACAGGCTGTGTGCGTTTCTTTGATGGCAACAAAACCCAGTTTTCATGCGAGCATTTAACTCTGAGCTCAAACTTGCCTCCAATGCTTCTTTCTCATTGGTTTTAGGTTGTTGTTGTTGTCACTCATTGGCCTTTAAAGACATCAAACCTGCTGATATAAACTTTATTTGTTTGGCTGTTGAAATATGTCATCCCTCTTATTGTAATTTTTATTCTTGGTTGTGTTTACTGTAAAGAGCTGATAATGAAACGTAAACCAGTGCAGGGGGAGAGATGAAAGGAAAGTGTGACTGGATGAAGACTCCCTTTGTCAACACAATGATTGACAGTTTAGCCCCGCCTCCCTGCTTTTTATTGATATTTTAACTGGCCGGTTAGATGAGGTCATCAACTGAGGAAAGCACTCTGCTAAGGGCGAATATTGATCCTCAATCTCTGTACGTGTGTCGGTATACAGCAGGTGTGGGCGAACTTAACTGGTGCAAAACAGAGAATCAAATTACAGTCAAGGCAGGGACATAAATAAGCTCTTTGTAGATCTGAGCACAAGTATTCAATAATAATGTAAGTGTGTGAGTGAGTAAAATATTCTCATTGTCATGTTTTATAAAGAAATACGCATGATCTACGATCAGACTTCTGCTTCTTTTCCGTCTAAACAGCAAATATGAAGACAGACTATCGCCTTTCTTCACGCCCACAAATTAACTTTTAGTTTAAGGGCAGCCGTTGAATTAAAACTGAATGTTTCCAAGCTTAAAGTTATGCTCAAGGACACGTTACAGCACAGTTATTTCAATTTTATAGTTATCATATTCTGAATTTAAAACAGATTTCATTATTCATTTCATTTCTCTGGGACTACCCGTACTATAAATCACTGCAATAAACATGCCCAAAATTAGCCAGAAGGCTTTTGTAAAAATCAATTCAGAGATTTTAAAAATTTACCGTGAAGTATTTCAGAGCAGAGACGAGACGCTGCTACCCCTGAAAACGCCCCTTTCATATCGTCAGTTTGAAGCTCTGTCATTAATGTGTGTTTTACTGTAATAATGATTCACAACATCACTTTAGTGTCCCCGTGTGTGGTTGTGGTGCAGAGCTGTGGAAGCACGAGACGCATTATTTCTAAACACACAGTAGAGGCTTCGCTCAAGTACAACCTCTGTAACACACACACACTCACACTGCACCATTCAGCCTCGCCTGTTACGCTGTTTTACAGTGATCCTGTCAATCAAGTAAGTAATTGTTTAATGAGGAAGCCTCTATCGTAAAATTCACACTAGCGATGTCTGTTGTGTGTCTTTTGAGATGCACAAACCCATAAAATGTTGAGAGAACACAGTGAAAGAAATGAGAAATACACAAAGAGGCAAATCACAGTAAAGCAACAATGGAGGGAAAGGTTGTTTTAGTTTCACCCTGCAGTTCGGATATCTTCTTTTTAACTGGGACGAGATGTCAGTTGTCTGCCACTGTGTCAAAAGTGCAAAGTTTGAGGGTTTCTGGACAACAAGAGTGATTTGCATCGGTGAGGAAAGAGGAAGTGGAGTGCATCGGCTTTTTGTTCTCGTGTTTTCTGGTACACTTGGCCTTTCTAACAGCGCCACTGTTTCGTACACTGATGTAAAAAAAGGCCCCAAGGTACATTAAGTAGCAGGCATCCAGTCTTTGACCTGGTCTTTCCACTTACCCTCTTCATCATCTCTACCCTTCTTAGTCTTTTTTCTTTGCAAAAACCCCATGATGAAATCAGAACACAAAAACAACATACTGTAGCAGAATCAAAAATAGGGTGTGTGTGTGAGAGAGAGAGAGTGTGTGTGTGTGTGTCCCACGAGTGATTTAAGAAAAGCCCAAGACCTTAGGGATGGCAAAAATGAGAGCAGGAAAATGGAATATGATATTATGCAGACGGATAAGGAGAGGAATGTGCTGTTTTGTTATGTCCAAAATAAACCATACCCACCATTAAGTAGATGTCAGAGAAGTGAAGGGAGGAAACCAGTAAGACACTTAATACATCCACTGAAGCACTAAACTTTTTTAACCACTTGAACTTAATCAATTCATTTCTATTTCCATTTTCTCCCTCTTGATTGATTGCCTTTTTATCTGAAACAGAATTACAACACTGTCCTCGTGGATACGTGTAAGCCAAGGCTGGGAGAGCAGCAGCAAAGATCCCCTAAACAACAATAGCAGGGAAACCTGTGATCATATAAAAGCCCAAGATGTGAGGCTTATAACATTTATTGTCATCAGCTGGCAGTGGTTCACCTCGTAAATGGACAATAACTACTCCACAAGCTGCTCACCCCCTCCCACATTAACTTCGTCTACTTCAGCCGCGAAAACTTTTGAACCGTCCTCCATCTCCTCACCTGTCTTTTCCTCTTTGTTATGGACTGGATCTCCGACGTAGGACAGTGTTTCAAAGGGACATGAGACCATAGCCTACCTACACACATCCAAAACTGACTTTTATTTATCTTTTTGACACCGAATATACCGATATTGGCAAAATGACGTTGGTTAAGTCGTAAATTTCAGTATCGGTAAATTTTCGGTTTATTGCCCAGCCCTAGGAGATATATATCTGGGAGAGATGACGGTACTTCTGGTCATGCATTAGCTAACTTCTGATTAAACCTACAGGAGTTCTTGCATCTGTATGACTTGGTGGGTGAAGATTCTAGGTTTTTATGATAATTAAGCAAAAGCACTATTGCCAGACAGACTTTATAACCCAGTACAAATATATTGTTTTAAAGATGGCACTTCCATTGGAGACATCTCAAGCTGTACATTAATATTATTAATCAAATCATTTTGTCGCTTCAGTTTCTGCGCTAGTATGCATATGTGCTTTTATTTTGAAGAACAAAAGTGGAGTTTTGATTGATCTAAAAGTCGAGGTATGTGAAAAATATTCAAGGAGAAATGTTTGATATCAAAGCAGAATAGACTCATACAGGTTTAAGAGTGTGAGATGAGCAATGAAATATTGGATTAAGCGTCCAGTGACCATCCAAGCGATACCACACAGGAGACAAGGGAGTTACCAGGAATTGATTGGTGGACTGTATCATCAGGCGTTTTATTCAAATTGATGTAGGTCTGGATCTTCAGTTTAATTTCTTATCATTTATTTAAATTCACAGTTTGATAAGCTGAACGGCAGACTTGTTAATGTTTGTGATTGGCCGTTTGAACATATGAACAGATCTTTGGGCAGATAGGGGACATTTAGCGCAGTCTCCTTCGTCAGGGTCAGTGAGGCCAGAAAAGTAAAAGATATATGAGATATGCTGAGCTTGCCTCAAAGTAAAGGGCGACATGTCAGGGGACGATACAAAAATATACAAGGATGAAGAAGGGGAACAGTGTGTAGATACGCCTGTCTGCATGTAGCTCTGATATAACTGCACAAACCGTCCGCTTGCTGAGGGTCTTTGTTTTAAAAACATCACACTGTGGTAGACGAAGCAGACTTTTGATGTCATGCCTCTCTTGCCAGGACCCGTCCACCCCCTTCCCGCCAAACACGCACTTGTCTGACAGGAAAACTTAGTGCTGAGGGGAGCATGTGTGAACAAATACTGTTTTAAGGTTCAGAGTTCTGGAGAGTGCTTGAGAGGACGTTTTGTGTTTCTGACAGCACTCAGTACCACTTTAGTTTTTACCCACAAACTTTTTTTTTTTTTCCAACTTCAATCTCTACCCTTTTACACAGAAACTTACAAAAAAGAGGAAAATCAGAGTACTGTTCTTTTAGTCAGAAGTCAGACAGATGATGATGATGGGTTACATTAATCTGGTCTTTAACAGTGAAAAGCATCCTGAAAAGGAACGAGGTAAGGTGACTGGGTTTGCTCTCTTCAGACAGAAAACATCCTTGTCAGTATATTTAGAATGATTGTCCTGCTGCAGCGTCCCAAAAAAAAACCAGCAACCAGCTCTGCACTTTCATCCAATATAGATATGAACAACCTCAAGCACCCCAAAGCTGAAAGTCAGCATTTCAACAGTCAGAGTCAATCTTTCATTTTGACCTCACCAGGACAACAGCCATGCAAGTATAGCTGCAACTGCACAGTGTTGTTGTTGTTGATTGTTTATTCTACACTTCATGTACCGACTGTTTACGCCTCAGAGAACTTGTGCAAAAATGAAGTAAAGATGCTGCACAACAAGCTGATGTTCGCATTTAGCTTTACAGTCTTTAGCAGCTTCTTGCACTGCTACACTTGAAGTTGTTCTATTAAATTCAACATAAACTATTTCAATTTAGAGCGCACACATAAACCAGCACTCTGGGAATCCACAGAGCAGTTTATCACAATCTGATTATGGCAGCGTTGCAAAGAAGTGGTCAGCAACCTATTTCATCGCCATCATCAAATAGCAAACAGACTTGCCCACACTGACACACGCAGAGATTTCTCTGCATATTGCTGAGATGGAAACAGTAGAGCGTATTAATTTATGCGGTGGCAAAATGGAACATTTCAGATGATGAGGAGAGAAAGAAGGAGAATAAATCAGTGACATGAACATTGTGACAATAGGAGTGAAGCGATACAGAAATCCCAAAAGACGTGAGACCAGATCTTTTCTCTCCGTCTCAAATACTCGTGAAATAATCCCCTTTCACCCCCGTCCTTCATTTCCTACTCTTCTTGAAATTCCTCCTTCCTGTTTTATTGCATATATATTATTCTTACATTTTACTCACTTTATCACACTGAGAATATTTTACCTGAAACACAGAGTGCAGATGCTACTCCAAAAAAACAATCAGGAGTGCAGCGTGAAAGATGATACACACTGCGAGGCTTAAAAACTGTCATTGCCTGCTGTCATATACCCCCACCCCCCTTAAAAAAAGACTGCATCAGGGGGCTCATCTCCTTGAGTGTGCATCAGAGGCCCTGTAACACTTCTATCCCCACCAGGGGGGATGAGGTGTATGAGTTAAAATGACAGAGTGAAAGAGGGCTAAATTTAGAGAGCAAGAAAGGGGTAGAGGGGGGAGGGATGGAAGGGAGAAAGGGATCCGCTAATGGGTTTTTGGCTACCTGAGGATAAAGATTCAAAAAGCAGCATTTCTGTTGTATACCGCTGTTCGGTGCATTCAAGGGTTGCACATCAATGCAGCAAGGGTAAAAGCTTTATTTTTATGTCAGATCTCAGTTTGTGGCCCTGCTGCTTTCCTACATCCCCCCTCAGGAGGAATTGTTTGGAAAATCCCAAGATTGCGTGAATTAATTGAAGTTTACACAGCCTCTCTTGGCATGAAGAAGGACCACCGAGCGAACTACTCTACTTTTATTTTTAAAAATTAAGAGGAAGTATTTTTTTTGTTTTTTTGTCTCTCCAGATGTCAATACCAGCCGGCTCTGCGTCATTTACTCTTAGTCGTGCTTTATTTAACCTTAAAGCTTCCCTGTAAAATGGAGTTGCACGTGTCCTCTCTGTAATTTGGTCCTGTGGTATGTACAGCTGAAGGGCTCGGGTTAGGTGTTAAAATGATATGTTGGTTGGTCAAATGACTATGAAAGGTTTCCTCGGTTCAATAACTCCCCTGAGTGAGCTCTTCAAATGTCATGTTTGTCATGAATAAATAAAGTCGTGCTGACCACAGTCTGTCTGTATGTGTGTGAATGTGTGATTGGAGGGGGACGGCTGTGATTGTCTGAGAGAGTTGAAACATAAGCTTGTGAAAACTCTTTTAGTTGTTTTTGCTGCTCTAACCCACTACTGAGGTCAAATCCACTCTGGCTGTAAACTAGAGCTTTACCGCACTATTTTATCACCAATTCAGTTTAATTAATCGAGCTGTATGGTTAAGAATCTGACGGGAGGCTTTTACAAGTCAATAAAGTACCACAAAGCATGCAGTATAATACTCTTGTAATTAAAAGAAGATAATATTGAGGCCTTGGAGAAATAACATGAATCATTATGTCCCTGAGCTCCATCATGCAGTAGGTTCCTCTGGATCACTGCTGCAGACATAGTGACCTGTCTGCTTTCCAGCTACTTCATCTACCTACATCAGTCTCACCTCTTTCCATCTCTAAACCCTATGCAGCAGTTGCGGATGACTGTCTTACATGAGTCTGGTTCTGCTCAAGGTTTCTGCCTGTTAACGGGATATTCCGGCGTAAAATTAATTAAGAGTAAAACACACCGTAACACAGAGTTAGACACCCCCTCGAGAGATGAATGTTGCCGACCGCTTGCTTCTCTAGTTTTACAAACTTTAGTAACGACCGCAGGATAGCAATACACAGCAGTCTGAGGAGCCATCAACAAACCTCAACCAAAAGGCCACTCTATAGCCACAAATAATGCTCAGAACAGCACCTAACTTCATCAACAGTACATATAGGGTCCCAGCCATAGTACTAGCCACCAAACATCTTTTTAACTTTGCCTAATTTCTTTAGCAAAGAGACTAAACACAACTCACCCACTCTCTTCCAGCAGCTGCTTGTTTGTAGCATGACCTTGGGCCAGTCTATTGTGGACTACAGCGGGGTGACGCAGCTCAAGGAAGAACATTTATGATCATTATTTTATTATTTCCTTTAAGTAAAAATCACCATATTATCATTTGGACTGCAGACGCAGTAGTTCTTCCGCCTTAGCGTCTAGGTCTTATTGCATTTCCATGGAGTAATGATCATAAATGTTCTTCCCTCAGACTGCTGTGTATTGCTATCCTGCGGTCGTTACTAAAGTTGGTATAACTAGAGAAGCAAGTGGACGGCAACATTCATCTCTCAGGGGGTGTCTAACTCGGTGTTATGGTGTGTTTGACCCTAAATTAAATTTATGCCGGAATATCCTTTTAAAGGAAGTTTTCCCTCTCCACTGTAACTTGCTAAATGCTAAAAGCTAAAAGACAAGATGGGGCTTGTAAGATCAGATTCATTTGATGAACTGTTCCTTATTTTTAGCCCGTGTACCACATGTTCTATCTGCTGCAGCCAGTCAGTAGGGGGCGCTCTGAATGTTTTGGCTTTGTAGCCTCTGAGTGTCTATATAGAGTCTATTATTCCAGGTATAGAGATTCTCAGCTCTACTGTCATGCATTTTTCTGTTTACCGCGATGAATGAATTGTCTTCATATTCCTGACTTTAGGAGCCAGGATGTCATTGACTGTTTTCTTCATACAGCAAAGCCTGTGATTGGTCGGTTCCACTTTGACTAAAAATGCATCACTATTAGACACCAGCACTCTTCCCAAGCTGAAAATCCAGAGCAAATCTGTGTGCAGATTCTAATTACAACAAGGGGAGCCTGATCTCATCCTGCAGGTCAAGTTAAAGCATCAGAGCCCCGTCGCCCCCGGTTTTCAATTTAGATCTTAAAATCTCTCAGTGGGTCGCAACACAGGGTACACTAAGGGCTCGTATGGGATTAAATAATCCTTGATGTGATGGAAGTGACAACTGAAAAAAAAAATATTTATAACATTCAGGTACAATGTTTTATGATGCCTAAAGTCAGTTGTAAGTATAACTTCAAAAATCAAGATATTAATTTCTCTAAGTCAGTGCATATGATTGTTCAAAGACTCGTTGCATAAACTCTGAAATCTTAATTATTAAATGAAAACTGGGTCCTCTGCATGGTGTGAATTTTCACACCTTGCCTTTTCTCTGCATTCTTCCAAATGGACAGCAGAGGGAGAGACCGGTAAAATGCAGTTTGTCCAGCCGATGGCCATACACACAGTTAAAGCCTTGGGCAAATCAAGCTCCACCTTATCCCCGTGATGTGACTTGAGTTTGTTAGGTAGGATGATGACAGTGCTGAAACCTTCAGTCCCTGCAACTTTCAGCAAGCTGCATTTAATTTCCAAGGGGATCTGCAAACCTCAAAGTGGAAGTGCCATCTGCACACTACTTTAGCACTTCAGCACTGGACCACATCTGTTTCAACAGCTGCATCACCATTTCAGAAGTGCCAACGATCGCCGGCGATACAAGCTCTCAAATTACAATGGTGCTCTGAAGTTGATTCAGCACGATTTCACCCCCAGAATTGCTTCTATTTTAGTGTCACTATTTTGCACCGGCGACCCACATTAGCCACTTCAATGCTGGATAGCACCACAGGGGAACAAACAAGCACATGTAAAGCCTTTTTTTCTTTTTTTTCATAGAACAGCTCTGTTAGCTGAAACGTACACCCTGTATCAGCACTCTCGACAGTGGACAGCTCTGTGGCTCAGCACACTGACAGGATTCATGCACTGTGAGCACTCTCACAATTAGGCATTCATCCAGGACCCTGTGACACCTATTAAACACCACTATCCAGAATTACCCATACCCAACCGTGGGTAGTTTTGAGAAATCGCAGTGTGTTACAACATTTTCAAGAGGCTGTCGCATTCTGAGGGAACAATCTTTTCTTCATTTTTTCAACAGATTATACATCTCGACTGTAGGTTAACTGTTTGTGTGTCTAATAAAACCTTTAAGAGCCTCTTTTACCACTAAAGCAGCTCTGTGAGGCTCTATCTAGTTACACCATCTCATGCTCACAATGACTAGTGGGTGCATTTTTTTATGTAGCAGCATGTAAGCAGCTAGCAAGGTTGACTTTGACAAACATCTTGTCATCCCCATCACATCTGTGACATTCTCTGGAGGGTCTGGAGTCTGGATTTTGTTTAGTTGGAATCTGTCATCCTGTTGCACTTGCTGTAAGACCAGGTTTACCCCCAGTATCCACCGCATCTGGAAGAGCTACGAAAAGGCCGTATCAGCAGATCGCAACCGCTCGAAACCATTCAGGTTAATGTGTCGATTTCCACCGGCTTCTTTCCGTCCCCCTACAGTTCGCAAGAGTTCTATCTTTCCCGGACAAGGAGCATGCCAGATAAATTCAGCACAGATTAACCCGTGCTTGAAAGGAAGTTGGGCACAGACACAAAATAAAACATCCAGCTTCTTTTAAAAAAAAAACACTCCCTGTTTCGGCGGATCGCATTTCACATCATGCAGACGGGCAGGAACGAACGAGTCAAAGGTTTTCAGACATCATTTCACCCCGTTGACACCATGGCTGAGTAGATGCTGATTTTAGAAGTCTAGAGGTGGATTTCCTCCTCTGGAAGGACACAATCTACTGCTTTATTTGTTATGTGGCCGTCATCATAGAGACTACTCGTTATCACGTGATTGCACGTAAATCCGCGGGTTCTTGTGAGTTCTCATGATTCCTGCTGTCCATAATTCTCCACGAAATTCGCCTCACATACAGATTCAGTAGGAAGCAGTGGAAATTGGGGGTTAGAAATGCTCTTTTTTGATTGCGTTCATCGTTTGAGCTGGCTCAGACTCGAACCAACTCTTGGTTATGCAAAGGGAACTGGCACATTGAGCTCCTGTCTTCCCTTTACCTGCATGTCACTAACTTGAAATCTCTATCTTCCAATAAAGTTACTAACTTTAGATCTTTCTGAGAGTTCTGAGCTTCCTGGTCTTGTTCGTTCCTACAGATCATTGCTGTAGACGTGGACAATCTTGCTGTGAGTACTAATATCAGTCTCACCGTTATTATTAAAGTTTTAAAGCTAGATCTAAATTTACTTGACTCCAGCAGCTTTAATTTACATTTTCATTCCTACTTATTACGTTGCAAATCCAAATATTAGATATGCAAAAATTCACAGTAAAACCAGTCTACATTCATTAATTCACTTTACCTACAAATAGCAGTTTTAGCACGACTAGCACTGTCACTAAATGTTTGGAAGTACTCATAGCGGAGTAGATTAAGCAGAGATTCAATCTTGTTTTGGTGGTGGGTCTGTGAATAATACAAGCTGAGAGTATAGTAGTTTCTCTTTGTTTCCCTGCATTCCCACACACAAATGAAAAGGGCAATCGCTCCCCTGTATTTAGTCTCTCAGGTTTACAGAAAGTGAGCTTGAACAGAAGGTTTAATTTTGGCACCTCAGGGCAGCGCATAACACAGCTAATGTTTGGGGCTACTGCTGTTGCTGGTGGCAGGTCCATTCTGCTGTTGAGCATTACACACCTGCTCAGGCATGGCAAATTACAGAGTGCATGATTGTGTGTGTGTCCAAGGGTCTGTGCGCTAATGATGTGGCTGGAAGTTGTTGTTTTCTGCTAACAAGAACCTTTAGCAGAGCATATGCTCTTGGGGGCGACAGTTTCAAAAACACTTTTTTTGAAACAGCCCTTTAAGATGTTTTCTCGTCTTGCAGAAACACCTAAGAGTGCGAATTTCACCTTTTACAGATCTGCATTTGCTATGCAAGGTGATGCTAGGAGCCAAGATAGAACCAGGTTTTGTTTTTAGACTTACCTGGGTGCGTATTTGTCAATATAAACTTATACATGTGATACCACTTGCACCAGTGCTGAAGGTGATTTTTAAGATTTGATGATTTCCTCTGACAGAAGCGATGAACCAGGGTTCCTCAAAGATTTGAAGGAGGAAACTAAAAACAGATGCACTCTTTGTATCCAGAGCTTGATATATCTTATTCCTCAGTGTCATAGAGCTCTATTTTTAAAAACAGTCCTGAGTAGTGGCCTTGGGCATGAGAGTCACTGACAAAGTAGAGCTGTTTTGTTTTATTTGGATCGCAACGTTTAAAAAGTAACAAGGACTTGTCCCATAAGGCGCACAAAAAACTGCATTCAAGAAGCGTTTGAAGGGATATTCCAGCATAAAATGAAGTTAGGGTCAAACACACTGTAACACTGAGATAGACACCCCCTCGAGAGATAAATGTTGCTGACCGCTTGCTTCTCTAGTTACACCAACTTTAGTAACGACCGCAGGATAGCAATACACAGCGGTCTGAGGAGCCATAAACAAACTTCAACCAAAACGCCACTCTATAGCCACAAATAATGCTCAGAACAGCACCTAACTTCATCAACAGTACATATAGGGTGCCACCCACAGCACTAGCCACCAAACATCTTTTTAACTTTGCCTAATTTCTTTAGCAAAGAAACTAAACACAACTCACCTACTCTCTTCCAGCAGCCGCTTGTTTGTAACGAGACCTCGGACCAGTCCATTACAGACTACAGTGGGGTGACGCAGCTCAAGGAAGAACATTTATGATCATTACTTTATCATTTCCTTTAAGTAATAATCATCATATTAATCATTTTACACTGCAGACACAGTAGTTCCTCTGCCTTAGTGTCTCGGTCTGATTGCATTTTCATGAAGAAATGATGTAGTCCGTAATGGACTGGCCTTAGGTCTCACTACAAACAAGCAGCTGCTGGAAGAGAGTAGGTGAGTTGTGTTTAGTCTCTTTGCTAAAGAAATTAGGCAAAGTTAAAAAGATGTTTGGTGGCTAGTACTATGGCTGGGACCCTATATGTACTGTTGATGAAGTTAGGTGCTGTTCTGAGCATTATTTGTGGCTATAGAGTGGCGTTTTGGTTGAGGTTTGTTTATGGCTCCTCAGATCGCTGTGTTGGGGTTGCTACTTAAGTTGGTATAACTAGAAGCAAGCTGTTTGTGACATTCATCTCTCGAGGGGGGGGTCTAACTCGGTGTTACTGTCTGTTTGACCCTGAATTTATTTTACGCCGGAATATCCCTTTAAAAATACAGCAAGTATTTGAATGTCTTGAATGCAGCATCTTGTGACTGTCTTTAGGCTCTCTCTGTTCTGTTCAGTGTTAACAAACCACTGAGAAGGTGAGGGTGTTGGAACCAGCCAGAGAGGTAGAGCGAAATCAGCTGCACTTACACACACACACACACACACACACACACACACACACACACACACACGTCACAGCAGATCATTCTGCAGTAATCTGCTGCATGTGTGAGTGTATTAGGCTGTGCAAGGCCAGAGGCTTACTGCACATGCTGCTTTCTATGCTCAATTAGCTTTTTTTTGCACAAGTGTGTGTACCTCTGCATTAAAAGCCAGTGTGAGTCTGTGCGTAAATGTGTGTGTGTATATTTGAGTTCATTGACCCCCTCAAGCAAAGGGGACAGTGGAGATCACTCAGAGGTTAAACGTTTTATTTCTTGACATGTCATCAAATAAAGAATGGTGTCTCTCAACCCTCTCCTCTTACACTCACACCTCTCTCCCTCCCTCCCTGCTTTGGACTCTCTCTCCTGCAATGAGCGCCACATAGAGAAGAAAGCTCTGTCGCAGCATTATCCTGAAAAGCACAGAGGGGGAAGGGGGACCCTGGTGGATATATTGCCTATAGCGCAACAAAACCACTAGAGTGGGAGGGGGGGAGTCAGAGCGGTGCTCGGGGTTTCAAACAGGGGGAAAACATGTTGAAAATGTCGAGTAAGAGAGGAAACTGGACGATTTTGAAAACAGCTATCGCATGTGTGATTGAAATCAACGTGTCGTTGTCGTTTTTTTGCTGAAAATGCACAAAAGATCTTGCGGTGACGTTATGATCTTGCAACAAATTCTGTATCCAAGGTCAGAAGCAGTGCACCTGCTCCATAAATAGCACTGGCCAAGTCATTGTTTTTGGGTGAATTGGTCAATAGATGGGGCCAGTTTCCACCCACTGACCAGCTGTCTCACCTAAGCTCTTAAAGGAACAGGTCAAAATAAACCCTTACTCTTGTTTTTTTTACATAGAGTTAAGGTGAAAATGTAAAAATAATAAATGACATTCCCATTCTGTTTTGTTTTAAGGTTGTTTCGTTCATCACAGCTTTGTTATTTGAGATGAGTTTTTCATTAACATGCTTGTCTTAAAGGGGCCGTTGCTTCGTTGAAGAGTTTTTCCTCCTTTAATCGAAGGGTTGGCGGTTCATTTCCAGGTTTTGAGTGCCCTTAACCCCTAAAATTTCCCTGCTGGCTGTGCAATAAGTGTTTGAACAGGACTAGTTAATACTTATGGGTGCTGCCTCTGCTATGTGTATGAATGTGGTGGAAATTGGTGAATGTGACGTGTATTATGGAAGCGTGTGAAGGGTCAGAGGACCTAGAGAGGGCTCCATAAATCAAGTCAATGTATCATGTACTTATAAATGTACTCTCACCACCCTCTTACATAGGTCATCATAAATCAGGTGAAAAAATGGGTTTGTATTATTTCTAAAATGAGGTCAGTTTTGGTAAAATGTGCATTTGTACCACCACTCGAAACCACAGAAACCTCAGAGTGCAGCTCTTATTTTCCGTTGCTTTTAGGTGAGTATCTTAACTTTTCAAACAATACTTTGAATAACTATCACAGCTTTTTATAAATATTTTAAAGTCCCCCTCCGATCATTTTGTTTTTTCCTACTTAGTGTTCTCAGTGGGCTTTAAATTCTGATTAAGTTTTTACCAAAAATCGCGTTACCTGTTTCATTTTTAAGGGCTTTTTCTTCTGCAGAGCTCCAGTAGATCATTAGCAATTCGCCGCTGAGTCGTGGGCGGAGACAGCGCTGCTCTGCACACTCGTCTTCACGTTAACTTGCAGCCTGACATTGCCAGTGTAGTAGAAGTGGCAGGTAACATAGAAGCTATTCAGCTCTCGGATACTAATATCTTTACGGACACGATGAAAGCGAATATCATAATTAGCTTTCTTACGAGCATTTCAATCCACTAACACACACGCTTGTTCCGCGATCGTCCTCTGTATTTCCTCTCTATACACAGAGTGTGGCGGGGCTCTGGGGGCGGAGCTTGGATTGGTTACGTCTGACTTCTCACTGTTTCTGAACCTGCTGTTTGGGTCTTCAGCGATTTGGATGAAGAAATACTCAGAAATGCAGTTTTGGATTTAGTGTTCTCATGATTTGTCCTGTAGCATCAGAAAAATGCCGTATGAACATGTAAAAAACAAGAAAAACATGACTTTCATCGGAGTGGGTCTTTAAAGCAAATTAATCTTCCGAGAGAAGAGCTAATAAGGTGACAGTCAAACACAAACATATGTGCTGTAGTAAAGCTTTGGCATTGCAACCCTGCAGACCGGCTTGCAGGAGATATTTTTCTTAAAGCCGATTTTTCTTCATGCAAGTTCATCAAATGACTTGATTTATAGAGCATGCTAACCGTGTATCCTGTTAATCACTCTCAGGTCTTCTCCTGCAGTGCAAGTACAGTGTGGGCTGAGTGACAGAGGCGAAGCCAAATGAGTACGGTTGTGTCAAGTTTGTCAGCCCAGCAAAGAGCTTTGAAACCGACTGAGTCCAGATCAGCAGACTGCAGAAACCATGCAGGCTAATCTGTAACACCAAAAGAAAAGATTGTGAGTCTAATCTTGAAGAGCATTTGCGCCATAATTTTTCATCTGGTGCAGCCAGTTTCATTGATCGTACTGAAGATTGTTGCAGCAGCAGCTTCATAAATACACAAACTCAGTAATAATCCCTGCAAAGTTACAAAGCAATGAATTGAAACTATGACACACTGTTCATTGATAACCCTCACACAGGTGCTGCAAGGAAGGATTTCCTTCGATTGCAATATTTCACAGAAAGCCGTACATCAGCGATTAGTGTAGGTGCATGTTAGAAAGACAAAAGCGTAAAAATCATGAAGAGAGATAACTCAAACTTACAACCAAGCAACTGAGAAACGAGGTCAAAATGACATCAGTGCCGCAATTACTTTTCGTGGCGGTACAGTAAGTGTGAGTTTGTGTCGGTGTGTGTGTGTGTTTGCCACTGTGTTAGTATTTATTTCTTTCCTTAAGGGACTAGGAAATGTCATCACACCCCATTGTGTGAAAAAATGAGAGAGAGAGAGAGAAGCAGGGAGGGAGAGAGAGAGAGGGGGGATGTGTGTTGGAAGGTTTTGCTTACAAAGGAGCACCATTCAGCTGAGACGTCCACCTGAATGAGGCGAGCTGAGACGCACTGCCTGATCAATAAACGGATACGAGCATCCGAGTCTGCCGAGCTCAGCAGAAAAGAAAAAAAAAAAAAAGAGGGGCACTGAGAATAAAAAATGAGGGGGTGCAGAAAGTGACCCCCATCCTGTTCTTCCCATTCCACCTTGCGTCTGACTCTGACTTTACTCGCCACCCCCTCACCAAAAACACCCCCCCCCCCTTACCCAATCCCTCCGTGTCTCCCTCCCTCCCTCCCTCCTTCTCTGCAGCAGACTAGAGCGCAGTCAGCTACTACAGGGACTGCAGTGTTACGCTATAGCACAAGCAGAGAGCTGGAGAGAACCAGAGGAGGGGTTGAGGTAGAGGAGGGTGGGAGGGAGGGAAAGGACGGGGGGAGGGGGTTGGAGGGGGGCTGAATAGCGATAATAAGCAATCCAGCACTCAGCTCTGAAATCGTGGTAATAAAGCAGCACAAGCTGTCAGTGGTGATGACGAGGAGAAAAGGGATGGAGGGAGGACTGTAAAGACTGGAGTAGATAAGAAGAAGAAGACGGGGAAGAAGAAGGACAGGAAGGAAGTGGAAATCTTGGCGTTGTTGCGTAGATGATGCATATACTTAATGGAAGGACGAATGAAGCGAGCCGGCGATCCTGTCATTCATTTTCTTTCAAACATCTCCTTTTTTTCCTGTTTTATTCAACGGAGACGTTGGCAAGGACAAGCGGCATCGCCCTCAACGTTCTCCAGTGAGCTAATCAGCTAAAACCGAGCCGGCCGCCTGACCTCGGCCAACCTGAGTGCTGCTGCTGCGCTGGCTGCCCCCTCCACACTTTCCAACCTATCTTTATGTCAACGTGCTGGCACAGAAACTATTGACTGCAACACTTTCAAAGTCACCTCAGCTGTCACACCGGTTCTCCTCCATCCCCCCACCATGACACAACCCTAGTCAAATCTGCCCTTTTATTACTGTCACAACCCCCCTGCCCTCCCCCCCTCCTTGTCAGGTCTTCTATCCTTGTTTGATCATCATTTAATTTTTGGACTTGTTGAGCGTTATCCATCAAATCGAGGATGCGGCTGCAATGAAGAAAAACCTCTTAAATGCAGTGGACGCTCACTTCATCCTTAAAAATGTCCTTTCCTGTTTTTGCTGAAGCATTTGCTTTTTACCCGAAGATGACAAGTACACATAAAAACAGACATTCAAGTTTTCTAAACCGCTGAGAATGACTGAAAGCAAGCAGGAGGTAAATTCGAACCAAATGCTTTTGCTGCCTAACTCTCTTTCCTTTAAACTACCAAAGAGTGCCAAAAACACAGGTGGAAAAGAAATGAGTATTTTTAGGGCAAAAGACATTTTCGATGCTCTCTCAGGTAAAGGCAGATTGAATTTGCACAATTCAGAAACTGTTTTTCGTTCATTTTAGAGGTGTGACAAAGCTGCACCGAGCAGCTACAGCGCCGTGCTGCTGCACATTTCAGCTGCAATTCCCAGTCATCAGTGTAATGGCTGGAAGTCCTTTTCGCCAGACAACAATCTTGATGTTGGCGATCCTGCAAGATGCCAGACTGTGTCACATGCCAACTTTTTTAACAGTCTGACTCTCTTCAATACCTGTGTTTGAGAAACAAGCCATGAGGGAGAAGTAGGAGGTAAATTAACTCTTTTCTTTCACATACTTTCCGATTTGCAAACCTGTGCATCCATGGGGCAACATAGGACGCTTAAAACATGAGTTTTAATGCGGACAAACCTGCAGTTTTAGAACAAACAACATGTGGGAAGCAAAGTGAAGAGCACCGTAGTAGAAAGATCAATATGGCCTCTTTTAAGTTTGATCGGAGGTGGTGAGAAGATGAGAAAACACAAGACAAGGCTTTGAGTTTGATGAGTAAGAAAAGTCAAAATCGGGATCTCCATTTGTTCTTTCGACAAACACCAAGATCAGTTCAACTAAACCAGAAAAAAAGAGCCTCCCTCACATTAGGCACATGTTCAAAATAATGTCAGGATGGATGATACCAACTACCCTTTCAGCAGACAACTTTGTCTTCCAGAGTCAATAAGCTGTCTCCGTGAATATAGCAGAATCCACGAAAAAATCCACCAAACTCACAATAATCCAGGCCAGCGCTGGCTCTGCAAATGGACATAGATTTTTGAAGATAATTAAGCAGAGGAAGATAGAGGGACGCACGGCTCAGAGACAGAAAACTGACCAAAGAAGGAAAGACTGAGTTCACAGGAAGGGATGAGAGTAAGATAAACGATTGGAGAGCAAAGACGAACTCTATCACCTGAGAAGTAGCACTGATGGATGACTTTCCAACTAAAGTAGCTGAAAGTCTAAAAAGCACAGACTGGTTTTTGTACACTGGGATTAATCACTTTGGAAATGAACAGCATTGCTCAGGTTTCTTGACCTTCTTCGCCAACACGTGAAACAGAACCATCAAAGAGAAGACGAAAGCAACTCAGACTTTTACAGACATCTGCCCAGGTTTACTTGGTGAAGTTATTGTTCGCAAGCTAATGATAAGTGGCTAAAACACTGGGTTTGTTTGGTTAATATTATGATTTAAAGCTAATAGATTAGACACCCACAGTCCTACGATAGCAGATTCGATGAGCACATCTCAAAGAAGCGCAGTACACATTACAGTGCGGTAACTTCACTGACACTTTAAACCTCTATGCACACCAACAGGATCAGTCAGAATTCATTGTTGACAAGTCAAATGTGTTTTTCACACATCCTAAAGGTTCCTGCTGGTCCAGGTTCATACACTGACTAGGTAGCAGATGAATTAGGGTTTAATTTAGACTCAGATTTTGGATCTCATCTCAAGACTCGAATCAAAGTCTTCTCTGGTGGCTTGGACTCAACTCAGATTTCAACAATTAGGACTCAAGTGATTAGCATTCTTAACCAATGACCAATGACACAGGAATATAAATCATCTAATAATGGATGTATCATTCTAAAGGTATATTAAGAGCATCAGGACTGTGAATAAGAGATCATTTTTGACTTTTCACATGAGCTTTTCCCCAGAATTCTGTTCGAAATCTGTTTTCTGACTATTTAATAAGCATATATGCAACCATGTGTTTATATTCTAGAGTATGCAAATCAAACAGGAGATTTTGGTCTTTTAAAGGTTCAAGAGTAATAGTAGCACTCAACTGCTGTGATTGTTCTTTGCGTTTGGACTTTACTTTGGTTCTTGAAAGTGTAGATGACTTATTTAAAACCACTTAGCAGCTCCTTCTCAAACATCTTCTGACCTCTACAGAACCTCCATGGACCTCGGACCCGTGAAAGATCCCTGAAGGCATCTCAAACCAAAAAGTGACTCTGTGATATAAGGCGGCATTATGTGGAGCTCTGATTGCATCTGTTTTGAAACCCCCTTCAGCACCATGGACAGAGGTAGGTCTTTGGCATTATTGCGACGCATTTATTTACATTCAGGCTGCCGACATTCTCCCAAAACATCTGTTCAGTGCTTAAATTCTTGTTTTTCTGCTAGCTTTTTTGCATTTTTCTGCATAATGCGTCCATGATAAACTTTAATAAAAGAGAAAATTCAGATCACAAATCCAAGAATGTGCTTCACAATATTAAATGACAAATAATAAAAGTAGTTAACATCTAAATACTGTTTATTTCTTAATCCTTGATCAAAGAATGCAGCTGATTGCCCAGTTAAGTTTTTGGACTGAATGTAGTCCTCATCTTATCAAGAGGTTGAGTAAAAATCACAGTTGTGCAACGTTTTTAAGGCCATGGTGTGGAAATCCAGGCTCCCCCACAAAATTTGGACACACTATATTCCACTCCAGCACCCTGACCTTCTCAGCTTTTCCTCCTCTCCGTTAGATCAAGGGCAGACTATGTTGACAGATACGCCAGGTAAAATTTTCACTGGCAGGGGAGAGTGTTGTGTGTGAAGAAAATGTCTGATTACTGCAGGTTTGAGTTTACTTTTAGCCTTGAAGACGTCGCTCTGAAAAGCTTTTACTCAGGATTCTGTACCAAGGTCCTTCTGCAGAGAGATCCTCTTTGCTTTACAGTGAGAGGTTGAAGGTATTATGATTAAAAAATGAAAAACAAGATCTATTTTGCAGGTTAAAACCAGCTACGATTTCATTATAAGCAGAGGCTGGACTAATAGGTTGTGTGTTCTACCGCAAAGTCAAACAAAACAGGGCAAATTAATATGAAGCCAGCAAACATACACCTCAGTACAAACACAAGAGTATTCCCTCTCACCTGCAAGCAAATATAAGAGATACACTCATGAGTAAACAGGGATGAATTTGTGTGCGTGTGTGTGTTTTCTCAGATACATGCACAAAAAAGAAAGCAGACAAAAACTCAGCACCATGACTGATAAAGTGTGCACTGGCTTCCGCATGCGGAGACAGATAAGAGACCGACGCATTCACCATCAGTTCATTGCTCATAATCTTGATTTTAGTATGGTTTAATGATTTAAAACCAAAGCAGACTGATAGAGCTTGATTCTGAATGTGAGTATTCCTAATGAAATCAGGATAATGCAGGGCAATGTTCCGCAAAAAGAAATAATGTGCTGCTCACACTCAGACCATTAAGAAAAGACAGGGAGAGAGAGAGGGATGGCAAAAGACAAACGACCAAGGGCTCAGGTCCCAGCTTTTCACTATGTCAATAAGAGTGATTAAAAGGAAAAGAAGCAGTGGCGGGGCAAGTCAATGAATGAGGTCGAACACAGAGAAGTGGTGCAAAGTGGTGTGCAAAATGTACAGAGGGATGAAAGAAGGAAAAACGCTGAGAGACAAAACAGGTAGAAAAGAAAAATCTATCTATCTATCTATCTATCTATCTATCTATCTATCTATCTATCTATCTATCTATCTATCTATCATTTAAATCCGTCATTCAACCTTTCATTCAAAAACGCTGCAGTGATTTTTTTTTTTTTTTTTTTTTTTTTTTGCACTGCCACACTTCAGAAACATTTTACGCGGTAACTTTACGCACAGCGGTACATGAAGTGGCCACACCAGTGCCACAGCGGTTTGTGTGCGCGCTTTGAGGTAGAAAGAGGTAGAAAACAAGAGAGGTGGACAGCGAGAAAGTAAGAGACGGCCAAGAAGGAAAAAATAAGGGGTACCAGCAGTGAGAGAGATCCTTCCATTGACTGCTCGGGAACTCACTCACCCGTGCGTATTTGGAAGAGTAGGGGTCTTCAAACAGAGCCCACATCTTGGGCTGCCACACCTCCCACCACGTCGCTCTGCGGCCATCCTCCTGCATGCACAGCCGTTTCAGGTCACCGTCTGCACCTCCGGTGAGTGCCGGGTCATCTTCGGGGGCGTCCGGCTCGGGGGTCTCGAAACTGTCCAGGGCTTCCTCCGCGTCGCGGTGCTGCCGGTAGTTCATCCAGCAGCACGCCTCCACGTCCGTCTCATCGATGCCCCAGAAGGCAAGCTCCTCCTCAAAGAGGGGCCCACAAACATCGCCAGGGCAGTGGAGCTTGCCGGTGCGGTAGTAGTTGAGGATGAAGGCGAAGGTGGCCGGGTGGCGGTCAAAAAAGAACTCGTCGGACTTGGGGTCGTAGTCGAAGTTGCTGTAGGCGTCGGGCTCGGTAAGCCAAGACAAGCGCGTCCCCGGCAGCGTCTTCAGTGTGCTCCGGTAGGTCTCGTGTCGGATCCCACCGCAGTTGATCACGATCTTCTCGCTATCTGACGCCGAGCAAGTCATGGCTGCGCTGGAGCATGCTTCGGTCGGTGCGCCCGACTGCTGCTGCTGCTGCGGCTACTGTCCGTCCCCATCCACCGCCGGTCCACTCTCTGTATGGCTACTGTTATACCGTCCCGGCAAGAAGGCACAGGACCAACTGATGAGGAGGAGGAGGAGGAGAGAGGAAGGAGGAGTCTGCGTATGTATGTGTGAGAGAGAAGGAGATAGAGTATGTCTGCAAGTGTGTGTATGAAGGAGAAGCGTAGCGGGAATATGTGGGATGCGGATTTTATGAATCAATAGATTTTATTCGTTGAATGACTGCCTTCCTTATTTACTTAAGCCTACTTATTGCATTTGCATTTTCTGATAATTCGACGTGATTGAGGTTTTAAAACTGCCTTTCTGCTGAACAAATCAATCAGAAACCCGCTGTTTTGGCACTCTGCCTCTTCAGTTGAATGTGCTGCATACTCAGCTCGTACAGCAAAAAAAAGGGGGGAGATTTATTAAACTGAAAAGCAAAGAGACAAAACAGATGCTGAATTGCTCAGTATTTTCATCAGAAATGCAAGGGCACCAGCAAAACCAGACATGGTTTGAAATACGAACCAGGAGCCTGTAAAGAGAAGAATCCCACATGTCTTTCTAGATGCTGAAAGACATGTTTGCTCCCATTCAGGCACATCTGCATTAGTAAGGTCCAACACTGAGCACAGGACTTTGTCACAGGAGCGCGAGCAATACAAATGACAATGCCAAAAAAAGGAGGCTCACTAGTGCTGTGGTCTCAAAACTGGGGTGCATTTAGAGTGGTTCCTTCACTCAGAGGTACTTAAAAAAGAAGATTCTCCCCCAGGGTCTTTATTTGAAGTCAAAGTTTCATTTTCATACAAACAATGAGAGGTGCATACCTTTTATTAAGTAAAGGCTGTCTCAATCAGTGGAATATAGAAAAGAACATTTCAACATTGAGTGGAAATACAACATGGCTTAAACTAGTGAGTTTAATATAAGCGGAATACATTTAGGCTCAAGAAATCAACAGGAACATTGAGAGATAATGCAGATGAACTGTAAGAACCAAGCTTTACTTTGCACATGCTCAGATGGACCCCCCCCCCCCCCCCCCCTAGCGAGTCCAGCGAGGTGACGCAGCTCAAGGAAGAACATTTATCATTACTTCATGGAAATGCAATCAGACCAAGATGCTAATGCAGAAGAATTACTGCGTCTGCAGGGTAAAATTAATATGATGATTATTACTTTAAGGAAATGATAAAGAAATGATCATAAATGTTCTTCCTTGAGCTGCGTCACCCCGCTGCAGTCGATGGACTCGGCTCCGTACAAAAAAAGCAACTGCTGGAGGAGAGTGGGTGAGTTATGTTTAGTCTCTTTGCTTGAGAAATCAGGCAAAGTTAAAAAGATGTTTTGTGGCTAGTAGTATGGCTGGGACCCTATATGTACTGTTGATGAAGTTAGGTGCTGTTCTGTGCATTATTTGTGGCTATAGAGTTGTGTTTTGGTTGAGTGTGTGGCTCTCTGTATTGCTATCTGCGGTCGTTACTAAAGTTGGTATAGCTTGAGAAGCAAGCAGTCTGCAACATCCGTCTCTTGAGGGGGGTGTCTAACTCTGTGTCACGATGTGTTTGAGCCTAACTTAATTTTACTGCAGAATATCCCTTTAACAAAACTGATTTTTGGGTTTAAGTAACTTTTTTGTTCAGGGTAAGAGTCAGTCCATGTACACGCACAGCCAAGTTGAGCTACGGTCAAAGGTTGATGAAGTGATTTAAACAGTTTACATGCACTGGGCAAAAATTGAATTATCGACAGAAGCAAGTCCACCTCCGGTACAGTAGGTGGCAAGATTCCCCCTTTTCAGCTTGTTACCATCAGGCTGTCTCCCAATTGACCCATTACATATCAAAACAATCAACAAAACCCGTCAGCAAGACACTAATCGGATGCATATTAAACGTGCAGACACTGACACTCTTACAATTCTGTACTGTTTATTTGTACGATTTTGCCTTTTTTACGTCATTGCTTCATCTACCGAAGTTTTACTTTCTACCCTAGCTTCACGGGTTCGTGCTATTCAACTTCTGGCTCAAAGCCTGGCATGAAGACACTGGAGCGCTTTCAGAACGCTTAGACCAGTTTCAATTCCATTGAGCCGCATACATGGAGGAGAAAATTGATCCCCTACTGTATTATCTAGCTACATAAGTCCGACTATCAAAAGTTCGATTCAGTGTGATATCTGTTAGACTAAAGCATTTTTTTTGTACAACATGTAAATGTACCGTTATAACAGTGACCCTTGTGTTGACAATTGTTACTCTCAGCAACATGTATGAAGGATTTTTGCAACTTTTTCATTGAATTAAAAAACAAAATTGTCAAATTAAGAATTAGACCGCAGTGTAGGTCAAAGTACAGTCATGTTGACAACCACCTGGAAGACATATCCTTCTTGTAATTGCAATGAGACTACATGATTTTTTTCATTTAAGTAATAAAACACCTGACAATGAGGCTCAGAAAGGAGGGACAGTAAAATAGTGTTACAGAATCAACCTTCAAATGAACTTAAAGCTGCAAGTTCAGGAAAAGAGTTCCTTTTCTAAGGTAAATTATTGATGTGAGCCTATGTCAGCTGTTTTTTTTAACGTCATGGGTAATAAAACTTCCATCGTAGGAACGACGGTCAAGAAAAGATGCAAAAGAATAAAGTGACTCGAGTTTCACTAACCAAACACTCGGTTTTAGATCTGGATTTGTGTCTTGTATGAAAATGAGTCTCCTCTACCAAACGTCTTATCTGTCCTCTCTCTCTCTCTCTCTCTCTCTCTCTCTCTCTCTCTCTCTCTCTCTCTCTCTTACTCTCTGTGTCTGTCTGTCTCTCTTTGCTGAATCACTCTCTCTCTCCACGCCGTTTTTCAATCTACTAAAACACTTGGCTCAATTAGAACAGAGCAGGAGGGATATGATAGAGTGTTTCACGCCCACCGCCTCTTCCCTCTCTCCTTCTCTGTTCCTTTCCAAGATAGTCCCTCCACCACCAGAGGAGGGAGAGCGAGAGAGAGAGAGGAGAGAGAGAGAGAGAGTCCAGAAGCAGGCTGATATTTGCTGAGCTCCACAAAATGGGAAAAAAGACTGCAGACCATCAGATCATTAGTGCTCTCCCATTTTCTCTCTTTTTCTCTCACACGTGGTGCTCTCTCTTTTTCTCTCTCCACCTCTCCTTATCATCTCCACTGCTTGTCCTCTCTCTCTCTCTCGCCCTCTCTCTCTCTCTCTCTCTCTCTCACTAGTGCAGAGCTAATGTGCTGAGAACAGTCTGCAGCACTGTGCTCTGCTGTAAAGGGTGCACTAACTACGACGTCACTGGAACCCGCACACACACACAAATACACTGTGAGGCCTGATACTTTGGAATACCCTCAACCACCCACATGCATGATCTGAGTCAAAGCGCACCATTGTGCTAAAACCTCTATTCACCATCCACACCTGTCCTCTAGACATGCATATGTTTGTAACGTGCGCATTTTCTCCATTGCTCTCTGAGTACAAATTGTAGCAGTAATGATCACTCCCCTCATTCATTTTCAAAAGCATGCTGTGTTTTAAAAAACACCATATTGCAGACTGGATTGCTCTTTAATTAGCAAATGTTCATTTACAACAAGCAAGTCACAATATTACTGCTATAATCTATTATCATCTTTTTTTTTCCAGCTTGAAACACAGTATGCCATAAACTACATGACTCAATTTTTATGATACCCCACAATGAGTTATGCACATTTTTATATGCGTGTCCGTAAAAGTCCAACATTTTTTGCTGCAGGTGAGCAAATACTGACACTTTAGGGTACATTCAGGTTTTGCCCCTCGCTCTGCATGCTTTTCTATTGAACTAAATCTTGTATGACTCTAGTATTTTGCCCATTACCTTTTACGGGAATGATGTTGGTTACAGTGGCTTAAAAAGGGGACAAACAGGTTCATGTTAGATGTGCCTTCAGTGTGATCAGTGAACAATAAACTACACCTATAGCCTTATGATCACTTAGAGGGATTGTCTGGCGTAAAATGAAGTTAGGGTCATACACACTGTAACACCAAGTAAGCCAGCCCGTCATGAGATGAATGTTGCAGGCTGCTTGCTTCTCTAGTTAAACCAACTTTAGTAATGACCGCACGATAGCAATACACAGCGGTCTCAGGAGCCACGTGCTCAACCAAAACGCCACTCTATAGCCACAAATAATGCTCAGAACAGCACCTAACTTCATCAACAGTACATATAGGGTCCCAGCCATAGTACTAACCACCAAATATCTTTTTAACATTGCCTGATTTCTTCAGCGAAGAGACTAAACACAACTCACCTTCTCTCTTCCAGCAGCCGTTTGTTTGTAGCGAGACCTTGGGCCAGTCTATTGTGGACTGCTGCGGGGTGACGCAGCACAAGGAAGAACATTTATGATCATTTCTTTATCATTTCCATGAAGTGATAATCATCATATTAATCATTTTGCACTGCAGACGCAGTAGTTCTTCTGCCTTAGTGTCTCAGTCTGATTGTATTTCCATGAAGAAATGATCATAAATGTTCTTCCTTGAGCTGCGTCACCTTGCTGCAGTCAGTTTGGACTGGCCTGAGACTAAACCTCAGACTGCTATGTATTGCTATCGTGTGGTCGTTACTAAAGTTGGTGTAACTAGAGAAGCAAGCGGTCGGCAACATTCATCTCTCGATGGGGTGTCTTACTTGGTGTTGTGGTGTGTTTGACCCCAACTTTATTTTACGCCAAAAATATCCCTTTAAGCCTCATTCATACTTCTGTGTCAAAGCATTGCCATATCATACAAGTAGATTTATGTTACCCTGTACCTACAGAAGCCTACATATGTAGACATGTAGTGCTCACAACAGTGTAGGCTACCACAGTGTTGGTATGATATAGAGTCAACACAGAAATATAAACCAGGCTTTAGGGTAAATATCCCTCAATTATAGAATATAAAAATCTTGTTGAATTCTCCTGAGTTCGGCTGCCTTGAGCTGCACAATGCTTTAAATGTTTCCGGAGGGGCAAAACAAAGCTTTAGTAGAGAAAAACTGTGGCCCAGTCAGAACGCAGCACTCAAGCTTGCTAGTGAATCAAAGGGTAACAATCCGACTGCAGCTATCTCACTTGACATTTGTTGGTACAGAAAGGAGTTTTATGTTTCACAAACTCAAAGCTTTTGGTTTTAGCCAAGGATTTCAGAGATGGATAGAACTCCTTAAAGGAGACCAGAGCAGAAGCAGCAATAAATTGTCAAACTTCATCCCTACTGTTCAGGGGTCAGTGCTGCCACCAAAAGCACTTCTGTCCAGCTTACACACCTCTTACAGCAGCTACCTGTTTGGACTCAAACACCCAGGTGAGTACAGTTAGTGAGTCTACACAAACTTATGCTCTATGCAGATGATATAATGTGGTATACCATGGACACAGTAACATCTGCTCCAACACTTAAGGACCATATCGAATTACAGAAACTGCCAGAATAATTTTTTTAGTGCTCCATGAAGTCAGGTCATGTAAACTTGAGATGAAGCAGGCAAATTTTGGTTTTATGGTTACAGTGAATGCAATACAGTTAAGAATAGCAGACAGCATTTTGCCAAGTAGTTGCCATAAATATTCTTATAACAGATATGAACTGTCAAAAGCTTTCTGTAATACTATAGGGTTAAGAAAAATAACATCATATCTTTGAGAAATAAGTCAAAATTCAATTTCTGGTGAAAAAAAAAAAGCTTTGGTTTAACTTTTTTTCTGATTTTCTCTCCATGTTTAACAGTTCAGAGTCTAAAAAAAACATGGATAAGCATTTTTTCTGATATTCGTATGATGGAAAAGAGAAAAGAGATTTTTTTTTTTTTTTACTAATAAATCAGTCACTGATATGAGTAAAGTGTTTGAAACTTTAAACAATAACATTAAGCCCCACATCTAAACTTACTGTGCAAGACATACTGTGGCTAGTAAGTGATTGCAGATCATACAGTCTATGCTCAGTTCCTCTCCCTCTGCTGATGAGGCAGGAACCATTATTGTACAGAGGACTGGCTGTTTTATCTGAGCCATCTGCTCACTTTAAAAATTGGACAACATTTTAAGACTGACGGGAAAAAAGCCAGAAAAGTAGGACTTAACAAAGAGCGACTTTTGTTTAATGTGTTTTTGAATGATCACTAATCGCTCATTTTGTGGGCTAGCCGAGCTAGCGTCTTATGCTAGTTTAATTTTTCTCAGCACCGGCTGTCTGTCCTACAAACACACCTGGAGACTCCTGGAGCCCTTAGCACCAAATCCCTAGAACTCTTTAAATGTACAGGCCCCAAAAATGACAATAAAAAAATCATCAGTCTTCTAGCTGATGGATGAAAGACATCAACGTGAATGTCAGTCTGTTTCATTAATATCAAAAAAGTCCCCACAGGAGCTTTAATTCTCGACATTTCAACTTTTTTTTTCTCTAAACCTTGTTTACACTGGAACTCAACTAAATTTAAACAGCTGCTAGAAACCAGTTCACTTAGCTTTTCATAAAGAAAGTGGCTTATGTGTTAAACCTTTTATGTTATTAGGAAGGCTTCATTTATATATATGTTTTCTCACGTATAGTCTGCTGATAGTGACACTGATCTCCTGAGCTCTGACTTTTGAACTCATAAGCAGTTATTTATTTATTTATTTATTTATTTATTGGACAAGTACATCACAATTTTTATTTATTTATTTTATTTTATTTTATTTCATTTTATTATTGTGTCCATCCAGGAGAGCTGGCAACTTCTACAAATTAAGGCAGTAACACATTTTTCTTTATTTATTTAATTTATTTGTATTTATAAAAAAATCATTTAACAGCAATTGTGACCTAACAGGAAAAAAAAAATAATATTTTTAATTTTTAATTCTTAATCAATGCTAGAATTTTGACAGCTGCAGTGTAAGTTATATTTAAATGCACAAATTTTAAATAATTTATTTCCTGGCAGAGTAAAAATGTAATTAAATGACTCATAAATTCATACAATTTATGCCTTCCATTTGTTTCTGTATTAAAATATAGAGCTTTACAAAATTCACTCTGATAGAGTCATCAAATAATACAATAAAGTAGGAAATACTAGAATTGTAATAATGATTTTATTAAAAAACTTAACAATAATGATGAATAGGTACTGTTTTTGTCTTCTGAAGAATAATAGTATTCGTAATACTCTAACCTCACCCATAATATCATCTTGTATTTTAATTTTTATGTTATTATTATTTGAATTGGAAATAACTGTGGGGCCGCTCACTGCTGTCTTGACATCTCCTGCTGACAAACTATCATAAATTTACTGCCCCTCACCTCCACAAAGTGCACGCCCACTTTCACAAACACAGACCTATGCACAAATCCTGGAGATGGACAATGCATTAGCACATGTAAACACACACACATACACTCACTCAGTTAATTAAGTTAACATGCTGACTAAGGAGCGAAGGAGCTCTTTGCTGTATGAGAAGTGATAGAGAAAAGGGACACATGCACGCAAAATACACGTACACACCAAGTGCACACATGGACAGGATGACACAAAGTCAACCTGGAAAGATCTGTGTTTGTTTTGACATTGCACCAGTACAGCGTGGGTGTGGGTGTTGGGTGTGAGAATGACCATCGTTATGTTTATAAGAGTCTATCTCTGAATGCCAGTGGAAACTAGAAAAAAGACGGCCATGACCCCTTCCTCTACTGTGAACTGTACACCCTTAGACAATATAAATGTCCCATTACTTCAGACTGAGGCCCGTGTCCTGTCCAACTTTGCTGTTACAGGCCTGTGCAGCTGTGTCTCCTTTAGTAAGGACACATTATAGGTCAAATACAGTCCCACTATGGAACCAAGTATCAACCCTGTCTTCATATTTTACATCAAAAGGTCATTTCCTTAATCTGAAAGCAGTCAAAGGCTACGTTCATACTGCAGGTTATGATGCACAATTCGGATTTTTTGTTAAGCATTTTGGGACTGTCAGGTTGGTTAGGTATACACCAAAACCACATGTTAAAGGGATATTCTAGCGTAAAATAAATATAGGGTCAAACACACCATAACACCGAGTTAGACACCCCCTCGAGAGATGAATTTTGCCGACCACTTGCTTCTCCAGGTATACCAACTTTAGTAACGACCGCACAATAGCAATACACAGCAGTTTGAGGTCTCGCTACAAACAAGCAGCTGCTGGAAGAGAGTAGGTGAGTTGTGTTTAGTCTCTTTGCTAAAGAAATTAGGCAAAGCTAAAAAAAATGTTTGGTGGCTAGTACTATGGCCAGGACCCTGTATGTACTGTGAAATCCCCGGCCAAGCTCAGGAAGATTATGGTTGACATTGAAACAATAGGAGGAGGTGGACTTTTACAAAGCAAAGAAAAGACACCTTATTTTAAAAGTTTCGAAGTACCTATTTACAGCAAATCACAGCACATCAGAACTAGCCAATGAGAGAACAGCAGGAAAGAGTGAGATGGCACTTCATTATGGTAACTACGAATTTGAGTGTTTTTCTTCAAGTCCCACACAGGCTTTTACGCAAACAATGTTATTCGGTTGTACTGTTTTTGGTTTCGTATTGTGATGTGTTGATTGTGATATAATTAGAAAAAAAACTGTTATTTTCCTTATTTTTCATCTAAATTTTCTCTCATTAAATCATCTTAAAATGAAAAGTTTCACTCCACTTTCTTTTGCTGATACTGTGTCGAATGACAAATCTTATTTGCATATGGTGAAGGAAAGGACTTGAGATGGATAGGAGACAGAGACAGTGATAAATCGGTTTGTGTGCTGAGTTAGCAAAATGAAAGACAGGCACAAAGTATAAAGGATTCGAGAATAATATGGGAACAGTGCACTAAGCAAAAAGCATGAGGC